TAAATATCTAATTAAACCCGAATTTGAATACCCTAATTAGTTTATGCCAATATTGAAATAATGCGCATTGAAAAAGAATCTTGAGGATTGTTTTTAACATAAAAAGTGTAAGTATGATGCCAATGCAATGATGCATCTGTTGCCGAAATGGTGATTAAAGGAAAGGAGTTTCAAGGGGTGGGAATTTGAATTCAAACATCGATAACGTGCATGGAAATTGATGATTAAAAGAGAAAAGTGGATTAGTGGAGCGGGTTGAAGTGGGACATTTACAATCATAATAGAATGCTCACGATGGGGTTTGTAATTAGGATAGCAGTTTTATAATTACGTGCTGATTGTTGTCTCTAGGATGATTAAGACTCATGAAATGTGAGGAAAACTTCATTGGAAAATGTCCAATTATACACTGGACTTGCTGAAGGCAATGCGTTTGGAATTTTTATTTATTTATTTACTTTTTTGGCAAAGAGGAGGGATAAAAGCCCCGTAGAAACAAAGAACAATAATAAACCATCAACAAATTCAGTAAAGCACACTATATAAGTTGTTATTGATGTCAAAATGGCTAAAGAAATTTCATGTCAAGATTTTAATTATCCCATGAAGCACAATTTGAGAGTCATTAATTATTAGGGTTAATTGTCGATTTATCCCCTAAACTTGCACGGTACTTTCAATTTGCACCCTCAACTTTTTTGTTGGAAAATTAAGTACACGAACTGATTTTTGCGAGAGAGAGAAAGAGAGAGTGAGATTTTCTGTGTTGTATGATTATGCGAGCGTGCACGCGGGGGGTGTGGGGGGTGTGGGTGGTGGTGGTGTGGAAAAAAAAAGGATGGGGGAGGGATCTGTGGGGTGGGGGATTGATCTAGAGGATTGGTCAGAGGGTGGTGATCACATTGGTGGCAGTGGGGGTATGTATGGTGGGGGATTGGTCTAGGAGTGGAGGGTGGTGGTCACGGGGAAATGGGAGGAGAAGAAAAACCTGGAGGAGAGGGGGGTGGGTTCGGTTCGGGGGGTGAAAAATACAGAAGGGGGAGGGGGGGAGGGCAGGGATAGACCTAGGATTTAAAAATAAGGTGGGCTAAATTTATCTTATATACAAACCTAGAAAACTTGACGGTATGAGTGAATTTCATTGAAGTATGAATTTTAAGATCAATTAGCAATTACATGATAAACTTCTCCATGAAAAGAAAAGAATTAAAAGCATTTATTATCCATTACAAAAGAAGAAGAAATAAAAATGAAAAGAAGTAGCCAAAATTTATAAGGAAAAAAAAATGAATTGACGTTTTATGTACACCAGAAAAGGTAAAAATTTTTTTTAAAAAAAAAGAAAAAAGTAAAGTATGTTCTCTAGGAACGTGTGTTTTCTTAAAAAGGCTGAGTAATAAATATTAATATAGGGTTAGTTTTTATTTTACTTACTATCACACTTGTGGGATTAGTTCACTAAAGAAAAAAGAAAAAAATATTTTCTTTGGGTGGGATCACTGGGATGGAATGTGTGGAGGTATGCTTTGGTGGGCAAAGTATTAATATTGGACCATAAAATATCACGTCATCCGGGCTATATCCTATGTTAGTATGAACGTAGGATTGTCCCTTGGGAAAGGTGTGGGAGGTGGGGGATTGGTCTAGGAGTAGAGGGTGGTGGTCATGGGAGAATGGGAGGAGAAGAAAATCGTAGGGGAAGTTATGGGTTTGTTGGGTCTCTTAGGATTTTTTTTCGGTTCTCTTTTTCTTAAAATTTTTTTTTTTAAAAATGATTTGATGAACTATTGGATGACATGTTGTTGATTTAGATTGTAGGGGGTGAATTGACAATAAAAATTAGTTTGAGTACTTAAATTTTTTCTTTTCTTGTTCTTATTATTTTTGGTTAGGGAGATTTTATTGGCACCCCCATTATTGCTCTTTACACCCCATACTAATTTTAAACATGAATAACCTATTTTACCATTGTACACAATTAGGGCCCGTTCGGTAATGTTTTTAGAGCCTGTTTTCTGTTTTTGTTTCCTGTTTTTCACAAAAAACACGTTCGGTGCATCGTTTTCGTTTTCCCTCACAAAACGTTTTCTGAAAACAAATCTGACTTTGTGAACAAAAGTTGAAAATGAAAAAAAGTTGTTTTCAGTGATTTCATTTTCAGTGTTTTCCGAAGACACAAGAATGCATCCCATCAACAACTCTAGCTCTCTCTTTTGACAACCGATAAACCCACCAACAGGAACAACACCCATCTTCTCTGACCCAAAATAAACAGATCTGCAAATTAAGAAAAAAAAATACAGAGGAAGAAGAAGAAAAAAAAACAGAGACAAGAAGAAGAACCACCACATACCCAACTCAACCACCATCATCACCCAATCAAACCATCACAACCATTAATTAGTGGATCAAGAGAGAGAGAGAGAGAGAGAGAGAGAGAGATGGGTGGGTGTATGGGATTCATGCCATGGAAGGAAGGAGGAGTGGGTGTAGCCTGGGAAGGAAAGGAAGAAGAAAAGAGAAAGAAAATGAGAAAAAAGAAACGGCCTGGGGAAGGAAAGGAAGAAGAAAAGGGGAAGAAAGTAGGAAAGAGGAAGAAAAAGAGAAAAAAGAAGCAGCCATGTGAAGGAAAAGAAGAAGAAAGAGGAGGAAAGAGAGAAAAGGAGAAAAAGAAGAAAAAGGAAAAAAAGAAAAAAAGGAGATAAGATAGTTTTTTAGCTTAAATTTTTTCATTGTTTACAATAATTTTAGCCTCTAAAAATATCAGAATTAAAAAAAATTAGAACTGAAATTAGCAAAAATACACCTGAAAAACAATTGTTCTACCAGACACGTTTTCATTGTTTTTGTTTTCTAAAGATGTTTTCTAATTAATCTACCAGACGCATTTTCATTTCCTGAAAATGCAAATTTGTTTTCTTGTTTTCATTCTCTGAAAATATTCTCAGAAAACATTCTCCGAAAACGTTACCAGACGGGCCCTTACTGTTAAGGACAAAAAAAATTAAAATTGCTCACTACACCCCACATATGTTCATGCAACCCTAGTTTGACTTTTTTCTCAAACTATAATGTTCCTAAATCCTAAACCCTAGATTTATACGTTTATATTGGTGAAAAAATATCTTGTATTTATTCATGAAGGGTGAGATTGAAGTTAGAGAGGCTTCAAATGAGGTACGAGTTTATTTTTTTGCGTTTTGCAAGTTGACTATTTCATAATAGTTGCTGGTTGCGTTCAGCACATCAGTACCGAACGCGACAGGTAAATTGGGTGGGATGCCACCGAAACGTTGCACCTTTTCGGTTGGGTTTGATCGGTCATGAACTTAATATTCAGTGGAGATCCACCGTAACATGGAACGTAGTTTAGTGGTTCACTACCGAACTTTTACCTGCGTTTCAGTGGCATCCAACCGAAACTTATTTATTTTTTCAGTAACTTATTGCCAACCACAAATTTAATGCAAGCTATTTTGATCTTACTCCCATTGAAGGAACAAAAACAAAGTGACGCCCCTACTGAAGGCAACAACGTGGGAACAGAATGTGTAATGGACTATAGTGATCAATTCACAACTTATTCGGTAATTATTTGTTTGAAATCCTTTTGTCTGCAAGAAGTTATTTGGGACCCTCAAACAATGGAAGCAATTTAATGAGGATTGGAATACTTTGGTTGGTTCAGAAACGGAGGAGGAATATTGGCATTGTTTGCGACATATTGAGTCTAAGTTCAGTGAATTTCAAAAAGCTCTTAAATACACACATGACAATTGGTTAAATCCATTTAAGGATAGGTTTGTGGTTACTCTTTTTAATATCAGGACTCGTCTTAAGTCACCTTGGTCCCGCCAAAAAAGAAAACATGCTATGAGTTCTAATACAAACTTCATAATTAATCAAAACAACAAAAGTTCCATGAGTTCTAATACAAACATGCAATAACTAATCAAAACAACAAAAGTTCCATGAGTTATAATAAACGTATGCTAGCAAGTCAGTTAACCGTGACGACGTTGATATGTCATGGTATACCGTATGTTTGTACCCTCTAAAATCTGTTGTAAGGTATCAACTGCTTGATAAACTTGAGAAGGTCGTGTACGCAATACAACTGTTTCCCCTAATGCCACAAGCGGCCTAGTAAAGGACAACATATGCTCGTCACGCTCCTGTAACAAATTTGAATTCAATGCCTTAGTAAAAAGTACAAAATTGATAAAATGGAAGTCATACAAAATTAAAAAATTTACATGATAATATCTGCTTTGCATTAAGGCAAATGGGTCAAATGCAGCTTCATAATTAGGATTCTGGACAAATGGATATCCCACGTTGAGGTACCACTCCATGTACCAGGCACAGTATCCTCAAAGTGATCTTGGGGATCCGCTCTCTCTCTCCTCGTTGAGGCCATGGGACGTTGTCTATTCGGTCGAGATGATGAAGTCTCAATAGTACCTCTGCGAGTCCTGTTCATATCTAAAAACGAACAATATTAAGTACACACTCGGTAATGTATTCGGTAAATGATCACTGAAAAACAAAAACAAATTCGGTGGACTATCACTGAAAAAAGAACACATATTCGGTGGAGTACCACTGAAAAACCGAAATATATTCGGTGGGAATCTCTTGAAAATTACAAACAAATTCGATGGAATACCACCAAAACAAGGTAACGATTTCGGTGGTAACCCACCAAAAGAAAAATGTACATATCAGGTTCAAATTCGGTAGACTACCACTGAAGCAATGTAACCATTTCGGTGGTAATCCACCAAAACTAAAATCCAGTTTTGTAAAACCAGGTTCGAACCATACACCCACCACGTTGAAATAAAAAATTAAAATCAGACTTTGTCTTTTCAAAAGTGAAATCAAACGTAGGCTTAATCAACACTTAGAAACGTAAATATAGAAATCAAAATTGAAATCAAACCTTGGCTCTTCAAAGGATTTGTGAAAATTTGACAAATTCGTGATGGATGCTTGAGATGGCTAAGGAGATGGTGGTTTGCGACGGGGTGAGGCGTTTGGGGTTGGCTGTGGGGTGTGATGGCTCTGTTTCAGATATGGGTTCGGGTTTGCAAAGATGGGTTGTGCGATGCGGTTTGGTGGTTTGCAGAGATGAGTTGTGAGATGGCTATGTTTCAAAGGGGATGAGGTGTGCAGTGGAGCTTGTTGTAAATTTGATGGGGTGTGTCTGCAAGAGGAGAGAATTTTCAATGGGGTGGGGCTTGATATCAGATGGGGTGGGTTTGATTTCAGATGGGGTGTGTTTGAAAGAGAAGGGGGTTTTCGATGAGTGGTGTATGATATGGGATGAGGTTTACCCAGTAAGTTAGGGAATGAGGTTCATTAGGGCAATTTAGGAAAAAAAAAAGGGTATAATGAGTAATTTGAAATTTTATTAAAATTTAGTGGGGTGTAAAGAGCAATTAATGGGGTTCATATAGAATTTCCCTTTTGGTTATTCCTCAGGAACAAACTTGGAAGTAGTTTCAAAAATTTCCCTTGAAGGTTGGTGCACCAGATTAATGTGTGCCTTCAGAAACTCCTTCAAGAAGAGCATCTTTTGAAATTATAGATTTAGTTCGTGGGCCTGTGAAACCGAGCATCATGTTCTTGTTGGGCCCCCTCACCTAGTGGACTAAACGGTTTGCAATATAGATAGCAAGAATTCTATAGTGAGGGCCTTATTTAAGGTCCTTAAATGAGGCCCTATTTTTTAGTCGTTGAATCAAATTAGTAAGTTGTTATATCAATTTGGTTAATTTCATGGGAGATTTACTATTATACCCAATATAGGGGCTCAAATGATAAAAAACCCTATATGAAATGGACTTTAGAAACACATCCAAAGCTCATTTACAACATAACAAAGAGACTTTTAACTCTATGTAAATTACAAAATTGTCATCGATTTCTTAAAATAAGCCCAACCCCAAAATCTTATTAAAAAAAAAAATCACAAACACTCAATAGGGCATCAAAGTAATTTAATAATAAAAATTAAATTCAATAAGTCCAAATGTCATTTTTTTGGGGTTTTTTTATATAGAAATTACAGAGTATAGGGTTTATCTATATCATTAGTGTTAAAAATGGGCATATGACTAAATATGTGTAATTTAATCCAACGATTAAGAGATAGGACCTCATTTTAGTGTCTTAGATAAGGCCTTCACTATAAAATGAGGTCCTATCTCTTGTATTTGGTTCGTTAAATGTGAAAAAAAAAATTATAAAAATTAGAGCTGGTTAGAAAAATGAGACGAGTTTGCTTGCACAGAACCAAAATTTAGAGATTTGATGGAGATTGTGCAATATTGTACACTGCAAAAGTGGCTTTTGCTTCCAGCCGATCGTGTCAATAAAACGCAATCAGTGCTTTACTTACACTGTCAACAACAAACTACAAAAGGGTCATGATCAGCATCTTGCGAATGAAAAGACAAAAATGCTCCTAGAAGTAGAATAATCTCAAATAAAAGAAAGATTAAAATCATGCAAACAGATTAACAATGCCCCCATAATCACAAAGAATGCTTGAAAGAGTATCCAGGGAGCACAATCTCGTCCTTCTGCCGTATCACTGCCTGCAGCTGAAAATTAAAAAAAAACATGAACCCAATTTGAAGTTATGTACCAAAAGAAACAAGTATAATTGAAGCAATTAATGAAACAAAAATGACCTGAGATAGTTATAATCATAGTGGTATCAGGTTCGAATCTCCATATCACTTTAGTAGTGTGTGTGAGAAAACCTCCTCTCTAGTATCGCTTATATAAAATAAAATAAATAAAAAAGTTTGATTTTCTTACCACATTCTCTAGTAGAATTGTTGAAAGTAGAGCAGAGGCAGAGAGACACTTGAGTCTCAGTATCAAACCCACAAGTCCCACCGGACTCAGCACATCTCTCACACCCAGTATCCGGAACCGCAAAGCTCAACTTAATCCCATAAACCCAATCCAACGGTCCCAAACCTCTCAACCGATCCGTATTAGTCACGCTAGTATAATGCGTACAGTCCAAAATATTCATGCTCATGAACTTCACAGTATCATACCCCGTAAAACAGCACGGCGGAACAAAATCAGTACTACCAGTACTATTAGTCCCGTTGGTTAATCCCAAGCCCGACCGAAAAAGCCGAAACGCGTTGCATGAGTTGTAAAGCTCGTCGCAGGAGTGGCCGGAGAAGTTGAAGCAGAGGGACTTGTAGTGGTTGAGGACAGGGGAGTCGACGGAGCAGTTGAGGAGGGCGAAGACGGTGTCCGAGGTCGGTGGGATTATGGCGGATTGGATAGGGGTCAAGAGGAAGTCGTGGTGGGGTTGGAGGATGGAGCAGGTTGACATGGCGGGGTCGTAAACGACGAGGTTTTTCTTGTCGTAGTCGATAGACTGGACTTTGTAGTTGCCGGATGGGGTGGTGAAGAAGAGGTCGGTGGAGCAGTTGAGCATGCCACGGAACTGCGGCGCGCCGCAGCCGTCGTCGAGGCCGAAGGGATAGTTTACGGGGATGGGGCCGCAGGTGGTGCGGCACGGGGAGAGGGTTAGGGCGGGGAGGAGGAGGTTGAGGAGGGTGATGACACTGATGAGTGGTTTTGACTGAGAGTGGCTCCACATTTTGTGTGTGAATATTTGAAAATAAGTTACTGTGGCAATTGGCATTGGATGTTTTGTATGAGTGAAAGAAATGAAGAGCTAGTGTGTACACAGATTGAAAAAGGTAGCCGGGATTTGCTCCATAAATTAGGACAGCTTTGGATGCTTTAGACAGCTGTTATGGGATCCACAAGTTGAAAAAGAGTGAAAGAAACCAAGTAGCAGCAGTGAATTATGTATCTGCGTTGGGATTCTCAATTAGGGTTTGTTCTTAGATCGATGGTGAGTTTTCATTGATTTGCATAATGTGACTTGTAAATGTTATTGAGGAGGCAAAGCACAGGTCCAGCAGCATATAAAAAAGCTTGTAGATTCTGGTCAATAAAAGAAAATGAAATAAAATGGAGAAAGAGTGCGGTGAAGGTGGATCGAACACCTGACCTTCAGATCTTCAGTCTGACGCTCTCCCAACTGAGCTATCCCCGCAATTGATAACTAAAATTACAAAAAGACTAAAATATACCAAGTTTAGGTCTAAAGTAAAAATAAAAAAAGAGTAGCATATACTGATGAATGCAAGATGAAAATATCAGCCCATATATCGGGATAAACCTATTTCTTCCGCCATATATTTCCAATATTCTCTATATTTTTTTAAGGAAATATTTTTGCTCAACACTTGACATGTGTACATGGGTATAACCATAACTAACTCTTTACTTTGCATTTGTGAAATCATGGTTATGCTCATAGACATATGTTAAGTGTTAAGTAGGACGATGAAAGTACACCTTGAGTTAAAGTGGTGAGCAAAAATGCACTAATTTCTTGATACATTACCCATCAATTTTTCTTCAATTTTCGAAGTAATTGAAGCATCGCAAGGCAATACAAAAAAAAAAAAAAAAAAAAAAAAAAAAAAACCCACCCACCCCCCCCCCCCAAAATAAAAAAATGCAAAAGAAATGCAAAAAAAAAAGAGATCTTCAAAAAAACCCAAATAAATGGCACTTAACTTTAGATCCATGAACCAAATAATAATCTAGTTGTCATGCAAATTAAAGGTTGCAATGACTTGGTATGGCTAGATGGTTGCTCCTCATTGTTGGAACCTTATAGTAACTCTTCGTTTATGTAAAATGCACACTCACTACAAAAAAAACCCTTTTCTTCGAACAAAGTTTTGGCAACCAACGTAACTTTGGTCGCCCCATAGTGTTATTAGCGAGGACATTTTGTAATTTTGTCAGCAAAATTTTTGTGAGATTTATGCATAGGTTAAAACTTCAACCAACTAATTGGCGACAAAAGCTTTTCGAAGAGTGACCAAAATATTTCGACATTGTTCAATGAATTCGCGACCAAATGGAATTTTGGTCGCCCTGTTTTCAATTTTGGTAAGGGCACGTGTCCCTTTTTTAATTATGTCTCGCACAAACCCCAAGCAGCCCCTGCAAATCCGAGATGACAGCTCCAAAATAATGATGGTGACAAATCTAACAATTTCTTATAAATTACGAGTGACAATTGTCATGGAAAATCGTGACGACTTTGTTAAATGACTTTGCACTTATCTAAATTGTAATTGCATAGTTTATCCTTTCTAATATCATACCAACATAAAAATCCATTCTACTATAGAATATATTTTCATGCAAATTTTACTTCAAAATTCCATGTTTTTAGGCCAAATTCTTTTGAGATTTCCAACTATGGTAAGGTTGAGATAGTATTTAGGATTTCTTATACCTAGGACTTGGTGTCTAGGGTTAACTTTTCATATTTTATTCAATAAACCTTTGAGATTTCTCTCATCTTTCATGGTGGACTCTTTGATTTCTTTTATCCTTGCGCCACGTTAATATGTGTTCTTTGTCGATCCTGAAAGTATATCAATAGATTCACAAAATATACGTAAATTTTTGACTCATATACTATATGGACTGTTGATATTTTCATCCTTGAACGAATGCACTTTCAGGTCTAAAGTGAAAATAAATAAAAAAGAGCACTTAAAATGCGGTGAAGGTGGATCGAACACCTGACCTTCAGATCTTCAGTCTGACGCTCTCCCAACTGAGCTATCCCCGCTTTTGTTAAATGTAACAGGAAAATATTTCTTATTTCAAGGTGTAAAATTTCTCAGTTGTATTTTATAAAGGCATCGAAAATCCTTCGAACTTGACCCAATTGATGCACGTTTACGCCTAAGCCCAATAGTACTCACACCCAATACCAGAAATTTCAACCACCATAGAACCCCGAAAAAAAAAGAAAAAAAAAGGCCCAAATAAAACTCAAGTTCTCAACACACAGATGGTTGGTCCACACATAATATATAGGGTTTTTTTTATCACAAATGATCCTTCAGGTTTACAAAATTATCACGAATCGCCTTTCAGATTTTTTTGTAACACTAATAGTCCTTAGGTTATCATCTACACATCAAAATGGTTCTTCCAGTTAATTTCTGTCAAAACTAGCGTTAAAACGAGCAGTGCCCATTCGACCAAACCCAACCCTCAAAACTCTTTCCCTCCATTTCCTCCTGGGTCCTTCCATTTTGGCGCCTCTGTAGTATATAACCAATATTGAAAAGTAAATTCTAAAGAAATTGAAACAATCTAAGCTCAAGAGAAAGACCAACAATGGAGAACTCCAGAGAAAGACTAAACTCATGCTCATGGATCAATATGAAATATAGAAGAAGTCCTGCAAATTCATTATCAATGGCACATCAAATACAGAGTCCTCAATAGTTTTTTGAGTACTGATGTGGTTCAATAGTTTTCAACATCCAGTACGGAACAGAGGATGACTAAGACTTCATTTATAGATGCAAATCTCAATGTGTCTGGCAATTTATTCACACCTAATTATGGTTACCCTTCAGTACCAAGCTAAGCTTTTGCAGTGTCTTAATCTTGTGGCTAATTGCTTGTAGTTGTCCTCATTCATTATGATTACCTAGGGGAAGGAAAGCGTGTAAAAAGAAGACACAGTAGAGTAAGCTTAAGACATCAATATACAGTTTGTTCATAGCTAGCTCAACTCTGTTTCTTTCTTTTTTTGCATTTTCTTTTGTCCCATTCTGCTCTCCTATATAAAGGCACACAACGCAACAATTAGAGCAAGCTCTTTGATTCTTTGGGGTGCCTCAAATCCTCACACACTCCTTAGTTAAAAGAGCTTCACCCCCAGAATGGCAGCCCCTGATGCTTTCCTCTTGGCCTCTGTTTTTGGCATTCTAGGTACCTTGCTACTTAGTTCTTCTACCTCCTCTAACCAATCCCCCACACCCCCCTGTATTTATAATTGGGTTCCTTTTTCTTCAATTTTCTCTTGGTTTTCAATTCTAAATTCTCTCTCTCTCTCTCCCTCTATTTTCATTTTCACAGGTAACATCGTGGCCTTCATGGTGTACCTAGCGCCACTGTAATCTCTCTCTCTCTCTCTCTCTCTCTCTCTCTCTCTCATGCACATATGGGATTTCATGCATCGTCTGTAATTGTTGTATAACTTTTTGCTTGAGCTTGGATTGTTTCAATTTCTTTAGAATTTTACTTTTCAAGATTGGTTACATAACACAGAGGCACCAAAATGGAAGGACCCAGGAGGAAATGGAGGGAAAGAGTTTAGAGGGTTGGGTTTGGTCGAATGGGTAGTGATTTTTTTAACGTCAGTTTTGGCGGAAATTAACTTGAAATGGATAGATAATAACCTGAAGGACTATTAGTGTCACAAAAAACCTGTAAACCTGAAGGAACATTTGTGATAAAAAGCCTATATATATATATATATCACATAGATTTGGCACACATAGGCACTACATATTTAGACGCTAGGTACTGCTAGTCACAAAACACAAAGACATACATATATTACTTGTTGAGACTTTTTAGATTAGGGTTCATATATAATTAAAATCAAACAGTAGTAAAACGCAGGTACTCCTTCTTGGATGGCAGGTCCATGGTCTTGTAGCCCTGAGGGAACATTTTTTTAGCCTCCTCCTGAGACACAGAAGGAGATATGACCACCGGCTCGCCCGGCTTCCAGTTCGCCGGGGTTGCGATCTTCTTCTTGCTCGCCATCTGCATTGACTCCAGCCCCCTCAGCACCTCGTCCATGTTCCGCCCTGTGGTCGCGGGGTACAGAAAGCTCAACTTCACCTATAATAAACAACAAATTTCTTAGGCAACTAATCTTTGCACCAAAATTAATCAACTGGGTCACACCCTACCTTCTTGTCAGGGCCCACAATATGAAGGGCACGAGACGGAACCGGGTTTCCTGATGAGTCCTTCATGTCAGGGTCCACCATGTTAAGTTGCTTGATGATCTCTCGGGTCGGATCTGCCAGAATCGGAAACTCCACTTTCCGCCCGCACTGCATGCAGCGCATGAAAAACCAGAAGAAATGTCAAAACCCTAACAATGTAACATTTATCAATCGGTCAAGTAAAATCGAACAATCAATTGGAAACTCACGGTGCTGAAGGCTTCGATGTCCTTGATATACTCAAGGTGTGACTGGACGTCATCGCAGGACAAACCCACAAGCTTCACCCCTCTCTCTTGAAATTGCATAGCGTATTCGGCCATCTTCCCGAGCTCAGTCGTGCACACCGGGGTAAAATCGCCTACACGCATGTTACATGCAAGCAAATTAATTAAAACATAATTAAACTAAAATAAATCATTAATTATGGTATTAGCGCTAATTATACGTACCCGGGTGAGAGAAAACGATGGCCCAGCTATCGCCGATGTAGTCGTGAAGCTTGATCTTTCCATGGGTGCTCTCAGCTTCAACGTTTGGGAGTGTGTCTCCGATGGTTAGGCCAGGCATTTTCGCAGCACTTCGTTTGTAATGGATATGTTTTTTTCTCTGTGGGGGTGAGGTAAGCATATAGACAAAGCTTATAAAGAGTGCGTGGGCCTGTTGCATGCAGAGAACGTGGCTAGGGAGTTGCGGCAGTTGGCTTGGCTCCATATCATTGGTCTTGGGCTTCTGCCACGTGTCTTCTGCATGAAGTGAACGTGGCCATTTGTTTTCTGGGTTTCGAAACACATAGCCATCCTTTTCCCCGTGCTCTATCAATTGCCTTTATTATTTTAATTTTTTCGATTTTATTCTTGTAGTTTTAAATTTGAGTAATTTAAAGGTATTATGCTTAAATTGTAATGAAATCGGAAGAAATTTGACTAAATTTGTAATGTGTTAAATTGCTCGGATTTAAAATTAGTGGTATAAAATTAAAACTATGGCGACTAACGAACTATAGTAGCTAAAGGTGACTTATCCCTTTTTTTTATTAGTTTATTTCTTACTTCTTAATATAAATATTGTAATATTCAGAGACTTTACCAATGGGGATGTAGCTCACATGGTAGAGCGCTCGCTTTGCATGCGAGAGGTACGGGGTTCGATACCCCGCATCTCCATATGTTTTTAACATTTTAATTTGAAATTATGGACCGAAATAAATTGTTCATTAATTTTTAGTTCACGCCTTTCATTTTTCGGTAATTAATTTACATTTTCGTGAATATAATGATGTTTATTTCCTTTCCCGCGCAATGACTTTCGCTGTCACTCCCTCGCTCTTTTTTCGCAGCTGAGCTCGTTGAAATTAGGGTTTCTGCCACAAAGAAACTAGCTATGGAGGTCGCAGCTCAAATCGCTCAGCTGCTGAACGAGACTCTCAGCCACGATTGCAGCGCCGTCCGCACAGCGACCGAAGCTCTCGATCGCCTCTCTCAGCTCCCCCAATTCCCTTACTATCTCCTCTCCATCTCCACCGGTAATTAAGCTTACAAATCATGATTCTAAGCTGATTTTGTGTAGTTTATGGTTTCTGATGCTCCGTATAGTTTCTTTGATGTTTTTCTATGTAAAATGTTATCGAACTACTTTGAAAAATTCATGTCAATTTGTGTGCTACCTCAACACCAGGAGGTCAAGATCAAGGTCAGAAAGTTGCTGCGGCTGCATACCTGAAAAACTTCACTAGGCGAAATGTCGACTGTGATAATCCGAATTCAAAATCAAACGTCAGCAAGGAGTTCAAGGACCAGCTCTTGCGAGCTTTGCTGGAGTCCGAACAATCAGTTGTCAAAATTTTGGTTGAAGTGGTATGCATTTTTCTAAGTGCAACAGCTTAATTTTTAGTACCGAGCGTGTGATATAAGCTTTGCTTTAATTTATTGGCTCGCAGTTCTGGATCATTGTTGTTGCTGAGTTTGTTAAGCAGAATTCGTGGCCCGAATTAGTACCTGATCTGCGGTCGGCCGTTCAAAATAGTAACCTAATTAACAATGGTGCAAACTCCCAATGGAACACCATTAATGCCCTTACGATTCTTCAGACACTCCTTAGACCTTTTCAGGTACTTGGTACCTTCCCATGCATAATTCAACATAGTTAATATCTTTTTGCTTGATGTGAAAACGTGTTGCTGATATCTCTATGCTAACTTCGTACCCTGGTATCATATAGTTACATTTATCTGGTTGTCTACAGATTTTATTTCTATTTCTCCTATTTTTCGGTTTCACTGGCTTACATTTGCTTGTGTTGGGGTGATAATATATGTTATATCCCTAAGGGAAACTAACTTGGTTAAGTAGTTTATACCCGAACTTTTTCTGGCAGTATTTTTTGAACCCTAAAGTTGCCAAGGAGCCAATACCGCCACAGCTAGAGCTAATTGCAAAGGACATTCTTGTGCCCTTGTTAACTGTATTCCATCAATTTGTTGAAAAGGTTGTTGTCTTTACGCTTCCTTACCCTCATTTCCTTAACCCCCTTTGTAGTATTTTATGAGCTTACAATAATGGATTCTATATTGTATCAAATAGGGTTTGGGTACTCATGGCACAACAAATGCGGAAACAGAGAATGTCCTTCTGGTTGTCTGCAAATGCATATATTTTACTGTAAGTAAAAAATCTTCTTTATGATAAAGGGGCATTCATAAAAATTTATCTTGCTCAGTACTTTCATTCCCCCTCCACTTTTTTATTGTTTTTTGAAGCATTGCTATTTTCATAGGTGAGGTCGCATATGCCATCTGCTTTAGTGCCTCTACTACCTTCATTTTGTCATGATCTAATTGCCATTCTTGGATCTTTGAGTTTTGATTGCTTGGTTACTCCACAAAATGGGTACCTGATGAGGTTGAAGACCGGGAAAAGAAGTTTGCTCATTTTCTGCATTCTCATTACTCGACATCGGAAGCATTCTGATAAGTAATAAAGCAATGTTGAATTGAATTTGATTAGATTAAAGTTGTTGTGGTTGGTCTTTATGTTTTACGTTCCTTTATTTTTTCAGGTTGATGCCAGACATGATAAAATGTGTTTTGAACATAGTCAAATATAGCAAAGATGTTGGTGTAAGTTTTGTATTTGAATTTGTTAATTATTCATCATTTCACAGTCAGCATGCACAGTAGCGACGCTTGTGGTGTTCCAGATTCTCACTGCTAAGTCTGTTATCCAAGTTTTTTGACTTTCTTATTCTAGCTTTCTGACTTTTATCTTTCTTATCATCCATTTTTAGTTTATTGTTTTATTTTATCGAGGTTGATGTTTTATTATGTGTGATTCTAAACTTAGAGTTTCGCGCTTACTGAATTTTAATACCCCTAGTACTCTCATTTTGCTGATTTTCTTGTCATGTTAGAACTAAAAAAGTACTATTCTGTATGCAGAGGCTGGATTTTTTATCTGAGAGGATTCTTTCATTAGCTTTTGATATGATTTCACATGTTCTTGAAACAGGGCCAGTAAGTTTCCTAATTTGTAAATTTTACTATGGAATATTACCCTACACGCTTTATTCCCCCATGGGATATTTTAGTGAATAAAGATCAAGGAAGTTCTGCCAAATGTCTTGGTTAGGAAGTGGACCTTTGGATCCTCAAGTTCCATTTGTTCTTTCTTTAATGTATTCTTTTTAAATTGTAAATCAGGGATGGAGATTAGTATCCCCACATTTTTCATATCTGTTGGACTCTGCAATATTTCAAGCATTGGTAATGAATGAAAAGGTAAACTTTCAGCATGAAAAAAAAGGAAACATATATATATATATATATATATATATATATATATAAATGATTTAAGCTAGAAGTTGAACTAACTAATTCCCTATCTGGCAATGTTTTCAAGTAGGATATCTCAGAGTGGGAAGAAGATGCAGATGAGTACATACGAAAAAATCTTCCATCTGACATTGTATGGGAAGCTTATAATGATCGTATACATGATTCATTCACCTTTTCAATTACCTTTACAAATTACATCACCTCTTTTTTTTATACAGGAAGAAATCTCTGGCTGGAGGGAGGATCTATTTACAGCCAGAAAAAGCGCTATTAATTTAATTGGTGTTATTTCAGTGTCAAAGGTTGCTCCTTTGTGGTCCTTGATGAAATATTTCTGGGCATATATTTTGAAGAGCATATTTTTTAGCTTGTGTTTTAATGCCTACAGGGACCTCAATTGGGGACTTCTGCTAATGGCTCATCAGTGTCATCAAAGCGTAAAAAAAGTGAAAAGAACAAGAGAAACAACCAACGCTGTTCAATTGGAGAACTTTTGGTGCTTCCATTTCTATCGAAGTTTCCAATTCCTTCTGATGTTAATTCATCCCAAACTAAAATTCAGAATGAGTGAGTACAAAAACACATTATATAAATTCGTAGTTCTACAACATTTGTGGTGATAATTCTTTCTCTTCTCTCTTTGTTAGTATGTTCTCCCTTATGCATTGTGCGTTGTAATAATTTTTATCCTCTTCTACTAATCATTGTTTTAAATTTTCACGTGTGCATGCTTTCTCTCATTATACACCTTTTTTTCTTCTTCTGATTCTCGTACTATGACAATCACAGTTATTTTGGTGTTTTGATGGCATATGGTGGCTTGTTAGATGTAAGGTTTTTTCTCCTGTGCTTCTTATTAAATTGGTCACCTGTGGTCTAATAAGAGTCTGCAATTGAAGATTTTTAATTCTTATGTTGCGATACAGTTTCTAAGAGAGCAGCAACCTGCATACGCAACTACTCTGGTTCAAACTCGTGTGTTACCATTGTATAAATTAGCAGTGAGCCTACCGTACTTAGTTGCCACTGCAAACTGGGTTCTTGGAGAGCTTGCATCCTGTCTACCTGAAGTGAGATTTTTTCTTACCATGCCATCTCCTATGCTTGTACTTCAATTAAAAATGAGAAATTTTTATCTACGCATCACCTGCTATATCATGTTTTCTTAACCTACTTTTCCGTATACTTTCATGAAAACCACATTCTTTTCTTTGTCAAGACCCATTATTCAAAAATTTGGTCTCGTTCTCAGGAGATGAGTACAGATGTCTATTCCTCATTGCTCAAGGCATTGGCTATGCCTGATAGTGGGGATATTTCTTGTTATCCTGTGCGGGTTTCTGCTGCTGCGGCTATTATGGGACTTCTTGATGTAGGTCACAAAATCAATCCTTTTGTTGATCCCTTGTTGCTTATTTAATGATTTTATGGGTTTTTACTGATCTTAAGTCTTATCTCCAGAACGACTACCCACCGCCTGAGTGGCTTCCTCTCCTTCAAGTTGTCATTGGTAGGATTGGCAATAACGAGGAAGAGAGCTCTATTTTGTTTCAGCTTCTCAGTTCCGTGGTGGAGGCAGGAAATGAAAATGTTGTATTTCATATCCCCTATATTGTTTCAACATTGGTTGTTGCAATCTTGAAATGCATCCCCTCTGATCTGAAGCCATGGCCTCAAGTATGTGTAGATTCCTATGGCTAGGCTGGTAGTTTGTTTAACCTTATGAATAGCATGTTAACCAGTTAGGGATTGATGCACCTGCTGCTAAAAAGACAGTGAAACAGCTTTCTGTTTCATACAGTATATGGATTATCATCCAATCAGCTTTATCAAAATTGAATCATTGTGTGCTTGACCAATTTTGATCCATGAAATCATAAGCTGTACAAAATTAGTACTGCTTTTTTCATGGAATTTTTGTTTTCTTGACAATTTGTTTTCCATTTTATGCACTGCTCACTGTTTATTTTGTGTGTGCCTTTCGGTGCATGCATTGATGATATAATCCCCAACTAATCATCATTTTCTCTGGAATGTAAAAATTTGTTCCATTTACAACTATCAGTGGAATATGACTGAAGGTTGTAAGACTGATGAACTGACATTATTTATATTAGATGGTTGAAAAGGGCTTTGAAACATTAGCAGTGATGGACCAGTCTTGGGAAACTTTTACGGGTGAAGAATCTGAGGAGAATGAATCAAGTGAAAAGTGGGTATCAGGCAGAGTTACCATCGCTAGAGCTTTCTCTGCTCTCTTGCAACAGGCTTGGCTTACACCAATGCATTCATTGGTTAGTTTTATTTTCTAGTAAATTTTTGGAAAGAAACTTAGCTAGAATACTTTAGCTTTATGTTGAATGAAAAGACAAAGAACACGTGTGTTTTTTGTTATATTCTATTTCATATTTTAATATGTTTTCTTGAAACTTGTGTCTTTGGTTTGGGGCATTGAAGAATAGGTTATTAAAACTCCATCCTCTGCATTTGCTCTGCTTGTGCCTCTGTTCATTGGAAAGCATTTCTGGATTTCAGGTTGTTACATATGTTATTTTCTCTGTTCTTTTTATCAGGGTCAGGAAGGTGAGGCTCTGCCCCCTCCATCTTGCTTGGATTCTGCATCAAGATTGCTCCAATCCATCATGCTATCTGTTACTGAAAGTAATGTACTTCTAGAGCTTAAAGTATCAGAGTTGTTATTAGTTTGGGCTTATCTGATTGCCGACTGGCATGCTTGGGAAGAATCAGAGGATATGTCAGTCTTTGAGTGCATTACGGGAGTTGTCAGTCTACACAGGAAATATGAGTTGAAGAATTTTATAGTGGGACGAATGCCATCTCCTCCAGCTCCACCTGTTCCTGAACGTTCCATAATAGAAGGCATTGGTACTTTCGTAAGCGAGGCCGCTTTACACTATCCTAGTGCAACATGGGAGGCTTGCTCTTGTATTCATATACTACTACATGTCCCAAGTTACTCGTCTGAGACAGAAGGTGTGAAGCAGTCATTGGCAATTACATTTTGTCAGGCAACATATTCCCGTTTCCGAGAAGTTAAAAGCAAGCCTGGTCCTCTCTGGAAGCCTTTGCTGCTTGCTATATCATCATGCTATTTATGTTATCCTGAAGTTGTAGAGGGTATTTTGGAGAAGGATGGAGATGGGGGCTTTGAAACCTGGGTATCTGCCCTTGGACTTGTTTCCACCAGCTCTTTCAAACCTGGACTATCAACAGAACCCGAGATAAAGTTAATTGGTTAGTACATGGTAGCTTAACTTCTTAGCCAAGACTACCTGCCTATTTATTTATTTTAAAACAAATTTCCGTCATAATGAGATTAAAATTGCAGATCCATCCAACTAAAACAGAAAGAAATCAGTCGTGCTTAATCTAAACTAGCAGACCAATCTAAAAGGATCAAACTAAGGGGAACATCCTTAGAATGCTTGGAAAAAGAGGCCCATAGGAAGCAAGAAACCTTGACTTGAGCTTCCTTTGCAATATTAACTGTTATGGTATGAATGGCTCTGAAGTAGAACTTCTCCTTTTCTTGAATTGTACCCTTGGACTACCTTTCTGATATTGAAATCTAACATAGATATCTTTTGTATTACCAAGTTCATGTCCTCATGTCAAAAATCCTGTTACTTTTGGTTAGAGAAGAGGTTGAAGGTTTTGTTGGAGTTTGAAAATAGTTTTATCTTCTTTTTTTTCATCCGACACTGAGAGAGGGAGATGATCAAACAAACTTTCAACTACCACACTTAGCAGTGATAAAGTAGTTAATTATACTTGGTCACAAACAGGGGGAAATAAGAATGTGTTCCAGCCTCTGATATGATATTTTAGTTACTGTTGTGTTACATAAATTCCTCAAACCCTATAAATTGCATAACTGAGGACATGACTAATGGCTGTCAATGAATCTCAGTGCTGGCACTGGCGAAAGTAGTTGAACGGCTGTTGGTACTTGGAAAGTCATCTGGTGCTTTGTTACGGGAATGCTTTACTTCACTGATGGAAGCATCTGTACGATTAAACGAAGTGAGGAAAGAGCAGGAAGAAGACGGAGAAGAAGAAACTGAGGATGATGATGAAATCGAAGAAGAAGATGATGATGAGGTTTAACTTGCATATTATTTTATTTTATCATCTAATTTCAGGAAGTCGTCTATGAAAATTTATCTGCATGCTGAACTGCTTGTTAATGACAGAAGGCTAATATGTATGGTGCAATCAACTTATGTTAATCTATTTCATAGGTTACTCTGCCTACTATTTTTATGATTCCTGTGATTAACCCCTTCATGAAAATTTACTTTCATCATCTAAAAGAATGATAGCATTAAGAATTTTAAAAAATAATGGATAATGTTCGGGGCTGGGCTTTTTATCCATGAGTTTTCTCTCACGCATCAGATATTGGGAAACTTGACAGTATGGTTCCTTTTTTTCTCAGGATTCGGAGGATGATGAGTATGAAGAGACTGAAGAAGAATTTCTGAATAGGTATGCTGAAGCAGCTCTTGCCTTGGAAAATGGCACAGGTATCGAAGAGGGTGATATAGAAGATGAAGACCGGGAAATGGATTTTGAGCAAGGTTCAAGTTTTGTTTTAGCTGTTCACTTTGCCTTCAAGATAGCATATGGCAATTACTGTTAATCGTTTTCTAGATGCATTCGCTCACTGAAAGTTTGATTTTTGCAGGCTGCCTAGAGGAAATTGATCTGCAAAGAGTTGTATTGTCACTTCTGGAGAGATACCACCCTATTGTCATACAAGGACAGGCATTCCCGCCACAACTGATTTCGAGTTTCCTAGATGCTTTCCCTCAATGTAGGTCATTCTTCCAGCATTCTAGTTGAGGTTCCATGCCAAAGGGATCAAAAGTGGTAATTTTAAAAAATATCTTTTTCTGAAATCAATTGGTAATTTTTGACGCCTGTACCTGCTTGGGTGTGTGTTGTTTGAAATGGTTTTGAGAAATTATAGGCCTCACTTGTCAGAATTTGACTTCTTATGTTTCCCTTTGGATATCAGTAAAATCCATGGCAAAGTGATAAAATATTTCAAAGTTATAAAGAATATTGCTTAACAAATCAAGCCTACAAGATATTGAGACCAGAGAACCCAACATCTTACGGAGTTTCCCCCTCATCTGTTTGCAAAAAGCCGCTCCACGGTGGTGAAGTCTCATCTTGTGTGTTGGCCGAAGTGACAACAGTCGCATTGAGCACATGGTAAAGGGTTACAAAACATAAACACAAAGTAAGAGGCATTCTTTTCCTATTGCAACAATGATACTAATAAAACTTGCGATCTATTTATGGCATGAATGTAATCCAAAAATGGTATATGTACTACTGATACACATGGAGAAGATACCCTGCAGAGTCCTCTAAACCTGAAATAGGAAAAAAATTTGATCAAATAATTTTACTGCAATATCAAGTAAAGAAGGCAAAAATTAGTTCATCAAAAGCATTGATGGATAGACTTGTTAACATGCCTTGCTAGTGATGTTGTTTGAAAGCCAGTCCAATCCCTCGTACAAACCTTCTCCAGAAGTGGCGCATGTACTCTGGATGTACCTGCAGAAATGTGTCAACAATGATCAGGTATTTGCCCTGTGCAGAAAAATAGAGGGAGAATGACGATAGGGGCGGTTGTCTATCGACTGTACCAATGGCGTTGCCGAAGAGAATGAAGGCTGAGCTTATCTGTGATCTCAGCAGCATTCATTGCATTGGGAAGATCTTGCTTGTTTGCAAACACAAGAAGCACAGCTTCCCTCAATTCGTCCTGCTCATAAAAACAAGATAGGCTCAACGCAAACACTTGACCACTAAATCAGAATAAAATAAAGCCCTCCCCAATAACCTCGTTCAACATCCTGTGCATCTCATCTCTGGCTTCAACAACACGATCTCGATCATTGCTGTCGATCACAAAGATCAGCCCTTGTGTGTTCTGGAAGTAGTGTCTCCATAGAGGTCGAATCTGAACCCAACCAACCACCAATCAAACAAGAAGTTCTTCTCTACTTTTTGGTCAATAACAAGAAGTTCAGAACAACTTCATAAAGAAATAGTAAAAGGACCTAGTCTAAGTAAATCCAATTTATATCCTAAATTTGAACTGAACAAACATGTAAATATACAGCCAGGAAATGGAGTTTTATCCCTTCAAAAAATAATCCAATTCTGTAAGACAAATGACTAAGAGGGACTTAATCTTGGAATATAATGTATCTCACCTTGTCTTGACCCCCAACATCCCAGACAGTGAAGCTAATGTTCTTATATTCCAGAGTCTCCACATTAAATCCTGCCATAAACAATAAAAAATGTTCACCGAATACTTATTAGATATCAAGAAATTCTTCCGTGGGATAATCACACCGTCATGTGCACACGCATGGGCGGAGCGAATTAAGGCCCGCAAAAGTCACTTGACCCTTCTCACCCTTTGATAATTTGTGTTTTGTATGTGTTGCATTTGACTCAATTTCTTTCTATATTACATGACCCTTTTCATGTATTGAGTTTACACAACCAAGTACACTACAAAATCCCTCTTGGCTCTAGTAGTATCTTTTTTCTAACACAACATCACATAAAACACACCTCATAATTTCTAAGATTTCTCATGATTTATCGAATGAGTCAATCAATTAGGCAAAATTCTCACTCCCGTTGTTTAAGGTTGACCATTCTTGATAAATTTTCTGACTCCGCCACTGTGCACATGGTTTATCTATTATTACTATACACTAGATATCAATGATATATCAACCATGTTATTCACCTATATTATAATTTATGAATTAGTAACACCATGTGACGGTGTGACGGTCACGTCTAAGTACTTTAAATCACACAGAGGAGCCAAACTTCTTATTCTGTAAAAGAGAATATGCATTTGATTGATATCCATTAATTAAGAAGCATTATGTGCAAACATACCAATGGTAGGGATGGTGGTCACAATTTCGCCTAACTTGAGCTTGTACAAAATGGTGGTTTTACCAGAAGCATCAAGACCCACCATAAGAATACGCATCTCTTTCTTAGCAAACAGTCGGCTGAACAGTTTGGTGAAAGACAGCCCCATTTTGTTCTAAACAAATTATACCCACACAAAAAAAAACCAAAAAATATCAGAACAACCCCATTGAATTATAATTTATTAAACAAAGGGAAAACAGAATCATGGTTCATTCACATTTCATGCATTGATACAAACAAACCCAGAAATTGTTCATTGCATAGAGAGATTACCAAAAGAAAACATTTTATATATATATATATATAATGCAATTCAAACACAACCCAATTTGCAATCAGAGAAATACATTTTGTTTATGAAGGGAAGGTTGATCACCAAATCCTTTTTCGAATGCCGCAGATGTCCCTAATGATCAGATCCAGAATGCAAGAAGATAAAATATGAAAAACTTACGGTAGAGAGAGAGAGAGGTGTGTGGGTTTGAGGAGAGGGGCGGCCGGTCACAGCTTCCTTAATGGTTGAACCAAATTCAGATTCAGATTCAGATTCCAGTGGGAGCTCTCTCTCCCTCTCTCGCGCCAGTTTATAGCGTGCGGGAAAGGCGGACATAAACTAACGGTTGATTTAAATTTAAATTTTTATAAATAATATTTATTTATTTAATTTGGAGTTGACGTGGCGAATGATGAAGGCTGATTCTATTTTCGCACTCTTCATGCATTTCTATTCTATCCTATAGTATTTCTTTTTGAAACAAAATCTAATGGTTGAATCTTTTATCGTCTATACATTACATACTAGCCTCTCTGAGCGTGCGAGAGGCATTTTTTTTAATGACGAGCTATGGGGACTTACAAAGTTTGGTTTTTATTTTTGCAATTGTATTCTGCTAGGTGCCCGTCTCTCAGGTAATTAATGTTTGGTTTGCAAATTCTGCATTGAGGTTTAATTTTCAGTACCAGGTTTGGATTTTAAAATATGAATTTGTTTTTGTTTTAATTTATTATGCCTTAATATGTTTGTGTCATGTCTTTCATGACTCAATTGTATATTGAGGAAATTTAGATTGTTACGCAGCAGCGAATCAACACGAATCGGAAGATTGACTTGGAGAACTAAGGGATTGACTGGAAGAACTGAGAAAATTTAGTTTGTTTCAGTAATAATACTTGAATAGCTTTGCGTGTGCAATGCTTCAATTTTAATGGGTCCATTTCTCTACTTTTGGATGGTTGGGTTGGTTAACGTCCATGTTTTTCTAAACAAAAAATGTAGTTGTGCTAATAGTGGAAAGTTTCTAAGGTGAACGGTGTTGAGTTTTTTCAGTTTCTATTTCATTATCCTTGATTTTTATCCCAGTACTACAAAATTAGGAAGAAGAAAAGTAAAAGATGGTTTTTGTTCTTTCGTTCGTCGTCACATCAAAAGATTTGATTCTCTTCATAGTATAGATTAAGAAGATCGAAATCATGATCAAGAGAAAGATGTAGAAAAAAAAAACTTATTTTCTTGATATGATGATGGAGTTTTGCTGACTTTGTCATACTCTCTCAATCTTAAGTGGCTTGGCATTGTTTTCTTTATTATTTTATAATGAAATAAAAAGATCCCAATGAATTAAGGAAGAGCCCAAGATGTTCTAAGAACCATGCTATATATTATTTGTATTCAATAATATTTGTATAATATATGAATTTTGTGTGTATTATTGAACATTTTGTAAAAAAATATGTACGAACATGTTCAATACGAATATTATACATTTGCAGAACACCATGCATTGATGGGTGGTGGGGGCCCATATTGACTATCATGAGGTCTTTTCTTGTAGCTGGCATATTCATCGGTTTTTTTTTTAAATTAGGAATAAACCGAGTATAACCGTACGACTGTACTATTTTTTTTTATAAATAAAATAAATACATACTATAGCCGAACGACTGTACTATTTCTTTTTTGAAAAAATAAGGAAAAAACCGAGAATAGCCGGACGACTATACTATTTCTTTTATATATAAAAAATTAGAAAAAAACCAAGTATAGCCGTCCGGCTAGACTATTTCTATAAAAAGAATTTAAAAACCAAGTATACCCTATGTAATAAATAAATAAACCCTCCTAGTTGTATTAGTTTATACTTTATAGATATTAATTTGGTATAGCCGCGCGGCTCTATGAATAAAATACATACATGTTTTATTTAAACAATTTGTAAAAAATACGTGTATTAAATATGAAAAATACATATGTAAATGTTCAATACGAGTATTGTGCGTTTGCTGTTCAAAAAATTAACAAAAAATTAAAAACAGAGCATAGCCGCACGGCTGTAATATTTCCTTTTCTAAAAAATTAGGAAAATACCGGGTATAGCCGAGCGGCTATTCTCGGTTTTTCTTAATTTTTTGAAAAAGAAAACCGTAAAGCCGTGCGGCTGTTCTATTTTTAACAAAAAATTAAAAACAGAGTATAGCCGACCTATACTATTTCTTTAAAAAAATAAGGAAAAACCCAGGCTGAACTATTTCAAAAAAATAATTAAAAAATAGTATCGTCGGGCGGCTGTACTATTTCCTTTTTTTTTAAAAAAATTTAAAACCAAGTATAGCCGAACGGTTATACTATTTAATTAAAAAAATTAAGATAAAAGGACCCTCCTAGTTGCATAAGTTTATACTTCATAGATATTAATTTGGTACAGCATCGTTGCTATACGAATAAAATACTGTTTGGGCCTAAATTGGCATACCCAACATAAGAAAATAAAAGCCCATCTCAGTTTTGGCAGCCACCAAACACTTCTTTGAAATTGGGCCATAAATACACATTCAGCCCAAAAACAGTGAAAACCTCAGCCCAACATCAAAGAACCCACATGACCATCAGAAATGGAGAAGTCAACAATTTCAACTATCACAGAGTTGATTGGAAATTTTAAAAAGAAAAGGGCAGTGGCTGGCAAACTAGGAAGAGACATCTCTGAAAATCTGTCAGCCAAAGATCAAAATCCCTCTTATATATTCAAAGATATTGTTTCCACTCTAGAGGGGCACCATCTTTTAAGGGATGTGCAAGCTATGTTTTCAGAAAGGAGATAAGTAGGAAAGAGGGGATTTGTTCAAACTGAAGAAATCAAACTAACCATCACGGTTGAAATCACACAAGGGGCAGTTAAATTGGGAAAAGGAATTAGGCTTTCTCTTAAAAATAGGGAAGTGATCTCTAAGATTGATTGATGAAAGCCTATCTGCCATAATTTAATTAAAAATCTTCCCTCTCTTATATCTCTTCGTAGATCTTTGAGAAGACTTGCCGCCCATTATTTTAAAAAGAAAGAAAACCCTGCCCCTATGCATTTTTTTTATAAATACAAGAGAGAGTGAACAATAAGAAAAAACACAATCAAAATAAAAAAACAAAACACACTTAATTGATCAATCAAACAAACAACAAGGAATCAACCAAAAGCTTACTCAAACTCCAAGAGAAGCCAGCTTTAGATCAGAATTCCCAAAGTTCAGACTTAGAAAATAAGTCATTTAAAACGAGATTTCTCTCGTTACAAATTTGGTTCAGCAAAAGCCAAGACAGGTAGAGTTTGAGTTTTTTCCAAAACATGAAAACCTCAACAAATTTCACAGTGCAGTCCTTAATACATCAAGTCCTCAAGAACAACCACTTCTGGCCCTTCAGAATTGAAGAAGCCGCAGTTCTGTCCACTCAAAAGCCTCGCAAAGCTTGAAGTAGATCAAAGCTCTGCCAAAATTGAACTTTGGTATCGATTTACTGTTGAAGCTTAGCAGTTGAAGTTGTTAACAGTTCAATCCAGCCCAGACATATCCAGTCCAGCCCGGATCAGAGCCCTCTGTCCAGGCAGAAATGGAGTCCGAATTGTCTTTTAATCTTTCTAGCGTTGATATGTATGTCCATAGTTTTGTAAAGGGCAGTTCTACCTAAAACTGTCCAATTTTTATCAATTATTCTAGCCAGAACAACTATTTTTATACTGAGATAAATTATGAAAGTCCTCACCAGCCTGAGGCATGAAAAGAACTTACTTGAGAGATATTCCTCACCCAAATTCACAATCATTTGTTTTAGAAATCAGTAACTTGGGGCGCAAGCTATATATTTTCTAGAAGAAGTCTGCTAGAGTCTTCACTGCTAGCACTGGCACGCTTATACGCCAAAGAAAGCTGTCTTGTTGACCAGTCAATGGTTTTCAAGGCAGTGGGGAACTTTGCCCTTCCATATCAGGAGTAAACACAAAACGGGGTGAACAAATACATACATGTTATATTTCTATAAAATTTTGGCAACTTACAAGTTAAAAGTGCAGCCACTATATAATATTTTAATATATATTATTTGTATTCAATAATATGTGTATTACTGAACATTTTGTAAAAAAAATACGCATATTAAATATGAAAAATACGTACGCACATATTCAATTAGAGTATTGTAAGTTTGATTTTTAAAAAATTAGGAAAAAACCGAGTATAGCCACGCAACTATACTATTTCTTTAAAGAAAATTAGAAAAACCAAGTATAACCGGCTGGCTATCCTATTTCTATAAAAATAATTTTAAAAAACAGAGTACAGCCGTGCGGGAATACTATTTAATTAAAATAAAAGATAAAAGGACCGTCCTAGTTGCATTACTTTATACTTTATATATATTAATTTGGTATAGAAGGGCGGATATATGAATAAAATACGTACATGTTTTATTTCTGAAAAAATTTGGCAAATTACAAGTTAAAAGTTCGGCCACTATATATTATTTGTATACAAATAATATGTAAGTTTTGTGTGTATTATTGAAAATTTTGTAAACAATATGTGTATTAAATATGAAAAATATGTATGTACATGTTCAATACAAGTATCGTATGCTTCGCTTTTTAAAAAATTAGGACAAAACCGAGTATCGCCGCTCAGCTGCACTATTTTTATTAAAGAAAACAGAGTATAGCCGGACGGTCGTACTATTTATTTTTAAAAAAAATTAGGAAAAAACCGAGTATAGACGCGCGGCTATACTATTTCTTTATAAATAAAAAATTAGAAAAACCGAGTATAGCCAAACGGCTATAGTATTTCTTTTTCTTTTTTAAATTAAGAAACAAGGACCCTCCTAGTTGCATTAGTTTATACTTTATAGATACTATGGTATTTTCTGGTATTTTGAATATTTCACCATTCTCTGTCTTTTGCTTTATATATATAGATTAATTTGGTATAGCCGCGCGGCTCTACGAATAAAATACGTACATGTTTTATTCGGCAAAATTTTGGCAAATTACAAGTTAAAAGTTCGGCCACCATATAATATTTTAATATATATTATTTGTAATCAATAATATGCATATATTATGTGAATTTTGTGTCTATTATTGAACATTTTGTATTAAAAAAAAATACTTCTATTAAATGTGAAAAATATATATGTACATGTTCAATATGTTTGATTTTTTAAAAATTAAGAAAAAACCTCATAGAGCCGCCCGACTGTACTATTGCTTTAAAAAAAATTGAAAAAACCGAGTACAGCCATTTTAAAACATTTAAAAAAAGGTCTCCTAGTTGCATTAGTTTATACTTTATAGATATTAATTTGGTATAGCTGCACGACTATACGAATAAAATACGTACATATTTTATTTCTGTAAAATTTTGGCAAATTACAAGTTAAAAGTTCGGCCACTATATAATATTTTAATGTATATTATTTGTAATAAAAAAAATGTGTATTATTGAACATTTTGTAAAAAATATATGTATTAAATATGAAAAATATGTGCGTATATGTTCAATACAAGTATTGCACATTTGCTTTAAAAAAAAATTTGGGAAAAACCATGTATAGCCGCACGGCCGTACTATTTCTTTGTAAAAAAATTAGGAAAAACGCAGTATAGCCGGCCGGCTATACGTTTCTTTATAATAAAAAATTTAAAAACCGAATATACGAGTATAGTCGCACGGCTATACTATTTAATAAAGAAAATTAAGATAAAAGAACCCTCCTAGTTGCATTAGTTTATACTTTATAGATATTAATTTGGTATAGCCACATGGGTATACGAATAAAATACGTACATGTTTTATTTATGCAAAATTTTACAAATTACAAGTTTAAAGTTCTACCACTATATAATATTTTAATATATATTATTTATATTCAATAATGTGTATAATATGTGATTCGTGTGTATTATTGAACATTTTGTACAAAATGTGTATTAAATATGAAAAATACATACATACATGTTCAATACGAGTATTGTACGTTTGCTTTTTAAACAGAAAATAAAAAACAGAATATAGGCGTTCGGCTACACTATTTTTAAACAAAAAAATATAAAACAGATTATAGCCGCTCGGCTATACTGTTTCTTTTATAAAAAATTCTCTTTGAAAAACCTAGAATATTCCGAGTATAGAACATAAACGAGTAGTGTCTGTTGTGAAGGATCTAACTGAGGGGAAGAAGACCGGGGCAGATATGTGGTCACAGAGCCAGAGGCAACCTGGGTTTACAAATATACTTCAGAAGTTTTGTGGGTCTGTATAGAGGTAGTGGCACGGGTAGTTTTAAAGCACAAGACAAGACTCATTCCAATGTAATTGAATTGGCAGAAAATTCAAACCCAAAAAACTCTAATTGAGTTGGCAGAACATAAAATCCAAAATCCAACTCAAATTCATACAGTTGATAAACAAACTATGAAAAACGGGCATACATATTTACAGAGCTAAAGGGCAAAAGGAAACCCAGCCTTCCCATTCAAATATAACAGGGAAGGAAACAACATGAGAAGGAATCCCTTCGAAAAAAGGCTTCCTATTGTAAATAGGCCAACTCTGTCTGTGCCCCAAACAAAAAAAAAAAAAAGGAAGAACCTGGTATCAATCTCCCCTTACTCCAGGAAACAAACGTTACAGCAAAGTTGCACCTTTTCCAGCTCAAGATTTCATTCTCGCCTTACAGATAATCTCTCTGATAAATTGGTGACCACAATAGAAAACACAGTAATTAGTTGGCCCCGTTTAATGACAAGCATAGATTCTGTACAGAACCAATATACCAAGACAAATGACCACACATGAAGAATTCTATTGATGTATCTTTGTAAGTAAAAAGAAAAAAAAGGGGAAAAGCAACCATTCATCTAGAAATCATAGGAAAGGTAATTCTGAACTCTTTGTCAGGGAAACAGATGTGTCTCGGGCCAATATCAGAGAAACAGTTTTGGTGAATCAAGTGGTTTATTCATACCACCTCAATTGGTTTTCCTTACGTTATTATTATTAATAGGTGTCACTTCCAAATAATTCTCTACTACTTAGTTTTTAATTTTTCCTTTTCCAATCGCTACTCTGCCCCATAAAGAATAGCTTCGTAATGAGAATGTGTAAAACTTTTATTTCAAGCTCTCTAATGCCCTTTTATTACATAAGATACCACTAGCTCATCGTTGATCTTTTAAAATGTACCATATTCATAAAGGTAATAACATAAAATTTGAAGTTTGCCTCAAAGTCATGAACTAAGAAACTACTGCAGATGACAGCTAAAAGGCAAGTTGCATATCCATGTTGATTAAGTGTCCTAATGAGAGAACAAAATCCCTAATTTCATCAGCCATGGTCAGACTTTCAATTTTCAAGCATTAAAAAATAAAATTAATTTGGAAGCTAACTTACTTATTATTTCATAAGTAACGATCATTGTAGTTCCATAGAGTGACATATTTAAGAACCGTGGACCAAATCCTCTATAAAAGCCCCGCCATCCATCCTCTTTAAGGAGTGCTTTTGCCGTCTTCAATACTGATGGTCGTCCAACACCATAATTATCCATGACCTTCAAGTAACATATCAAAGAATTAGCCAAATGACTTTTTTTTTTGGCTTATTATCACAAAACGTCCCTAAGGTTTACGAAACTATCATATTGCATCCTTAATGTTTTTTTGTGTCACTTTTGGTCCTCAAGGTTAGTATGTGCAATCAAAAATGGTCCCTGCCGTTAGGTTCTGTCAAAAACTCTGTTAGTTTGTTGACGTGGCATACATATATATCACAAAACATCCCTGAGGTTTACACACTTATCACAAATGGTCCCTACGAATTTTTTTTATTTTTTAATTTAAAATTCATAAAATTTTGGTTTTCTTTTTAAAATTATTTATAAATGAAAAAACCATTTATGGAAGGATTTTAATCTTAAGAACCATTTATGAACCCTAAACCTTTAGTTTTTTTCATTTTTAAATTTTATGAATTTTAAATTATTTTTTAAAAACTTCATTAGTTTGTTGATGTGACATATATATGGAGCCCACAACTACAATAATATAGTGTCACATGTATTTAAAATTTAATATATATTTTAAAATAATTATAATTCATAAAATTTTAAAAAGAAAACAAAAATTTTATGAATTTTAAATTTAAAAAATTAAAAAATTTCGTAAGGACCATTTGTGATAGGTGTGTGAACCTCAAGGATGTTTTGTGATATATATATATATATATATATATGCCACGTCAGCAAACTAACAGAGTTTTTTTACGGAACCTAACGGCAGGGACCATTTGTGATCATGCATACTAACCTTGAGGACCACAAATGACAAAAAAAAAACATTAAGGATGCAATCTGATAGTTTCGTAAACCTTAGGGACGTTTTGTGATAATAAGCCCTTTTTTTTTTTAAGCAGATAACTTATTTCTTATTTAAGACTGTAGAAATGTAATAGAAACAATGGCTGCAGAGATGGAACAGAAACGGACGTTTATAAAATTTACAGTTTTGCACTAAACTACCTGAAGTCGTGTCTTGACTGTGTCAATGGGAGTAGTTATAACGGAGGAACAAGCACCCGCCATCATGCCTGCTGCAGCCTGAACTGTCACCATCTCCATATGAGATGGTTTCTTCTCTGCATCATCGGTATAGCCCAAGCTCCTACAATAACAAAAAGGAAGTCTGATAATTAGACAACAGATTAGGCTGAAGTTTTGGAACTGCTAGAATAAAATTGACCAGCATTAAATTATGTACACCTCCAGATGATGTGCTGGGCAGAACCATAGGCACCCCACCAAAGTGCAGATGCTGGCGACTGGGTCACAGCTGTTAATCCAAAGCCTCTATATAAACCACGAAGACCTTCAGCCTTTATCACTTTATGTATGACATCAAATGGTCTGTTGCAGGATGTGGTCCCAGGAAGTCCTTGAACCATTAGTCTCTGGCAAATCTGAATATGCACAAGTATAGTATAGTGCAGATAACATAACAGGTACATTCAGCACATAATATTGAAAAACAGAACTGCTTTATCAGCACTAATGAAAAGCCAAAACAATAATGAGTACAAATACAATGATTGCATGGTAAAATCTCAAAGCTCATATTGAACTGAACCCCAGCATCAAAGATCACAAGTTTTCTACTTTTATCCTACATACACAACTGTCACTTAAAAGGTTTTGTGTTTCGATCAGCCTACAAAATTAGGTCAAATGCAAGAGTCTTTTGAGCCTGTTAAGCCATAAAGCAACCATCCAACACATGACATAATGGCATCGGATTTGCAAATGGGGAATCATATTCACTATTTCTTGTAGGAGAACAGCAATTAAGGAAACTGAAGGTTTCATGTGCTAAGTAAAATACTGCAAGGTGGAAGTGGTGTATACGGCAAACCTACTGTCATAGGGAAGCAAAAGTTGTTGGTTTTGGGGACAGATACTCATCTCTTAGCAGGATATTAGAGTTGAACATAAAGAGTTATGCAGTTTCGTGACAGCATCTCCAGGATATTTGTTTTAAAGCCAGTAAAAGCTATGCAAACATAACCTGAAAACAGGCTATTTCATTTTCTTCTGTATTCCAATACACCATTTCTTGTCTTGGTTAATAAACAAAAACATATATAATAGGAAGCGAGAACGAAAGGGTTTACCTACCACATCCAAGGGGACATAGTATACACAAGAAACTAAATTTGAGAACATGCCCGCCACCGCATTTGCAATTCCAATACGCGTAGCCTCAGGCATGTCTAGATCTTCAGTGTATTTCAACATCATATGTTTTGATACTTCAAGTGATGTCAAAGCCAAGACCCTACCAGGCAACGATCCAATGGCAGAAGTGCCAAAACCTCTGAATATGCCAGGGATGCCATCACTCTTTAATATATGTCTAAATACTGATATTCCACCCATGTGAGAGAATCCAGAACCAGCTACCTGCATTCTAGTCTTTACAACTGATGTTGGATGTAGTAAGGCTGACTGCGCTGTGAAGAGAATAGCCCCAATAATATGAAACCTTGTCTTGTCCAACCTACATTGAGGTGAATAAATTTTAAAAGAGGGTCAGTTCTTCTAATCCATATTAAAATATCATTGTAACATACCCTCATGTCTCCATTGGGGAAAAGAAACATATTTAGAAAATGACTGTGGACCGTGGTTGTGTTCAGTTCTCTTTTTCCAAGAAGAAAAGAGAGGGTTTTGGGTGTTTTGTTTTAAGTATGATAAGGATCCTACCTAAGTTCATTGTCATTTCAATAGGCTTACTGCGCAGAATGCAAAGAATTACAGATAGAAAAATCAAACCTCAGCACGAACCAAACAAAGGAGAAAAAAAAAACTTCATACATTTTACCACCGAAACAGCTTATAGACAATACGTAAATCAAAAGAGCTGGCCAGCCACAGCAGCTTTGAATCCAGCCATCTAGACTGAAATTTGTTCTTAAATATGCAATAAACTGACATAAAAATGAGTAATGCAACTTGCCCAAAATCAGTATGATGATTAAATCAGGACTAACATAAACTGTTTAACATTCCAACATAATTTCAACTCAACAATGGTTCTCATTGACAATCTGCTAAACTTTGTTCATTACAAGAGGACATTACACACGTAAATACACACAGCTGTTAACCCAGTAAGACCCAGTTAAAAAGAAACCATAAAGAAAAGGGCATAAAAAAATTAGTGTTCCAAATTCTGCCTAAAATAATCATATCATTTTAAAGCATGGAAAGAAATGAAAACAGAGTGGCGAAAATGAAATGGGGAACCAAAACAAAGAAAAAGGCAAAAGAGAGGAATGGAATGAAACCTGTCCCAGTTGATGTCAGTGTCAGCAAGAGCCAACTCTGGCACGGTCACAGCCTCAGTTTCCACCGCCATGTTTTCTTCTTTCCTCCAATCTTTTCTAGTTTTTTCTTTTCTTTTCCGCGCACTGTTTTTCAAGTTTCAAGTTTGAAGAGAAGGTTTTAGTTACAAATTTATCAATGAAAGTTGTGTTTTGAGAAATGGAATTCCCAGCTAAGTTTATGTGCTTAGACCGCCTTCCTGCTGCTCTCCTTTGGGTTCTCCTGCAACTGTGTAATTACGCTTCTTCCCATACACAATTCATTCCATTTCAATTCCTGGGTCCTTCTCCAAAATACATTTACTATACGATTCTTCTTATGGGCTGTTTTTTTCCTTGATCAAGATGGGCTTTCTCATTTCAGCCCAAACATTATTTAGTTTCGGAGGCTATTAATGAAATCCATTGAAGCCCACGTAAAGTATGTGACCAAGTCAATAACAGGTGACTTTGTTAGTTGTACCCTTGAGCTACGTGCTTGTTATTGGATTTTACCATCCTTGTTTGTCAGTTGATTGAATTCCCTATAATAATAAAAACTTGTGAGTTGCAAATTTTAAAAATACAAGTATATCATTTTGTAGAAATATGTATATATAAAAAAAGCACTACGTTATAAATCAAATTTGAAGTGTCCAGGGACAGACCTATGGTATGTACAACTTGGGCTATATAGCCAGGGACGGACTTAGGATTTGAAAATATGATGGGTTAAATTTATCTTACATACAAACTTAGAAAACTTGACGGTACAGGTGAATTTCGTTGAAGTATGAATTTTAAGGTCAATTAGCAATTACACGATAAACTTCTCCATGAAAATAACAGAATTGAAAGCATTTATAATCCATTACAAAAGAAGAAAAAAAAACTGAACCATTTTAATCCATCCAAGCCAACTTGGAAAATACAAATGAGAAAAAAGTAGCCAAAATTTATAAGGAAAAAAAAATGAATTGACGTTTTATTTTCAAAAGAAAAGGTTTTTTTTTTTTTTTTTTTTTTTGTTTTTTTTTTGAAAAAACAAAGAGTAAAGGATGTCCTCTACGAATGTGTGTTTTATGAAAAAGGGCAAGTAATAAATATTAATTAACTATATAAAATTAAAATTAAAATATTTCTATGGGTGGGATGGGGTATGTCGAGGTGTGCTTTGGTGGGCTGAGTATTAATATTGAACTATAAAATATCAAGTTGCCCCGGCTATAGCCCATGTTAGCATGGACGTAGGTTCGTCCCTGGCTACAGCCCATGTGAGTTTTTTTCTTTTCGTATAGTTAGTGTTAATATTAACTGTTAAGCATATATGATGAAAACGGGGTATAAGCCAGTTCCAATCCAAGCGCCTGCCACAACCATCGACCACCCAACCCAAACGCCATCTACAACCACCGACCACCCAAGCACCTGCAATCAATCCAAACCCTCATAGTCACATCTACGAGTAGTAACCCCAATCCAGCATTGCCATCAGTTCTTGTCACTTTTGGTGAGCATCGATTGGAGACAACAACTTCGCAGCTTGAACTATGGGCTGTGGACGACAGCGACTGTGAGACGATGACAACTGCACAAGCATAGGGAGAAATAGAAGACGGAGTAGATTGAGAATAAGCAAAGCAAAAAAAAAAATTCGAAATTAAAAAAACAAATAGACAAATTTTTGGGAAGAAAAAAATAAAGGAAAGAGAAAAATAGATTGAGAAGAAGAGGCAAAGGAGAGAGGCTGGATAAAAAGAAGCAAGCCATGGGAGGAAGAAGAAAATAATGAGATGCAGAGAGAGAAGAAAAATCTAATAAATAATAATAAATTCACTTTAATGATCTGTTTTTAATAAATTAACAAAATCAAAAAAATTAAAAAATATAGTCTTAGTCTAAGCATACACTAAATACGGTACAAGTGTTATCTAGCTTAGGCCAAGCCAAGTCAATCCAAGATAGTCTTTGATCATAATCCATGCCAATACAGTCATCCGTAACGAACGAGCCCTAAGAGTTTAGCCAAGTCTAAAATCTAACAGTTTAGTAAGGTAAATCTAGCACACCCCATTTTAAAATCCTGAGTCCGTCCCTAGAAGTGTCAACACTTTTAACCATGTAAGTTGAATAAATAAAGGACATAATATATAAATTGCAAATTTGTAATCCTAATTCATTTATACATAGCTTCATTAACCCTCATGTGCCTTGCCAAATGAGCGCTTATAAGAACATAAGTTAGAACATATATAACTCCACCAATCCTCATGCGCCTAGCCAAATGAATGCTTATATCATTAAGATCCTAAAAATAAGTACATATGTTATAACATAAGTATATTAATAACATCACATTACATCCACAATGGGAATTTTTGTTACTTGAAAGTATGTAGTAAAAATGAGTGGATTTATGAAGCTTTATATCATAAAAAAAAAAAAAAAAAAAAAAAAAAAAAAAAAAAAAATAAAAAGGTGAGAAAAGTTTCAGCCGCTGCCTTCCTTGGGTCGGTGCCCTCCACCCCTATGCTCCTCCATTTCACCCCCTTCCCTCCACCCTTCTACTCCTCACCCATTACCTACAAACCCTCCCCATCTCTCCTCTCCTCCCTTCCTCTCTTCTTTTATCATCTCCTCTTCTCCGCTCTTCCACTCCTTGATGTTTTTACAAACTTATGGCTAGATTTTGGTGCTTGGCAGGGACGAAGGCACGTAGGGACTAGTGCAGTCCCTGGCCTCCACTCAACTTTTTTTTTCTTTTAAATTGTAATATGTATAATGTGTTGCTGTTATTGAATAATCTATATTAATTAATATGTTTATTTTATCACGTGGGCTAGCAGCCAAATCCTTTCCACCAAAGGTTTGTAGCTCTTAATATTATATATTTACCCTTTTACAAAAATTGATAAAAAAAACCTAACCCATTTTATTCATTTCTTGGAGATACACAAACAGCAAAGCAGACTTTCTCAATGCACTGCCTGTGAGTTTTTCTCTCAAACTCCATATTAAACTATCAAGTTTTAACTAGGTTAATTTATTCAATTAAAGTTTTTTTAGTAGTTCTCTTTTTTATTTTTTAGTTCATGAAATTTTGATTTTGATTTTCTTCTTTTTATTGATTTTAATAGGTCTTTCAATTTATGGATGAATGATTGCTTCATTGCATATATTAATAGAGACATTTTTAGTAGTATAGATGACGAGGTTGTTATGCAACGATTTCAAAATATGAAAACTCATCAAGAACAATGATGATTGTAATGAATACATATGATTTTTGATGTTTTGGTATGTCTTGTGAGTTCAAATTTTTTATTGTTTATATTTTGTGAGAGGCCCCCACACACATGAAATTCTGGCTTCGCTACTGGTGCTTGGGCTTCTTGTGTAAGTTTATTGGTTGCTTAGATGTTTTGGGGACGATGTGGTGACAAATTAGTTTATTTATTTAATTTATTTTTGTGTGTTGCAATTTTTGAGTTGTAATAAGTGCATCAACACTTTTTGAGTTTGTTGTATCTTGTAGGTTTTTACTTATGATAGTTTAAATATTGTAGTTGTAGTTTTGCATGCTCATACATTTTTCTGGTTTTTCTAGGCTTATGTCTTTAATGTCATAATTTCTTGTAGCCATATGTGGCTATGAGCGGAGGTTGTGCACTTGTTGTTGTGAGTAATGGCGTACCCATGAATTTTTATAGGAGTAGACTAAAATAATTTTTTTTACATGAGATATATTATAAACCTTTTTTTTTATCTTGAAACAAAAATGTAAATGAAATTTTATAAATCAAGCAAGGCCACATTGCGAACAAATATAACACAAAGAAGTACAAAATATAAATAAAGGTTTTTTAGGTTTTAGACATAAAAAAATTTTCACTTTTGAAAAAAGCCAAAGCTTTTTCAAAAAAGACAAAAAAACCGCTCAACTTTCAAATCAAAGACATGCAAATGTATTGGATTCCTTAGGAAATCTAAAAATAAATAAGGGCATTTTTGTCCATTTTTGCTTCTTTTAAAATTTTTCTCTCTCCTTTTGCTTTTTCTAAAATGTCCCGTATACCAAATCAAACACATTGTTCAACCACTTGAGGTCCGAGTTGAGTAAGGTCCTTAGGAATTGAAGTATCAACATTAGATGCAAAAAGTGTATCATTGTTATTGTTACCACTTTTTTTGAAGAATGAATAAATCGTTTTTCCTCTCTTTGCCGGTTTATTATCATCATGTGACATGATATCCTAACAAGAAATATTAGACACCAAAAATCATATATACTAATTAATAACTTGAGTTGCAAAAATAAAACATATATCAACAATCCCCAAAAAATTTCACCCAAACCCTAAATCATAAAAACTCAACAACAACAATTAAAATTGGAAATTGAATATAAAACAAAGAGAGAAACTTACCAAGATTGAAGAACCCACTGAAGATAGGTTGATACAAATTTTTAGATGGGGATATCTATTTCTTCTAGGCTCTCAAAGTTCAAATAGGACATCTTGGGTGGATAGAAGAAAAATTATGATGTTTGCTTCTAGTCAAATTATATAGGTTATGGATTGCATGTTTACTATTTCTTATATGCTTCAAGAATGAGCTTATTTCTACATAGAGGGCTGGGCTTATTTTACATAGACTACAAAAAAATTCAGCATTAGGCTGGAGCCTACTCCAGCCCAAGTGTAAATATGTTTGTGGTTGCGAGTAGATTCCTCCATATTTGAATTAACCATTTGTGGTTATTGTGTTTCCATATTTATAGTAACTATTATCTCGTTATTTGTATTTGTATTGGCATCTATGACTTACCGTGTTTAGACTTCAATTATAAATGCAATTTATCACATTTCTTAAAAAAAATTAATTAATTAATTTTTAATCTAGAATTAAAAAAAATAATGGATAGTTGTGTTCTATAAAAATAGGACTCATTATCTAATTTTGTTTTTTAATTTTAATATTTTTAATATGAAAAGTGTGAATTTTTACCATATTATCCTTATTTAATTAATAATTTTAATTATTAATATTTACATTAACCAATGACATTTTCTAGTATTTTAGCAATCCCATCCAAATTTTGGGAAAAAAAGAAAAAGAAGACAAATTTTTTGAAGAGAACTATAATTTCATTAATTGTTTTATAACTATAATTTCCTAATCAGGATTGGTAATCTCCGACCAAAAACAAATCAGTATCAGAGATCAATCACATCCGTCAAATATCAGTGTCTCACACCACGCACAGAATCCACTCCATCCGTTTCTAGCAGGCCCATAGGTCACCACCCAATAAAATACATCTGTCCACAGGCAATTAGACATATAGAATGGATATTGGAGGAGGGTTTACCGTCGTTTCTGGACTGTCGATGCAGGCGATAGTTCCCCACCATAACCCTACAACGAAATTCCATGCCCCTTCCTCACAACTCATATTAGCTTTTCCCGGAAAATTTTTCTTTTGTTTTTCGGGAATCTCTTCCTTTCTTAGTTTCTAGTCCCAGCCACAGAGGACAAGGAGCAAAACGTTTAGGGTTTTACATTGCGTTTTCACATCGCTCTCGGATTGATTTATATACAGAGAAATTAAGTTTTTCGAAGTTATTCAACATCTTCGACGAGGTACGTGAACTTTTTAGGGTTTTCTGATTCGCAATTAACTGCTTTATTTTACTCCGTTTTCAATTATCGGTCTTTGAATTTTCACCTCGTTTGAGTATGCTCTGTCGTTGAACGTTTAGGATGATATTTTGTTATTTGAAAAATTATTCTGGGGTTTATTTTGGTTATGATGCTTGTTTGTTGGTTTCTGAGGAGTGAGAAACTGTTCTTAAAGTAATAGGAAGAATTAAATCTCTGAACATGGTATATTTTGGGTCACAGAGACATACTTTCACTTAATTTATATTACCTTAGCTTAGTAATTTCAGAAGACTGAACAATTATTTTGCTTTTCGTTGGAGAGAGTGAACTGTGGGATAATCTAAGGTTGTTCCCAACCCCTGGGTGATTGGTTGTCTTAGTTTTTTTCTTCTTTTTCTTCTGATTAATTCGTGGAATTTGTGAAGTGATAGATTGTATGAGGTTTAGAGCTTGCAATGTCAATGTTCTGATGGAATGGTTTAATGTGATTGTAGATCAGTATTAGGCATGGCAACAGCAGAGCCAGCTGGTCCACGATATGCGCCAGATGATCCTACACTTCCAAATCCTTGGAAGGGTTTGATTGATGGTAGCACGGGTTTGTTATACTACTGGAACCCTGAAACCAACATTACCCAGTATGAAAAGCCAGCTTCTTTGCCTCCACCTTTGCCACCCGGCCCACCTCCTGCTACTACCACACCAAAGCTGGCTGCAACTTCCGTTCCTCATTCAATGCCACCAAATGGAGTGGTGTCTCAGGATGGCCCGCAGATAACACAAGCTCCACAACAGCAGGGAACGCAAGTGGGCCAATTTTCTCAACAGCATGGACATCTAATGACACAACAGATGAATCCCCTTGTGACATCATTTGCTCAACAGCAGGTGGCTCAAGCTGGGCAACAACAAGGTTCACAATTGGGACAGGCCATGCAAAAGCATGGGCAAATGATGCAGCATCCAAGTCAGCAAATGCCCCAGGCACAAGTGCATCAAGGGCAGCAAATGCCTCAGCAACTGGGGCAGCAAACACCACAGAGTCAAGGTTCACAAATGGCTCAGGTACAAGTGCACCAATTTGCACATCAGCAACTGCATTATACGCCTTATCAGCAAAGCATTCCTCCCCAAGGACAGCAAAGTTCACAGCAGCAGACTCTGCATAGCGCACAAGGGCAACCACTGGCAAATCAACAAGAATATAAAGCCACATTCCACCAGAGGGAGGACGATGATTTTCAACAAAGAAATCAAGTTGGTTTTTCTCCATCCCGGTTTCAACCAGCAGGTGCCTCATCTGTGCAGAATCTTCCTACTGGGACCAATTCCGTACAAATGCCACAGAGGGCTGTACATCTTGGTCAACCCCAACAATTTGGTGGCCCTTTGGGCAGCATGCAACATCCTTCGTCTTTTAGTCACCTGCAGCAACCAGGGACTGATTTGGTTCACCATCAACATGGCTCTAGGTTCCAAAGTCAAATGGACCCCACAATGATACATAGTCAGCAGTCTAATGCACCTCCTGTTGGATTAAGAATGGGTCATGAAAATAATTTCCACGGTAGAGGTGGGAATGACTATTACTTTAATAGTAATAATGAAGTGCCAACAGGTCCTCAGCAGCCCAAGCTTGCAGCTATTCCGGTGGCAAGAAGTCAGCAGGTATCTTTGAATTAATTTAACGTTTCTTTTCTGTTTCTATGTATGCTGATTATATTTAATTTCAATGTTTGAATTTTAACTGATGTCTAATGTTGTCGTGCCACTTCTTTCAGGAGATGAGTATGAGTGGTGGCCCATTTCAAAATGCTGCACCTGGTCATGCCAGTGCATTGAATACCATGGCAGGTCATTCTGTGCATAACTTGTTCAGTCATGCAACAGGTGGTCCACCATTCCCAAATAATTCTCTGGTGAAGTCTCCTTATGTCGGATCTACAAGTGTTACTAGTCTCACACCTGTTGAAGTTTATCGTCAGCAACATGAAGTTACTGCAACGGTGTGTGTTTCTGCTTCCTTGGGTGTTGTTTTTGTGAATGTGGGAATGTCCAATGAATTTATTTTGAGCAGCATGTAATATGTATTCGAGGAGATGTGTACAAAATTGTATTGGCAACAATGTTGCTGCCCTTTTTGTTCTTTGCTGAGAAATGGTGCTCCATTGTTGATGCTTTATGTTTGCATTTTAATTGCATAGGGTGACAATGTTCCTGCACCATTCATGACATTTGAAGACACTGGTTTTCCTCCTGAGATATTGAGAGAGGTAATTTAATTGTGCCTAATTGTTTTTTCTTTTAATATAAAATAACCATTATGAGATCCATGCCATTCCATTTTTGTATTATTGTTTGTTTTCTACTTTTGAACTCATCAGTTCTCACTTGTCGCAGGTGCGATATCTGCTCCGGAGGAGGAGCATATGTCGTACGCTGCACTGCTATTGGCACACTTACACTTGCAACAACTATTCTGATTTTTGGAGGCTGCAAAATGAACTGTTGGAGCCTTTCTTGTGCATCTTCTAGAAGGGTGGTTGGCCCTTCATCCAAATCACACCTTATGTGACTGGGATTTCTTGCTTAATGGCTCCACCTCTTATGTCTTTATGCCCTCTTTTGTTGCCTCACGTTGCTTCTGTAAGCAACCATATACCCATGGGCCTTTTTGTCATCTTACTATTCTATTAATAAACATATTATGATGTTTGGTTGTAGTCTATCCTCTCCATTAAACATTCTTAACTTTTTGCTGATTACTTAGACCTATGTTCTTGTTTCAGATTTATTCTGCTGGGTTCGCATCTCCCACACCAATCCAGGCACAAACATGGCCAATTGCTCTTCAAAGTAGGGATATAGTGGCAATTGCAAAAACTGGTTCTGGAAAAACTTTGGGATATTTGATGCCTGCCTTCATTCTTCTTAGACAATCCCGTAATAATTCTCAGAATGGCCCAACAGTCTTGGTTTTGGCCCCAACACGGGAGCTTGCAACACAAATACAAGATGAGGTTTTGAAATTTGGGCGAGCTTCAAGGGTATCCTGCACGGTGGGTGCTCAGTGGTTGACTTTATTAAACGATGATTTCATTTTTGTAGTCCATTTGGTTTAAATTTTTTATTCACTATGATTGAATTTCATGATTCAGTGCTTGTATGGTGGAGCTCCAAAAGGCCCTCAGCTGAAAGAATTAGATCGTGGAGCAGATATAGTTGTTGCAACGCCCGGTCGACTGAATGACATACTGGAAATGAAGAAAATTGATTTTGGGCAAGTTTCTCTACTTGTACTTGATGAGGCAGATCGAATGCTTGACATGGGTTTTGAACCCCAAATCCGTAAAATCGTGAACGAAATACCCCCACGCAGACAAACTCTTATGTACACTGCAACATGGCCCAAAGAAGTAAGAAAAATAGCAGGTGATCTTCTTGTTAATCCTGTCCAGGTGAATATTGGCAGTGTTGATGAGCTTGAAGCCAACAAGTCTATTACACAGGTAATTTTTTAATTATAATATTTTTTTCTTATTGTCTTCACAAGTGCAGTAAGGACGATAGAAGTATATGTAATTTAGGAGAAGTTCCAATACCATGAACTGAAGTTAGTTATTTTCTATGAATTGAAACTTTTGGGAATCATCTTTTCTTTTTATATTGTACATCTTTCAGAATAATGATAAAAGGTGAAAATTTAAAGCATGTGTCACGGTCCTCACTTCATCTGATATGGTCAATATTTGGAACATATGCCAAGTAGCAGCAAACTAGTTATACCCTTGTCAATAATTTACTAGTACATGCATAGGTCATGGATGATAGGCTAGGACTGTTTAAATGTGGGTGTGATTATTCTTATCTCTAAGAGTCCCATAATGAAACATTGGAGAAGGGATGAAGTTGTTGAATAATTATGATTTATAGAAGTAAAGATGAATAATTAGTTAATTTGGTCTGTTAATGTATACTAATGATGACCATAGTACGTACTAACTGAAATTGTCATACCAGGTACATTAATAGTTTCAGTGTTGATCTGAGTACTCACATTATGCAAAGTAGTCTATCACACTTTATTCAAATGTTTAAGAATTTGCCACACTTCAATTCTGGCTGGGAAGCATTAGATTTCACAGAGGATAAATATATTCATTTGATCTGTTTGATGGTTGATCTCCTTTTTATGTGCATTTGACACACTGCTTTCTAAAAGCACACATAGGATAGAATTTATTTCTACTGTTAACTTGTGAATCTGCAGTATGTTGAAGTTGTCCCACAAATGGAGAAGCAGAGGCGCTTGGAGCAGATCCTTAGATCCCAGGAACGGGGTTCTAAGGTTATTGTTTTTTGTTCCACAAAGAGGTTGTGCGATCAGCTTGCACGTAGTATTGGACGCAGCTTTGGGGCTGCTGCAATTCATGGGGACAAGTCTCAAGGTGAGAGAGACTGGGTTTTAAATCAGTTCCGAAGTGGAAAGTCTCCAATATTGGTTGCCACTGATGTTGCTGCCCGTGGGCTTGACATCAAAGATATAAGGTTAGATCATGCTTTTGCTTTTTTCCAATTTAACATGTTCAATTTATTAATGAAAAAGACTCATTGGGACAAAGATCAAGATTGAGCTTATAACTTAGTATCATCCAGGATCTGAGAATTGTTTCAGTGTACTTATCCGTTTGAGTTTCTCACGTTACAGGGTGGTGGTTAACTATGATTTCCCTACTGGGGTTGAAGATTATGTTCACCGGATTGGAAGAACTGGGAGGGCTGGGGCAACTGGGGTGTCGTACACCTTTTTCTCTGAGCAAGATTGGAAATATGCAGCTGATTTGATAAAAGTTCTGGAGGGAGCTAACCAGCAAGTGCCCCCGGAGGTGCGAGATATTGCTCTGCGTGGTGGGCCTGGTTTTGGCAGGGATAGGAGTGCGATGAGCCGTTTTGATTCTGGTGGGCCTGGGAATGGAGGTGGAGGCCGTTGGGATTCTGGCGGCCGTGGTGGCATGAGGGATGGAGGTTTTGGTGGTCGTGGTGGCATGAGGGATGGGGGTTTTGGTGGTCGTGGTGGTGACATGAGGGATGGCAACTTTGGAGGCCGCAGTGGCCCTAGAGATGGTCCAGTTGGTGGCCGCAGTGGGGGAAGCGATTTCTTTTCTGGGCGTGGAAACAGGGGACGGGGATTTGGTGGTCCTGGTGGTGGTAATGTTGGTTGGGGTAGAAATGACCGTGGCACACAAGATAGGTACAACAGTGTGGATGGGCGTGGGCGAGGGGGACGTGGACGGGGACGATTTGATAACAGAATCGATTTTCCTGATAGGAGCAGAGGCAGAAGCTATAGCCGTAGCCCTGAAAGAGTTCGAACATGGGATATTAGCCGAAGCAGAAGCAGAAGCCGAAGCCGCAGCAGGAGTCGTAGAAGCCGAAGCTGGACCAGGAGTCGTAGTCGTAGTCGGAGCTGGTCACGTGGCCGCAGTCGCAGCCGCAGCCGTAGCCGCAGTCGTAGTCGTAACCGTAGTCGAAGCCCCAGTTATGAGAGATATGAGAGGCCTCCACGTGTTTCGAAATTTGATGTCAAAGTTCCTGAATCTGTGGCTCCACCTAAATTAGGGATGTCTCCTATGCCCCCAGGCACAGAAGTCAATGCATCCCCAGACACGAAGCCTGTGGGGGAGCTGCCAGTGGCTGAGGAGACTGAGCTAATGCATAAACAGCAGCTGGAGGAGACCCTTGCGGTCACTCAGTGACTTAAACCTTGAAAAAGTTGTGGCACATATTTCTTTTGCAAGTCCTTGTGTGGTGGATTGGATTGATGTGGTTTTTGGTTATCCCAGTCTGTGAAGCTGGCTTCCTAGTGTGAGAATATTTGCAGTAAGTTGGGGTTGGGGGGCTGCTTGCTTTGGTTGAATTGGGTGATTATGATGGGATCAATCAGAGACATGCTCACCTGGTCTACTGTTCTACTGCTCTACTGCTTCCAGGGGTGGGTCGTCTTTTAGGACAATTTGGAGGGTAGTTCTGGACATTTGAATGTTTGGGTAGCGCTAGAAAAAAATGCCTATTATTATTTTGGTCATGCAACGGTTCAACTTGAGTACTGCGAGCATATAAACTCGGATTATTGGTGTCATCTGTGAGAAACTGGGGAAGACCCTTCCCTGCATACTTCCCTAGCTGCTTATTTTTTTATTACAATTTGTCACGAATTCTCCTTATTTATTCAAAGAAACACTTCGATGTTTACTAATCTCTCTCTCTCTCTCTCACGGTTCTTCATCTTCAGGACTTTGTAGATAGATGTAATGTGATGTGGTTACACTACTGTGAATGAGGTTGAACCATAAAGCTACACAATTCTAACTCTTTCACCATTTTGGCAGATGTAGAATCAGTTAGCTATTTTGATCTAGTGGTATTTTCCTTCTACAATGTTAGAAGACGTATCAAGTTCAATTTCCGTTCCCCCGAAAACTATACGAGGAATAAAGCTCTTCTCCTTTCAATATTTCAGCTTCATTAGATTTTTAGCATGTAAGTGAGATTCCAGTAGAATAAAGGACCCAAATTTATAGTTATAACATGATGGGTTATATAACTTTATGGTTACAACAAGTCAACAAGTTCTTGTCAATGGCCCAAAAAGACAAGAATATTTTGTTAGTTTAATTGTGCATTAAAGAAGGTTTGATCAACGAGTATTTGGCTTATCCGCCGCAGAAACATAAGAATATTTTTATGTAAAAGATATCCCCGTGCACAGCTTGCAAGTAAGCATATATGGAAACGGAATTAAGATTTCCAAATTCCCAAGCGTTTCCAAGAATATCATTCAAGTCACAAAAGCTAAAATAGCCTCACTTTTATTTGCAATCACTTGGTCTGCAAGTCTAAATCTTATGCATACAATTGTTCTTTTTCCCCCACAAGCATACAATTGTTTTTTTCGTTTTTGTTTTAATCCAAAGATATTATACTTTAATCTAATTTAAACTATAGGAGGGGATTCGAACTCGATGCATAGTGAAGAATACATTCGTTCCAGTAAACTTGGCTAAGCACGTATCTGCATCATACAGTTGTTACATTAATTTAATTTTTCATTAAAGTCTTGTTCCATAAATTAATATTAATTGCACATTTAGATAAATAAATCTTGCTGAACACTTAACACGTAAGTTATATCACTGTCTTTATATCTTCATGCATCATAAACCAATATACCTACCGAGGGAAGCTTCTGGCCAGTTTCATATTCATAATCCACTGACATCATTTTCTATTTTAATTTCATTTGCCAACAACTTTTTAAGTTGATTACTTCAAATCAAATTTATCTTCTTATGTTGAAAAAAAAAGACCCAAATGTATCAAAACATTGAATGCAAGATTGACAAGAGAAGTTCAGTCCGCTCAATATAATGAGCTATTTGGAAATCTAGTGTTTTCTATATGAATTTTTTTTGGGAGATTCATTATTATACTTAATATATGGGTTTAAATGATAAAAAAAGACCTTATATGAAATGAACTTTAAAAACACACTCAAAGTTCATTTACAATATAACAAGTAGGCTTTTAACTTTTTATAAATTACAAAATTGTCATCGATTTCTTAAAACAAGCCCAACTCCAAAACTTCATTAAAAAAATCCAAAACACTCAATTGGGTATCAAAGTAATTTAATAATCAAAATTAAATTGACCAGCTGTCATTTTTGGGACTAGTTTATAGAAATTAAATAGAATTAATTTATATAAATAGTATTAAGAATGTGTATAAGACTAAATATTTCACTTTTTTTCCCATCAAATTTATGTGTGAGATTGATTTTATTTCGCTAACTTGAATTAAATCATGGAATGGACTGTCAGGGAAATAGAAAATGGGGGATAGGATGAATTCTTTCCAATTTAGACAAGGAGGGAAAATTAATTAGTTTGGAACTAACTTCAAAAAGTCGTTTTAGCTAAAATAAAATAGTCAATATTATCCCCTGTTGATAAAGAAAAACAAATAGATCCCCTGCTCCTATAAAAAGAGAAATATTTTTTAAACCTTTAAAAAATTAAATTAAATTGCTCGCCACTCAGCTTTCCAAGGCTGTGTCGGCAAATTAATTGCGTGACGGGCATGGGCTTAAGTAAATCTGATTGGACCGTGACACCACTCACAGTAACGATACCACTTCTCTCCTTAAGCGACGTCGTTTCGATTTTTCAACGGAACAGACAAATTGTCCACTTTCCCGCTACGCATTTTTCCCGTGGCGGTTTCGAGTTTTCCCATGCCGCTCAGGGGTAATCTCGGCAATTAACAAAACCTACGGAATTGCAAAATTTCCACCCAAAACGCATCGTATCATGGGAATCTCCTTTCGCGTCTCCTTGCTTTTTCTATAAACACACACATTCACACACCCAAACCGCCTTCTTTTCCAAGCATTTCTCTCTCTCTCTCTCTCTCTCTCTCTTTTCTTCTCCCTTATGGTTAGGGTTTCTCAAGCGCGTCTGCTTCGCCTATAAATATTTATATAAAACAAAAAACAATGTTGCAGAAAACCCCTCCTACTCTCTGCAAATTCTCCGATTCCTCCCTCTTAGAACTTTCTAGGTCAACCATGGATTGATTCGGCTTATTTCTTGGTAATAACCCTCACTCAACAAGCCTTTCTCTTCTTTTTTCGTTTATGCCCTGTATAGAATTCAGGCACTGCAAGCTTTTTCAAGCTCAAGTAAAGTCTCCTTGTAGTTTCGGTCCTTTCTTATCTCTTTTGGTGTGTTTCTAGCTTCTTTGTGCGAATTTCTGAGTATTAGAAGGTAGCCTGGGAGTTGAAATAGGAATTTTTGTTCCCTAATATTATTAATTCTATTTAATTAACTTTTCAGATTTGGAGGTCAAATTTTGATTCATGGTTAGGTTTTGTGTTTGTTTTTGGTATTTGACTCGGTGGGCTTCAATCAGATCTATGGTATTGCTTGGGACATGTCAATTTCAATATAATTTTTTAGCAGCTCAAATTCAAACTTCAGTTACTCTACAAGGAAAAAAGAAGAAATAATATGAATTTGGTTAAGAAGTGTGTATTTTGCTGCTTTTGTTATCTCATTGATTGTTATGAAGAAGCCATTTATTCCATTCTATTTTTTGGGTCTTCTTTAATTGATCTAAAGAGTGTTTGGGTCGTTCCCGGCATTCTTAATAATAGCACCAAATTTTCTGTACCGAAAACTGAAGCCTTTATTGTTGTGTAGTAGATAAAGTTTACTTGTTTGAGAACGTTTCTAGATTTTACTCTGCTGCCTTCATGTCAGATTTCATTTTGTTTATCACACTGAATACAGCACTGTGGCATTTTCTCCTAGTCCATTTCTTTCAACTCGACTCTTTTGAATGTTGACATTCTGTATCATTGTATTGTATAGGGGTGGCGGTACTGGAATGGAAATGTATAATGTTCCCGAACATGCGAATGATGAGGTTTATATGGTATGTTCTTGGTAATCGCTTGAAGATTTTGCTTTATCAGTAATCTTTTCTTGAATGATAAGTGAAATTTGTAAGCCCTTTCTGGGTTATTGAGCGTTTGTGTCTCCACTTTTAGATTCAAGGCATGGAACAAAACCTGCATTTTACAACTCCCTTTGAACAAGTTGAAGCTATGTACAATGAAGGAGCCCCTGAGTATGTTGTTGATCAGGGCTTGTATTATCCGGCTGCCACCAACTATGGGTATTACTGTACAGGTAAATATAGTGCCTTTCTGTTGAGATGGATTAATATGATGGCTCATTTGTTTCAAGTGTCTCATTTGTACATTATGTTGAATAAATATGGTCAGGATTTGAATCACCCGGTGAATGGGAGGACCACCGAAGGATTTTTGGCGCAGATGGTCCGGATATCCAGTACACGGTAAGTGATCTCTCTCTTTCTCACACTTTTTTTTTTCGGTTTCTTTAGTGGCATTATGTGTGTTAATTCTCAAAATCCATCTCTATTTTTCAGGGTGCACAAAATGAAAGTTTGCCTTTTGTATATTATACACCTAGCTATGGATATGCACAGTCTCCATACAACCCATACAATCCTTACATACCTGGTGCTATGATAGGCATTGATGGCCAACAGTATTGCACCATCCCCCCTTATCAAAACTCTGTCTCTTCACCTGCTTATATCCCTCATGTTGTTCAACCTGATGTCGTTCCCAATAGTTCACCTGACTCAGTGTTTGATAATGGAGCATCAATTAATAGACCTGATGGAAGAGGGGTCAAATATAACTTAAATTCAGCTTCTGGAGGCTTCCCTAACACCCCTAAGTCCTCTGCAAATCAGATGAGTCCCTTGACAAAGGTATCAGAAGGTTCAAGAGGTAATGGACCGAGCAAGCATGCTGTTACACATGGCAGCGTTGTGTCTGGTCGTTTTTCAACCCCAGCCTCATCACATGTTCATCAGGTATTACTCTTTCTGTCAAGGTTTATGTATTTTAATGTAGGAAGCCTCTTGTACTTAAAGAGTTTCTAATAGGATCATCTCTGATCTTAAGGCCATGATAGTTGGTTTTTCGGAGGACCTTTTAAACAGACTCTGTTGTGTTCATAGTTCTGATGTTGACTTGTGCATTCGCAGGTTAGAAGTGCATCCGGCTCAATTTCGGTTGTGGATAACCTTCCAAATGGGAAAGTATTGCCTAATCATAATCAATTGAAGGTCGAAATCCCTGTTGGTAATGGCTTGTCAAACTTCGGATCTATTCCTCAAGGACGGGGTGCCGTGGGTAAGCTTCGGCCTAAGTTTAATGTTGGCAGGGCCTTGAATGATGTACATGGTGGCCTAGAGGCTTTGGGTGAGCAGAATTGTGGTCCTAGAATCAATAGGTTAAAAAATCAAATAGCTGTTAAAGCCTACACGACTAAGGCAGGAGATTGTAATGCTCAAGGGAACATCGTTATTCGTACTGATCAGTATAACAAGGATGAACTGCCTGTTGACTATGTGGATGCAAAATTTTTTGTAATAAAATCGTACAGTGAGGATGATGTTCACAAGAGCATCAAATACAATGTTTGGTCATCTACACCCCATGGCAACAAGAAACTCAATAGTGCTTATGAAGATGCCCTAAGAACAGCTGCTGGAAAACCTGGAGGCTGTCCTATCTTCCTTTTCTTTTCTGTGAGTTCTATACCTGTTGGCTATTATTTTTTTGACAACATATATGATTTTACAGCCTTTTCAATTACCTCATCTATAAACCATCTGTAACAGGGCCTGGTGATTCATTGGGTTATGCTAATATTGAATTGTCCGTGCACAGGTTAATGCAAGTGGTCAATTCTGTGGCGTCGCAGAGATGGGTGGCCCGGTTGACTTCAACAAGGATATGGACTTTTGGCAGCAAGATAAATGGAGTGGGAGCTTCCCTGTTAAGTGGCACATCATTAAAGATGTGCCAAACACCAGTTTCAGGCACATCGTATTAGAGAACAATGAAAACAAGCCGGTGACTAATAGCAGGGATACACAAGAGGTATATTTAGATTTATTTTCCTGTATTGCCTTGAGTTGCCAACTAGCATAGAGTTAGAAGTCATGCCATGCACCATGGTTATGGAGAAACGTGACTTGGAGAACTGGAACCCAGACTGCCAGACAAGGCTGAATGGTTAAATGGTTGTGTGCAGGCACATAGCTTATAATTGCAATAAGTGTCCAGCATGTATTGTGAATATGTGGGTTCCTCTGCACCATATAAATAGAGGGGATTTCTTAGGTTGGTTGTTAATTATTTATTTTTACTGTGCAGATCATGTATAAGAAAGGCTCGGAGATGTTGAAAATATTCAAGAATCACACATTGAAGACATCTTTACTTGATGACTTTATGTACTATGAAGAGCGTCAGAAATTCATGCAGGAAGAGAGATGCAGGTTACTTGTTAGAAGTTTTGAAAGTCCATTTCTAGTAACGGGTTTGGGTCCCCCCCGCAAGCTAAACTCTGTGGGTGACGATGCAAACAACTCGAAAAAGACTCTTGTCCCTGCTTCTGCGCAGGTTTCCTCTAACTTTGGTGTTACAAACACTAGTATTACGAATGGAAATGCTGAGAAAAAGGCACCTGAAGCAAAAGATGATGCTGTATCTACCTTAAAAATTGGTTCACTCACTATTAATCGAAAGCAGGTGGACTCAAAATCTTCAGCTGCTGCTGCTACTAATGCCAAAAGCTTTGATGTTGTTACTGTAGGCTCAATGCCTGTTAGAGTTAATGGATTTGCTGAATCCTTGCGTAATTTAACAGTTGGAACTATCCCTCTTGATCCTAGAGCATTACAACTAGGGGATGGTTCTCTTATCAAAAAGGGGGATCAACAGAATTGATTCAGAAGTAAATCCCAGTTTTCTTTTGTTGGTGCTATTTTGTGTCTTTGGCGGGTCCATCGAATACCAGGTTTATGATACTCCGTCATGGTTATAGGCAATGATAAAAATGGAATACTCACTCTGATCTGATATTGTCTCTTTTGTTTTTCACCCCCCTTATTTAGTTCTTTTGCTCCAGTTATTTCTGGTCCATACCTTAGTTATATCCTGGATTTTTTTTGGGGGGTTTGTTGCTCAAGTCAAGTGGAAATACAGTTTGATATTCAAGAATGAAAGATACAAAGAAATTTCTGTTATTAGCAACTAACATATCTGTAAGTCTTCTGTAAGTCTTCAGGGTGCTGTGGCACCTTTTGTCCTTGTTTACTGGTTATTTGGTTCTTTTCCTGATAGAATGTGGAGTTGAAATTGTATCAGGGATGTGCTGATGCTGTGTTCCTATCCATCATAATAAAAAAGTGACAAAGATTGATTCACAATCTAACACATGTTTATTGTGTTTGAATTGTGAAAATTTGTTGCATTTGTGCCTTTCTTTTCTTCGGCTGATTGCTCATTTTTGTAAAGAGCTTAATATTCTGCGAATCAAGCTTGAACGATCTAAAAGCGAGGCGAATTCGAACTATATCAAGCCAGTTTACAGCAGCATACAATGCTAGACTTCCCAACTTGTTATTCCAATTCTTTTTTCTTCTCTAACCAGTGTCACACTGGCACATTTTATTTTATAAGTATTGGTAACTCAAATGTCCGTTAATTTAATTATTGTAACTCTAATGTCCTGTTAAAAGAAATAGACTATTGTTATGGGCACTCAATTTATTACTTTGAAACACTTCCAAACTTGCACAATATGAATTTTAGTGCCTTCACAATGTGGGGTGCACTAATCACTAAATGAGTGCTAATAACAGTTCTCTAGAAAAATCGGGTGACTGGGATGAATAATGTGGTGGCATCCGGATCACGACACGTGTCCGTCATGCTTCCTTCTCCTTCCCTCAACACCTGACTAACCAAAACCGGATTTTGACCTAACCTAATCCGAACCCATTTCTCCAGCTTCACGTTACTCTTTTTAGAGTTTAACGCCAGTCAGTGACGCCGTAACCTATTGACTGTGGTCAAACAGTCAGGGGAATCAGTTGTTGTACTGTATGTACGTGATTCTCAGCGCTCAATTCGCGTCCCAACGACCCTTCACCGCGGGAGTGAGTGCAGTCGACGCGCCGCATCTGGGGCAGCGTAGACTTCGCTCCTCCGCTGTTGAAATCTCTGATCAGGTACGTCGGCGTGTGCACTCGCCCTGCCTTCTGTCATTGAGCAATTCCTACAGTTGAAAACTGCAACGTCTGCTTAGCTTTTGTCTTCGCTGTTCGTTTCTCGTTCTGTTTTATTTTGTTCTTCTGTCTGTTTGGTTGCTGAGAAAACGAAGGAAAGTAAGGAAATTTATCTTCTCTCACTACTTTTTCTTATAAATTAATAGGGACATAAACTATATGGATTTGCATGACTAATTTGGTGATTTGGTATGTCAATTTCAGTTTAATTCATACGCAGTTTCGTCGACTTTTGCAAATTGAGCATTGGTATATGCAAATGCAGCACTTTAGGTAAGAAATTTAATGCATGGCTTAATTCTTTCGGTTACCTTTCACCAAGGGTTCATTACAGTTACAAAGTTGGTGTGATGATAAAGTGCAAAGCATGGGTGACCAGATAGATACTTGAGTTTTTGTAGCTTAATGGTGTAATGCGGACCTTGATATGAAGAACTATTTAATCACCCGGATATTGCTGAATGCTGTAGTTAGGAACCAAGAAGTTATTTGCTGGTTCAAATTTCATTGAAAGGCTAAATTTGATGGTTTTTTCTTGTAGACGGTGACTGGCGGCCTAGCTTTTGCAGTTTGTGGCCGGTTGTAATATTATATTTTCCATCTTTGCTTCAACGGATTCATTTCAAAAAGGTATCCTTATGTATAAAGCTTCTACGTTATATTTGGAGATGGTTGAATGTAATATATGTATTTATGCGCTCTCTATTCTATTCTATAGGTCAATATGACAAATTACTCAAACAGAAAAAGTTCCTCGGAACAGGAATGTGAAAAAGCAATTGTGCCTAAAGAAGAGATCTTGGATTTCGAGTTGCCTTCTGATGCTGCATTCTCAGGGCATTTCGGGGTATGCCCACCATTTCATGAATGTTTCTGCGAGTTTTCATATGATGTAATTTCACCATATATGATATATCTAATTGTACCAAGTTGATTGTAGAGAATTTTGAAATGGTTGAGAAACGCCATGGAATAAAAGATAATAATTGCAATATACATAGTTAATAATCCATTCTGGCAACTTTCTTAATTTTTTTTTTCCTTCTTTCTTTACAATTCCAGAACAATGCCGCAAGTTCATCTGGGAGTAATACGCGATCGGATTTGATTGGAATGGGATTTTTACCATCACTTGTAGACAAAGTGATTGAACAAAAGGGTAGGTCATGCCAATTAAAGAACTCTCTTCTATTTTAATCGTCCTGAAAGTGGGTGAGGGTTGTGGGATTAACAGGGGCTTTGTAAGTTTAGAAGATGATAAGAAAGCAAACCACGCAGAACCTGGGCTGTTCACATGCACATGTGCACATTCATACTCCCACGGTGGTTCAACAGGCCCCCATTTGATGCACACAAATATGTTATTATCATTATCTGCATTTATATCCTTAATCACATGATCTGGTAATTTTTTTACCCTGGGAATTTTGATGATTGTGTTTCTATCTTCAAATTTAGGTGAAGGCGATGTAGAATTGTTATTGGAGACACTTTTGTCGCATTCAGTAAGTAATGTATTGTTTGTTAATGTTTCTTAAAATGTCTTATTCTTAGATTCTCCAGAATCATTTGTTAGTTCAATTGGAAATACTGAAATTAGCATCCTAGCATGGATGCAACCATCTCTCTGTCTCTTGATAGTTTGCATGCCGGAGGCAAAGTCCGATTTTCTCTGGTTTTTCAGTTTTGAAATTAAGTGTTTGTCGGGGATTTCCCAAGGAATTTTGAATTCTTATAGTCAACCTGTTTTGGATTGAATAGGGTTCTCAAAAATCAGATTCTGAGTCATCAGATTCTCTGGATAGCTTATTTGACGACAAGGATGAAAGCAGTCTTCCAGAGGTTTCTAATATTATTCAACCAAAAGAGGTAAACTGCGAAGACTTTGTAATCTTGTTTTCTGATGTTTCCTTTATGTATCCCAGAGGTCCTGGGGCTAGTCAGCTCTTTTGTGATTATTCTTCATAAGTCATTGGGTAACAATGTTGGTGACTTCCAATGCTACGCAAGCTTGAAGATTAGCTAAATCGTATTTGGAACTTTTCTCATAAAGAAGATCATTCTCCCCTCTTCTTGTGACGATGATAAAAGGGCAGCTGTTTATTATGATATTTTATTTTTCATGTGATCTTGTTTGTCTCAGTTTGCACATGGTTAGGCTCAATCTTTTATTTTTGGCAGGAGCCTGATTTAGCTGATGGACTTGATGAGGGAAAAAGGGCATCCTTACTGATGATGAATTTTTCTCCAACTGAAGTTGAGTTTGCAATTGATAAGCTCGGTAGGTTGAAATTTATGGAAATTTTATTGTGCGCGAAATTTTTTGAGTTATACTGGCTTTTTATATTGAAAAGAAACATGAGATATACAACAGAAGCTCACTCACTGGTTGACAGTTCTGTGCTTATGACTAACGTGAAATTCAGACATACTTATCATTAGTTATGTTACATAGATAAGTCCAAACATGTTTGTTTTTAGGCTCCTCAACCAGGTGTATATGAAATCACTATTACGGAATTGGATTAAGGATCTCGCTACGGAATGAAGCATATTCTGAATTATCTACAATAACTATTAAGTTTTGGGCTATTAGTGCTAACAGTTTCAGTGATGTTTGAACCAGGGGAAGAGCTCTACAAAGTTACATTGTTGGAACTTGCTTACGTAGCATTAATTTGAATATAATTTATCTCCCCCCCCCCCCCCCATGATTTTCCACCTTGGCTTTTGTCCCTTTTGTTAATCATCCTATTAAATTTCCTACAATATTATGTTCGACAATATAGGTTGGTTGATCTCATTTTGATGCACAGGTGAAGATGCTCCAATTAATGATTTGGTGGATTTTATCATTGCCGCTCAGGTAGCTGTGAAACTTGAAAATGATATAGGTGATAGTACAACTCATGGTGATGAAGAAAAAGACGAGGTATAAAAATAATCCTTGCATTAAATTGTTATTTATGTGATGACATTTTTGGATGTTGGTAATCGGTTGTATCCTGTTTTTTGGTGGGCTCCTTGTGCACTTCTTTTTTTTTGTATTTATCATTCTTTAATAAAAATATTTTCTTCTGAAAAAGACATTTTTGAATGTTGGTAACACAATTACATTATATTTGAGCAAAACGTGTTGAATACATGGTTCTGTTCTTTTGGAAAAAGAAAAAAACTAATGCATAAACTTGAAGCATAAAGTTTATGGAATGCTGAACTTTGCTCTCTAATTCCATTGGACGCTAGATCAGATGAAAACCATGGTAATAACATGTCAGATAACTTAATGTTCCGGGTGGGTTATGTTTTTTTTCTTCCATGCCATTAATAAATGGAAATGCATAATTTCAGTTGTGTTAAATTTGTCTATAGTCTCTTAAAATATGCTGTTATTTCACTACATTTGTTGCCATGTGCTCCATTGGGTTTCCCGGAGTTTTTCCTGTGTCTTACATCTAAAAAGGGTTTTTAGTCAGAGTTCAATTTTAAAAAAGAGATAACTGAAAAGAAAGAACTTACCTTTCACCTTTGATCTCGCGTTATCCCCAACTTAAGCAATCATGCACAACTCTTCATGGTAAGAAAGGAGGTTTAATTACTTGTCACAATGACAGCAGATGCAGATCTAAGGCAGGAATTTTTTTTTCTCACTACATGTTCTCTTTTAATCATCAAGTGTGCAAAAATGTCTTTGGAGCATGCAATCACATGGTTGCCATGTTGTCTTGTAGATTTTTCACCAAGTGTTTGTTATATACTTATTTTATTTGCTATTATATTGTACAATACTTTAACCTTTTGATTCCCAGGATGCTAATGATGAAAAATTATATGGGACCATGGAGAAGACACTTCGTTTGCTTGAAATGGGTTTCTCTGAGAACCAAGTTTCTTGGGCAATCGAAAAGTTTGGTGAGTCTTTCATATCATTTGCTCCACTATACGTGAAAAGTAAAGAACGTAAACTGTTGAAATTTATTTTGGATGTGAGAATTTTTTTTAGAGGGGCGTTGTAACTGTACAAATACTACTTATCATGTGCTAATATAATCATTGTTGTTGGCATTACAACCGTATTTCATTCAACACAAATCAAATTGTTTTGAACTGTCAATTGTTACATGCAGTCTACTGGATTTTCAATGGAAGTGGCTGAGTCACTTGTAACGTGATTTGCTTAATTTCATCTTGTAGTTATATGGGTGATACTTTTTTTTTTTCCGCTTATTGCCAACTCTTATTTAACAATCATTTGCTGTTTCAGGTTCAAGAGCTCCAATTGGAGATCTTGCAGACTCAATCGTTGCATATCAAATTTCTGATGACTGTTATAAAGAAAATAAGGTCAGAATGCATTCTTATAATCAGTTATTGACTTTTCAAGTGCTGATGTACTTTGTGTATTTGTTTAGATTCCCATAGGCCCAACAAATTTTTAAATGTGTTCTTCAGTATCAAAGTGGCTGCAACTGCAAATAGTTCATTCTAATGGAAAGTTATATGCTTGGCTGTGCATGTCTTCGTACCAAATTGTGTTCGCAACCTTAACCTAATGTTTTTTATCTTGCAACTAATTATATATTTTATTTATGAAATCAACGACCTAACAGGACCTTACCAATTTTTGGATGTGCTTGTGGAAGAATTGATGTATTATCTTGCTTGTTTTATGGGTCTGTTCATTTATTATTACAAGTTAGTTGTTGAAATATATGTTATCATCTCTGAGGGCTATGTTCATTACTTCTTTGCTTTCTAAACATATATAGTCTTCTCATTCATCATTTAGATTGGTTTACTAATGTTTGGAACAATATATCTAGCGCAGTACTCGGCCCATTCAAACCATTCACGCACTGGAGTGGGTTCTAGGTTTTTTGCTACAGGATCATATGATTCAGTTAAAGTTGAAAACGAAGAATTTCATCTGCATACAGCTTCTCAATCAAGGGATTGCAATGCAGCAAACAATTCTTTAGGAAAGAGGCCTAAGCAAGAGTATAATGATGATGATTCAAATGTTGTTCCAACCTCAGTTCCTCAGTTTAGGGCGTTTAGACATGTTGCTTTCGAAGAAAAACGTAAAGGGAAAAGGCCAAGACAAGAGTATGTTGATAATTCAAGCTCTTTCCTTGACCAAACATGGATGGAAGAAAAAGTTGACCCTACAATTGGCAATCTTGAAATGTCAAAACCTTTCAAAAGCAATCCTTGCAAGAGTGTGAATCAAATGATGGCTAAACCTCCATATTTCTTTTATGGAAATATTGTGAATTTAGCATATGATTCATGGGCAAAAATTTCTCAGTTTTTGTATGGACTGGAACCTGAATACGTGAATACTCAATTCTTCTCGGCCTTGAATAGAAGGGAAGGCTATGTACACAACCTCCCAACTGAGAACAGGTTTCACATCCTTCCGAAGTCACCAATGACCATTGAGGATGCAATACCACATACAAAGAAATGGTGGCCTTCATGGGATACAAGGAAGCAATTGACTTGCATCTGTTCTGAAACTAGTGGCATATCTCAACTTTGTGATAGGCTTGGAAGGGTACTTTCTGATTCTCGTGGATTGCTCTCATCTGAGCAGCAGAGAGACGTCCTTCATCAGTGTCGTTCATTAAATCTTGTGTGGGTTGGACGATACAAGCTGAGCCCCACAGAACCTGAATATTTAGAACGTATCCTAGGCTACCCATTGAATCACACTCAAGTTGCTGAGAGTAGTTTAACAGAAAGACTTCTTTCACTCAAATTTTGCTTTCAGACAGACACGTTGGGTTATCATCTCTCTGCGTTGAAATCTATGTACCCAGGAGGATTAACAGTGTTCTCAATTTTCAGTGGAATCGGTGGAGCAGAAGTTGCTTTACATAGGCTTGGCATTAGTTTGAAAGGTGTTGTATCTGTGGAGACCAATGCAACAAAAAGGAAGATTCTAAGAAGGTGGTGGGAGAATACTGGACAAACTGGGCAACTGGAGCAAATTGAAGATGTTCATAAGCTGACAAGCACCAAACTTGAAAGTCTGATGAAGAAATTTGGTGGTTTTGATTTGATTGTCTGTCAGCACCCATGCAGTGACTCAATCTCTAAGATTTCTCCACAGAGTGACAGTCTCCCAGGTTTTGACTTCTCCTTGTTTTATGAGTTTGTTCGTGTTTTGCAACGTGTAAGAACTATGTCAGAAAGAAAGAGGTGACAGCTTTTGCTGCCCTTTATAATTCTTTCTGTGGTACATCTAACTTGTTAAGGATAACTAGATTCATTCGTTTATGAAAAATTGAGGTTGAGAACGTCATGCCAATGTCTTTTAGATAAATTTAATACATGCAGAAAGATATAGCTTTGCATAAGTTGCAAAATTGATGATGATGATGATGATGTCAATACTTGGATGTTAGCATATGCTGGCCATTGATGTGCATAAGTTTCCAAACTGATGTTATTATTCAAGACTTAGACTACTCTTGTATGTAATGAAATGTATCTTTAGGTCATGGAAATTTTCATGAGCAAGTTGAGGAATAAGTTGACTACTATATCCGTCTTGCTGTCAAGTGTCATGGTTGGATCCCCAACTTGACTAGACAAGCACCGGAACAAATCATCCCACGCCAAGAATGCCTTCTGTTGGAGAATTACTTGTTGGCCAACTATCAAATCAGTCAATGCTCAAAATACACAGAATGTAGAACTACTTTTGCTGATATTTGGGTGGGTTTAATTTGTCTTTTGCCTTGAAGTTTCTACGGCCTATACCTAAAGAATTTGGTTTTGAGTTTTGTGCTAGACCAAAAGAATTTGGTTTTGAGTTTTGTGCTAGACAAAATCATTTAGACTGCAATCCGCCATGAAGAAGACTTGACAATTGCCTTCACCTCCACTATACTTGAAGGAACAAGTCGGGGGAGTTGATTGTTGGTCTAGAACTAGAATAGTTGGGAAAGCATGTAGCTCACAAAGGTCCCTCAACTCCACTGTACTTCCATCCAATGCTCTATTTTTATTTCTTTTTGGCTTATTAATTTCAATTGACAACGTGTTGAAAGTTGGCCATCTGGTTGAATCTTATGGTCGTAGTCATTGAGCTGTCCCTTGCCATGGTTTGTCGCAATGATAAAGGAAAAGACAAACGTCCCAAATAAAGATGGGAAATTGTATTATAAATAAAGAACCGACGAAGGCAATAATTGAGCCTTCACACAAATTTTGAGATTGTTTTGAGTACATGGTATTATTCTTATTGCGAATAAATTGGTGGAATAATAATGCTTACTACTAATAGGTTATGGACTTCGGTTTGTGTTCAATGAATTCAAGTGGTAGCCACATTCGAATAATATGATTTATAATCATAACTTGGCTTTTCTATAGAAAAATCAGATAATCAACGCCAACCACTTTTGTTAATTTTTCTCAATGTTGATGGTTAATTTTCTAATAGTGGAAGGGAAAAGCTTTCTTCTTTTTGAACACCTGATCGTCAATGATGGGCAATGATAATAGTGGAAGGGAAAGATACAAAATTTGGAGTGTAGATTACGTCCCGTTTAAGGGTCCCATAAGTATGACGAATTAATCCATTTATAACCGGAAATTCTTAGATTTAGTAATGAAATAGCTGTAACACCGTCACGTGGTATTATTAATTCACATATTATAGTATAAATGCGATCTGATCTGTAGCATGTTCCTAAAACTTTTATTTTAAAAAAATTAATTAAAAAAAAGTATCATAATCTTTTTCATTTGGGCCGAGGCGGCTTGGAAGGCTATGGACCGGGCCATGAGCGAACAGGTTTCAGGTTTTCATAATATCCAGGACAGTAAGTCAACTAGTCAACAGGAAAAAGAAATTCACCGCCTTGTCAGAAAGCATGATTAATTTATGATTGCGATGGGATGACGCACGTTGAAAATCAACTTTACTAATTCTAGGGTTTACACTATAGATCTTTGTTTCCATCCACAGTATACTTCTAAACGTTCCATCACCGACTCACGCGCAAACATTCCATCACCCTTACTTTGAAAATAGAAAATAAAAATTGTTATCAAACATGTTTTTAGTCTTTCGGTTGAAAATAGGAATCTCAAGTTCCCAACACAAAGGGAGACTATCAAGACTTTAGGGAAATCGATGTTATAAAAAAGATTATAAAGTAAATTGTGTTATTTAAATATTTATGTCTAGTAATATATCTCTTCTTAATGTCGATAATATCTTAACTCAATAATTTCACGGTAAATTAATGTTACTTGAAAATTTGCCTCCTTTAAAATGGGGAGAAAAATATGTTTGCGCAAGGAAATAGCAACTTATTATTTTCATATTTTACCATTCTTATTAATATTTTATAAATACAGAGGCTCTTATTAATATTTTATAAATAAAGAGGCTCGGGATCCGTCCGGATTAATAATCTTCTTTTTTTAATTTTCTCATTCGGACATCCTAAGAAATATGAGGAACATATGTCTAGGCAAGTTGGGGGAGTTAATGCACCACTACATCCCATTTTGTTCTCCAATACACATAAACAGACATACGTTTCTATATTTAGGATAAAATATTCAAATATAAACAAATCAATTTATTAACTTTTTACAACAATGACATACTATACATAGAGATACTGCTTTACAGGCCAGCTTGTCGTGGACTGGCTGGCGCTCTCTCTCTCTCTCTCTCTCAAACACTCAACCACTTTCTCACACACATTTTACTGAAAAGCACCCTCCTTTAAAAACCAGAAAAATCAAAGCAGCTACCTTTTCTCTTATTTCCCATTATCAGAACTTTAATGTCTGGTTGGTGAGTATTTCATGCTGCATCTACTTTGAATCTTCTTTCTTTTTACGTATTTATTTATGTTTCTTTTCCTTCATACTCAGCTTTTCCGTGGCCTCTTTACTACGAGTCTACACCACAAGCATTAGATTTGTTGTTTCTTTTTTCTTTCCTTGTTTTGGGGGTGTGGGAGGGATTGGTGTTCCCTTTCTTTGCTGTTTGGCACTGATAGTGATGTTCCATTCATTCATTCTTGACCCACATTACTATCAGCATCAAATCTACAATTGCCTTCTCAGCACTTTTCAAGCTTATATATTTCGAGTTTTGCTTACAACCCTTATGTGCGTCCTGTTTGTTTGAAGGTAAAACAAAACAAAAGGGTTGTATTTTATGTACTTCAATGATCCAATGCCATTCTCATTCTGAATATTTCTCTGCATTCTTTTTCTGGGTTTGAAGCTTGGCATGCTTATAAGCTTTTGATGGTGTAATGCGGTTAACATTTTTGATTATGGGTTGTGGGTAAACAGAAAAAATACAAATGTCAATTCTGGGTCATCTTGCATCTATCAAGATGCATTCGATTTAGTTCATTTACTGATGTTGCTTCATTGATGTCTCTTCTTCTTTAATGTAGATTTGGAGTTGTCAAGGCTCACCTTAGTGACCTTGGTAATGATCTGACTTGTTGTAAAGCCTGGTTCTTTGTCTACGACTTTTAGATTTGGTATTATTGCTTAAGCATTCAAGAAAGTGGAACCATGGAAGAGACATTTGTACCATTTCGGGGAATCAGGAATGATCTTCAAGGGAGATTTATGTGTTACAAGCAAGACTGGACTGGTGGTTTGAAGGCAGGCTTCAGGTATATCTTCTCTTGGTATCATCATATTACAGGATACCGCATCATATTCAACTGTAAATATTGCGAAATTTTGGTTGAAATATTATTCTGGTTTGCTAACTTGTTTAATTGTCTCAGGATTTTGGCCCCCACCACTTATATATTCTTTGCTTCAGCCATTCCAGTTATTTCATTTGGTGAACAATTAGAAAGAGATACAGGTAATATTTTATACCGGATACTCCATTGAGTGCCTTGTGGTTTTCGGTGTGAGTTGAAAATGCTCCTAATATCGAATGATTGATAAGAAAAATCTATAAATCTATATTTATACATTATGCATTAGTGTTTCAAATTTATGGTTTGGCATCATTTCTGGTGTTGACAGATGGGGTTCTCACAGCAGTTCAGACGTTAGCATCTACTGCTTTATGTGGAATTATACACTCGATCCTTGGGGGTCAGCCTTTGCTGATTCTCGGAGTTGCAGAGCCAACTGTGATTATGTACACATTTATGTTCAATTTCGCCAAAAATAGACCGGATTTGGGATCAAAGCTCTTTTTAGCATGGACTGGATGGTATCATCTTTTCTTTGTGCTAACAAATGGATTGATATTGTGATTTCTGATGTTAACCTTAATCTCTCTATCTTGCAATTATCCTTTTTCTGGAAAAAAATTCTTGCGTAACTCTTTTTTGACTTTGAATCTGCCTTTATTACATTGATGTGCAGGGTGTGCGTCTGGACTGCAATATTGCTGTTCCTGCTGGCTATATTAGGGGCTTGCTCCATTATAAACAGATTCACTCGTCTTGCAGGAGAGTTATTTGGCCTTCTCATTGCAATGCTCTTCATGCAGGAAGCTATTAAAGTAGGAACATCCTTCTCTTTCTATCCCTGAATTTTTACTGGCTTAAAGAAAAATTGCTTCCTTATTTCACTTGTAGTTTACGATTTATGTTAAAAGAGACAGGAGACCTGGAGTAATTGTTATTCTGCATTTTCTAGCTGTACCAACTTTTTTTTAGATGTAGTTCTGAATTGTATTTTACAGGGACTAGTTCATGAATTTCGCATACCTGAAAGAGAAAACCCAAAGTCAGTTCAATTTCAACCTTCATGGAGATTTGCGAATGGGATGTTTGCTTTGGTTTTGTCATTTGGCCTTCTACTTACTTCTTTAAAAAGCAGAAAAGCAAGGTCTTGGCGGTATGGGTCTGGTAAGTCCATTTTTGTTCAGAGTTACATGCACACATGTAAAGTTGCCTATTTATTAGTTTGCATATCCTACAGGAGACTGATCCAATTAAATGTTTCCTTCTTGCAGGGTCGCTCCGTGGTTTTGTAGCAGATTATGGTGTGCCATTGATGGTGTTGATCTGGTCTGCTGTTTCCTATATACCTGCTGGAAATGTTCCAAAAGGAATTCCAAGGCGCCTCTTCAGTCCAAATCCATGGTCACCAGGAGCATACGAGAATTGGACTGTCATCAAGGCATTGCCACATCCTCTACATGATTGATATGTCTTTTTTGTTTTTCAGCTTGATACATGAGGATATTAATGGTTGCTAAAATTACAGGACATGCTAAGTGTTCCAGTGATTTATATAATTGGAGCTTTCATTCCAGCAACAATGATTGCAGTGCTGTACTATTTTGACCACAGTGTAGCTTCCCAACTTGCTCAGCAAAAAGAATTCAATTTGAGAAAACCACCTTCGTTCCATTATGATCTACTTCTCTTAGGGTTCATGGTATGCAAATTCCCCTCACAGCGTCATTCACTTTTTCTGTAATGCTCCTGCCAGAAAGTTCAGTGGTTGCAAAAAGGAAAGAAAAAAAAAGCACCCGGTTTCCATTTGCTTTGAGATTGAGAGGTTTTTGCAACATGACAGGTCATAATATGTGGTCTCATAGGCATTCCCCCATCCAATGGTGTCATACCACAATCTCCAATGCATACGAAAAGCTTGGCCACACTGAAGCACCAGGTAGGCATATGGAATAGAATCGATGAAGTCTAGTAAATTGCAATGCTTTCATTTTCAAAGCTTGTCTATCAGTTACGTTAGTTGAGTGGCTCCACCTCACAGTTCTCTGTTCAGTAACCAGAGGTTGTAAGTTTAACACCAACTCAGTGACCCTTAAGGACCCAAAGGGGCACAAATTAAACATTAAAATGTGTTCGGAACATGGAGATGCACATATTGACACACAGCCAACCATCCACTCTTTTGTGATTTATATTATCTTTACAACGATGCAGTTATTACGCAATCGACTTGTAGCGACAGCAAGGAGATGTATGAAAAACAATGCCAGCTTGGGACAAGTATATGGAAGCATGCAACAAGCATATCAACAGATGCAAACCCCACTAAAATACCAGGAACCTTCAGCTCGGGTATGATGACTTGATATGCCGTTCACCTTTTCATTCTTTTGTTCATTCATATGATAACAATGCTAACCGTTGTTCAACCTTGCCTAAACCCTGAGAGCAGGGATTAAAGGAATTGAAGGATTCAACTTTTCAAATGGCTTCAAGCATGGGGAACATAAATGCTCCAGTTGATGAGACAGTGTTTGATGTTGAGAAAGAGATTGATGATTTATTGCCTGTGGAGGTGAAAGAACAGCGGCTCAGCAACTTGCTTCAAGCTACTTTTGTAGGAGGATGTGTTGCAGCCATGCCTTTTCTTAAAATGATCCCTACATCGGTACTCTGGGGTTATTTTGCCTTTATGGCTGTTGAGAGCTTACCAGGTAACCAATGTTGGGAGAGGATTCTACTGCTCTTCACGGCCCCAACTAGAAGATACAAGTAACCTCTTGACCCTTTTTGTCCTAACGCACTCTTTATTTTGTTTTACCAATTTGTGAACAAATTTAATTGAACTATGTTCATTCTCATGTTCAGAGTACTTGAGGAATACCACGCCGCTTTTGTCGAAACAGTACCGTTCAAGACAATTGCAGCATTCACAATTTTCCAAACTGCTTACTTGTTTGTATGCTTTGGAATTACATGGATTCCTATTGCTGGGGTTCTTTTCCCATTAATGATCATGTTTCTGGTTCCTGTTAGACAATACATTTTGCCCAAGTTCTTCAAAGGGGCACACCTTCAAGATTTAGATGCTGCAGAGTATGAAGAAGCACCTGCTTTACCGTTCAACCTTGCAACTGTAAGTTTTCATTCTCTCACACACTGTTTCCTAATAAACTGGACCTGCAATATGCTTAAGTGTTACCTCTTAGGAAGTGCATAAACCGAAATTGAATAGACGCCTTTTGGCAATGTTTGCAAAACAATTCATGAACTGGTTAATCAGTGTGTGATAAATCTGGATGCAAACTTCTCTTTTTTTTTTAAAAAGAATAGAAGCATACAATAATTTGTACACATAAAAGGGCCACTTGGCGGCTCACTTCAACTTATACATCTTGTTCATTCGATGTGTTTCACATCAGGAGCGGGAGATGAGTAGGCAAGCTTCATTTGCAGATGATGTTGAGATTTTAGATGGGATAGTTACTAGAAGCCGTGGCGAGATCAGGCATATCTGCAGTCCTAAAATGGCAAGTTCAGCTACAACACCATCCAAGGAATTCAAAAGTACACAGAGCTCACTGTTCTCAGATAAGATATACAGTCCTCGTTTAAGTGAGCTGAGAGGTGAGCCAAGTCCTCAGAATGGTGGAAACGGGCAATTTAGTCCAAGGACTGGAGAAGCAAGATCATCTAATCTTGCGAAGAGTGGTTGAACCTTAGAAGTTAGAACTTCGATAAAAATGGAGCAAGTATTACCTGCAAATTATAGTGTACTTAAGAGTAATGGGGGTTTGGTTTTGTGAACATGCAGGAAATCTGCAATGGCATTTCCCCTTCTTCTACTTAAGTTAATTCTAAATGCGGCAATTTTTTGTAAAGTGGTCTAAATCTGTGAAATGTATTGATGGGAGGAGATTTGTAAGTTGTAACCACGAAAATCTATCAATGCCACTATTAAATATGAAGGAACTTTAAACTTATAATTTTTTGGCCAAATGAAGAAACTATACACCTATTGGCATCCATTTTTGTTCTCCAAGCCCAAGTTAATTCACTTCTAAAGAAGACTACAATGTAGCATCTTCATCTTTCCAATGGAAAATGATGGTATCGATGGGCGAATCATGATTTTGTTAATTAATGGTGTCTGGAACCTGGAAGGCAACATTCCAATGCACGTAACAACTACAAGATTCACTCTTACAAATTTTTTTTGTCAATGCAAGGCAGAGAAACAACGTCTGAACTGTTACCAATATTGTCTCTTCATTTCCTTTTGGGGGAGAGGATGACACTGTTAAAATGCTCGGTGACATTGTTTTACACATCGGGAACCTATATTCGCGCTCTCTGTACAACTCCCGCACTCTTACTAGACTCTATCTTGTGAGAGTGCGGAGGCTAGCGTGATTCGCGTTACCCTTTACAGATTTGGAGAGGCAAAGTAAGATGAGTGGCCACAGTTCTCTCATGTTATCCTTCAAGATTGACGCGTATATGAGGTCCCTACTCCGTAGTTTTCACTTGCAATCAAATGATGTTGTGTTGTAGTTTTCACAGCATTTGACTTGGGACTCAGTGGGAAACTTTTTCTACATAACTTCACTAGCAGTGTGGGTCCCTTGGCTACTCATTACTATTGTTTTGCCTGATTGTATGCCGTGCATGTTTAGTTGCTGATTTTGATGAAGTTCCTCTCCTATTGGGAGAACTTGCAAGGTAGCAGTTGGAGAAGTTCCTCTCCTATCAAATATGGCAACATTGTCTCTAACATCTCTCATAAAAAATGTCAAAGAGTTTTGCTCGGCTATCGACCGACATCATCGACCATCAGCTTTCCTCAAAATGTTAATAGGAATTTGAAACATACGATGATTAGATTATAAGTTGGGACAGCAAATTGGTAATTCCCGCTTGCACAGGTTTATAGTTTGTTTCCTTGTTTGGTATGCAGAAAGGCCACTTCAACAACTTCCAAAGAAACCAAGCATTCACGCTTCATAAAAAGGCAAAATAGCATTAAATCTTACATCGACGGTATCACTTATTTTGCTGACAAAAATTCACCCAATACAACAAACTGGAACCTCAGAAAGAAAACTGAAAACCTTGACATCAAGAGCTGCTGAATTTACGACCAGACAGCCTCTCCGACTCGAATAGTATATGATTTATAAGTCCCCTTGCGGCACTGAGAACCAAGGAAGACAGATTAAAATTTTGAATTACAAAGATTCCATCAAGAAACTTGAATAAGATATGCATCGTGCATGCCCTGTATGCAAGTCTTTGTGCACATTATTTGAAGAACTGGTCATCAATTAGCTTTCAAATCAACCCATGAAGCATGATACACAAAAAAGTCGAAAATGAGAGTTGAGAAAACAATCAAATATACTTACTCATCCTTCAACTTTTGAATCTTCTCTGGATCTGTCTCAAGCATATGTTTCTTGAACTGCTGCCGCACCATATCAACCACAAGTTCCGTATTGTGTTGCTGCATCATCAACAAAACAAGAACCAGAATTCAATTTCAATAAGTTTGGATAGATTTTGTTAGAGTGTACATTTATGCTGCAATTGTTTGATCAATTTCCTAAAATCAGGGAAGATGCATTTCCTAAAAAAATCTGGGACAATTGCTTCTTAAGAACTGATTAAAATCTCATTGAGAAATAACAACAAACACATTTTTCACTACGAAAAAGATGTGTGTGGGTGTGTGTTAGAGAGAACTTTGCATACCCGATGACCAACATATTTAGCTCTTCGAAGACACTCGCGGTAAAGCTACAACGACAAACGATCATTTAAGCTCAAAAAATGGCAAGCAAAATGATTAAATTTTTGGATATAAACAGTGAGGAAATCAAGACTTTTCCGATACTAACTCTGATCACATTATTCGCGAGCTCAGGAGGCAGTGCGGTTTGCAGAGACGGCATGTTCTTACTTTTCCTGTACAAAAATCCCAATCACAATCAACACAGTCAAATATTATGGATTTATAACCGGAACGCAATGCAGTAATTCACAGAGGCAAACTGTCGAACACCTTGCGGGCAAATTCAAGCATGCCGCGATGAAACAATGAAATGCATAGATCGATATCAGGAAGATGTAAGAATCGAAATCGGTGGAAGCGGCAGAGACAGAATGTGTTTGTTACCTTCGACTGTGTGAGAGTGAGTCGGTGACTTAGAGCCCAACGGCAAAACTCAATTCGACTGCTGCAGCGGAAATGCTTTGACTATTTGCGTCGTTGGGTCGTGCTAATATAAGGTTATCTCAATACAGACGACATGTCGTACAGCAGTCATTCTTCTTCTTTTTTTAACAAGCGTTAATGTTAATCTAAAATATTGTGAGGGGGAATCTCTTACACGCACTATCAAGGTGTCATGGGGGTTTAAACTTGAGACTACTGGTATGCAAGTCAATTCCACCTGGCTAGACCTTGTTGGCCAATCATGCATTTTATTCTTCGTTTTTTTGTTTTTATTTTTTTATTTTTTCTATTATCATCCATTTTGAGCTTGAGCCTTTAATTTTCTTTTTGGCTAAAATCAAGACTTCAATTTGAGAATTTATTTTTTGGGAGCATTTGAATTTTGGACTATCGATTACGTAAGTTCTTATTTGAACGTATGATCTAGATTTTACAGTATAATAATACAATCTTTTTTTTTGCATTATAAGTCTGACAAAATAACATCACCCACCATTTATCTATCCAACTACATCACTTGAGCTAAAACTTACGGGCAAATTTGATCCGGTTGGATGCTTGTGGAACATGTTTTGTTGATATTTTTCACATATGGTGCTAATGGACAAGGCTAGAACCCAAAGGTTGGGTTGATTAAACGTACACCCTTCACATTACTATAAAAGAGAGAGCATCCATTTAATAGCTACACATAGGTAGTCATGAAATTCTTAACTGTTACTAAAATTCCATTATCCATATAATGCCAATACATGTAAGCACCCAATCTCATTACAATATTTGTAGGGCCAAAAAAGAAGAAGACCCAAATGGTAAATCACATCATCACACAATAAGGGGGAAAGCCCAAATAGGGATGGGAGCCTAAGTGGTAAATTTCAAGACCCATATCAGATAAATGGCTCTTGGGCTCTATACAGTAAAACAGTTAATTTTACTATAAATATAGAAATAACCCAACCCGAAAGTAAATTAAATTTTACCCTAGCAAGTATACTGGGACACCTCAGCCACACTCTCAGGATCTCCATCCTGCAAGCAATCAATTGGAGGTATAGTGGCTGTTTCTTGAGTCCCATAAGCATTCCAACAAAATGGATCATCCATCAGCTCTCCTTCGTGTGGGTAAAGCTCAACTTCCGAGAGTGTGATGTTTGTACAAGCCACCGTGTCACTGCAAGCAAAGTGAATTGGAGGCCTCCTCACGTCATATGTGCCCTTTATGTTTCTATATGTCAAGTCTGTGACAAAAACTGCTGAAGTTTCGTTTCGACAGGCCTTTGATAGGCAGTAATATTGGTCTACTAGTAGGCAATTCATCACATTCTCCATTTGAATGTTCTCAAATACTATGGCGGATACACAGCCCGTCCCGCCTTGCCATGTCTTGATTCTGACTCCGTTATCGGACTCCCTTATGACAGCGTCACGCACTGTTATGTTGGAAACACATGCTTGAGAGTTGTGCACACCAAGGCTCCCAATGCTGCAGAAAATAGAATGTGATTAATGGTGATTTAGGAAGCATTTGAAAACTAAATGAAACCGGATAATACTAGCTAGAGTGACCACATTAATTGATCATCTTGTATATGGTAAATAGAATTTATTTCATTCGTCACATAATGTAATTTGAAAATATGATCTCTTTAACATTACTCGTTGAAAAAAGTTTTTCACGTAGTCTTTGTTTAAAAAAGGTAAAGTTAAAGCCCATCCAACTGTAACTTGGTGTGATTACCAAATGATAACCAACCTTTTTGCCGAAGAAGTTAAGAAGGGCACTTTTGGACTCAAAACGGATGGTAATTGGTAGGTGGCAACCAAAGAGAGATATTTATTGAGAGAGTATATCATACCTAATCCCGTGACTTGGTCCACAAGTGACACCTCTTATATCAACATTGGCACATCCTGTTCCTATTGAAATGCAATCATCACCTGTTTAAATCATGCCAAATTATTAATTAATTATATATAATTAACACATAATAATACAAAAGGTAAATTTTAAATATAAAAAAACATTTTCCATTTTCTTACCATTGCTAATCATCGAGTCGTATATGCCAACAGATTTTGTGTTCTCTATGTGGATCCCATCTGTGTTGGGGCTAAGCTTTGGTGAGGAAATGGACAGCTTCTCAATCTGTACACCTTCACAGCCATCAAACTTCATGTGGAACTGAGGACTGTTTTGGATTCTCAACCCTCTCACCACCAAATTGTTGCTCATGAAGAATCTAATTAACTGAACAATTCAAACCACAAAAAAAAACAAGAAGAACAAGTTACCATGACTGAATTTTACAACACATTTATAACTGCTGCTTGAATTTGACTGTGGGTAATTTTACTTACAGCAGGGCTGTCACATGGTCCTGGCAATGTGGATCCATTAGGACCCTGAAGTAGTAATAAGATCAGAGTTAATATTGGCATTTAAAAACCAAAAAGTTTACATGAAAAATAAAATTAAAAGAAAGGAAAAGAGAAGATAGGACCAGCTGCTTGGTGAATTAAATTACCCTGTGAGGCTTGCATGGGAGATCCCACCACTTTTGGCCATTGCCTTCAATGGTTCCGCTCCCAGTGAAAGTCATTTGGTCAAGTCTGTAAAACACAAGCCACTGTTTTTGGCTGTCTCCTTTAGGCCAAGTCTGAGGCCCCTCCGGCGGCATCAGAATCCCATCTACCTGTTTCACTTTTGAACTTTAGTTACCAATTTTAGAAAATTAATTAATGAACCAAATTTCACAGCAATGTAGTTTTAAGAGTTTGGATCCTTTCCTGCTGTTTTTTTTTCGACACAAGCGATATTAAGGAGGGGAGATTCGAAAAGGACCTCTCGGTATAGAAGTAACTTCTATTAATCACTTTACTAGTGTTTTTTTGTGTTGATAATTGCACTTATTTCTAAACCTGAGACGTTTTACTCCAAACCCAAAATGGGGTCTTTTCGTTTTCAATTATTTTGATTAATGCAACAACTGTCATTGACAGCTAGATGAACTTATTTTAGAACACAAGACATTTGTGTAAAAGAAAAATGACAAAAGAAAAAAATCTTACTTGGAATACCAGTCCAGGCTGGCAAGGACCTGAGAAGATGGTTGAAGTAATTTTGAAGCTGTAATCTGCAGGAGCGAAAACCACACCAGATTCTACAGCACAGGCTTCTTTCCAAGCCGCTCTAAATGCAGCAGTGTCATCAGCAGAGCCATCACCAACTGCCCCATAATTCATGACATTGAACACACAATCAGAAGAACCAGAAGAATTATTTCCAGGGTCCTCAGGGTAAGGGTCTGAGGGCACATTTGAAAGGGGAGGAGGGCTGAGGCTTGGAGTTGAAGGAGCAACTGGCTCTCCAGTGTCAGGGGAAGGAGCAGGGGAGCTTTTGTTCCTCTTGTGAAAATGATATCTTCCTTCCACGTTGCTTGAGTTTTGGAAGATCATTAGACTCAATGTGATCCATAGGACCATAAACCAGTGAATTGGCTCCATGCCTTTGCTCTGAGAAAATTACCAAAAAGCACTTTTAAGAAAAGCTAGCAAATGAGATAGAAGAAGAAAGTGGCCTGGCATTGAGGACCAGTTGAAAGACTGGCTCTAATTTATACTCAAAATTATAAGTTTCCATAGTGAATTGTTTTCATGCATATATATATAAAGTCCTATACGTGTCAACTTCACGTTGAATGAAAAAAGAAAAAATAAATAAATAAATAAATATATATATATATATATATATATCGTGGTGTCTAGGAAACTGGTTGGAGGCTTTTATGGGGATTTTGGAATTTGGTCTTCTGTTGCAATTTGTGGACTGTTACTCTTTGTTCTCTAGCAGATTTATTTATAGTGATCTCTTACCTTTTTTTTTCTCTGATGCTATATATTTCGTTTGGTTTTGGTTCTGCGCCATGTGGTCCTGCAGGAATTCTAGTTTCGTCTCCATTTTTTTTGTTTTCTTGGCAGTTGATGTTTTCTTAGACACCAAACACAAACACATGGCACATTCTGAGATGAGCTTGGGAGGAACTTTGCTTTTGCAGTTCTGAGCTTGTGAACCGCTCTGAGGCCCAAGTTTCCTAAATCAGTGTGCTGCAGCAACCATATTTTTGTTTTTATTTATAGATTTTATACAAAAACTTTCTTTTTTCTGTTAACTTACAGTGCTCTGTGTGTTTAAGCAATATCTGCTGGCAGGGTTTCTTGGATTGGTGGTTTGAAGCAACTCAGGAAAGATAAATTGTGGACCCTAAAAGACATAATCAATTATATTTTTGCTCTGTTAGACTGTTATGCTAAATATTTTTACTGGTTGCCAAAAAATTCACTGTCCACTAAGCTTTTGGCATCATATTTCACTGACAGTAAGTAAATTTTGTGACATTCATATATGAAGCAAAGATGCAAGAGCATGTATGATATATCCATAATATATGAATGCAATATGCAACCACTCAAGTCAGATAAAGTCACGAAGAAACAGAAAAATAAAAAGAAATAGAAATGAAAACTATTCGTTTTGACAAAGTAGATAACTCCAAGCCAACGGGGTATAGCTACTGGTCTCAAGTGTGTAAGAAATTCTTCTCTCTTGTAATTTAAACTATTACTTGTACTAAGTAAACTCCAACATTTATGTACGTGGGTGGGATGTGTCCATTCAACTTGATACATTATTGTGTGAGTTATATTACATGAAAAATGGGACCTACAAATTTTAACATTAAGATTTAGTTGTATATACTTCAATTTGCTAAACGGAAGTACAAAAATAGTTCACTACCTGAACAAACATATATATGTACAAAATATGTTTCTATATATATAGTCTCTTTCTATTGAGGGACACCCTTTAAGTCCCTATGATTTTTTTTTCAAACGTTCTAAACTTTCTATTTTTTAAGTATACATTCATAGATAATCCTTGCAAAAAAATTAGACAAATTGAAACCGTTTCGATATCTAATTGTATCATACAAAATCAATAAACACGGTGCTTCAAGAAAATACTAAAATTTCAATAATTCAATTGAGCGGTCAAATGATATCGAATTCAAGTGATTTTTTGTAAACGTGATCTTTAAATGAATATATATATATATAAAATAGACGGTTTGGATGAATAAAATACAATACGGGGTGGGGTCTACAAGGGTGTCCCTCAAATAAGCTTATTTGAAGAATCCTTCAATAAAAGCTATATATATATATAAGCAGATATGTACAACTATAACCTTCTATTAATGCATATATTTTTCTCTGCTTTTCAACAAAAAATACTTGTCATATCAGACTCTCTTTAATTACTATAGTTAATTAACCGCATCATTAAATAACTAATAAATAATCAAATTCTGTTTGAGACGCTTTGTTCTGTCATCTCAGGGAATTTTACAAGTAAATGTCATATCATAATTATTCAGTACAATATTCATGTGACATAGAGATCAGACGAGAGAGTGATTTTTGTAAGGTTTTTTGGAATGTAGGGATGAGATGAGAGAATAAAATATAGCTGCAAGAGGTAAGGACTGAGAGGCGATTGGGTGAATGTGGCTTTGATGTAAAAGCAATAACTCTCCCGTGACTCTTGATTGTTGTTTTGCTCTTTTTGTGGTTGTGGCCATCGAAGTAGGAAAGCATGTAGTAGGTTCCCGACAACAATGTTAAAACCATTCACGGGTCCATTCAAACCCTCCCTGTGATCTAGTTAGTTCTGATCCATAAACCCTAATTTCCAAACCAACTTCTATGCCTCAAGTGACCCTACTTAAACCGCAATAAGCGTGCTAATTATCGGTAACTATATCCCATACAGTTTAACATGCTATCTTAAAAAAAAATTCACCCAATCGAATATGTTTAACAATCTCACAAGATAATATATCGGACGATTAGAAATACATTTTTTGAACTATCACATTACAACAAACAACAAGTATTCACCTGACTGCTTGCAGTGCCTGATTCTTCGTCTGGTGCTTGATTACGCTTCTCCCTCGCACCATGCAAATTATGAAATTAAGCCAATGAGGTTATTTGTAACATAACGTAAGGTGGTGCTACCTACTTAGACTGCATTGCAAGTGTATGACTTAGCTTTGTAAAATGCGAGTGTGGAGGTCGCTTTTATAGAGGTTAGATTTTGTAGTGGAAGCATGGGAAAGTGTACGTGCATATAAGGCGCATGTGTTTGTCTTAGTCTTTCACGTGCCAACTCTCACGGGTTAGCTCAAAGCTAATGAGAGGCTTTGTGACAAAAATTTGTGCCGCACTTTTTGAAATTGTGTGATTGGGCTGATTGTGGTTTTCAGCTATAACACGTACGACTGTCAATTTTGCACTCGCCTCACGCTGTTGGTCGACAGACCACACGGTCATGCCTACGTGTCATGCTGTTGCAGGTTGGAAGCTTGTGGGACATACCAAACCACTCGATGGAAGTGTGAAAAGAAAAGGGTTTTGTATCAAAGGTCCAAAAACAAAATTTCACATGCAGCTATAAGTCGATTTTGCTGAATCTCAATACATGAATGGAAGCATCCAGAGCGCGGCACGTGGCATCTGGGAATTCACGGGATAGTGTTTCTGTGTGTCACGGGTGAGAGAAGGATTAACCTTTTTAATTCGGTCATTAGTTTAATTCAGTTTGGTTTAAAATGCTTAGTAGATGTGTTAGTGTGGATCCAAAGCATAAAACAGAAGTTGCCGCTTTACAGACAAGCATTAACAAAGGGTTGGGTATCATTGTCGCAATCTCAATCACACCTAGAAAGATTTGGTACTTTTTAATTTTTTTAAATATTTAATGGGTCATAATTTAAACTTACTTTTGGTGTATGCTTTTGTAATGATCGATATATTTAAGAGGAGAAACCTGAAATCATTTTTATGGGTATTTTATTTTGTTAATTTGTCATGTTAATTATCTTGATCGGACTATCAATCTGAATAATGACTTGCAATGAAAAATGTCGTGTCATAATTACCACTCATATTGATTATCATATTGAAGATCATTCATCGCATTTCTATGTGCACCTTTTCTTCTTGTTTTCTCTTGTTGATTGAAGAACCTCGTCTTAACAATAAAAAATGCATCCCAAATGCATTGCCCTACATGGACAAAATTAACTCTTAACTAACTAAGCTAAACAAGCATGCATTGCCACTTTAGCTCTGGCTGGGTTGCGCTTGCGATGCTATATTCTATAATTTCATTGGAATAATATGCTTTGTAGGCAGATGTGTCTTCTTTCACTTGCAACGTACATAATGAGGTTAGTCACATAGCTGGTAAACGTATTAAGAGCTGGCAATCACGGATTGGGCTCTCTCTCTCTCTCTCTCTCTCTCTCTCTCTCTCTCTCTCTCTCTCTCTCTCTCTCTCTCGCACCCTTTTTTAATTATATATGTTTTATATTTCTAAGATGAATAAAATACAAGAGAGAATGCCCAAAACAACACTTTTAACCCCACTTGCATATTAACAAACACTAAAACCCACTTACAATAGTTTATATATTATTGGTGCTTCTAATCCCTCACCAATAGGTGATGATTAATCTCATTTTGATGTTTGAGCTGCAATTTTCTCCCTCTCCTTTTCACTTTCTAATGAGGTTCTTCTTTCATATTTCTCATGGGGATTTACATATTTTAATTTAATCACGAGGGTTTTCAAAATTTAAACTTTATAATCTTTTACTTTACTTTTTTATTTTTAATTAATTTTTTAGTTGAAATGGATTGTTTTAACCCTCGCTTTGATGGTCAAACTAACAAAATTTGACATAACGACTCAATTGGAACATATGAGAAAGTTTGATAACCTCTTTGCTTTAAAAAATGAAGAAGTTATGTGACTCAATTGAAACTCGGAGTAAAGTTTATTGACCTCTACAGTTAAAAACCTTTTTAGAAAATTAAGAATTCTATAGTCATGACTTTATATATGGCCTTTAGATGATGCCCTATTTTTTAACCGTTAGATCAAATTGGTTAATTTGATCTAACAGTTAAGAGATATGACCTCACCTAGGGGTCATAGATAAGGCCCTCACTATAGAATGACTTTTTAGAAAATACATTTCAGCTGGGTACAACTACAAGGCCCATATTTTGTGTACAATTAGAAGGCCCATGTTTTGTCCTGCCCATTAAAGTCTTGATGGGCCATAACGACAATTTGTGTTGGCTCAATTAGTCATGAGCAGCCCACAAGTATAGCAATGCCAATTGCGATGATTTCCAACTCCAGCATCCAGGAAATGGGCCGCTAAAACCGGACCAATTGGCGCTTGGGTAGCGAGCTTGGTGGCCTCGTGATTACACGTGTCAAATAGCAAACCCTTCTCTGTTATGTGGATTATGACTTTCGTTTTTGGACCATTATGGATTTTCGGCATTATTATTTTAATTTCTAGGACAAGGAATGAGCTATAAATTAATTGGACCAACTGAGAGCACTTCTATCTTATTGTGGCATGACAAAGGGTAAGGACAAATACTATTCACATGAACACTGACTGCACTATAAATTTTTTGATGCATTCCTATCTATTGTCATGACAATCCGAGAGCAACCACTATTTACATAAGATATGAGGAGAGCAATTTGTATGGATTTTGGTGTGAGAAGTGAATAACATGGCTAGGTATTTAAAGGAAAAAAAATTCTAAATTTTTTGATATTTTTTTGGTATTTAAATTAGCCGCTAACCTCAGCTTGCCCAGACAGCAACCTAAGCAAGTCTTGCCTTCTGGCTTGTCCAGTTTTGTGGGCTCACTTATTGCCATGACAAATTTTCTTTTATGGAGTTGTTTTTGAAAGCAAAAGAGGATGGATGGAAGTGCTCTCATAGTCATAGTCATAATCATAATCATGCATCCATGGCTGAAGTTGAGACACAAGACAATGCTTACTCTTCCACGTAACTGCAATAAAATCATTATAGGCTAATTTCTTTTGTTTTTTTGTAAAATACATTAAATAAATTCATATATGCATGTATAATGTGGCCCATACTTATATGCATGACTGTCTTTTGACATTATTTTGAGGCCGTGTAATGTGGGTTTGCCTTTTCAGATTGGTAAATGGATATCCTTTATTTAACGTGTGGAACCTTTGATGATCACAAAAAAAAAAAAAAAAAAAAAAAAGAAAAAAAAAGAGTGTGGAACCTATTGTAAATAACTGTATATCTTTTACAGTCAAGAGAAGGAAAGGATAAAATTAAAATAAAAACTGTATATGTGGACAAAAAGTTGGACAAAATGTACATATCAGTTTCTTTCAAAAGCTACCAAAAGCCAATGTATATCTATAAAAATAGGTGGTCAAGGTCTGAATCATTAAGGGTTGGATTTAGTTAAATTTTAATTAAAAATAAAAAGGTCAGTCGAAAATCAATATGGAGAAGCATGAATTTTTCATGGCCTAAAATCACTTCTGTAACAGCTAAACTAAAAACTAGTTGGTTTGTAAATAATTATTTGAATTGTTCTATAATGTTATAAGTTACAAATTACTCTATGAGAAATTTCAAGTCATGGGACATTATTTTAACTTCATTCGCTATGGTATGTATTTTGTGTTGCCTCACATTTAAGAGGAATAATAACACATTCTATTGAAAATAATAATAATAATAGTTTTCCTTAATGATATGATGAATATAGTTTGAAGAATTAGAGTCCAAAAATTGAAATTGAGAATAGTAAAATTTATTTGAGAACATACTTTAAACAGTCATGAAACTTGTCCTATAATGAAAATTTGATGCAAAGAGACTTTAGCTCCATAACACATGAAATATGTTTACTCACCACTATAACCAAAAGTGCCCTCACAATCCTTCTCAACACTTGACATGTGTCTATTACCATAATCATAGTTAACTCTTTACTTTGTATTTGAGGATTCATGATTATGCACATTGACATATGTCAAATATTGAAAATGATAATAAAGGGTACACCTTAGCAGTGGCGGAGGGAGCTAAGGCCCAGGGTGAGCATGTGTCCCCTTTCAAATGTTCTTTGAGGCAATGGTATTATAATCTTATTAATACAATTATACTTTTTAAATCAAATTTTAAAGTGTCTCTTCTTTTCTTTATATTTTTCTTATTTTCCTTTCTCACTATCATTGCTACCCTTTTCAAATTTCTCATTGTCGTACTTTGACTCTAGTTTTTGTAGTGATAAATTACCGTCCGAATTTTCGTGTGTATCTTTAATAAAGTACATTCCATTTGATTTTTTGTTAGAATCGATAATGAGTAGATAGTTAATGTAACATGTAAATTAATGGAGTATATAAATTAAAATCAGGAATTTTGTATCGAGTGAAAAATTAGTTTAATTGTTACCCTAAACAAAAATATATTTCAACATATAAAGTGCCCCCTATGTGCAAATTTTTTGATTCCACCACTGCACCTTAGGTTAAATTGGTGACAAAAAATGCTCTCCCATAACGCATATTAAGATTTCACATAACTCATTAATAAATCACAATTACATTTATTCACTTATCTTCAAATTATTTCCAAAATGGGAATTAACAAAAAGACAACATCATTACTTATTTGTAAGGTTGGACGTTGTAGCCTTTGTGTGGGTGGCGTCTTTTGTTAATTGCTTTGTTTATGTATTCGGTTGTCCCTGATTGTCCTGCTTACTGGTTGGGACTATCCCTCTGCTTTGTTCTTGTTTCCGGGGGTTTTGGCCTCTGTGAATGAAATATCATTTTCGAAGGAAAAAAAAACAAAAAGACAAAATCAAACGGCACCTGAACGTGTTGCGACACTACAAGTGCAATTTCGAAAGGAAAAAAGGGCAAAAATGGAAAATGGAAAATGAAAATAAAAATATGAGAAATTCTTAAAAGAAAAGGGACACTGCTTGAAACCAAGCACCTGAGAGTACGACATTGCGTAATTTTACCCGGTACATATATATACAGAAGAAGGCTCACTCACACGCCTTGTTACCTCTTCTGGTTCCTACACAGATTGTCCTCATTTGCTCCACTTCCTCTTTGTCATTTCCTCTCAAACCGTTCGCTTCTCTCTCTCTCTCTCCTGCCGCAAGGGTTTGAGTTTTCAAATCCTAATTGGACCCGGCTTCAATGGCAATGCTCGGGTGCCCATCACACTCAGTTCGCGCATTGTTTAGGTTGTGATCTCCGGCCGATCGCGTCCGGTAGGCATCGGTTCGATTCGCCGCCATGTTTGAAGCACACGTAAGGCTATTTGTTCTTCTTCTTTCGGTTTTAATTGTTAACGCCATGAATTTGACTGTCTTGGTGCTCTAGTTTGATATATTTGATCGGGTTAACTTGTTTAATTCTTGAAATTTGACGAAATTCATTTATTTATTGGCTTTGCTGGATTCGTATTATTTCCTATATGATTTTTTCTGTTTTCCAGGTATTATGTATATCTAAGTGATTAGTCAAAAGAACTCAGTATTATTATTAATTTTAAGCCTTCATTATGTGAATTGGCTGGCGTGACAGCGGATAACTGGTTTCTTTAGAATGTTTAAGCCCTGAGAGTGTAATAGGAAGTGATTGTTCTTTCGGTTAAGATAAGCAATGGGTTGAGCATGTTGGGATTTTTGATGGCTAGCACTCCGCAAATGACAATGCAATGGGTTGAGCATTTTGAGTTCCAAGTTTCACATACTTATAGTGTGATTTTTTTCATTTTAATGAAACCTATTTTAAAGACCAAATGAAGTTGCTCAAAAGTTGATAAACCCAATGCTTGACACGACACATAAGAATGATCATGATGAATAGTTTGGTTCGAGAGCATCACCCATTCTCTCTCTCTCTCTCTCTCTCTCTCTCTCACACACACACACACACACTCTATACACTATTGGTATGTGCGTGATGAAGTTGCTAGAATGAAAACATTGAGAGTGGCAAGAAAAGAATGCTTAGAATTCAAAACTGGATGTATTTTTTAACTTAAAAATCATTGGAAGATTTGAGTTCAGACTGAAAATGATATATTATGAAGGTTTTTTCCTAACTTATAACTCCAAGGTTTTCAGTTTATAAAAAACATTGTCACAACCATGTATACAATCTTAACACGCCATCAAGTCTCCTAAGTGGTGAGACACGAAAGGTTAGGAGTGGAAAGGATGCGTTAAAAGCAAATCAAAGTTCAATCACGATGGACCTGCGATGCACTGAGCTGACAGAGATACAATTAATGAAATTCACTGACTGCCTAAGAAACAATAGTATTCCAGTTCATATTCCGCAGAACATAGGGATATCTCTGAAATCATTGGAAATTCTTAGTCCCATAAGAAAATCACTTCCCCGATTTTGGCTTGAAGAGCCTGTATTCCAAAATCTCTGCATGTAATATAATTTTGTGTAAGTTTTATAATGTAGTTTAGATTTAGATTAAAATCTTGCCCTTGCTTGCAATTTTTCTTTCTTGATAACAAAAGTTATGTTTACCAAATGAAAAAACGGATTTACGTTTCAACACTAACGAACATCATGTTTGATCGTATCTAGTAGCTCTACATGAAATGATAACTTATAATGCTTTGTTGGTAGGTTCTGCACTTGCTTCGAAGATATTTGGGGGAATATGTCCATGGACTCTCAGTTGAAGCTTTAAGAATCAGTGTCTGGAAAGGTCTGTATTATGACTTTAGTGGGCTTGAGCCGCGTATTTTCTCATCCTTCCTACCTAATTATTTAAGATTACTACATTTGGTCATAATGTTTGTGGAACTTTTAAGCAATGCGGTTACCGTCTTTGCAAAATGTACTGGCATACAGTGGTTTAAAATGACTCGCTGATGTGGCCCTTTTTTCAAAATAATGGTTGGTGTTTTTCTTTTCCATAGGACTCTACACTCATATCTTTCCTTAAATTAACAGGTGATGTTGTTCTAAAAGATTTGAAATTGAAAGCAGAGGCCCTAAATTCACTAAAACTTCCAGTCACTGTGAAAGCTGGTTTTATTGGTACCATTACATTAAAGGTAGAAACTTCTTCACTACTTGCTCACTGGTTGGGTTTTGGTTCTTAATTTCCATTAATCTTATGGTCCCTTTCTTTTTGATGTCCTAAATTGCCTTGTTTCTCTTATAAATCATAGGTTCCCTGGAAAAGTTTAGGCAAAGAGCCTGTGATTGTTCTCATTGACCGTGTATTCATTCTTGCTTATCCACTTACTGATGGCCGGACTCTCAAGGTAGGGTGATCTTTCTTTTGTGTGAAAAACTTATATTTCAATTGCATATTGTTGGATGTCTCTTTTCTTATGTCCTAAGATCGTCTTGTTTTACAATTACTGTCATCATCATCGTCATCATCATCAATTTGATAATTCTACTTATTAATTTTGTTTTGCAGGAGGACGGGGAAAAACTATTTGAAGCAAAACTTCAACAGATTGAGGTGAAATTTATGTACATGTAATTGTGTCTATATATGCTCTGTCAATGTATGGTTTTGATGGACATCTCATTCATCCCACTTGTAATATTGTCTTTATTAGTAAAATTTGTGTTTCTAATAAAAATACTGGTAAAAGGAGCAAAATAGAAAATTCATATTGCGAGGTTTAGAACTGGAAGAGCTTTGAATTTGACAGTATAGTATGGGTCTATGACTGGCCTAGTTATCCTATATAAGGAGGTAGATAATTAAGATTAGTTGATGTAGAAAAAAAAAAGATTCGGGAAAAAAATGCATACAACACCTATGTTCTGCCTAGTGGGTTTTCTTATACATTCAAATTGAAGTGTTCATTGGTCATGGTATATGAAAGTTTTTATTTATTTACTTATAAATATTATGTTTCGATAAAATTTGTATTTTCACACGGGAAGTTTTCAGATTTAATCCCAAGTAAAATATTTAGAATTTTTTTCTTCTTCTTATATTGCGTGCAGGAAACAGAGTCAGCGACTCTTGAAGCAATATCAAAGTCAAAGCTAGGAAGTGTATGGTTCTTAATTTTATTGATCTTTCACTTTGGGACTCTTTTATTGGTTGAACTTAATATGCATCCTGAACGGTTTTTGTAACTCCTCTCGTATATTTTGTCTTGCTTCTTTCAGTATTAGTTGTCGCTGGAGTTGCCTGTGGTATATGTTTGTGGCACATATTAGTTAGACCTACATTTTTATTTTATGATCTTTTTTTTATAAGAAACACAAGACCTGCCCAAGATTCTCGTATATTTTTTAGTGAGGTAACCTAGCTAAAAATAGGTTTTGGATGAGGCCACAAACAAGATCAATCTTCTTGGCATGTAGTTCTCTCTCTCTCTCTCTCTCTCTCTCCATCTCTCTGCCTTTCCACGTGAGGGAGGATAGCAATTAAGATGTTGGGGCTTGTCATTGTGTAAGACTATTATCACAATTTGTGATTTATTCTTCCATTGTATTTAAGTTTTAGGAGTGGAGATCTTTCTTTGAGCTTTCTCTTGTGTACTTCTGATGTAGTCATTTTTCTACTTGGTTCATTGATATACTTATCATTGTTTACTGAGTTAAAATAGATGGTATAGTTTCGTTCCCATTGTTTGGGACAGAATTTATCAGTTTGGTTGACAGCTGACTGTTTTGCAGCCACCTCCTGGAAATTCATGGCTAGGTTCCCTTATTGCTACCATTATCGGAAATTTAAAGATATCAATTAGCAATGTACATATTAGATATGAGGACTCAGTCAGGTTTGTAAAAATGTGCTTCCTTTGTTTCCTTGAAAGTCTGATATCTTTATTAATTTTGTTTACGCTCAACTCAGTTTATTTCTACTTTTCTGTCTGGATAAATTGTATTCAATTTGAACATGCTCTTTGTGTGCTTCTAAAAACAACTGTTTGTTTTGTAGTAATCCAGGCCATCCATTTTGTTCGGGTGTAACTTTGGCTAAGCTTGCTGCTGTTACGATGGATGAGCAAGGGAATGAAACATTTGATACAAGTGGTGCGCTTGATAAGTTGCGGAAGGTTAGCCTAGTCTTTTGTTCTTGTGGACCTTTTCGAGAATGCATCATCTGTGGATCACAATTTCAAATTCCATTTTGTATAATTTTCTTGATTGTTTTGATGTCTATCTGGACCAAGCCACCTAACAAAAGAAGCAAAGCCACACTTAGCTCAACTGAAAAAACCAAAAACCAGCAGCAACACTTTGCACACAACAAGAGACCAATCAAGATGAATCGCACTATAGGGAACATCCCTAAATGCTTAGATAAGGACGTCCAACCCTTGTAGCATTGCTTTGATAATTAACTTTTAACAATGTCTATTGTGTTTTGTATATTTTTTTTGCTTTTACTTGTACATTTAATATTTAATCTTATGTTGCCTACAAATAATCTCCTTGTGACAGTCGTTGCAACTTGAAAGGCTTGCTATGTATCATGATTCAGATAGTGTTCCTTGGAAGATAGACAAGGGATGGGAAGATCTCACTCCTGAGGAATGGGTTCAGGTTTGTTCTTATGCTGCAGTATTACTAGTCTGTATACTCTTTTATATTAAATGCATCTACTTTTGGTCATGTTGTATATCCTAACCAAATATTGTGTGCAACCAAAAAACCAAATATTGTGTACTTCCTAATAATTTTGCTTTCCTCTTTTCTTTGCATCGATGTTGTACTAGATATTTGAAGATGGTATAAATGAACCTGCTGATGATCGTGGAATGGTGTCTAAGTGGGCTGTAAATCGCAAGTATTTGGTGTCACCAATAAATGGAGCTCTAAAATATCACCGCATTGGAAATCAAGAAAAAAATGATCCGGAGGTTCCATTTGAGAAGGCTTCTCTTGTCCTTAGTGATGTTTCTTTAACAATTACTGAGGTATGCAATTTTTCCTTCCTATCCTTTGCATCCGAACTCTCACCTATTCTGCTGCTGAGAAGCAATATTTTTATATATTTTTTTCTTAATTCTTGGTGAAAGTTAATAAATGACAATTAATATTCTTTTAGGACCTCTTTCAAATTTTAGTTTCTCTTGTTCCTCCCTCCCTCCCTCCCTCTCAACGTTTTCTTCTAATACATACTACTTTTCTTAACTCTCCAAGGAGGGTTTGAGGTGTTAATTTCTTCTTTTCCACATCCCATAAAATTTCTTCTTTTTCATACTTTCTTGGTAAGCAGCTGCAGTGCTATAACAGATTTTCACTTGTTCTTTTTCAGGCACAGTATCATGATTGGATAAAGCTATTGGAAGTTGTTTCAAGATACAAGACATATGTTGAAGTTTCCCATCTAAGACCTGTGGTGCCAGTTTCAGAGGGTCCTTATTTGTGGTGGCGTTATGCTGCTCAAGCAGGCCTGCAGCAGAAGAAAATGTGGTAATATATGTGTTTCTGTATACTTGATAGAGAATTATGCATGTATGTACATATGTTATTGTCTATGTTTGTAGCATAGGCTGTTTACGGTCTGTTAGGTTGCCTTAATTCAAGGCTTACATGTTAGCTTAATTGTTCTTGTTCTTATTTTCTGAACATATATATGTCAATGTTATAAACAAAAAATTGGGATTGAGTTCAAGAGTGCTTAACTTTCAGAAGATCTTTATTTTGATAAGCTTAACTTTCAGAAGTTGGTTCAACCTTTTCACCACATGCTTTTGGTATATTGCAAATTGGGAATGCACTTCTATGAATCTCTCAAAGTCGATTCTGACTTTACGGCTGTTTTCCTAATCAGTTACCGATTCTCATGGGACCGCATTCGGAGTCTCTGTCAGCTTCGTCGCCGCTACATTCAGTTGTATGCTGGTTCATTGCAACACTTGTCAAATGTTAATAATGCAGAAATTAGAGAAATTGAGAAAGATCTGGATTCGAAAGTAATTCTTTTATGGAGGTAAATGATTTAACTTGTGCATATATACCTGCTCCTGTATGATTAATTCAATATTTATCTTGCTGTATGCTTCATAGTTATTATTTCAAGTTCAAAGGAACAACACTTGAGTCTGGATTAAATTTGGATTCTATTATTTGTATGAAATGCAAGAGACCTTTCCCTTTGTTTTTTTCTTCTGATTTTTCAACGTATAGTCTGACAGAATAAACATACAATTGATCTTCATGGGGCAATTACAGAACATGCTCCCGGAGCCCTTTATTTATAAGAAATTAATTAATAAAGATAAAAAAAAATCAATATAAAAACGCATTAATTTCAAAATACAGGACAAGATGTCAACTGAACTATCTAGAGTATTGAGTTAACCCCATCTGGTATGCTTGGTATGGAATGTACAAAGTGATTAGCTAATGTTCCCTTATATTACTTGAAATGCCAAAGTATAAGACTGTCACATGTGATTAAACTTGGAATTTAGTCTTGGGACCTGCTAGGAATTTATTTATATTGTTCAGTTCAAATTAATACAAATCGTTAAGTTATATGATTTTGTCTTCAACCCAAAAGTTACCCTTGCATGTCAGAGGTTTTGATGGGGCATAGGGCAGTTTTGTCATGCTTTTGTAAGTATACCGAGATCTATCAATGTTACCCCTCCTTTCAATGTGGTAATCAGATTATCTTATTCTGAATACTTTACTTGACCATACAGTGTTCAATTTAAACTTTACCATGGAGGGCGTACCGAAGAGGCATTTAAGGATTTTTAAAGGATTTATATCTTTAGCGTCTCTACATATTTTACTTTCTGGGCTTCTTTGCTGAAGGGACCACTTTTTATGTTCTTGTAGCCTTTCTCTGCTAATATATACTATGAAAACATACATTACATTTGTACTAATTGTATGTTGGGCATGTATCATATAGGTTACTTGCACATGCAAAGGTAGAATCTGTTAAATCCAAGGAAGCAGCTGAACAGAGGTCGTTCCAGAAGAAAGGCTGGTTTTCATTTATGTGGTTAGTCTGATCCCCACCATTGCAATCTCTTTGTGTTCTGTGATTGTTCTTGGCCATGTGCCGTGCTTAAGTTATTTGAACCTCTGTCTTTGTGAAAAATCTGCATGCAGTTTTTATCTATGTACGCCTCCCAATTTGTTTAGTTTCACTTCTTTTTTTCCTTAGGCGTACACCTGCTGAAGGTTCTACTATTGTGGATGCTGCTGAGGGATCACAGTTACCGGAAGAAAGACTGACTAAAGAGGAATGGCAGGCAATTAATAAGTTACTGAGTTATCAACCAGATGAAGCATTGACATCACACTCAGGAAAGGACGTGCAGAATATGATCCGGTTTTTGGTAACTGTGTCTATCGGTCAAGCTGCTGCTAGGATCATTGATATAAACCAAACCGAGATTGTGTGTTGTAGATTTGAGCAACTTCAAGTGTCAACCAAGTTTAAACATCGAAGTACCTACTGTGATGTGTCATTGAAATTCTATGGTTTGTCAGCTCCAGAAGGCTCACTTGCCCAGGTTTGTTGCCACATAAATGTCAGCATTGTTATTCACAGCATTAGGTTTCAAGTTGGTGACGGGAAAATGTGATGTGAGTTCGAAACTGTTTTGTACGAATTTTTTTCTTAACTTAGTAACATTTTACAAATTGTAGGGTTTTTTTATTTATAAAATTGGTACTTGGTACTTACTTCAACTTTTTCTCTCAAATATTAGTGGATTTCTGATATTAATTTGACATGGAATCAAAATGGTGCTGTACTTTAAATTTACATTTGTGTTGTGCAAGGTTATTCATCTGTTCTTCCTTTCTTTTTTCTCTTTTGGCAGAGTGTCTCTAGTGAGAAGAAGGTGAATGCTCTAGCTGCTAGCTTTGTGTACAATCCAGTTGGAGAGAATGTTGACTGGAGGCTGTCGGCTACAATTTCTCCCTGCCATGTCACGGTGATTGTCCAATCTTTGAATATAGGGAGATATAGGGAGTGAAACCTACTTCAAATAACCATCTTCTTGAAGTGGTTACTTGCATGGATCCCTAAGGCTCAATTTTGGTTTTATTTGCATTCCCCCCATTCGTCCAACATCCCTTTTTACATGGAGCTTGATGAATCTTTTTTTATTTGCAGGTTTTAATGGAAAGCTTTCATCGCTTTTTAGAATTTGTGAAAAGGAGTAATGCAGTTAGTCCTACTGTTACATTGGAACTGCAACTGCTTTGCAGGTAATGTTATCATCTTTGTTATTATTTTGATTTGATATGTCTAACATGATCATAATAGTGTTGGACTAACCTTTTATCCTTCATTTCTGAGAGCAGATGAAAATTGAGCAAGTTACTCGTAGAGCACAGGAGCAATTTCAAATGGTATTAGAAGAACAAAGCAGGTTAATATACATTATTATTTCTTATTTCACTAATTAATACCTCTAGTTGTTCAGCTTTAAGTGTAAACATCTAAACTTGTTTTTCTTTCCAATGCTCATATGTTGATCGGAAAATTATATTGGCCATGAACTGATTACGTCTCATGGTGTAAAGTATTGGGTATTCAAGGAACATTGTGCTTTTCTTAAAAAGAATATGGTGAAGGTGGACAGTGTTGACAGAAGAAGAATTTGAGCATTAGATAAAAGTAGGGGTGTCAATGGCAGTTAGGATAAGATAAGACTGAGTAGGCTAAGACGTTGCTTTTCATGCACGATTTGAAGACCCAATACAGATGTGTTGTGGTGGTGAAAGGGAGTTGTTATGGGTAGTAGTCATCTAAGTTTAAAACTTTCCTTATGTCAAGTGGTCAAAAGTACTTGGTTGTATAGTGAGAGCGAATAATTTCTTGGTTGCTATAGTGATGTTTCCTAATAATTGTGAGAAAGAAACTGGTGACGATAAGTCCCTTGCATTTGCATTTGTATAATTATTCTGAAAAATGTTGCAGTAGAGCTCGAATATTGTTTTGCATTATCTATGGTCAAGTGTTCATTTGATAGAGAGATGGTTTTATGACATGGAGGTGAGTATTTTCTGAGGGTTGGAGCATCCTTAGCATTTAGATTGCAACTAGTTTCTGTAATGCTGAGTTTTTAGTTTCTTGAATAGGATTGAGCTCCAAGTTTTATGGGAAACAAAACTTTCATTAACTAGAAAATAAGTACAAAAATAGTGAACAAGGAGTCCACATCTTTTAAAAATTTGAAGCCTGCAACAACTCTACCCTACGGGAGATACATCAACACATTAACCATAGAATTGTACAAACGACGGAACAGCTGCTTTCCAATCTGGTAAAATAACAAAGAAGGAAAACTCTCTAATACCGAAGTCCAAAGCTACAGACGTCTACAAATAAGCCTAAGCACTACACGATATCCCATAAGCACTCCACTTAGAATTCAACAAGCACATTCTCAAATGCCCTTTTATCCCTTACCACCCATAATACCTAGAAATTTGCCATCTTAGCACATATTCCCAGACCAACAATTAAAAATTAGAGCTCAACTAGAATTGAGCTGTATTGTTAATTGATTAACATTTCTTCATAGCTTTAGGTGCAAATTGGAAACAAAGTGTAAATGCTTTTCTATCTCTATTTTGTTTGTATTCGTTCTGTACACTCGAAAGAAAACGAGTTTTCAACTTTTGACTTACATTACTTATCCTGTTTCAGGTTTGCTCTTGATATTGACTTAGATGCTCCAAAAGTAAGAGTTCCCATAGGAACTTGTGGCTCTTCCAAATGCGATAGCCATTTTCTTTTAGATTTTGGTCATTTCACGCTGCACACCAAGGTATGCCTTTTTTTTATATTTTATGTAACTTTGAAAAATTGCCTCAGGTTGAATTTGCATTGCCTGAAATGATAAATAATCACTGCAGGATAGTCAGCCTGATGAACAGAGGCAGAACCTATATTCTCGGTTTTTTATAACTGGAAGAGATATTGCTGCCTTTTTTATGGATTCTGGTTCTGACTGTCAAAGTTGCACTTGGGATGTACCCAATAATGATAATCACCCACTTTTATCTCCTTCCCCAGACAATGTTGACAATTTTTATTCTCTCATAGATAGGTGTGGAATGGCTGTACTTGTTGATCAGGTACTTTATCTTGTCGCTCTCCTACTTTTAAAACAAATACTATTTTATGTATGAGCTCTAGTCTGGCTTCTTTTAGTTATTAGAATCATTCCTAATAATAGCTATGCATCTTTTAATTGAAGATCAAAGTGCCCCACCCAAATTACCCGTCAATGCGGATTTCAATTCAAGTGCCAAACCTTGGGATTCACTTTTCACAATCAAGGTTTCAGAGGCTTATGAAACTGTTAAACATATTCTATGGTACTTTGGAAACTTGTGGTCAGCCTGCTGTTGATGATTTTCAAGCAGAAACTCCATGGAGCCCTGCAGATCTTTCTGGAGATGCTAGAATTTTAGTATGGAGGGTATGTCCTCAATTCTAAGGACAACAAGTTGGTAGTTTTCTTAATATTTCTGTGCCTGGTGTTAATTATTCCTCTTTTTTATTTTTATTTTATTTTCAGGGGATTGGAAATTCTGTGGCTACATGGCAACCCTGTTTTCTTGTGTTGTCGGGAATAAATCTTTATGTGTTGGAGTCTGAAAAGTCACAGAGTCACCAGCGACACTTCAAGGTTGCTTTTCTCCTCTCTCTCTCTTTCTCTCTCTCTCTCTCTTTCTCTCTCTCTTCCCCACCCCTCTCTTTCCCTTTTTGTTAACGAGGCTATATATTTATCAGGACTGTTGCCCAAGGTTTTCTATTTTCCTCATCTATTTTGTTTTCTTTCTGGTTCTCTATTGTTGTATTTTTGTTTAGATTATATTAATAAAATTATGATGTATTTTAACGTTTTTGTTTGATAAGTAAAAGATAAGTTTACCTGAACCAGGTGAATTTTAGGTAGAGGGAGCATACATAAGAAACACCAGAAATTTACAACCGAAATTTCACTGAATCATCATCAGATCCTGAGTTAAAGGATTAACGGGACTATCCAACAATGGGATCATATTCGCAACATTGCTATATTGATGTCTTGGAATACAGAACATTATGACTTTCTTGCAAATGAGAAATGAAAGAGGAGATGATCCACTGTCTCATCACTACCTTTGCACATATAGCCCAATCAACCCTCCAAACGCTGGCAAGAAACATCCCATCTATCCCTTAACAACTGATAATAAGGTCTACATTTAATAATACCCCCTTTGCGAGGGAGCTACTACAGCTTATCAGGTTCCTTCCTCCTTATCCTTACAGAGTACAACAAATCCAGAAATGCACAAACAGGCTCTAGTTTCAAATGTGTGCCAACTTATTAAAAGTTGGAGCCCACTGAAATCCCCCATTTGATAGAGTCTCACACCATATAATCAGTGATCAATGCTTCTTTGTTCGAAGCAATAAGATAAAGCTCTGTAGGAGATCTATCAAGGAGTACCGCAGTATACGTCATGCCAAAAGCTAGTTCTATTCCCATCATCCACCTTAGTGCAATAAGATTAGAGGAAGAGGTCAACCTCGTCCCAATTCTCTCCCAAACTCCTACTCTGTAGGACCCCATCACTTGATTTGTACGCCAAAAACCCCACCTAAGCACACTCATGCAAATTGCTTTTCCTCTTCTTTGCCCTACGGTTTGGTTTCTTGAGTAATATGAAAATTTTTGATTGGGCATTTCTTTTGCTATTATTTCCTGCAATTGAATGTTTTATGCTCCTAACGGAAAATATTTTCATTGGGATGCTACAGCATGGCTGGCAGACAAGTGTATGAGGTTCCTCCAGCCAACATTGGTGGTTCATCGTTTTGTCTCGCTGTGAGTTACAGGGGGATGGACAATCAAAAGGTGTGTCAAATTTGGTTGAAGTGATATTTTAACATTAAGGATATATCCTTTTTACTTAAAACTGAAAAAATGGCAAGGAAGCGTTGAGTCTTAGCATATGCCAATTTGCTTTCAAACATATCTTCACCATGTCACTCATTCTTTTGTCAATCGTTTGGAGAAGCAGCAATTACAGGGGAATTGAAAAGTTATATCTGTGCTTTAGACTTTATATCTGGATGTTTGGATTGCGGAAGAACATACATATGTTTATGTTTATTTTGTTCTAGCCCTTGTGCTTGGTGCTGGGATTTTTTTCCTTCTTTAGATTTAATTTTTTAGTTTAATTTTTGTTGTTGCATATTTGTTTCTTTTGCAGGCTCTGGAGTCTTCTAGTACCTTGATTATAGAGTTTCGGGCTGAGGAGGAGAAGGCCATTTGGTTGAAAGGACTTATACAAGCCACATATCAGGCTTCTGTACGATATAAAATCTCGCTCTTGGATCTTAATGTCCTAATTTATTTATATCCTTGGTCCTTATTTTTGAAATTTGTATTTATTCTGGATATAGGCTCCTCCGTCAGTTGATGTTTTGGGAGGAACAATTGATCCTGTCACTGACTTTGGTGAACCACAGATCATGAACTCAAAAACAGCTGACCTTGTCATTAATGGGGCATTGGTGGAGACAAAGTTATTTATATATGGAAAGGTTAGTGTTTCTTTCAGTAGATCCATCTTGTCAAAGTAACTACAGGGTCCTCATCATTCTTGGTTTTGGTTATTTTAGCAAATTTATAGCCATGCATAATTGTTCTTTAGGAGGCAATGAAGACAGAAGGAAAAAAGTTACAAGCCTACTGATTAAGCACTTTGAATTTTTTTTCCTTCTATTTTGTAATGTGCAGACTGGTGATAAACTTGATGAAGAACTTGGTGAGACTCTTATTCTTGAAGTTCTTGCCAATGGGGGGAAGGTTTGTGTGACTATTTCATACTCCATTATGATTTATGACAGCTTGTGTCTTGCGTTCACGTGAAAATTTTGGATGTGAAAGTATATGAGATTTGAAAGTAATATATATATATATATATATATATACTGAGATTGTTGTCTTGTTCATCTTCATGATTGTTTCTATGTTTCTGATCTCACTTGCATATTTGCATCAGAATAGTTGGGGTGTGGGTGGGGAAGAAGTTTCCCTGTAATTTGCTTTTTTCACTATCTTCTTGTTATGATGTACAAGTGTTCTTGGGTCCTTGTCATTTGTAAGTGTTTTGGTATTAAATACTAGGCCATTTTCTTTTACAGCTACACATGAGTCGTTGGGAAGGTGACCTGACACTTAAGATGAAACTGCACTCTTTGAAAATCAAAGATGAGCTTCAAGGTCGCCTGTCAACAACCCCACAGTATTTAGCTTGCTCAGTGCTAAATAATGACAATTCAGTTTCTTCTCCTGTCATAATTGATCCACACTGGAAAGAAATGTCTACTTTGCTTCATGCGGATGATGATACTTTCACAGATGCCTTGCCAGATTTTATGTCTATATCAGATGCAGCTTTTGGTTCACAAATTATGAATATGGATACAAGTGCAACAGCTGAGGACATCAATGATGGTACTGGATTTGCTTCTACTGACGACTTGATTCTTGAAAAGAATCTGGTAAAGGGAAAGGTCATTTCTGGAGAGATATTTTATGAGGCGGAGGGCGGTGATAATTCAAATTTTGTATCTGTTACCTTCTTGACTCGGAGTTCTTGCTCGCCTGATTATGATGGTATTGATACACAGGTAGTGATTGACGTGGGCAGTTGACCTAGTTAGAGATCCTCGATCTTTAATGTATTTGTTTAATTTTCAATGACAAACTAAATTAATTTAAGCTTTGTTTCTAATAAAATAGAAAAAAAGTTTAATTTGCACACTGACCCTTTGTACTGAATTTTTGTCAGATGAATCTCCGCATGTCCAAACTGGAATTCTTTTGCAACAGACCTACTCTTGTTGCTTTAATTGATTTTGGCCTGGATTTAAGCTCTGTGTACTGCACGGAAAGTAGTGCAGACATGAGTAAACTTTCAGATGATAAACCTTTGATGAACAAAGAAAAGATTGAAGAAAATGGGCGTGTCAAAGGGTTGCTGGGTTATGGTAAAGGTCGTGTAGTATTTTATTTAAACATGAATGTTGACAGTGTGACTGTGTTTCTTAACAAGGAGGATGGCTCTCCATTTGCAATGTTTGTGCAAGAAAGTTTCCTGCTGGATCTCAAGGTGATGGGAATATTGTGATTAATAATTATTTAAATCTTCGTTTTTTATTTCAATATGTGTGACACGTAAGTAGTATTTTTAGTTGAAATTTACTTTTATGTGTACTTTCAGTTGATATTCAGCTTTTGTTAACTGTATCAACTGACTTGAGTTATTTGTTCCTTAAGGTGCACCCAAGTTCTCTTTCCATTGAGGCTCCCTCGGAAATTTTAGACTCCGTGATATGTCTCTTGGACAGATCACTGTTGGGCGTGGCTTTGTGATATACGTAATCCAGGTGTTGAATCGCTTATCAAGGTACAGATGACCCTTTTGATCAACTATTGCATTGCGGACATCCAATTTGTTTTATTCAGATATTTCTTCCCTTTTATGAGATACTATTATCTTTTCATTTGTTTTGCAGTTCAAATTTAATTCTTATAATGCTGAAGATGATGATTATGAAGGATATGATTACAGTTTACGTGGCCGACTTTCTGCTGTCCGCATTATATTCCTATATAGGTTTGTTCAGGAGGTATGTTTGACATTGCTGACAAATTCATGGGGATGTATTATTGTTTGCAACCCAAATGCTTAAAGTTTATATTTTTGGGGTTTTATATTCTTTATTTTATTGTTAATGATAATTTATCTTTGTTTTGAATTATGAAATATTTTATGGGCATGCTAATGCAGATAACAGTGTACTTTATGGAACTTGCCACCCCACATACTGAAGAGGCAATCAAACTTGTTGATAAAGTTGGAGGGTTTGAGTGGCTAATTCAGAAATATGAGATTGATGGAGCTACAGCGTTAAAGCTGGATTTGTCACTTGATACTCCAATAATTATTGTTCCGAGAAATTCAACAAGCAAAGAGTGCGTAAATTTGAATGCTAGTTCTTACTGGATAATGTATATCCAATTTACTTAGAAAGTTGAGTTGCATTTGGATGAATGGATTGAGAACTATCTGATAAAGGGTATTAAATAAAGTTATGAAAATGGTTCTGTTCAAATTTCAAACAGTTAGCAGATGAATAGTTGTCACAGATTAGAGGGGCATAGTGTGGCGTTGATAAAGAGAGGTGAAAGCTTTAGTGCCATTGCTGGTGGTGCTGCTTTTGTTTGAGGTGCCTGCAGTGGTGCAGTGCTGAAGAATATGCTGGTGTTAATAGTGGCTGCAATGAGGCAGTGTATAACTGAAGAATTTGCTGGAGTACCATAACTCCAGGATTTTGTTGCTTAATGACCGGATTTATGACTGGATGTTAGATTTTCAAAGTTGAATGCATTTGTTATACCACTATTGAATATTGACATTGTCTCTATGTTTTGTTCAATTGCAGTTTCATTCAACTTGATTTGGGCCAGCTAAAAGTCACAAATGAATTTAGTTGGCATGGTTCCCCAGAGAAGGATCCGTCAGCTGTCCATATTGATGCCCTTCATGCTGAGGTAGATGATTATTGTTTTTTTGTACATCATGATTGAAATACGGAATTATTCATTACCTCTGACATAAAATTGCAGATTCTGGGGATCAACATGTCTGTAGGAATTGACGGTTGCTTGGGTAAATCAATGATACGAGAAGGCAAAGGACTTGATGTTCATGTGAGGAGAAGTTTGAGGGATGTCTTCAAAAAAGTCCCAACATTTTCTCTTGAAGTGAAGGTAACTTTTGCTTGTGAAATTGTAGAATTTCATTGCATTTATCTTTCTGATCTTGCTGCAGGTTTCACATCTTTGGTAGGCATTATGGTGGTGGGGGGCAGTTCATCTTATGGTTGTTTATATTTACATAGGGTGGTAGGGTAGGGTTCATCTTGTGGTGGTTGGTAGTTGATACATGTATTGGATGATATCAAGTACATGGGGTTCAACAATATAATGTTTCACATGGTGAACATACTTGGGACTTTCTGGGCATTTTGGATCGATCCTTGATTTTTTTGTATTCAATAGATTGAGACAACATGTTATATGGTTTGTGTCTTTACTTATTCAGCTTGATATGATTTTTTTAGATTCCACTTCATATGGTACAAATTCTTAATTAACTTTATTTTAATTGTTCAACTGTTTTTGCTTTCTAGACGGCTACATAGTTGAATGAATTTGACTTTCCTGAATTTCAAATAGGTTTTGAATTGATGTTCTTCAGTCTTTCAGTTTATTGGATTTTTACTGTCAGGCATGCAGAATGTCGCAATCATCTTGTTGAGTCCTTTTGATTGTCTTAAACTAGGTGGGCTTATTGCACGCTGTCATGTCTGACAAAGAATATAAAGTCATTCTGGACTGTGCATTCATGAATTTATGTGAAGAGCCAAAGCTTCCCCCTACTTTCCGTGGTGGCAAATCTGGTACGAAGGATACAATGAAGCTGCTGGTTGATAAGGTCAACATGAATAGTCAAATCCTTCTGTCACGAACTGTTACCATAGTGGCGGTTGTAGTCGATCATGCCCTGTTGGAGTTGTATAATGGCATTCATGCTGAGTCTCCTTTTGCTCAAATTGCTGTGAGTATTTACATCAGTTATATTTTGGTGAAGTTTATTCTCAAATTATTATTTTTTGAATAGAAACTTTATAAATTCAAAGGAGATAAACAAAGAAACAAGCAAGTGGATAAGGAATCGACAAGAGCAAAACAAAAGAAAACAGCAACCTCAAGACCAAAACAAAGAAAGGAAAGAAGGACAAAAACAAACAAGAAGGCCACCCAGGAAAAAAGAAAAGAGCAACACATCACTTCACAACCGCTAACAAATCTCTCATAATAGAAGAGAGAGCCAAATCCTTAAAAACAGGAGTGACCAAAGCCCATAACGCTGCCCAAAACTTCACTCTATCCCACATCTCAGCCACCCCCACGCCCTTGTAGTTCTAAAAAATTCTTCTGTTACGCTCCAACCATAAGTTCCAGAACACTGCATGCACCAAGCAACCCCACAGAACTTTAGCTTTCTTCCCCCTACTCAGCACATCAATCTTGTAGTATAACAGCTGAAAGCAACCTTTAGGTCCTGTTTTAGCTTCTCTGAGATTTCAGCTTTTATTTTGGTGTTAAGATTTTGAACAAAGAGTGGTTGGTTGTTTTCTGACATGGTATGTTTTCTCCGAACATGTGGTTATGGATTTATGTAATTGTTTCTCTGCTTTACAGCTAGAAGGTCTTTGGGTATCATATCGGATGACTTCATTGTCTGAGACAGATCTCTACATAACCATTCCAAAGTTTTCTGTAGTTGACATTCGCCCTGATACAAAACCTGAAATGCGCTTAATGCTTGGATCATCCACTGATGCTTCTAAACAAGTTTCTTCTGGAAGTTTGCCATTTTCTTTGAACAAGGGGAGCTTTAGAAGAGCAGATTCTGATGCTGGATTTCATGTGGATTTACCAGTATCAACAATGTTCTTGATGGACTATAGATGGCGTAAATCATCACAATCATTTGTGGTTAGGGTTCAGCAGCCTCGAGTTCTTGTTGTAGCTGATTTCCTTCTGGCTGTGGGTGAATTTTTTGTGCCTGCATTGCGGACAATAACTGGTAGGGAGGAAGTGATGGATCATGAGAATGATCCCATTAGTAAAAACAGTAGCATAGTTTTCTCTGAACCTATTTACAAACAGACAGAAGATGTGGTGCACCTGTCTCCAAGTAGACAATTAATAGCAGATTCTTTACACATTGATGAATATACATATGATGGATGTGGAAAGACCATCTGTTTAAGTGGGGAAATGGATGCAAAAGAACTCCATTCAACTAGGCCTCGACCCATTATTATAATTGGACGTGGAAAGAGGTTGCGGTTTATGAATGTCAAAATTGAGGTACTGATCCTACCCCTTCATCTGTAACAATATTTGTGGCTGGTATTTTAGTTATTTTAATGCAGAATCAAAACAGGCCTAAGATTTCATTACTATTTAGATGGCGTGCAATTGGTGTCTTCCAATAAAGAATGAGAAACTTCGTGTATGACAAGGATATAGAAACCGGAAAAGTGACTATAGAAGATGGAGATTATGTGATCATGAGTCTTGCTTTGTTTTATTTATATATATTCTTGGGTGGTTTGTCTCATGTCTTAGTATTGGGCATGTGTATAGTATATTATTTCTTGAGTTTGCTGCATTTTTCAACATTTGATTGATACTTTCCTGTTATACATCAGAATGGTTCTCTTTTGAGGAATTATACATGCTTGAGTAATGATAGCAGCTACTCAGTATCCTTTGAGGATGGTGTAGACATCATGTTGCTGGACAGTTCCTCATCTGATGACGACGACAAGAAGAGTCTGGAATACTTGCATAACTCGTCTGACACCTCAAATATTTCTTCGTATTCTGAAAGTGATCCAATCCCAAGTTTCAGTTTTGAAGCACAGGTAAGTAAATTATTAATGATAAGGCTTAATTGGTGATTTGCCCGCTGAACTTGTGCCTAAGTTTCGTTTTACCCCCTATCCTTTTTTTTAAAGAAAATTAAGGACCCGAACTAATTGTTTTCGCCAATTTGCCCCCCCGACGTCAAAATCTGCCACTTCCCATCCATTCTGCCATCAAGTTGGTGTTTTGGTGGAGACGTGAAATGACAAAAGTAACCTCCAACTTGATGGCCAGATGGATGGGAAGTGGCATATTTTGATGTCCGCGGGCAAATTGGTGAAAAAAATTAGTTTGGGTCTGTAATTTTCTTAAAAAATATGATAGGGGGTAAATCGAAACCTAGATACAAGTTTAGGGGGCAAATCACCAGTTAACCCTTAATGATAAACCTGTTTATGGCGTACTATTTACTAGGTATAAGGGGATCAATGTCTCTAGCATGGCATTTTCTTTTGCTTTTGTTGATAACCTTTTGTGTAGTTATGCTGGTTCTGATGTACTTAATGATTTTTAGGTTGTTTCTCCTGAGTTTACCTTCTATGATGCTTCAAAGTCTTCTCTGGATGATTCATATGGTGAAAAGCTTCTCCGTGCAAAGTTGGATTTTAGCTTCATGTAAGAGTTGTCATATTTTATTTTCACATAATAATTTCATATTTTCCAGGGAAAAGTTAGGGTGCAATATAATCTAACTGCAAATATGAGTTGAATTTTATTTTTGATATATATATATACACATATTAATGTTGATGGATTTATTGTGAGCATATTTCAGAGATATCTGTACTGATATAGGCAAAAATCCATGGATATTCGTTTAAAAACATAGACATTTTTAGTAAAACTCTGAGGAATTATAAACCCATCATTAATGCATCAATTTTAAGCAGTAGTAATCTTTATTAATTAGTATATTTATGATAACTATATGATATTTTATTTTCACATAATAATTTTATATTTTTCAGGGAAAAGTTAGGGTGCAATATAATCTAACTGCAAATATGAGTTGAATTTTATTTTTGATATATAGACATTAATGTTGATGGATTTATTATGAGCATATTTCAGAGATATCTGTACTGATATAGGCACAAATCCATGGATATTCGTTTAAAAACGTAGACATTTTTAGTAAAATTCTGGGGAATTATAAACCCATCATTAATGCATCAATTTTAAGCAGTAGTAATCTTTATTGATTAGTATATCTATGATAACTATATGATATTTAGGGCGAATACAATATGTGGCGTTGATACGTTAAAAGCACACAATTTTTTTTCTTGTAACTGATAAAAAACACAATAAAAAGTGCCCTCATCCTGTCTGTTTAGGATTCAGCACAACACCTTACCCATTGTCATCCATCACTTAAGGTACCACCATCTACAGTAGCCAGTTCTTCGAATGTGCTATCATCACTCATCATTGTTGTGTATGTGTGTAGTGTTGATCAGAATTTTATGAAAATTTTGATGATCTACACAGATTGATAACCAAATCTTTTTCTTTTTAAAAAAAAAAAAAAAAAAAAAAAAAAGGAACAAATTGTATTGAAAAATTGAAAGATGTAGTTGATGTGCACAAGCAGTCCACAAAAGATATTAGGCACAGCCTACAAGAGCAAAACATAATAGCTGTACTACATGAACAAACACCACTCAGTCCTAAAAACAGCAACATTAACCACCCAATTGACACTCAATGACCAAGACACAGCAGCTTCCGAATCCATGTTCAAGCAAAAGAAGGGCAGTCCGGAAATCAGGAGAAACTTAAGGCCAAATAGAGAAGCCCAAAGTCTTGATTTATTGGCATAGTTCATCCATTGACTCCACAATTATCCCAAAAAAATGATGTTGTTTCCCTGCTTTTGGTTCTTTGAATCATATGTGATTTAGTTCTAGATTTTCCATCTTCAGGTAATGTTTCCTTTTTGTTCTTTCCACCTATATTTGTTGTGGCTGATATGTCTTAAGACAAAATGCATATGTGAATTGTAGTTGCCTCAGTTCTTTGGCAGCTTTTGGGTTGATTATTGACACACACACATACATGTATATATGTATTCTTTCCCATCTCCATTTGCTCTCTCTCTTCTCATAAATGATACTCTTGAGAGCTTGCATTCTGGAAATTTACCACTTATATTCTAAAAGTATTTCAACGTAGTATTGTAGTGGTAAAAGAATTTGCACTAATTGAGCTATATAACCTGTTAATCTAACAGGTATGCATCTAAAGAAAATGATACCTGGATTCGAGCCCTGGTGAAAGATCTTACAGTTGAGGCTGGTTCTGGTCTTATTGTTCTTGATCCAGTAGATATATCTGGGGGTTACACTTCGGTTAAGGACAAAACAAATATGTCTTTGTTATCAACTGATGTTTGCTTCCATCTTTCACTGAGTGTTGTTTCCCTTATACTTAATTTGCAAAGCCAGGCAACAGCAGCATTGCAATTTGGAAATCCTATGCCCTTGGTTGCATGTACCAATTTTGATCGAATTTGGGTGTCCCCAAAAGGTCTTTCATCAGATTAACTGGAGCAATTTGATATCTTACCTGTACTATTTTTTCCATGAGTATTGCTTTCCTGTTAGTCATCAAGAGTTTTGTGTATATTTATGCAGAAAATGGATCTTGTTACAACCTTACCTTTTGGAGGCCTCGAGCACCTTCAAATTATGTTATATTGGGAGATTGTGTGACATCAAGGTAGAATTTGATGGACTTTTTGTTTTGAGAAGAAATAGAATTTTATTAATGAAATGGAAATAGCAATCTGTAGACAAGCAGTTCACATCAACAGATATGAAACTAAAAGCTCCTATTTGACAAGAATAGTTATCAAAGAATGTTGTTCCATGCTGCATATTCTTATTTGGGGTAATAGTTATCAAAGAATACAACGAGTATGCTATGATTTATGCAGAGGCTCTCAAGCGGTAATAAATTAGAAAGGAAGGTAATGTACATATCAGGAGTATAAGTTATGTCCGGTTAGTTTGGAAGGCAGTAATAAGTTAGGATTAGTTGTCTAAGGTTAAAGATGGATTGGATCTTGCCTGTATGTTTCGTGGTTCCGAATGTGAAGGTGGACTTCTTTTCCACAGTACTTTTTGAGTGGATATTAATAAAAGTTTCATTCTTTTCACAACAAAAGTACAAGTCAATCTCTCATTCTTGAGAAAAAGATCTCTTTGTTTTAGGTTGCCAGTAGGTAGAAACATGTCAGGCATATGCTGATGTTCCTTCATCATGTGGAATTAGTACTCTTTGAGGAGTTTTAATAAAAAAATGTTTAATAACAAAATAGATAGTGCGTGCATAATGGTGTAAACAATAATATAAATCATGATTTGCATTTGAAATGAATAATTAAATGAGATGAACTAATTAATAATATATGGATGGTTTAGGGTAGAGCTTGGTAGCTTCTTGTATTTAGTTTATTTTTAAATGTCGCTCTATTTGGGTAAGATGCTTTCTCGTGTAGTTCTATTATGTGTGTTCAGATGCTATATTTAGTTATTTTGGGTTTTTGTGATATGTCTTCAGGCCAATTCCTCCTTCACAGGCAGTAATGGCAGTGAGTAATGCATATGGGCGCGTGCGTAAGCCAATTGGTTTCAATCTCATAGGCTTGTTCTCTGCTATTCAAGGATTTGGTGGGGGTGATTCTGATGTTGGTAGTGATTGTTCTCTTTGGATGCCTGTAGCACCACCAGGATACATAGCGTTGGGTTGTATAGCAAATATTGGGAAAGAACCCCCAACTAATCACATTGTTTATTGCATTCGTTCTGATCTTGTAACGTCAACAACATATTCAGAATGCTTATTTTGCTCTCCATCAAATCCTCAATTTGCATCTGGATTTAGCATCTGGCGTGTAGAAAATGTTCTTGGATCATTTCATGCCTCTTCTTCTGCTGAATGCCCTTCCAAAAACAATTGTTGTAACCTCAGTCATCTTCTTCTTTGGAATTGGAATCGGCATCATTCTTCTCCTAAAGAATCTGCCTCAAATTTGGCTGTTGATCATAGCTCTGGATGTCAGCAAACCAGAAACCAGACTGGAAATTCTTCTGGATGGGATATTGTCAGATCATTTTCAAAGGCAAATAATTGTTATATGTCGACCCCTAACTTTGAGAGAATCTGGTGGGACAAGGGTAGTGACCTCCGCCGACCAGTCTCAATATGGCGACCCATTGCGCGTCGAGGCTATTCCATAATGGGTGATTGCATTACCGAAGGGTTAGAAAATTTTATCTCTCAGTTTTCTTTATCAGTCTTAGTCATTTGATTTATTTTTTGTATTTTTTATTGACCATCATGTGTTCATTCTTTCAGCTTAGAGCCACCAGCTGTGGGCATAGTTTTTAAGGCTGATGATCCCGAAGTATCTGCGAAACCCGTGCAATTTACTAAAGTTGCGCATGTTGTAGGCAAAGGTTTGGATGAAGTCTTCTTCTGGTACCCACTTGCTCCACCTGGTTATGCTTCTCTTGGTTGCATAGTCTCCAGAATGGATGAAGCCCCATGTGTAGATACGTTTTGTTGCCCTAGGATGGATCTTGTTAACCAAGCTAATATTCTTGAGGTGCCAATTTCAAGATCTTCGACTTCTAAGGGATCTCAATGCTGGAGCATTTGGAGAGTTGAAAATCAGGTTAGGTCTTTCATTTTTTTTTTTGGGTTGTTCAGAAACATGAACTTCTGTTTAATGAGAAAGAAGTACTGATGGCGACAGGCTTTACAAGAAATTAAGTCACATTAAGCTCAAATCTCTCACCTAATGACACTAAAAGGAGTATCCCTAGATTGCTTTGACAGTGATGTTCATAAAGAAGCTAAATATCTGATTCTGTCCCATATAAGTCCACTTCCTTGCGTGTCATCAAGTTTCTTGTTATTTCTTTCCATCCAAATAATCCAGCAAGAAGCCAAAACATGTTAAGATGAATATTCAGTTCTCTCAGTCTGAATCTGGCGTGTCCACATGCAGCTGCCATAGCTGAAGTTTGGTATAGTTGTCCGTGAAAAGTAACTTTTACCTTAATGTGAAGTTTTTATTTTATATTTTATAATAAGGTGTTTGTATTTAGCTTATTCTGTTGGTCGTGTCACAAGATTACAAGTTTTTACATAATTTAGGGCTCTCTTCTGTTTTTGCAGGCATCAACTTTTCTTGCACGGGCTGATCTGAAAAAACCGTCAAGCAGATTGGCTTATGCTATTGGTGATTCCATGAAGCCAAAGGCTAGGGAAAACATAACTGCAGAAGTGAAGCTAAGATGCTTCTCTTTAACTGTTCTAGACAGCTTATGTGGAATGGTATGTCTTATAAACACATCCTAAGTCTGCAGTCTGATGTAAAGATGGTTCTCTTTCTTCTTACTGTTAATGTTTGTAGATTTTATTGAGTAACTTGGATCTTTCAGATGACACCACTATTTGACACGACAATCACCAATATCAAGCTTGCAACACATGGTCGACTGGAGGCTATGAATGCAGTACTGATCTCCTCTATTGCTGCATCAACCTTCAACACCCAGTTAGAAGCGTGGGAGCCACTTGTGGAACCTTTTGATGGAATATTCAAGTATTATATTGTTTCTTTCTATTTGGTCTTAGTACAGTTTACTTGATTTTTTTGTAATATTCAAGAATTATTTTTCTTGGCTTTTTCAAGGTTTGAAACATATGACACCAATGTACACTCGCCCTCAAAATTTGGGAAGACAATGCGTATTGCTGCTACCAGTATCCTTAATTTAAATGTCAGTGCTGCAAACCTTGAAACTTTTATAGGGAGCATTCTTTCATGGAGAAGACAATTAGAACTTGAACAGAAAGCAATGAAGATAAATGAGGTAATACTAGTGATGATTTGTTGTATAACAATGCTTTCCTTTTTTTTTTCGGGGGTGGTTTTGGGGGTTGGGGGGGTGTTGTGTGGGGAGGAGTGCAGTAACTATACTCTGAACACCAATCATCTTTGCAGGAAGCTGGTGGTCTATGTGAACAGGATCAGACTTTGTCTGCATTGGATGAAGATGACTTTCAGACTGTGATTGTAGAGAATAAACTTGGGTGTGATATATATCTGAAAAAATTTGAAGAAAATACAGATGCAGTGGATCGGTTGCGTCATGGTGATTGTATTTCTATATGGGTGCCACCTCCAAGGTTTTCTGACAGGTTCAATGTTGCAGATGAATCTAAGGAAGCGCGCTATTATGTTGCTATTCAGATTCATGAAGCCAAGGTTGTAAATGTTGTTAGATTATCTATTTTCTTACCCTAAGATTATGTATCATTTTGTTTCCTTCTTTCAGGAGTTAAGATTGATGCTTTTGTTTGCAGGATTTACCTATTGTAGATGATGGCAACAGCCATAACTTCTTCTGTGCTTTGCGCCTTGTTGTTGATAGTCAGCCGACAGATCAACAAAAACTCTTTCCTCAAAGTGCCAGGACAAAATGTGTTAAGCCTGCACTTTCGAAAATCAATAACTTGAATGAAGGCAAGGCGGAATGGAATGAACTTTTCATATTTGAAGTTCCTCGGAAGGTATCTGAAAATTTATTATCTTCTATTTTTTACGCACATTTTCCTCGGAAGGCAACCATCAATTATGTGACAGGATTTCTTGATTTTTCTCCATACAATGCAATATATATATTGCAAGAATAATTAGAAAGATCACTGAAACAAAAAGAAGGTGATAATTTAGAAGTTTCGTCTTCTGTGTTTATGTATTAGAGAAACTGCATTTATACCTCAAGGCCCCGTTTGGTTCACAGAAGTGAATTGATATGAAATCAATCCCCATATAGTTTCCCATGAACCAAACGCAGCCCAAAATTCTGAAGTTCATCAGATTATGCTAAACCTTAGACATTTGAACGCCACTAATTAAGTTACACTGTTGATGACATTAGCAAGCATTTAGACTTGATATTCTGAGTGTTATGTTTCTGAGCTTGAGTGTGTAAGTGTTGCAGGGACCAGCTAAACTGGAAGTGGAGGTGACAAACCTTGCAGCAAAAGCAGAAAGGGTATGTGGCAACCCCTTTTGTGAACTCGCATCCACACTTTTTGATTCTTGCATTTAGGTTGCTGATTCACATGCTTATTTAAATTAAAACTAGTAAACCTTACACTCAAGAGGGGAATGAAATCTCCAACATCTTGAATATCTTCCATGGTTCTTACTACATGTAACCATCTTGTATGTTCATGATCATAGGAACTTCTCTCATAACCTATCTGTTGCTGCTTCTGATACTGTTCCCAACACTCACTCCACTTGTCTTTTCACTGCCTTTTTTTTTTTTTTTTTTTTTTTTTTTTTTTTTTTTTTTTTTTTTTTTCCGGTGTCCTTTTTTTTTTTTATTTTTTTTTTGTGTCCTGTGCCTGTAACAACATGAATCATGATTGTTCTCTTTTGGGTTGTTTCTTGTTTTAATTTTTTTTGTCAGCCCTTTCGGGTCTTTTAGTGCTGAAACTACATATTTATGGTTATTTACCCTGCTTTCTTTGCAATTTCCCACCAAATAAATAATCATTTAGACTCAGACTTCTCATGCATTGTAACAAAAATACAGGTGAAGTGGTGGGTGCACTCTCATTTTCTGTTGGGCAAGGTGCAAATATGTTGAGGAAAATAGCTTCCGTGAGGGTATTCAATCAAGGTCATGATAGTCAGAGCGTAGTATCATATCCGCTAAGGGGGAGGGTGAGCTTTCTTATTTCACATTATTTTTGCATTGATTGGTGACGTCAGTTGTGCACATGTACTGTTTGTGGAATTGGGTGTTCTTTTCATGCTTATATGATGTTGTACTTTGAAGGTTCAACATAACAATCTTGATGACATGGACGAATGTGGATGTCTGTTGGTTTCAACTTCTTATTTTGAGAGGAAAACAACTCCAATTTTTCAAAGAGATCTAGAGGCTGAAAATGCAAGTGATAGAGACATAGGTTTCTCTGTTGGTCTTGGCCCGGATGGTGTTTGGGAGAGCATTCGGTCATTGCTTCCATTGTCAGTTGTCCCCAAATCACTACAGAATGATTTCATGGCACTGGAAGTTGTCCTGAAAAATGGCAAGAAGCATGCAATTTTCAGGGGTCTTGCAACAGTTGTAAATGAGACTGATGTTAACTTGAAATTTTCAATTTGTCATGCTTCTCGGATTCGAGGTTATGATTCCTCTTTAGGAAAAAGTGATAACATAAATCCTGGAGGTTCTTTTGTTTTACCTTGGAGAAGTACATCAAATGATTCCGACCAGTGCTTACAAATTTGTCCTTCTGTTGATGACCCTCAGCCTCCATATTCATGGGGTTCTGTCGTGGCAGTGGGTTCTGGTTATACATATGGAAAGGACCTGACTCTTATAGATCAGGTTGCACTCTCTCGACAATATACTTCAAAGCAGGAAAATAAGATGCCTAATGTTACTTTTAGGTTGAATCAGCTTGAGAAGAAAGATATACTTTTGTGTTGTTCTAGTACCATAAATAAACAATTTTGGCTTAGTGTTGGGGCAGATGCCTCAGCTCTTCATACTGAATTGAATGCACCTGTTTATGATTGGAGAATATCTGTCAACTCTCCTATGAAGTTGGAAAATCGACTTCCCTGTCCGGCTGAATTCACAATCTGGGAAAGAACAAAAGATGGAAAATGCATTGAACGACAGCATGGTATGATCTCTTCACGTGGGGGTGTTCATATATATTCCGCAGACATTCAGAAACCCTTATATCTTACATTGTTTGTTCAGGGTGGTTGGGTTCTGGAGAAGGTAGTAGCTCTGTCTAAATACAAGTGACTTACTTTATATATCTATACACCATTGTGAGTTTAATAAATATAGTTGGTTTTTTCTGGCAGGACCCCGTTCTTGTTTTGAATCTTTATTCCAATGACCATGTCTCATCATTCTGGATGGTTCACCAGAAAAGTAGAAGGTTTGTGGTTCCAAAGAAAAATGTTTATTAAAATTTGTTGTAAATTATGTTGTTTTGCTGTTGTTCCCATGTTCACAAAAGCTCAAGCTGCTAGGATGTAGTTCGATTCATATTATTTACCACTATGGATCCCAACTTGTAATTTTCAATTTTCCTTCAGTTATATTTGACCCAAAAAAAAGAAGAGGGTTTCAGTTGTAAGGATTACTCAGAGTCTCCCCCTCTTGTGCTATGTTAAATTTTTTTCTTTTTTGATTTTGTTGGGATTACCATTGTTTCTAGAAGTCTAAGATTTAGGATGTGGACCGAATATTTTTTCATATTGTAATTTTCAATTGATATTTGCTATTACTATTGAAGTTCCCCCCCACTGGGATACAGTTCTGGCTTTGTCACTAACTCGGAGCCATTGAAATGGTTATTAAATTTGTCACTCTCTCATAATGTGGATTATGTACCTGTCTCCTCATTGGTGTGTGTTATGTAAGCTTTGTGAGGAGAGTGTGGACCACCTTTTCTTACATTGCCCTTTTTCCTTGAGTCTTTGGGGGGCTATTGTGGAGGGAGGTTGGGACTGTTTGGGTGATTCCGAAAGGGTGCTCTGATTTTCTTTGTTCTGACTTTGTGGTTTGGGGATCGGGGAAGCGCGCTTCAACCTTATGGGGCTGTTTGGTCCACTCTGTTTTCTGGAACATTTGGATGGAGCATAATAGGAGAATCTTTGAAGACTATAAGGGAGTGGGAGTGAGCGATATGTACTGGGCAGCTTTGTGGGCTTCTGTTACAAAAGATTTTAAAGACTACGCTTATTCCACAATTATGAGGGATATGGCAGCTGCGGTTAAATGAGGGTTGGGGGGTGTGTTGTTCTGTGGTTTTTCGGTTTTGTTCCTCCCTGTTAGTTTGGGAGGGGTTGGTGCTGTTTGTTTCTTTATGTTTTGTCTTTGTTCTTCGGTTGTGGTTGCCTTATCCACCTCCGTGTTCTTTTGCTTAATAAATTTCGTTCTCTCTCTCAAAAAAAAAAAAAAAACAATACCCGTTCTTCTTTGGCACTTGCAAATGGAAATATTTGGAAGTGGAGGGAAATAAATATATGATCTTTCATCATATTTTTTTTCTGCTATATCTGTGTGCCATTACAAATGTGTTAGGATGATGTCTTATTGGTATTTCTGAGATCTGTACGTATTGGAAAATAAAAAGACTTCTTGTAATTAGTATGAAGAATTTTTTTTATATCAATTATCTTATCCATGATCTCCATTACCTTCATCTTTACAGGAGACTGCGCGTGAGTATTGAACGTGACATGGGAGGGACCACTGTTGCACCCAAAACAATAAGGTTTTTTGTTCCATATTGGATCACGAATGATTCATCTATTCCCTTGGCATATCGAGTGGTGGAAGTAGAACCTTTAGACAATGCAGATACAGACTCTCTAATACCTTCTAGAGTCAAGTCTGCAAAATCAGCCTTGAAAAGTCCTACAAACTCTATGGACAGGAAGCTTTCTTCCACTAGGAGAAACATTCAAGTACTTGAAGTTATTGAGGACACTACTCCTGTTCCTAATATGCTTTCTCCACAAGATTATGCAAGCCGCAGTGGGGCTTCGCTGTTTCCATCTCAAAAAGATGTATATCTGTCCTCACGAGTGGGCCTTTCTGTTGCCATTCGTCATTCAGAAATATACAGTCCTGGGATATCTCTTTTTGAGCTGGAAAAGAAGGTGACTATAAGAACATCAAATTGGCTTCTAATATTTCTTCTTTCTCCTTTTAATTACTATTGCTTCGGAGTTGCTGAAATTTGTTCTCGATCATATGATGCTTCTTGAATTTTCATTTCCAGGAAAGGATTGATGTCAAAGCATTCAGTTCAGATGGATCTTATTACAAGCTTTCAGCGCGACTGAACATGACCTCAGACAGAACAAAGGTTGGATTTTAATATCTTGTGACTTAAATCTTTAATGTTTCTCCTCTTGAGGAACTGCAAAAATGTGATGATGGACTTGCCAAATTAGACTGATAAATATTGTCTATAGATCTGATTTTAGGAAAATAAGATGACCCATAGCCCAAAAAAATATGATAAAAGATTCTGGTCAGCAGGCCATTTGCATGTTTACAATGAACAGGAGGATCATTGCATGGGGAGGGTTTTACTCATTTGTAAAAACTATAGTTGCTTTTTTCGTACTTGGTGGTAGTCATAAGCTATGCGTTTGTTAAGTTTCATTGATATAGGTATGTATATATATTTTTCATTAATAAAAAAATTTCTCAATGGTTGATATTCAGGTTGTGCAATTCCAGCCCCACAGCTTGTTTATTAATAGAGTTGGTTCCAGCCTGTGTCTGCAGCAGTGTGGTTCTCAGTCTGTGGCCTGGATTCATCCCACAGATTCTCCAAAACCCTTTTGGTGGCAGTCTTGTGCCAAAGTTGAATTGTTGAAGGTCAGTGAAGTTTAATAATATTTCATATTCACATAATTATCATGAATAGCATACATCGTCTGACTCCTATGTGGGGTTTATTTTTCTTTTCAGTTGCGGGTGGATGGTTACAAATGGAGTGCACCATTTAGTGTTTGTAATGAAGGTATCATGCGTGTTTGCTTGAGGAAGGATACTGGAAATGAACAACTTCAGTTTCGAATAGCTGTAAGAAGTGGAGCAAAGAATTCAAGCTATGAAGTTATTTTCCGTCCGAACTCTTCCTTGAGTCCTTACAGGTCACAGTTCACTATCTCTTGTGAAATTTTGTGAAATAAAAAAAGATGATGTTGATGGCAGTGTATTTATCATAAGAACAAAAGAATTCTTTTTGACTTTATATTTTGGGAAAATTTTCTTGAACTAGTTGTGTCTATTAACATGGAAGTCTTCTTATTGCAGTACAATAAAATCATATGTACTAGTTTCTTCTTCTTTACTTGTATACATGTGTTTGTTGTTTCTTGGTCCAATGCTGATAATTTTCTATCAACAGGGTTGAAAATCGTTCCATGTTTCTACCCATCCGAATTCGGCAAGTGGATGGTACTAGTGATTCGTGGAACTTTCTTCTTCCTAATACAGCAGTTTCTTTTTTATGGGAAGATCTTGGCAGAAGGCGTTTATTAGAAATCCTGGTAGAGGGGGAAGACCCATTGAAATCAGGGAAGTATGATATTGATGAGATTTCTGATCACCAACCTATTCACGTGGGAAGTGGACCTTCTAAAGCTCTACGTGTTACTGTAATAAAAGAAGAGAAAGTGAATGTCATTAAGATCAGTGACTGGATGCCAGAAAGTGAACCTGCTGGAGTTTTGAGTAGAAGCCAGTCATCACTTTTGTCTCAACTTTCTATACAGCAACAATCACCTTTTCTCTCTGATTGTGAATTTCATGTTATCATTGAGCTAGCTGAGCTTGGGATATCCATTATTGACCATACACCCGAAGAAATTCTCTACCTTTCGGTTCAGAATCTTCTGTTTGCATATTCAACTGGCTTAGGCTCTGGAATCAGTCGGTAAGTTTGCTTTCAATTGAGACTTGATGGCTTAGAGAACAAAGTGCTTAATTTATTAGTCAATGGATCCAAGTAAATCTTTGCTGCCTTTTTTCTTTGCTTAATTTATTAGACAATTGAGACCTGGAGTGTTTACGCAATGATATCTACTGTTGTATTTTTCTGTTGGTCTTGCTAATAAATGTTGCTAGTCGAATTTTAGGTCTGTAGACACTTTGCCCTCTGTTTTTACAATTTCATTTTTATTATTGATAGTTTGTTTATTAGCAGAAAAAGAAAATAGAAAACAATCATATCACCTAGGGACTGAAAAATCTGGACCAAGCAAGAATCAAAGCATTGATACTATATTGTTTATAATGCACCAATGTGCATTGATGAATATTATTTTCAGTTAGATATAATCTTTCATGAAATATTTCACATTCCATGTATACACTTCGATACATTTCATTATCACTTAAAATTGAGTCTTACTTAGTAAAATAAGATTTACAGTATACTAGAGGCCAATAGTTGGTGACAGGCTTTCATATTATGCGGTCCATGTAAGTCTCAACAGACAGCTTTGTGGTTCTTTCCTGTTAGCAGATGTATATGAGAATCACAATTCTGAAGTGTAAACTTAGCTTAATTTACTCTCCAACTGACCAACCTATGGATTACCTACAAATTGGCTACTTAATTAGACAAAGGCTGAGGCCCCTTAGGATGCTATTGTTGAATTGTATTTTTATCTCTTATGATTGACAATTATTAATTCAGGAATTATGTTCTTGTCCTGTTTGCAGGTTGAAACTTAGAATGCGTGGGATACAATTGGATAACCAGTTGCCATTAATTCCAACGCCGGTTCTTTTTAGGCCACAGAGAGTTGGGGAAGAGACTGACTATATCTTGAAACTTTCAATCACAATGCAATCCAATGGGTCGCTAGATCTGTGTGTCTATCCATATATTGGTCTCCATGTAAGTACAAGAAAGTTCTCATTACCTAGAAGAAGATTTCTGATTTTTTTAACTTCCTGTTTCCCCCCAATTTATTTTAACTGTATGTCTACTGATTATTCAGGGACCTGAGAACTCTGCCTTTTTGATAAACATTCATGAACCTATCATCTGGCGCATTCATGAAATGATTCAGCAGGTCAACCTTAGTCGGTTGTATGATACTCAAACAACTGCTGTTTCTGTTGATCCAATCATTGAAATTGGGTATGCAAGGACTTTCAAAATTGGCATATCATTGTATTTAGCTACATTTAGTGTAATTCCCTTAATTTATGGTACCTTTATTTGCAGAGTTCTTAGCATCTCAGAGGTTCGATTCAAAGTGTCAATGGCTATGTCACCAAGTCAAAGGCCAAGAGGTGTTCTTGGCTTTTGGGCATCTTTGATGACTGCATTGGGCAACACTGAGAATATGCCAGTAAGTGTTGGGATTCTTCCTCCTGCTATTTCTTGAGGTTTTCTTCTCTGGAATTCCTCCCAGAATATCTTTTCTGGACCTAAGTAATTGGAATGTGAAGGCTCATTATCAAAGTTTCGGTGTTGAATGCTTTATTATGGGATAACGTACTTAGAAATATGTATTTGGTAGATCGTAGATGACTTTTAGCTTTGCATCGCATACTTATAAACTCTTCATCTGACTTTGCAATATATACATGGACTGTTCTTGCATCATATATTTCATAGAGTACATTTAACACAATATATTTACATTTGTTATTCAGGTGAGGATAAATCAAAGGTTTCATGAGAACGTGTGCATGAGGCAGAGTTCAATGATTAGTATTGCTATTTCAAACATTCGAAAAGATCTCCTAGGCCAACCTCTTCAACTGCTATCCGGTGTTGATATATTGGGTAATGCAAGTAGTGCACTTGGACATATGAGCAAGGGCATGGCTGCCTTATCATTTGATAAGAAGTTTATTCAAAGCCGACAGAGACAGGTTTGCTTTAGAGTTTGTCATTTGATTAATATACTTACACATAATTGCTTAAAATTGGATATCGTTAGTTGCCAAAGTTCTTTTCTTTTGGCCTGTGGACTGATTATTTTATCATACGTTACAAATTTTTAGTTGGTACTTTATCATACATGTTAGGAGATAAAATAATAATAAATAATTATTGGCCCATATGCTAACTTAAACTTTTGGGACTGTAAACGAAAAAAATTTATCACAGTATGTGAGCAGGAGTTTCTGAGTTTGAGTCCCTGATTGCATCTTTCCACTATAAAGTTGAATTCCACATATTGGGCTTAATGGTGGTAGGAGACCTGCATGCCAGGGGTAATGAATCTATAAAACCATTGATGGCCACATCCTAATCACTTAAGCTTTTGGGACTTGTAGTAAAACTGACAAACTTTATCAATACGTGCGATGCTTTAGAGGAATAAACTGGAACCTTTTCATTCTTATTGCAAAGTGACTAAAATTGTTTTTAAAATTTGCTCATTTTGGACCTTGGTTATTATGTAAGGCTTTCTATCGCTGGACCATGACCACCCTGTGATGAGATTGTCCAGATTTGCATTGGATTCTTGTTGCGCCATGAGCAGATTTTAAAATTTTAGTTTGATCTTTTGATAGATGTTTAGTACATTGATTTCTTAGTTAACCATTTTTATATTAATTTGTTCGTATATGGTCTGGCACATGAAAACAACCCGTGCAATCTACGATACTCTCCTTGTGTTGTACTTTTCGATCTCTTGCTCATTGCAATTTCTACACATGAATCTCAATGTCTGCAATTTATTTAAAAAATTTACTTTGGCAGGAAAGCAAGGGCGTGGAGGACTTTGGTGATGTTATTAGAGAGGGCGGTGGAGCACTGGCAAAAGGCCTCTTCAGAGGAGTCACTGGGATATTAACAAAGCCGCTTGAAGGTGCAAAAACGTCTGGCGTTGAGGGTTTTGTGCAAGGTGTTGGGAAAGGATTAATAGGTGCAGCTGCACAACCAGTGAGTGGGGTTCTAGATCTTTTGTCAAAAACTACTGAGGGTGCCAATGCGATGAGAATGAAGATAGCATCAGCTATAACTTCTGATGAGCAACTGCTCCGCAGACGATTGCCTCGTGTTATTGGCGGTGATAATTTAATTCGGCCATATGATGGGGACAAGGCACAGGGACAGGTACTAGTTGTTTGACTTTCTTTAAAATCTTTATGTTGGAAATTTTATGTTAATTGAGCATGGGGTGGTTTTATTGATACCCCTTTTATTGCTCACTCTACTCCCAACTTAAACATAAAATGAAAAGTTATGGTTGATACCCCTTCATATTCCATACTTTCTCATCTTCTTCAACCTTAAATTAAGTAAATCTACTTGTATGATTATTTGTTGGTTGATATCCAGCTTGCTGTCTTGTTTGGTTATAATCTACTTGTATTCAGTAGCTAAAATTAATTATTTTTCTTTTGTCATGAAGGCTATATTGCAGCTGGCAGAATCAGGTTCATTTTTCCTCCAGGTTGATCTGTTTAAAGTACGTGGGAAGTTTGCCTTATCAGATGCTTATGAAGATCACTTTTTACTCCGCAAAGGAAAAATTCTTCTAGTCACTCATCGAAGATTGATACTGTTGCAAGTAAGTTAGCTGGATTAGAATCATTTCTATCTATCCCCTCCTATCTGCTATACACCATACTCAAAAGTCACCAAACAATGACATTGTATTTTTTGTCATTCAGCAACCCTTCACTGTAGCTCAGAGGAAGTTCAACCCGGCTAGGGATCCATGTTCTGTACTGTGGGATGTACTTTGGGATGACCTGGTCATAATGGAAAAGTCATATGGAAAAAAGGACCACCCAAAAGCCCCACCTTCACGGGTCATTCTTTATTTACAAGAGAAATCAACTGAGGTGAGGGAACAAGTTCGAGTCATAAAATGCATCCCTGATACCCCCCAGGCTCTTGAGGTGTACTCCTCGATTGAACGAGCAATGAACACTTATGGGTCAAACAAACCAAAGGTTAGTGTTTAATGCCATCGCTTTGAGCTCTGCAGTGTCAGGTTATTGCATTGACTTTTATCTTTGTCAAGGTTGGTTGACCATAGAATGCTAAAATTATACCTGCAAACTAAAAATGAAATTCTAAAATGTTTTATCCCCTTGCATTGAAAGTTTCGACAAGAACGTAAAATTTTCTAAAATAGATTGCATATGGTAAGTTTGTCTTGAGTCATTTATTAATGATCTGTTGTTGGCGTAGCTGATAAATACTTTATTTTTGGGGGCTCATTCGCTGCACCCATATAACAAGTTACTAAAGTTTGAAATATTCTTCCTAAATAGTTTTGTTATGCGGCATTCTTCTGGATACTTTATAATGAAAAACTTTGCTTTAATTCAGAGAATGCTGAAAAAGAGTGTGACAATTCCATATGCACCAATGTTTGATAGCACCAGCGCTGAAGCTATACCAAAAGAAGGGGCTGGTGTCTTGTCGCCCCGACAGGTGCCTACATCATTTCCTCGTAGTTCAACTTTTGGCAGCAGCAGCAGCAGCAATTGATTTCTAGATCATTGCCCTTGGGGAAATATGGTTTTTGGGATTTCTGTTGTGGGTCAGGTCATGAATTCCGACTATTGGTGTTTCTTTTTCTGGTTTCAGCCTGCATGTTCAGATGTTCTCACCGTTTGACAGGTATTCTATTTGTGATCGTTGCATGAATGTATTGCAGTTATATTGATGTGTGTATGGATTCAAATATTTAATGACATTAATATGCAATTTTGTTCAGAAGTCTTTGCAGATTACAGCAATGAAGAGGTTGTTTGTGTAGGTGTTTTATAAGAAGCCGTGTCAAGGACAAGTGACAAAGACCTTGTAGGGCATGGATATGAACGGTGTAGCTTCAATTACACATCCATAGGTTTTTTATATTTATAGATACTACTCTCCTAAATATGTACAGGTTTGAGCATTCCATGTATATGTCTTAGAATAGTCAATGTATACGAACAGAAATTACTGAAGGTGATCAAGCCACTGTAGCTGTAGATCTGGTCCCGTATGAACATCATGATATATTATAGGTGACGGATAGGCTTAGGAAGTAAAATCCTAGTGGTTAGCACCCTGTTTAATGTATGGTGTAGTGTAGCATATGAATTGCCTTCAAACAAAAGTTAAGACCTCACCTGTTCAATTATAAAGCTGTAATCTTTTTGGTTTTCATATCTTTGCTGCATGCAAGTTACTACGGTGGAGTTTTTGTCAATTGTCAGCCTTGAAAATAAACTAAATTTTGTCAGCGACTTTCCTTTACTTTTTATTTGATCAGAAAAAGCACCCAGCTCAAAAACATGAAGATTCTTTAACTTTTATTTTTTGTTTTCCGTGGCCCGTGATAAAGTTGTGTTTCTTGTTTTGTTTATTGTTCAAGTACAGAATCAAATTATTATATTGTATTTTACTAAGCCCAAATATTGTGAATTTGGGCCCAAAAGCTTCATCAACTCAGCTATTTAGGGTCCCAAAATTTGAGACCAAGCCCCTCCTAGGTGTTACGGTCCGACGGAGCCCAACTTCAGTGGCTTGCTTCAGGAAGAGGGAGCTGTGATTGTTGAGATCCAACGGCCACCATTTGAATTTGCTTCTTTTGTCTTTTTCCTTTTTCAGGTAAGACAGTTTCCCTTTGTTGGCCATCACGTGTCCTTCATTCAAGTATTCCAAAAGTTTTCCCCCAAAAACAATAAAATGTTATTGTTTTTTTTAGGACAAACTACAGTAAACTCTCCAACATATAGGGTTATTTACGAGTTCATACCCGATTTTGGGGACATTTATGAGTACATACACAACGTCGCGAAAACTTACAAATCGCCTCCCTCCGTTAGCGAATTCATTAGGAAATCTGTTATCTGCCTACGTGGCAAATGTGGGCTCCATTTTTTAATGAGGTGGACTTCCACGTGGACTAAAAATTAATAAAAAATTATATATTTTTCAAAACTAATTTTAAATTATTAAAATTATTTTAAAATTGATTATAAAAAAACAAAAAACCAACCCAGCCAACCACGACGACGACCTTGCCCACCCTTTCCCAACCCCTCTCCATCGCAACCCCCAACCACCCTCATCGACTGCATCTTCCCATCCCAGATTCTCCCAGATCTGTATCATATTAGATTGGGTTTTGAATTTTGACTGACCATCTCAACTCAAAAAGCAAGCATTATGCCATGCTACACATTCAACAACAGAATCCAGATGACAAATTTATAGTTGTAAAATTATAACACATATTTATGAAAGAGATTGGTATTTCAATTTCAAAGTTCGACTCAGTAAAAATGTATACATCATCTGATAAATCGATTCATAAAAGATAGAACGAGAAACCCTCATAAACAGTGACAAGGAAGGAAATAGCAAGTGGAAATTGGAATGGCTTATTTGGGGCCAATCTCTTGGGGAGTCTTGGCCACAATAGACAGCGCATGGAGACCATACTGGAGCTCGTCAGCTAGGGCATCGTACACCATGCGGTGTCGTTTCACCAGGCTCTGCCCCTCAAATTTTGGGGACACGACCTTGAGGTTGAAGTGCGTTTCGCCGTCCATGGGGCTGAAGTTCTCGGGTTCGGGTTGGTCGGTCGGCTTCGGATTCGCCCGATTCGGAGAAAGCTTCGGACTTTCAGTAATTGGGTTTGTGGGTTTGGGTTCAGGGGAAGGGAGGCGACTGCGTTGGGGTTTTGGGGTTAAAGGGCGAGTGGGTTCGATTGGTTCGATTGGTTTGTTGGGGTTGGGTTTAGGGTCTGGGAGAGAAGGTGTGGGAGTGAAAGGTCGGCCATTGAAGGCCGAGATGACCTTGAGAGAGAGATCAATGGTGGGAACAATTACGATGATGAAGATGATGATGACAATGATGAGTTTACACCAGATGAAGATGATTTTTCAGAGGTGGAAGAAATTGGGAGGAAGGGGGAAGAAATCGGGAGAGAGAATCTGGGTAGGGCTTTTAATTTTTAATTTGGGACTTTGGTTGAAAAGAAACGTTTGCTCGTTGTCAATTATTTTCACTTTCTTTCTATAGAACATAAACATGACAAAAACAAAATGCAACATAAGGTTGGCAGACACAGCAAAATCACTGTAATATCTGAAGAGGTGGTTCTTTCATTGTTTCAGTCGGAACTTGTGCTTTGCAAGTTATCCTCAAGAAAGCCATTCAGGAACTGAGTTTTTTTAAGCAGAGTAAAGAATCAAAGAGGATTCTGGGAGGATCCATGATCACGGCCGTCGCCCTTTGGGTTGTTGACGAAAGCTATGAGGAAGAGAGAGAGAGAGTGTTCTGGGTTTGAGTTCTCTGAGAGAGAGAGAGAGATTTAAATAATTTAAAAAGTAATTTTATTTTATTTTATTTGATTTTTTTTAATTTAATTTTTTTAATTTTAAAAATAATTTTGTATTAGTTTTTTTGTCCACGTCAGTTAAAAAAAGGGTCCCACAAATGCCACGTAGGCAGATAACGGATTTCCTGACGGATTCGCTAACGGAGGGGGCGATCTGTAAGTTTTCGCGACGTTGTGTATGTACCCATAAATGTCCCCAAAATCGGGTATGAACTCGTAAATGACCCTATAGGTTGGGGGGTTTACTGTAGTTTGTCCCTTTTTTTTAATATATACAAACGATATTAGGGGGAGGGGCAGCGGAGGAAGCTAAGGAACAAGGCGGGCATGTGTCCCCTCTCAACTCTTCATTGAGTCTATTGTCTTCTTAATAGAATCATACTTTTCTTAACCAAATTTTATTTCTCTCTTCGTATTTTTCTCTTATTTTCCCTTCTCTCTATCATTGCTACCCTTTCAATATCTCTTATTGCTCCGACTCTTGATTTTATAGTGATAAATTATCGTTCAAATTTTCTTTGTGAGTATTTTTTATAAAGTAAATTTCATTTGATTTTTTGCTAGGATCAATAATGAGTAGATAGTTAATATAACAAGTAAAATAATGAAGGATATAAATTAAAACTAGGGATTTTGTAATTAGTTTGGTTGTCACTCTAAAAAAAAATATTTCAAAATATGAGGTGCCCCCTCTGTGAAGATTTTTCAGTTCCACCACTGGGGAGGGGGCTTTTCTCTTACACACTGTTAAGTTGTTTTGGAAGTTGTAACCTTAGTTGTAAGGTCATTTGTAATCTTAGTTGTAACCTTGACAGTGTAAATAAAGACACTTTTTCACTAGACTATATCCGTTGACTTAAATATTATCTTTTATCTACTTCTCTTTCGTATTTAATGTATTAAAATTTTGTGTTTGAAATTTGAAAGTTTTTTGATTAAAATGTTGAGAAAAATAAATCACATAAATCAAAATAAACTCAAAATTGTTTGAGGCTTGCATGGTTGGAGAAAAAAAAAACTTTTTTAATCTGAGTCCGAGATATATACAGGGAAAAAAAAATCAAGAATCCTCTAGCACTGGAGATGCCTAGCTTGCTTAATTTATCAACCAAATTTTTTTATTTAACCAAATCATTGACGTCTTTCCATCAGAAGAAAAAAAGTAAACCAATTGACAGGTTGAAAAGAGAAATGATTTGATGTACGCAGAAAAATTACAGTGGGAAACGAGGGGGTGAGAGATAAACAAGAAACGAAAAGACATCTTATTAATAAGCTAGCCACGCGTACGGTTATGATGCTGTTCTTCTTTACTTTCCCGCTAACATGAAGCATTAGCAACACATACACTCTTTATCTCTCTCACTCTGTTCAACTTCCCATAAGAGATACAACACCCCAAATTCCCTTCTTCTCCTCTTCTCTTTCCTCAGTTCCTCTAGGCAACTCATTCCAAACGAGGTTTGGCTTCAACTTACTTTGTGTTATTTTATTTTCTTCTGAAAATGAATATTTGAAAGAAGCAAAAAGTGTCATTTTGTTATGCTTCTTATCTTGTTTTTTATTTATGTTTTTTCCTGGTTCCGGCTTATTCTGTCATTTTCACGTCTATAATATACCAACATGATCATTTTTGCATATTTTGTTCTTATTGTTTCATTCGTTATGTTAGTTTTGAGTTCACAGTTCTGTGGGTGAATAAAGTTTACATTTTTAAGATTCCATTGCAAGATTTTTGGCTCTGTTGTTAATGGGTATCCATGATTCTACCAATAGTATTTTACTTTTGTTTTTATTATACAAAATATGGGGTTGATAGGGTGCTAATAATTTTTTTTATTATAGATATGTCTGGGGTTCCTGAAAATAATGAAGCTATTTGTTCTGGAAAGAATGGAAAATCTTATCATGGAATTGAAGGCAGTATTGTTGGTAGCAATGATGGGAATTCCATTCCATCAGATCCAGATACAGATGAGAATGATGAGGGGTCTAAAAATGATATGGAAGAAGCTCTAAGAGAACTTGCAATGTTTATGTGCTGTGTAGGTTTAGTTCCACTTAAGGTGGTTGAAGATATGTTTTTTCTGAATCTGGGATATAAGCTGGTTGAATATGATGAGCAGAAAACTCTGAGGGCTCTTGCAGATTTTGTTTGCTCTGTAGACTTTCCACCTCAGTTGGTTAACCATATTACTTTTAGAAAGTTGGCAAATAGGCTTAACCCTTTGTTTAATCTTACTTATGGCATGGTTAGGAGTGAATGCATAAAAGTCTATGAGGAAAGGAAATGGTGGATTAAAGAATACTTGGGAAATTTGGATGGACATATTAGCCTATCGGTGGACGTACTGGGATATGAAAATGTGCGGAACTTCTGTTGTTATGATTATGTATGCCTTTCTGCACATTTTATTGATGAGAATTGGAAGCTCAGAAAGTGGGTACTTTACTTCCGTTGTCGCTGCGATCCCTCTGTTAATTGCTCTGAAGATTGTGGAATTTTTAAGTCCCTTGAAGATTTGGAGATTGCGGACAAGATATCCACACTTGCCACAAGTAATGATCGCTGCTACGCTAAAATGTTTGAGTATGTGAAAACTCACGTCCAAGAAAAGAAGGAACTTCAACTTAGTGGTCAGCTGTTTAATGTGTATTGTTTTGGGGAAATAATCAGTCAAATGGTTGAGGATGCATTTCGCAAGATTAGAGATCTCATTGACAGAGTTGGTGAACTGTTTTCTTCAAAATCGTTACCCTTGTGGTATCTCACAAGTGCTAACCTAAAACAAGCTCTTGAGTTATGGTCTATGGGAGAATTTTCTTCAAAAGATGTGACTGATTCTTACGACGTACCATCCCCTGAGGAATGGAAAATTGTTGAAGGTGTTTGCAAAATTGTAGACAGCATATATGAAGTGTCAAATGCATTATTCCAAACCAAACATCTAACTGCCAATGTTTATCTTTATCACCTTCATGAGCTCCGCGAAATCCTATCCCAAATGTCCTCAGAATCAGAAGGTTTCATTGCAACAATAGTTCAGGACATGATGAAAAAGTTTGACAAGTATTGGGATGACATGTTCTTGCTGTTGGCAATATGTGCAGTTCTGGATCCTCGATTTAAGATGAAATATGTAGAATTTATTTGTTCAAAAGTTAAGGGTGGGGATGGAAGCTCACAAGTAGCAGCTGTTTTGGGGGCCTTTAACAAATTGTTTGATGACTATGTGATCCGTTTTCCTGAAAAAGAGAACTTCATTAGCGAATCATCTTCTTCTGATTCAGATTCAGAAGAGGAGTCTCCTCCCAGACAGGAAAATCATACTTTTGGTGTGCTGCAAGCCTACCAGAAATTCATCCAATTGGATAATCAGCCTACAAAAAAATCAGATTTGGAATACTATTTGGAAGAACCTGTTTTACCTTGGAGCCAGGATTTTAATGCATTGACGTGGTGGAGAACCGCAGGTGCTAAGTATCCTATACTTTCCAGGATGGCACGTGATCTTTTGGCTATTCCGGTTTCTCTTGCAACCTCATTTGATGCATTCTATACTGAACCAAGGCCAGTTGATGAAAGTTTAGTTTGCTTGAAGCCAGACTTGATGAATGCCTTAATCTGTACTCGGAGCTGGCATGGGAGGTTCTTCTGAAAGCATATTTGCAGGTTATCAGTGCAATTTTATTCTCCGTTATTTGTTTCTTTTGTATTCTTGATTATTATTATTCTCTATCCTGCATAATGATCTCTCACAAGTGTTTGTTTCTTTTTAATGTGGTGTTGATGTCTTCAACAGGTACAGTTTTTTGCTTTCAGCTCATGATTACTGGAAGGTTTGGGAATCAGTTTTGTTAAGCAATTGGCATGGACACCAAGTTTGTTACTTTTGAACAGCATTAAGGAAATCGGATATTTAATTTTGTTGGTATTAGAACAGTTTATGGATAATTTTCCCTTGGATAGTGAGAATTTGTTATCTTGATGTCTAGGGATGGTTTAATATATGAATTTCATATTTGACTAATAGCCTGTGTGTGTGATGAGACTTGATTGTCACTTGGAAAAAAAAAAAAAAAGAAAAAAAAAAAAACCTATCTTCAATTTTGTCGAGTGTAATTGATGCCTGTCCCATTTGTTGTTGTCCTTTATGAATATTTGGTTATGCAAATTCCATGCCATATTAGTCTTTCTGGTATTAGATCTTCTTAGTTGCTAATGATTCTTAATCTTAGTTCTTAATGAAAGTGGGTTAAGCTTCCCATTTCTATGGAAGTTCATTGAACCTATATGAACATAAAATTTGAAGGATTTAAAAGATAAATGTTTTGGGCCAACGGGATCTAGCTCAATAAATATCACTTGTATAAAAATAAAATAAAAATAAAGAGATGGTTTGGCGTCCAGTGGGATGGGATTCATGTGGCATGGCATTACTAAAATTTTCTGATATTTTTAAAACTAGATTGCCTACTATTATTTTACATTTATATGCCTAAGAGATTGGACGCCAATTTTTTTCATGCAAAAGGTGAAGTGGTAAACAGCCAAACAACACAATAATGTGACGAAATAATTAGATTAGGATTGTGATAGGTGAAGAGTTGGATTCACCCTAATGTAACCTAGCCACGCCACGTGTACGGTGCTGATGCTGTCCTCTTTACTTTCCCGCTAAAATGAACTATAACGCAAGCAACCTGCCTAAAAGTAAGAATATGCGGGGTATTCATTGGACTAAATGGGAGACATTATGTGTGAGCAAGCAGATTGGAGGATTGGGATTTAGAGACCTTGAGGCTTTTAATCAAGCTCTTCTGGCAAAACAAAGTTGGAGATTATTCTTTAATTGCAATTCCTTGGCAGCGAGAATTTTCAAGGCCCGATATTTTCCGCATTGTAATTTTTTAGAAGCTGGATTGGGGTATCGACCCTCACGTATTTGGAGTTCGTTGATATGGGGGAAGGATTTGTTGAAGGCGGGTTTGCGGTGGAGAGTTGGAAATGGTGAAGATATATATGTTTATCAGGATCGGTGGGTGCCTTTACCAATGAATTTCAAGATTATCTCAATGCCACAATTCGATGTTTCTATGAAAGTATGTGAGTTGTTTAATGCAGCTGGACAATGGGATGAAGAACTATTAAAAGCTAATTTTTGGGAACAGGAAGTGAAGGCTATCCTCCAAATTCCACTGGCTTCAAATCATAGAGAGGATAAATTAATTTGGCATTATGATCAAAGCGGCAAATACTCAGTCAGGAGTGGTTATATGGTTGCATGCATGAAGAAGCAAAGGGAAAATGGCATGGAAGGATCCTCGACACAAGATGGTACATTTTTATGGAAAAAATTGTGGAGTTTGCAGGAGCCTAATAAAATCAAATTCTTTCTATGGAGATGTATATGGGGGTTTTTGCCTAGTAGACAAAATTTGTACCACAAGAAGATCTTGAATTCTCCAATATGTCCACGTTGTGGGAAGAATGTGGAGTTAGTTATGCATGCAATATGGGCTTGTAGTGAAGTGAAAGCAATATGGTCTTTATCACCTTGGAGTGCCAATCGCCATGAGTGGAGAATTACATCTTTCAAGGAACTTTGGCAAGCTGTGATTGTGGTCTCAAGTAACCAGGAGGTGGATCTTTTTGCTTTTCTATGCTGGGATATTTGGAATGACAGAAACAATCTGTTGTTTCAAGGACGCAGTCTTGAGAGTGTATCAGTGTTTAACAAAGCTTTGGCTTATCACACGGAGTTTTACTCTGTAACTCTTGCCCCTATATGCTCCCATAATAGGCAAGGGCCTAGTCAGAGTTCTGTTAATTGGCATGCCCCATTGGATGGTCAGTACAAAATTAATGTTGATGGGGCAGCCAAACTTGCTGGGTTATTACGGGGAGTTGGAGTAGTGATTCGCAATGGAAATAAAGAGTTTATGGCTGCTTGTTCTCGACAAGTGATAGGACATTTTAGTGCACAAGCTATGGAACTAACTGCTGCAAGGGAAGGTCTTCAATTCGCATTTGATCTTGGCTTTCGTGACATAGTGTTAGAAATGGATGCGCAGGGGGTGGTAGATAGAATCAACTCGAATGAAGAGTGTTTTGAAGCTGAAGGGAATATAGTGGAAGATATCAAGGAGATGCAGGGGTGGTTTAGATCTTTCTCCTGTAATTGGCAACGACGAGAAGGTAACAAGGTTGCCCATGAGCTAGCTCAATTTGGCACTCGGAACGCTGGTTTTTTCACATGGATTGAGGAGGAGCCATTATGGCTAACTCCTTTTCTTTCTGCAGATCTAAAAGCTAATGGTTGATCTTTATGTTTGATGGCAAGTGGGAGGTGCTCTTTTTCCTTTGGCGGATTTTCCTCCTTTTTTGGGGGTTTTTTATGCTAAAGGTTTTTTACAGAGGCCCAAACTTGCACATCTTTTTGTTTTCATCTCCGTGTATTATGCTATTTGATTATTGAATGAAATTCCTTTTCATCAAAAAAAAATATATATATATACTGTGTTTCTCTCTCAGTCAATCTAGGCTCTAGCCATGCATTTTGGAGCAAGTATATTGAATTGAAACATAGCCATGTGACAACTTTCAAGTTTGGTAGAAATCGCCAATTCCCTTTTTTTTGGTAGTCTAAACAATCGCCTAACCCTTCTTTTAAAGAAAAGAGGAATGCTAGTAACATTCTTTCTAACCTTCTCTTTTGGACCTTCTCCATTTTTCTCATGACATGTGTCACATTCCTTACACTAAAAACAATATCATTAACGCAGCAAACAAGTTAACTTTTCTTTTCCAAATTTACCCTTATTAAATATTTTTATTCAAAAATTTTACAACTTTTTTATTACTCTCCCACTATCACATTCTTTCTCTCACACGCACCCAGACCCATCTTCATAACCCACCACTCCACCCAGACTCATCCTCGCACTTGGACTCCATTGATTAAGCAAATTGACTCCTTTGCTTTGGCAAAGTCAACAAATGAAACTCCACGTGCACCTCTTGAGTCTTAATTGAGGCGCAAAAATCCTAACACTATTTGTGAGCCTGCTCGTTTTGCAGAAAAAAAATTTCCAGCTCCCTCCCCTTAACCCAAATTCAAAACCATTCGGAAGACCCCCACCGTCCCTTTTCCCCTTCTCCATCATCCCTGCACTCATACCTCACCCACCCTCCCTGCAATTTCTCACCACACCCACCCCCACCCCTTCCCCCAATCTCTATGTATCCGTTCTAGCCCACCATCCTCCTTGAATTTGGGTTTTTGCAAAAAAAAAAAAAAAAAAAAAAAAAAAAAACAAATGACAAATCATCGTATTCATATTTTTGTGCAAAGACGTGTGAAGAAGAAGGTATTGTAAAATAAATAAATGCTTAATTATGTACATGCCCCCTGTGCTTTCCAACTTATCTCAGATTACCACCTGTGTTTGAAAACGTCTCAAAGTACCCCCCAACGTGCAAAACACCGTCTCACGTTACCCTTTTCGTCAGTTTTTTTGAAGTTCCGTTACGAATGTTACTGTTCATCTCCCCCAAAATTCCAGAACAGTAGCCCCTCCCCTTTGTTACTGTTCATCGCTTATTTACCCTCCAAAACTCAGAAATTTCTCCTAACCAACACAACTAGCAGCAAGAACAACTCGAGAGGTTGAAAAATCATACCTGGATCGAAGAAAATGGTGCTCGGAATCGCCCGAACGAGCAATGGAGATTTTGGGTAAAAATCGGCCAATTTCTTGCTTTTTTCGGTGATCCAGACGACGGTTGGCAGCGGCTGAGATGTGAGGGTGGTAGAGGACAATGTGCTGGTTCTTTTGATATCCATATCGTCGCTTGGGGTGGCCGGAGGAGGCGATGGCAGCCCAAAAACTGGTGCGATGAACAGTTTCAAATGGGAGGAGCTGCTGTTCTGGAATTTTGGGGGAGATGAACAGTAACGTTCGTAATGGAACTTCAAAAAAACTGACGGAAAGGGTAACGTGAGACAGTTTTTTGCACGTTAGGGGGTACTTTGAGACGTTTTCCACCACAGGTGGTAATCTGAGATAAGTTGGAAAGTACAGGGGGCATGTACATAATTAAGCCATAAATAAATAAAGATCAAACATGGGGGGGTTGGGTTTACATCGGCGGGGGAGGAGTCGAGGTTGTGGTGGGAAAATGAAATTAATGGCTGGGGTGGGAGGTGAGGGTGGCTGCGCAGGTGGGAGAAGGAGAGATGAGTTGCGGGTGTTGACTGTTGGGTTTTCCCAGAGAAGGAGGAGGCGAGGGCTAGTTGGGGTGGGGATTCGGTGATTGAGGAACCCCTTTTTTTATTGTTTATTATTTTAAAAAATAAAAAAGGGCAAATACGGAAATACAATTAATGCTCTTTTGTGTAATTAAAATATTGGTTTAAGTGAAAGAGAAGTGACACTTGTCATAAGCAAAATGGTGAATGTTCAAAAGAGAAGGTTGCTAGCATTCTCCTAAAAAAAATATTAGGCTTACTGCATTTATGTTAGTGGTATACACTTTAATGGATGTGATCCACATTGTATTAGTAGGCTCCACTTCTATGAGAAAAGTGGTACACGATGCGAGGTTTTTTTTTATTTTTTTGTGTGTGGGGCTTTTGAAGGACTTTTCCTATTGAGATAGATGATAATATACTAAAGGCATGTTTACATATCAGTAATGGGTATGGAAGGAAAATGAATGATTTCTATTCCTGACTTCTCATGCGTTTACTTGCAATCAAGAATTAAAAAATAAGTGGGCCCCACCTCAAAATCCGTAATCACATTCCCTCAAAACTGGGAATCAGATCAATTAGGAGGGAGTAGTCGATACGTTTCTCATTCCTGTTTTCTCTTAATAACTTCCAAAAATACCCTTATCACTTTACCATAATTCTAAAATTAATTTGAATTCTGATTCATGAAAATTAGTAAACAATAACAATGGGAATCAATCACATTCTATTGCTAATTCCATATGTTTAGTAAACAGCTTAATGTAAATGATTCTTCCCATATCGATTCAGTAGTTCTCTTATTCATAAATTATTTGATTTCTTAGTTTCTCCATTACTGATACGTAAACATACCCTAAATTTACACACATTACACGAGTGTTAGAACACAAACCCAAGACCTTGTCTGGATGAACAATTGTTCCAAACCACTATATTAATGAGTACATAAAATAGTATATAAATATGATAAACCTAACATTTTCCCTTCTTTTAAACATACGAGAAGGGTAATGTTGCATCTTTTCTATTTTCCCTTCTTTTAAACATACGAGAAGGGTAATGTATGCATCTTTTATGTAAGAATTAGAGATTTGTCTACAGAAATTGATTTTTTTAATTTTTATTTTGGGAAAAAAATGGTTTGGTTTCCCAGTTTTAAACAAAGAAGGTTACAAAGAAGAAGCGAGAAAATGAAAAGACATGTTTTGTCCTATACCACAAAAGGAAATTTAATGCATGTCTTATCAATAAGCTTAGCCACATGTACGGTTCTGATGCTGATCATTCTAACTTTCGCGCTAAGCAACTCGTAACTCACTCCCACACTGTTTCTCTGAGAGTCTATTTCATTTCCCACAGAAACCCAAAAGTCCCTTTGGCTCCTCCTTCCTCACTTCCTTTCCTTCTTCCTCTCGCCGACTCGACGCAGAGGTTAGGCCTTCAACTCAAGATTGTATCTTTATTGTTCTCTTATCAAAATCAACAGTTGAAATAACGATTCCATGCATTTTGCTTCCTCCACTGTCATTATGTGTTATGCTTTTTATGTTTCTTTGTTCTGGGTCTGGCTTCTTCTCTCATTTTCGGGTCTATTTGCTTACCAATATGGTCACTTTTTTGTGTCTTTTGTTATTATTCTTTCGCTCGTTATCTTATCTTTGAGTTTTCTGTTCATTGGGTGAATAAAGTTTGTGTTTTAAGACTTCACTGCAAGATTTTTGGTTATATTGTTGATGGGTATCCATGATTGTGCGGAAAGAGTTCTTTTCTTGAGTACTTTCGACTTCATTCATGATTTAGTGGAAAAAAAATAAAAAAAAAATAAAAAAAGATGGGCTTGCTATGAATGATGCTAATAATTTTGTGTTTGTTATATATGGCTGGGGTTCCTTCCTGGAGTAAGCCATGATTGTACGGAAAGAGTTCTTTTCTTGAGTACTTTCGACTTCATACATGATTTAGTGGGAAAAAAAAAGAAGAAAAAAGAAGAAAAAAGAAGATGGGCTTGCTATGAATGGTGCTAATAATTTTGTGTTTGTTAGATATGGCTGGGGTTCCTGGAGCTAACGACGTTATTGGGTCTTCAAAGAACGGAATATCTGATCATGAAAATAGCGGCAGTGGTCATAGCAAGGATGTGAATTCCATTTCATCAGTTTCAGATACGGAGGGCACCGAGGAGGTACTTGAAGATGATCAGCAAAGTGATTTAAGGACTCTTGCCGAGTTGATTTGCTTTGAAGAAGTTCCACCTAAACGGTTTGAAAATATTGATTATGCACTCTTAGGTGACTTCAGCCCCCTGTTTAAGCCTAGTTTCAATGAGATTGAAACTGAATGCATGGAAGTCTTTGAGAAAAAGAAAATGGAAACCAAGAAAATCTTAGGAAATTTTGATGGACAGATTAGCCTCTCGGTTGAAATTCTGAGGTGTGAAAGTTACTTTGAGCCTAGCTGCTGCGGTGATTATTTGTGCCTTTCCGCACATTTTATTGATGAGAATTGGGAACTGAATGATTGGGTACTTCACTTCTGTTCTATTTCGGTTTTGGGTCCATCGGATGATTCCCTTCACAAATATGAAGATTGGGGCATTTTAAGGTCGCTTGAAGATTGGGGCATTGAGAACAAGATCTCCGCACTCACTGTGAAAAATGATAATTGCAATAATGAATTGGTTGAGTTTCTGAAAACGCACATCCAAGGAAAGATGGAACTCCAACTTAATGGTAAGCTGTTTTGTGTGTATTGTTGTGGGGAAATGATCAGCATAATGGTGCAGGATGCATTTGACAAGATTGCAGATATTGTTCACAAGGTTCGTCAGGTGTATACTTTTAAAACTGATTACCCCATGTGGTTTCTCAAATTGTTAAACCTGCAAGAAGCTTTGAAGTTATGGTCTCAGGGAAATGTCTCTTACAGAGATGTGACTCACTCTCACAACGTGCCTTCCCCAGAGGAATGGAAGAAAGTTGAAGGTGTTTGTAAAATTGTAAACAGCATATATGAAGTGACAATAAGAGCATTCTTCAACACAACACCTCTAACTCCCAATGTTCATCTTTGTCGCCTGCTTGAGCTTCGCAAAATTCTGGCCAAAATGTCCATTGACTCAGATAGTTTTAACAGAACAGTAGTTGAGGACATGTTGAAAAAGTTTGATAAGTATTGGGATGACATGTTCTTGCTGTTGGCAATATCTACAGCACTGGATCCTCGATTGAAGATGAGATATATTGAATTTGTTTGTTCAGAAGTTAAGGATTGGAATGGAAACTCACAAGTTGCAGTTGTTTTGGGGGCCATTCACAAACTGTTTGATGAATATGTGGTCCGTTTTCCGTTGCAATACAACCAGCAGTTCATCCATTTGAATGATCACCCTAAAGAAAAATCAGACTTGGATTGCTATTTGGAACAACCTGTCTTACCTCACAGTCAGGGTTTTAATGCATTGGCTTGGTGGAGAACAGCAAGCGCTAACTACCCTACCCTTTCCCGGATGGCGCGTGATTTTTTAGCCATTCCAGTTTCTTTTGCAACTCTAAGTGAGGCATACTATACCGTACCAAAGCCAGCTGATGAACATATAGTTTGCTTGAAGCCAGACTTGATGAATGCCTTGATGTGTACTCGAAGCTGGGTATAGTAGGCAGGGAATGATAGAATGTTAACAGGTAATTATCAATACTATTTCCTTTTGTTCTCAATTATTTTCAAGATGATTTAATTCTCACTAAACTTGTTTCCCCCTTTTTTCGTGCGTGTGCTTGATGTCGAGAACAGGAGCAGTTTTTTATTTTTGCTGCTCTTCCTTAGCTTATGGCTGCCTCAATTTTGGAAGGCTTTGGAATCAGAATAGCAAAGCCATTGACTTGGGCATTAAGACCAGTTACTTTTGAACTCCGTTGTAGTTTTGAATTGTTCTATTGAAAAGATGATGGAATGTGTTGCTCAGTATCGTGCTCAATATGATGGAAGCTACCAGCTAATGATATTAGAAGCTTAAAATTCATCTGACTTGATCTTTTCCAAAAAACATGCCTTGGAAACAACATATTGAATTCAACAATATGTTTATGAACATTTGAATGCTTAACTTAAAGTTTTACCAATTTTTTTTTCTTTTTCTTCTTCTCTTTTGGTTTTTTGAAGCAAAACCAATGTCATACTAATTTAATTTAGAGATATTTAGTCATATACCAATTCTTAGCACTAATAATATAGATAAATCCTACACCATTTAATTTCAATAAACAAATAAAAAAAAACCCAAAAAATGACAGCTGACCTTATTGAATTTAATTTTGATTATTAAATTACTTTGATGCCTTATTGAGTGTTTTGAGTATTTTTATGAGGTTTTTGGTTGGGCTTGTTTTAAGAAATTGATTTTTGTAATTTACAAGAGTTAAAAGCCTCTTTATTATATTGTAAATGGGATTTGGGTGTATTTCTAAAGTCCATTTCATATAGGTTTTTTTTATTTTATAATTTGGGCTTCTATATTTGGTATAATAGTGACTCTCCATTTAATTTAAGGTCCAAAAACTAATATGAAGTATACCTTGGAAGACATTTGAATGATAGACGTTGGGGTTTCCTTCTAACTACACAATTTCTAAAACAGATTAGAGAATTATTTGTCCAACATTTAGACTTAACGTCGTGGCTTGGAATCGTGATAAAAAAATGAAACTAGATTTTCTTGACCAAAACAACACACAAGATTTCTTTCTCAGATACTTCTTTGTTTCATATGTGTAGTATATTTATATATATAAAAAACTCACTTTGTCACTCAATAGTAATGAAATGCCGGCTAAACCCCTATTATTTAAAAGACATTTAAATTAGATTTAAAATACATGGTACTTGGCAATTATCAATTATCCCACTTTTAATCCCCTTCACAGTCAATTATCCTACTTTTATCAAATATTTACATTAGATTTAAAATACATGGTATCGATTATCCCACTTCTCAAACTACATAAGAGTACGATTTTTGTTTTTAATGCAAATATGTTATTCTCATATTTTAGTGTACTTACGTACTTTTTCACGAATAATACACGTTTTTTCAAAATTTTGCAAAAAGGACAGAACCAATTTTTGGCTCCCATGTGCTATTGCAGAAAAATTTGTGTGAAACAAGAATAGCACTATTTTGCTATTCCCATCGAATGACAGAATGTCACGTAAAAAATTATCATGCATAATATGCTGTGATTGGCCGCGAATAACAAAACAATATGATCCCCATGTCACACAAGTGTTTCTCATGCTATAGCCCAATGCACTCTTCGAAAAACTTACAAAACAACAACAATAGTTTGCGTAATGTTGCTGTAAGAAATAAAGAAAATTTAGCCTATGCCAGGATAAATTTTGGCTTCCGCCCTTGTTTTGCTATAATACGTATTATTTGCATATTTTATTCATATTTTTCACTTATTATTGAAAAAAAAAGAAGACTAAATAAACCAAATTTAAACAAACAAGTTTTTCTTTAATAAACAAAATGGCCCAATTTTTCAGGGTAAAAATTTGCCAAATAGGAATGTGAAAGCTCATTATCAAAGTCTCTGTGTTGAATGCTTTATTGGAGATTACTTTTAGCTTTGCATCGCATACTTGTAAACTCTTCGTCTGACTTTGCAATATATATACGTGGTGGACTGTTCTTGCATAATATATTTACATTTGTTATTCAGGTGAGGATAAATCAAAGGTTTCATGAGAACGTGTGAATGAGGCAGAGTTCAATGATAAGTATTGCAATTTCAAACATTTGAAAAGATCTCCTAGGCCAACCTCTTCAACTGCAAGTAGTGCACTTTGACATAGGACAAAATAACTTACATCTAACAGGGATAATACTGTTTTGTTATTCCCGATAAAAAACACATGACACATGAAAAAATTATTCTACATGTCATTACGTTATTAATCGGAAATAGTGCTATTCTCCGTTACATGAGAGTTTCTCTCGACATATGAGTAAGGGCATGGCTGCCTTATCATTTGATAAGAAGTTTATTCAAAGCCGACAGAGACAGGTTTGCTTTAGAGTTTGTCATTTGAATTAATGTACTTTCACATAGTTGCCAAAGTTCTTTCGTTTGGTCTGTGGATGGATTATTTTATCGTAATAGCCACGTATTACGGTTCTAATACATTTCATTCATACTTTCGCGCTAAGCAACTCATAACTCATACTCTGTTTCTCTCCCAGTCTATTTCATTTCCCACAGATCGCCAAAACTCCCTTCTCCTCAGTTCCTTCTTCCTCTGGGCTACTCGACGCTAAGGAGGTTAGGCCTTCAACTCGAGATTGTATCTTTATGGTTCTCTTATCAAAATCGACTCTTGAAATAGCGATTACAAGCATTTTGCTTCATCTACTGTGATTATGAGTTATGCTTTCTATGTTTCTTTGTTCACTGTCAGATTCACTGTCATCGTTTTTGTACATAATCTTTGAGTTCTCTTCTCAGTGGGTGAATAAAGTTTGTGTTTTTAAGAATTCACCGTAAGATTCTTGGTTATATTGTTGATGGGTATCCATGATTGTAGGCCAAGATTTCTTTTCTTGGCTACTTTTAACTCCAAAATGCAAAACCAGAAATATATGATCTAGTATAACAAAATGGTGCTCATTAGAATTTTGCGTTTGTTAGATATGGCTGGGGATACGAAGGGCAATGAGGAGGTGGTACTTGAAGATGATCAGCAAAGTGATTTAAGGACTCTTGCAGAGTTGCTTTGCTTTGAAGAAGTTCCACCTAAATGGACTCAAGATTTTGATTCCTTACACTCAATAGGTAAGTTCAGCCCGCTGTTTATGCCTAGTTTCAATGAGGTTGAAACTGAATGCATGGAAGTCTTTGAGAAAAAGAAAATGGAAACCAAGAAAATCTTAGGAAACTTTGATGGACAGATTAGCCTCTCGGTGGACATTCTGAGGTGTGAAAGTTACTTTGACCCTAGCTGCTGCGGTGATTATTTGTGCCTTTCAGCACATTTTATTGATGAGAATTGGGAACTGAAAAAGTGGGTACTTCAGTTTTCTTGTATTTCGGTTTCGGTTTCGGGTCCATCTGATGATTCCCTTCACAAATATGAAGATTGGGGCATTTTAAGGACGCTTGAAGATTGGGGCATTGAGAACAAGATCTCCGCACTCACTCTGAAGAATGATAATTGCAATAATGAATTGGTTGAGTTTGTGAAAAGGCGCATCCAAGAAAATAATGGTAAGCTGCTTCGTGTGTATTGTTGTGCTGAAATGATCAGTGTAATGGTTCAGGATGCATTTGACAAGATTGAAGATATCGCTCACAAGGTTCGTCAGGTATATAATTTTAATATTGATTACCCCTTCTGGTTTCTCAAATTGGCATACCTGCAAATAGCTGTGAAGTCATGGTCTACCAAAGATGTGCTTGGTTCTAATGACGTCGTACCTTCCCCAGAGGAATGGAAGAAAGTTGAAGGTGTTTGTAAAATTTTAGAGAACATAAATGAAGTATCAGATACATTATTTTACACAACACACCTAACTCCGAATGTTTATCTTTGTCACCTGCATTGGCTTCCCAAAATTCTGGCCAAAGTGTCCATTGACTCAGATAGTTTTAATAGAATAGTAGTTGACGACATGTCGAAAAAGTTTGATAAGTATTGGGAAGACATGTTCTTGCTGTTGGCAATATCTGCAGCACTGGATCCTCGATTGAAGATGAGATATATTGAATTTCTTTTTTCAAAAGTTAAGGATAGGAACGGAAACTCACAAGTTGCAGTTGTTTTGGGGGCCATTCACAAACTGTTTGATGAATATGTGGTCCGTTTTCCGTTGCAAGACTACCAGCAGTTCATCCATTTGAATGATCACTCTAAAGAAAAATCAGACTTGGATTGCTATTTGGAACAACCTGTCTTACGTAATGGTAAGAATTTTAATGCATTGGCTTGGTGGAGAATCGCAGGCATCGAGTACCCTACCCTTTCCCGGATGGCACGTGATTTTTTAGCCATTCCAGTTTCTCTTGCAAGTAAAATTGACGCATACTATACTGTACCAAAGCCAGCTGATGATCATTTAGTTTGGTTGAAGCCAGACTTGATGAATGCCTTGATGTGTACTCGAAGCTGGGTATAGTAGGCAGGCACTGATACAATGTTAACAGGTAATTATCAATACTATTTCTTCTTAATTATCTTCAATATGTATCTTGCAAGATGATTTAATTCTCACAAGACCTTTTTTTTTTTGCGTGTGCTTGATGTCGAAAACAGGTACAGTTTTTGATTTTTGCTGCTCTTCCCTAGCTTATGGCTACCTCACTTTTGGAAGGCTTGGGAATCTCAGTTTAGCTAAGCAATTGACATAAACATTAAACCAGTTACTTCTGAACTCCATTAAAGAGATTGAACATTTTTGTGTTGTTGTATTGTAACTTACTTTGGATCTGTTTCCCCTGATGGTAAAAACTAGTTGTCTTGATGTCTAGAGAAGGTTGAATAGATGATGCTGAAGTTTACCTTATTGCCCTTATGTGTGTGTTTTGAATTGCTCTGTTGAAAAGAGAGAACATGGTGGAATGTGTTGCTCAATTATAATATCATGCTCTATTGGATCACAAATCTAAATTGGAAGCTACCAGCCATGATATTAGAAGCAAAAAATTCATCTGACTTGATGCCTAATTGGGAGCTACCTTGCCTGACCCTGAATTTTTCGTATTTTTTAAAATAAATAAAAACAAAAATTCCATATTCGAAACAACATATACGCCACCAGAAAGGTCTGTAATAAATTTTTTACTTCCAATTTATTTAGATTTAAGGTTGTGGCTTGGAATAGTCATAAAAAATGAAACTCAACAGTTTGTTCATGAAGATTTCTGGCTCCTTTTTTCCCCGTCAAAACACACAAGATTTCTTACTCAAATACTTCTTTGTTTCATAAATGAAGAAAACTCACTTTGTGCAAACGTGTTATTTGCATATTATAGTGTACTAACGTAATTTTCCCGAATAATACACGTTTTTTCAAAATTTTGCAACAAGGGCGAACCAGTTTATAGCTCCCATGTGCTATATATAGCACAATGCACTCCTTGAAAAACTTACAAAACAACAACAATAGTTTACGTAATGTTGCTGAAACAAAATAATTTAGCCAACCCGAGATAAATTTCTGCTTCCGCCTTTGTATTATTAGAATATTTTGTTCATTTTTCGAGTATTATTGAGAAAAAGACAACAAAAAATTATAAATTATAAAATGGCCCAAATTTCAGGGTATGTTTTTAAGAAATTTGCCAAATAGCGCACCTGCCGTATTTTCAGGGTATGTTTGTTTGTGAAATACCGAAAGAAAAATTGTGGCATGTGTTGTAAATAACGGTTTCGATGCATTTTATTCATACTTTCGCGCTAAGCAACTCATAACTCATACTCTCTCTGTTTCTCTCCCGGTCTATTGCATTTCCCACAGAACGCCAAAACTCCCTTGTCCTCAGTTCCTTCTACCTCTGGGCTACTCGACGCTAAGGAGGTTAGGCCTTCAACTCAAGATTGTATCTTTATCGTTCTCTTATCAAAATCAACTCTTGAAATGGCGATTACAAGCATTTGCTTCTTCTACTGTCATTATGTGTTATGCTTTCTATGTTTCTTTGTTCTGGGTCTGCCTTATTATCTCACTCTCAGAGCATTTTTCCCTTCTTCTTTTTTATTTCTCTTTCATTCTGTGTACTAGCTTTGAGTTCTCTGTCCAGTGGGTGAAAAAAGTTCGGGTTTTTAAGAATTTACTGTAAGATTTTTGGTTATAATCTTTGACTTTTCTTCTCTGTGGGTTAATAAAGTTTGTGTTTTTTAAGAATTCACTGTAAGATTCTTGCTTATAATCTTTGAGTTTTCTTCTCAGTGGGTGAATAAAGTTTGTGTTTTTAAGAATTCACTGTACAATTCTTGGTTATATTGTTCATGGGTATCCATGATTGCAGGGCAAGATTACAAGCATTTTGCTTCTTCTGATCTGCTGTCATTATGTGTTATGCTTTTTATGTTTCTTCGTTCTGGGTCTGCCTTATTCTCTCATTCTCGGGTCCAATGTGATCATTTTTGCCTATTTTGTTATTTCTCTTTCGTTCTTTATATTATCGTTGAGTTCTCTGCTCAGTGGGTGAATAAAGTTTGTGTTTTTAATAAGATTCTTGGTTATATTATTGATGGGTATCCATGATGGTACGCCAAGATTTCTTTTCTTGGGTACTTTTAACTCCAAAATGCAAAACCAGAAATAGACTGCATACATGATTTAGTAGAACAAAATGAGGTTGCTGTGGTGCTTATTAGAATTTTGTGTTTTTTTAGATATGTCTGGGGTTGCTGAATCTAATACAGTTACCGGGTCTGCAAAGAATGGAATATCTGATTCTACTGAAGAGAATTCTAGCAGTGGTCATAGCAAGGATGAGAGTTCCTTTTCATCAGTTTCAGATACGAAGGTCAGGAAGGTAGTTGAATATGACCAGCAGAAAGATTTAAGGACTCTTGCAGAGTGGATTTGCTCTGGAGCAGTTCAACCTGAATGGGCTGGAGATATTACATGGTCAAATAGTATGTTTAATCCGCTGTTTAAGCCTAGTTTCAATGAGGTTGAAACTAAATGCATGGAAGTCTATGAGGAAAAGAAAATGGAAACCAAGAAAATCTTAGGTAACTTTGATGGACAGATTAGCCTCTCGGTGGACAATCTGAGGTGCGAAAATCACATTGACCCTCGCTGCTGTGGTGATTATTTGTGCCTTTCCGCACATTTTGTTGATGAGAATTGGAAACTGAAAAAACGGGTACTTTGCTTTAGTTCTCGTTCGGTTTCGGGTCCGTCTGATGATTCCCTTCACGGACATGAAGATTGGGGCATTGAGAACAAGATACGCGCAGTCACTGTGAATAATGGGAAGTGCTATAAGGAAATGGTTGAGCATGTTAAAAGGCACATCCAAGAAAAGAAGGAATTCCAACTTAATCCAGTGTTTCCTGTGTATTGTTGTGGGGAAATATTCAGAGTAATGGTGCAGGATGCATTTGGCAAGATTGAAGATATCGTTTGCAAGGTTCAGCAGGTGCATTATTTTAAAACTTCTGAGCCCCTGTGGTCTACAATATGGTTAAATCTGCAAGAAGCTGTGAAGTCATGGTCAACAGGAAAACTCTCTACCAAAGATGTGATTGGTTCTAATGACGTACCTTCCCCAGAGGAATGGAAGAAAGTCGAAGGTGTTTGTAAAATTATAGGGAGCATAGATGAAGTATCAGAAGCATTATTTTACACAACACCTCTAACTCCCAATGTTTATCTTTATCACCTCCATGAGCTTCACGGAATTCTTACCAAAATGTCCACTGACTCAGATTGTTTTAATAGAACAATAGTTAAGGACATGCTGAAAAAGTTTGATCAGTATTTGGATAATGACATGTTCTTGCTGTTGACAATGTCTGCAGCACTGGATCCTCGATTCAAGATGAGATATATTGAATTCTTTTGTTCAGAGGTTAAGTGTAAGGACGAAAAAACACAAGTTGCAAATGTTTTATGGGCGATGCAGAAACTGTTCGATGACTACGTGATCCGTTTTCCTACTGAAGGGGAGTCTTGTCGTTCTAGACGTTGGAAACGCAGTTTTAGAGTGGTAAAGGACTACCAGCAGTTCATCTGTTCAAATGACCGCCCTGCGAAAAAATCAGACTTGGATCGCTATTTGGAAGAACCTGTGTTACCTTGGAGTCCAGATTTTAATGCATTGTCTTGGTGGAGAACCGCAGGCACTGCGTACCCTACCCTTTCCCGGATGGCACGGGACTTTTTGGCCATGCCAATGTCTCTGTCAACTGGAAATGGTGTATACTATACTGTACCAAAGCCAGCTGATGAACATATAGTTCGCTTGAAGCCAGACTTGATGAATGCCTTGATGTGTACTCGAAGCTGGGTATAGTAGGCAGGCACTGATACAATGTTAACAGGTAATTATCAATACTATTTCTTCTTTGTTCTTTTTGTTCTTAATTATCTTCAATATGTATCCTGCAAGATGATTTAATTCTCACAAGATTTTTTTCCCCTTTTTTTGTGCGTGTGCTTGATGTCGAGAACAGGTACAGTTTTTGCTTTTTGCTGCTCTTCCCTAGCTTATGGCTACCTCACTTTTGGAAGGCTTGGGAATCTCAGTTTAGCTAAGCAATTGACATAGACATTAAAGCAGTTACTTCTGAACTCCATTACAGAGATTGAACATTCCTTTTTTCTGTTGTTGTATTGTAAATTTGTTTCCCTTGGATAGGAAAAACTAGCTGTCCTGTCTTGTTGTCTTGAGATGGGTGAATATATGATGCTAAATTTTACCCTATCGCTGCATTTGTATATTGCACTTTGGTTGAAATTCTGGTAACTTTACTGGTTCATAATATAGTAAAAGTGGAATTACAATATCCTGTGTGTTTTGAACTTTGATTTCATTGTAGTTTTGAACTTTTCTGTGGAGAGACAATGGACATGATGGAGTTTGCTGCTCAGCAATTATATTAGGAACAAAAATTCAACTGACTTTATCTATCCTAAGCATGTTACAAAAATAAATGAAATCGAAATCAGGACTGTAATAAATAAAAAATGACTTGATCATAATTTTGAATCCTTAGCATCCCAAACTTTTTTTCCAACCCTTTCTTTTTGGAAGTTTTGTAAAGAACACTGTAATTAAAAAAAATTTAATTCAACAATTTCTTCATGAAGATTTCTTACTCCTTTTTTCAACAATTATTCAGACTTGCTTTGCTATGAATATTGGAAGAGGTCTGTCAATTCGAATCCCCCTTCCTTATAAATGTAAAAATATATATATATATATTTTAAAAAAAAACCAAATTTGATTAATCAAAATGCTAAAATTCACAACTTAAACAAAATATAATTATAAACAAACACAACAAAAATATATTTTTTACTTAAAAACAGAAGGACGTGTCTTGTAAATAAGGGAGCCACGTGTACGGCTCTTCCGTAAAATTTTCCCGCTAAAATGAAGCATAAGCTCCCCATTTCTTTCTCTCAGTCAAATTCCACTTCCAAGTTCTAACAGAACCCTAAATCCCCTCTGTGCTCTCACTCTCTCTCTGAGCTCTTTCCTCTGGGCGACCATCCCAAACGAGGTTTGTCTGAATCTCAAGTTTGTGTCTTTCTTATACATTCTAAACAATGATCACGCGCTTTTTGCTTTCTTGTACTGTATTACGCTTTCTGGGTTTTCTTTTTTGTCTTTACAATACTTTGTTTTTATTCATTTGTTGGTTATAATAATTTTGAGGGTGTATAAATTTATTTGTTCTTAAGAGTTTATTCCGAGATTTTTGCTTATATTGTTAATGGGTATCCATGATTTTACGCCATCATTGATTCTATTTTGTGCTTTAGGTCCGTAGTTGTAAATAGATGCTGGCATGCATGAATTCAAAGAAAAATGATGGGGTTAATGTAAAAGAAACGAAGTGAAAGACTAGATTTTTCACTTGTTTGGAGCTATGGTGCTAAAAAGTTTTGTTCATTAGATGTGTCAGGGATTCGTGAAGCTGATGAAGCTGTTGGTTCTAAAATGAAAGGAATGTGTGATCATGAAAATGACAGCTAGGGTAGCGACAACGATGATGTGAATGGCATGTCATTTGATTCTGATGCAAGATTTGAGGGGTTTGAAGTTGATGAGCAAAAAGCTCTGAGGGCTTTTGCAAATTTTTTTTTTTGCTCTGCTCATGTTCCACCTAAGTTGGTTGAAGGTAGTGATTTTTGAGAGTTGGCACATAAGTTTAACCCGCTGTTTAAGATTAGCGTCAAAGAGGTCGAAAGTGAATGCATCAAAGTCTATGAGGAAAGGAAAGAAACAGTTAAAGATAACTTAGGAAAGTATGAAGGACAGATTAAGATAACTTAGGAAATTATGAAGGACAGATTAGCCTCTCAATGGAGGTATTGAAGTACTATAATTTCTGTAAGTTTTTGTGCCTTTCACACATTTTATTGATGAAAATTGGAAACTGAGAAAGTGGGTACTTTACTTCCGCTGTGTTTTGGATCCATGTGATGAAGATGATTTATCTGATGACGTCTCTTGTCAAGATTGGGGCATTTTTAAGTCGCTTGAAGATTGGGGTATTAAGGATAAGATTTCTACATTTGTATGACTAATGGTTATGGCTGTGTGGCTGAGTATGTGATAAATCATATCCAAGAAAACAAAGGAACTCTGTTTTAATGGTCAGCTGTTTTGTGGGTTTCGCGTGTATTCTTGTGGGGAAATGGTCAGTGAAATGGTGCAGGATGCGTTTGGCAAGATTATAGATATCATCAACAAAGTTCATGGATTGTCTTCTTCTGTAAAATCATTACCCTCATGGTGGAATCACAAAATTTTCGATCTACAACAAGGTCTGAAGTTGCGGGCTATGGGAGAATTCTCTTCGAAAAAAATAATCGATTTTCACGATGTACCATCCCCTGAGGAATGGCAGAAAGTTGAAGGTGATTGTAAAATTGTAGGGAGCATGTATGAAGTATCAAATGCATTATTTGAGACGAAACATCCAACTCCTAATGTTTATCTTTATCACCTCCATGAGCTTCACGAAATTCTGACCAAAATGTCCACTGACTCAGATAGTTTTATTAGAACAATAGCCGAGGACATGTTGAACAAGTTTGTTAAGTATTGGGACAACATGTTCTTGCTGCTGGCAATAGCTGCAGTTCTGGATCCTTGATTTAAGATGAAATACATAGAATTTGTTTGTTCTAAAGTCAAGGGTAGGGACGGGAACTCACAAGTTGCAGCTATTTTGGGTGCCATCCGCAAACATTTTGATGAATATGTGATTCGTTTTCCTGAAAAAGAAAACTTCATGAGTGATTCATCTTCTTCCAATTCAAATTCAGAAGGACACTCTCCTAGTCCAGCACATGTGAATCATATTTTTGGTGTGTTAAAAGACTACTACCAGTTCATCCAATCGAGTAATCAGCCTGCAAAAAAATCAGACTTGGATTGCTATTTGGAGGAACCTATCTTACCTTGGAGCCAGGATTTTAGTGCATTGACTTGGTGGAGAACTACAGGCGCTAAGTATCCTACCCTTTCAAAGATGGCACGTGATTTTCTGGCTGTTCCAGTTTCTCTTGCAACTTCATATGAGGCATCATTCTATACCGAACCAAGGCCAGTTAATGAACATATAATTCGGTTGAAGCCAGACTTGGGAAATGCCTTGATGTGCACGCGAAGCTGGTACCGTACACTAAAAGAATAGTAATGGGTTATGGACATAATTTTCCTCTACTCTCCTGTTTCTTATCCTTAACAATTTTCGATATGTAGATCCTGCAGAATGTTATACTATAAGATTCTTTTGATTTTTCTCTTTGTTGTGGTGCAGTAAGTGTCTAGAACAGGTGCTCTTTGGCCTTCTGCTGCTCTTGTCTAGCTTGTGATTACCTCTATTCTGACAGACATGGGGATCAGATCAGCTTAGTATAGCATTTGGCATGGACATCAAGTTTATTACTGTTGAATTCCATGATGAAGACTAAACTTTTAAACTAATTTTGTTTGAATGTATCTTTTTGATGGATCTGTTTCCCTTGGATTCTCCTGGCGAATGGAGATTGTTCAAGATATGAAGTTGGGTCTTGTGGTAGAAATTCTGGCCATTTTGACTGGTTGATGAATGAAGCAGTGTACAAGACTACAAGTAGAGATGAAATCTTATAGCTTTTATTTTTATTTCATTTTTTATAAAAAGCAAGCAACTTAACTTTATTAATAAATATAAACAACAACTTAAACCTTGATAATTATAAATAAACAAATAAAATTATACCTCATCATATCAATTAACAGCAGTTGCCCAAGTAACGCACACCTAAATTATTGTGGTGGACCATAAAAATAATAACATCATGAGTCAAAAATGAAGAAAAAAAATTTTCCGAAGATTTGAAAATATATGTTTTTTACCAGAATAAAATTAGCTCAAAATTCGATATATATTTTTTTTGGTCCAACAAAAATTGATAGTTTGATGGGTGCGACCGCACACACTGGATAGCGACCCCCCCAAATCTCATAATCAAATCAGACACTTACCAAAAAATCCAGACAGCAACGTCCCACCTGGGACCTGACAAGGCAACCGCCTTAGACGACGCCGTATTAGGAGCTCTCCGAAATCTAGAATGCTACTACTAGCAGTGAAGAGTGCAGTATCTGGAAGTTGATTTCCAGAATACAAGAAGATCATCTTTTCATATTGAGAAGAATAAGAAGAATAATTCTTAAAAGCTTTGCAAGTTTTGCATAGACAGCAGATTTCCTTTCAAATTTTGGTTTTTTTTTTCGGGAGAGAATCAGATTTGAGGTGCTCAAGTTCTGGAGGAGCATATAAGGTATGTGCGAGTAAGCTTGTGTTCATTCAAAGCTTTATAGAGTTTTCAGTCATTCGTTGCTTTGATTGATACTTGATAGTGGCACTAAAACAAGACCCTCATTAGGAATATTCAAATTTTGGTGACATTCTCTGTGTGTATAGCTGGAGCATAAGTTTTTATTTTATTTTTTTCCTAAAGTTTTGATTTTTGAGAATTCAACTATTAGATTAGGCTTGCTTGAGCGAATTTTTCTTTATAAATTTTGTGTTTTGAATTATTATTTGTGTGTGTGTGTATTGGCTATTGAATAATCGAAAGTAGTATTCAATGTCATTTTGCAAGCAAATCAGAGCAAGAAGCTTACAGAAGATGACAGTTAACGAACTGGGTTACAGACAAAGAGGACTCTAGAAGGGTCATGTGGTTTTGTTTATGCATCAGCTTCACCAGATAACCAAAATGAAGAAATGGTCCGGAGGCTTGTTTATCATTGCTCTTGCTATGATATTGGTTTTTCGTTACTGCAGCATTGTCAAAATTGAGCCACCAAAGCAGTGGCGGAAGCAGTCGGCTTCTGATTTCTTCGGAAACCATCCAACCAATGATTCTTTTATTACATCGTCAGAGATAAAAGTGAAAAAAGAAGCAGAATCATATAAGAAGCCCCATTTTATAGAAGTTGATGGGCCCAATGAGCTGTTTGCTTCACATGACATCTTCAAAGAAGGGTCAAGGGCCTTGCTTGTATGGCCTCACATGCGTCCCCTACTGTCAAGGTCTGATGCTTTGCCTGAAACTGCTCAAGGGGTTCAAGAGGCCTCCATGGCGTGGAAAGACTTGTTGTCTGCAATTGACAAGGACAAGGCTTCCAAATTAAGCAAAAGTGACAGCCAAGAAAATAAAAATTGCCCTTTCTCTGTAAGTACACATGATAAGATAGTGTCAAGAGACGGGGTTATTCTTGAAATCCCTTGTGGCCTCATTGACGATTCTTCTATTTCTTTGGTTGGCATTCCTGATGGGCACTCTAGAAGCTTTCAAATTCAACTTCTAGGCTCCCAACTTGCAGGAGAGCCTGAGCCTCCTATTGTCTTGCATTACAATGTCAGTCTCCCCGGTGATAACATGACAGAGGAGCCATTTGTAGTTCAAAATATTTGGACTCATGAACTTGGGTGGGGCAAAGAGGAAAGATGTCCTTCTCACAGGTCTGCTAACAACCTGAAAGGTAAATTTTTTGTTTAGACTTTAGACGGTATGAGAATTGCAACTCCAACTCTTTCGCAAGAACATTCTCGTTTTTTTTAATCCTATGGTAGCTCAAACTTGAAGAGCACATTATATGAAGAAAAAAAAATGTAATTAAACTCATGATAACTTTAGAACACTCGTTTGTCCTCTGTATTAATCGAAAATGTTATAATGTATAACACTGTTTTCATACTAATCAAATAAAGATTATTTATTATATCCTGCTCTTTTTCTTTAACTTAAGAATAAGGTTCCTCTTAAAAAACAAGTTACAAGTAGAAATCTAACACATTTTAGCAAATTTGACAGTTGATGGACTTGTTCTTTGCAATGAACAAGCTGTCAGAAGCTCCTTGGAAGAAAATCTAAATTTGAGTCAGCCTAGTAGTGACATGTTGACCAATGTTTCCAGGGGAGGTGCCTATGGAAGTGCTAATTTCCCATTTGTTGAAGGGAATCCCTTTACTACTACCTTGTGGGTTGGTTTAGAGGGATTTCACATGACTGTGAATGGAAGGCATGAAACATCTTTTGCATATAGGGAGGTAAGGTATGATTTTATTGGTAATAACAGATTATTGCCCAAAACTTGTTTTCTGCAAGAAAAATTCCATTTTGGAAAAAGTGAATAATTCCACCCTACATTGCTTTTTTGCATATGTAGAAACTTGAGCCATGGTCAGTTACCAAAGTCCAAGTGGCTGGTGGTTTGGACCTCTTATCTGCCTTAGCTAAAGGCTTGCCTGTTTCTGAGGATCATGATTTAGTTGTTGATGTTGAGCACCTCAAAGCTCCTGCAACTTTGAAGAAAAGGCTATTGATGTTGGTTGGAGTGTTCTCTACTGGAAATAATTTTGAGCGTAGAATGGCATTGAGGAGGGCTTGGATGCAATATGAGGCTGTACGTTCTGGGGATGTGGCTGTCCGGTTTTTCATTGGCCTTGTAAGTGAAACATTGCAGACTCTGAGTCTTTTGCATGTGCATACCAAGATGGTCTCATATTCTTCAATATCCTCTGGTTTTTCCCAATAAGAAGTCTAAAGGCTGCGGTTTTGTCTGTTAGCTGAAGTATTTTCATCAATTTGCCACTTATTGATGCCAAGATAAGGTTTCCTTTAGTTGTGTGCATAGTGTTTTAGAAATTATTATGGCTTGAAAAGGCCATCTGTGATGCCAGTACTATGCAGACTGGAACACTTGATCATCTTCTAAAGAGTTCTTCAGCAAGAACTGCTGTGTTGGTGGTGCCTCAATTGGGAGATTTAGTTTTGTCCTTATCCTAGATCTAGGTCGTCAAAATCCTCTTCTTCTTTTTTTGGTTCTGGTACTCTCACATTATAAACTTGCAGAATTGAAACAATCTCATTATGTAACATACTCCTGGGACTCCAATATATGCATTCTAATTACAATTTTATCAACATATTGCTTGCTCAGAAAAAATTGGTTGGTATCAAAGTTTACAACTTGTTCATACCTGCAGCACAAGAACAGTCAAGTCAATATTGAGCTGTGGCGAGAAGCTGAAGCATATGGAGATATCCAACTGATTCCATTTGTTGATTACTACAGCCTGATCAGTTTGAAAACAATTGCAATTTGTATTTTTGGAGTACGTCAATACAAAATATTATGTTCCAGCAAACTGAATTATCAATATATACATTGTTAGAAAAGTTATCAATCATCTTTATCTTAAATCTGCAGACCAAGATCCTCCCTGCTAAATATATCATGAAAACAGATGATGATGCTTTTGTTAGAATTGATGAGGTGATCTCTAGCCTCAAGGGAAAGGCAACGAATGGTCTCTTGTATGGTCTTATAGCCTTTGAATCAGCGCCCGATAGGGAGAAAGGCAGCAAGTGGTATATTGATAACAAGGTACTCACATCAAATTTCTTTCTATATATGGTTAATGTTTGCTTTATTGCACTTTGACTTGATTTTGATGAGTGTTATTTTGCTCAGGAATGGCCTCATGCTTTGTACCCACCATGGGCCCATGGTCCAGGTTACATTATCTCTCGGGACATTGCCAAATTCATTGTCCGCGGCCACCAGGAAAGCGACCTCAAGGTAAAATTACTTATGCAAAATGCAACCTCTAAGGCTCATTCTTCTAAGGATCTGCATGAAGTTTGTAGAACATGTCACTTTATCTTGAAATGAAAATGACATAGAATTTCTCTTTCTTTTAAGACTGGTCACTGAAATACAAAGTGGGGCATGTAAAGACAAGTGAGCAGGGCCAGCAGGCAGTGTGTTGATTTTCTCATTCCTTGGCTAACCTGTTAGCATTATGACTTTTCAGCTTTTTAAACTAGAGGATGTTGCAATGGGCATATGGATCGAACAATTCAAGAATAGCGGTCATGAAGTGAATTATGTCACAGATGATAGGTTTTACAGTGCCGGATGCGAATCAAATTACATTCTCGCTCATTACCAAAGTCCAAGGTTGGTGTTGTGCCTTTGGGAGAAGCTGCAGAAAGAGCACGAACCGGTGTGCTGTGAGTAAATGCCAACCATGCAATGCGAGCCTTTTTGTGAGATCAACTCTTCTATGTAACAACCAAAGCTGAAAGCTTTAGGATATGAGAATTTAACTGCATGTCAAGCAGATTCAAATACCAAAACTCAAAATTTTACTCTTTTGTGGGGTTTTCTTGACAACATCAGATAAAATTGTAACTGTACAGGTATATTCTTCAGCCTGAAGAGGTGAAAATTTTGGACTGAACCTGTGTTTTCTTGGATCAAACTGTATTCTTTACTGATTTTTGAGTAAGGTTCAGGTGGTTTTCCACACCTAATGTGTTCCTTTGTGGCAAATCAAACGGTGGGACAATTCGCCGAATAATAAAGAGTATGTGGACATTTGAACGAATAATTTAGTTGAGGAAGCAAAATGTAAATCATGTTTACATTTGGGGACCATTTGAGTTAAAAATCAGGATTTTTGTAGAAATGTCATGTGAACTTATATCTTAGTTTCAATTTGTCACCTTAAAAGAAAATTTTAAGAGAAATGTCACTTTAATTTTCAAAATTCATGATTTGTCATATGACTTTAACATCATCTTCCATCCATTTTAAAGGTATTTTAGTCTTTCCATTTTCTGAGGGAAAAAAAAAGAGACATCTCTCTCCCTTTCTCCCCCACCCCAACGCCAACCCTACACGCCCCCAAAACACATCGCACAAGACCTCCCCTCCCCCAACTTCTCTCTCTCTCTCTCTCTCTCTCTCTCTCTCCACAAATTTTCAATATACAAATGGAAGAATACCAAAAAGAAAAAAGAAGAAGAAAAAGGTGGACTCAATTCGAGTGGGCTGAGTGAATTTGTGTGTGGAGGGTAGGTGTTTCATGGTAAAGAGAGGAGGAAAGGGAAGAAGGAATGGAGGAATTGGTTGTGAAGAGAGAAGGGGGAATGGATTTCAAGGTGGGCGGGGTTGGTTAGAGCCACCGGTGGCGCACATGGGATGGAGGAATGTGAGATTTTTTTTATATAATGACTTTTCCATTTTTAAAATACTCTTAAAAATAAAAAAGATTGAACTACCTTTTAAAATGGATGGAAAATTGGATGGTGTTTAAAGTCATATGACAAATCATGGATTTAGAAAAATTAAGGTGACATTTCTTTTAACTTTTCTTTAAGGTAACAAATTAAAACTGAGATATAAATTAAGGTGACATTCTCTAAATCCTAAAAATCCTTTTTTTTTTTTTTTTTTTTTTTTTTTTTTTTTTTTTTTTTTTTTTAAAAAAAAAAAAAAAAAAAAAATTTAGATGAAGTTGACCTCGTATCATAATGGAAACAGAAGGATGGTAAGTTGACTTGTGGCTGTAAGGCCACCCCTCCCAACTTCCAATTCTGGGCCATCAATTGTCGATCAAATAATGAGGAGGGGCACACTACCATTGTGTTTCACACAAGCCACGTGTATTAACTCTTTTCTTCTTCTTTTTTTCTATTTTTAGTACTAAATTATGGTATATATTATTGCCGACAGACAAGAGTCGCATTAATTTTATATTATTAAGCTGATGTGACATATTTCCAGCTGGTTGATGAGCATTGGCCAGTGCGGATTGGGCAAACCAGAAGATTGGCCAATCAGGTGTTGGTTTGATGTGTATGGGTATGTTTCTTCAATCAGAATCCAAACTCTTGGATGGTAAGAACTTTGCAATATAAGTGATTTTCGTTGAGACACGTGTACCGCAAAAACTTGTACACATCATTCTCCTTTAGTGACACTCTTCGTAACAAAGTTTCTACACCTCAGCTGAAAAACAGTAGGAACTTTTCTTGAATAATATAGTCATTTACGACGAACTAACTTACACGTATGAAAAGTATTCATGGCTTCTCTTCTGCCACCTGTAAGATCCAACCCAAAAATATCTTAAAATTTGAATTGGCTGGTAGGTTTTCAACCAATTTATGATGCTTAATATATAGAAACCTCACCTACTCGCATTTTAATTTATGTTAAACAATAAATTATTTATTTTTTGGAAAAACCACGGGTTGTTATTATTTATAACTTTTTTATACCCGTAATATGATAAATTCGAACACAAAACTTCGAGTACCGAAATAATTGTTCTTAACCATTTAAGTTACAAGTTGTATGTATTTTTTTTAAAGTTGAATGATCCACAAAGCACCAAGAGAGTGCACAAACAACCTCCACCTTATGATGATAGGGATAACGAACGATAGATAAATTGTTTTTTTTTTTTTTTTTTTTTTTTTTTTTATAGATAGCATTAAAGAACGGAATATTTTTTATCACAATTTAAACTCAAAATGTGTATCATCACGAGCACGTGTCAAGTGTTGACAATAATAGTGATTGCACACCTTAAGTTAAAGTGGTAAACAAAGATACGTGTCAAGTGTTGACAATGATAGTGATAGCACACCTTAAGTTAAAGTGGTAAACAAATATACTCTCTTAAAGCAAAGGTAGAGGAAATTAAGACGCTTGTTAGTTAAGTTACTTGGATTAGCCTTGGCCATAAATGGAATCAAAGCGTGCTAATTGCTGACTCTGGCCACAAACTTTAAATCCAACAAGGCAACGACTAATGAAAACCGAACCTTCGTACGCAACCTTTGTATATGATTAATATAAAGCGCCAGCACTAATGTAGGTGCATAATCAGTCAGCTTCCTTAATTAAAAAAAATTATAATTTTACTTTACCTAATTCTTGAGGTAAATAAAATATAAGAACGTGTAGCATAAATACTGCATTTTTATGGGGACATCGACATGCATGTCGAATTCCTTATAAAATCATGTGTGAAATGAGGGAGAAATTCCGGCAATATTTTCTTCATCATTCATTCATGATGGCCCTTTCCCTAATTTAATAATCTACTTTGTTACACAATTCAATGCTTTGTTATGTGCATTCTACATCAAGGCCCCGTGTGATTTGAAGTTTGAAGGATCTTGCTTACTTTCATGGCTTTATATTTTTAAGGAAAAAAAAATTGTTTTTATAAACTTCGGGTGGTAAATGAAAATGTTTACTTATCATTAATGAGGAAAGTCATGAATCGGAAAATTTAAATTGAGGAGTTAAAAGAACTAGATCAACTACCCTCCTATATGATTTCATTCATGATTTTGAAGGTATTTAATTATGAATTTTAATTTGTAACCTACATAAATTTTGATTAATTATGAATTTTATATGTTAATAAACATATGAATATAGCAGAACAGTGTTATTCCCGTGATATATAAATTTTTCTCCTTGTAAATCCGTACAACCAAATAATTACGACAAACAATATCTTCGGAAAAGTAAAATATTAAATACTGTTGCCTAGTAATAATAGAGGCGTGAAGTTAGGTGGAGCGCCAAGGAATACGTCGGTGCTGTTTAGTTGTCACTCCGTAAAAGGAAAGCTAAACCCGAAATGGAATCGGCAGCCGCAAAAAGCATATACCCACGCAAAAGGGTAAAACGGTCAAAACGAATACAGCCCCTTCAGGTTACCTCCAGCAATTACCCGCCATGAGATTCACGTGTGGCGCACACTTACCTTAAAACCACCCGAACGTGTCAGCCACAGGCACGTGGCGGTCATCAAGAGCCGGTCTACTGGTTCAGCCGGTGGTTTACTTCTCCGAGCCGGAAATGGATTCTATTCTACATATATAACCCAACTCTTTTCACATTAAAACACACACAGAGAAATTCAAGAGAGGCAGAGCGATCGAAAATTAGAAACTAAAACCGAAGCGTATAACGAATAAAAACCCTAATTTCCATCTCTGTTCACCTTCACTGAGAATAAAAACCCTAAATTGCTCTTTTTTTGACGGTACGACGGCGTTTGAGGATGATTGTGAGTGAGAAAATGGTTGCTGAAGCGGAGGTTATATGCCAGAAGACCATGGCCATGCCTGTGCTGGACATGAAGTACCGTGTCTGCGTTTCCAAGGACCACAACCTTCAGATCGACGTGGCCTCCCCGCCTTCTTCTGCTCCGAGCTTCGGCGAGGTTTGCGTCTCCGAAACGATTTCCACTGAGATATCTCGCTTCGAATCGGTATGTTCTTTAGCTTTGTTACGAGTTTGTATGAAGAATTAGTGAATTACTTGCTGTTTTCTTTTATTGATTTTTTTGAATTGGGATTTATTCTATTTCTTTGTTTTTCTTGGATGTTTATTCTCAAGATTAGCTATGGGTTTTAAGAATTATATGAAGAAAATCAACATTGGTTCTTGAATTTTTGTGGGTTCAGTTAGAGTCTACTGAATAGCTAGTCCGTAGGGTTTCCTTATCCATTTTTGGATGCTATAATGTTTGTCATTAGTCTGCAAAGTTTATTTATTTTTTTCTGATGAGCTCAGTAATTTTTTCGTGGTTTTTCTTTACAGTAATTTCCAAGTAAACTTTTGATTTGTAAGATTTTTTTTTTGGTCAATTGATTTGAGAATTTATTACTCGGTAAAATTTCTACTGTTCGCATATTTTCTTGTCTCTATGAGCCCTCTGGATTAGATATTGTGCAGATTTATTTATTAGGGCTTTAAAATTGATTGTATTATATGCTTTTTGCTATGCTGGAAATTCTGTTTGATGGGTTTGTCAGAAGTTTCTGGACCTGATTGGTTGATTTTGGTTTTTCTTTCTATAAGAATTTGGTTTTATGCTTTTTGGTCGGGAAAATCTGACTGATGCAATCAACATCTGTTTAAATATGGAATGCAAGATGAAAGTAATTAGAGAAATTACTCTGTAGTAATTCTAAAAGAAACTTTATGGGTGAAATCTTGTATGCTCCACAACAGTCAGTTGTTTAGTTTTGGGGATTTGTTATTCATCCTTTTTATGCTTGTTGAATTTCATATTTCTGTGTCTGCATATTACAAATGCATATTCAATTCAGGATTATTGGTTTTGAGATGCATGGAGCATGTTTAGTCACCTACTTATTTGATCTTTTATCAGGTTGTGAGTTGCACAGAGAGCATTAATAAAGCTGTAATGGAGTCTTCTGCCATCAAGTTTGTCCCGGACATTCATTCAGGAAGCCACACTGACATCGGAGGAAGGGATTCGATGGATGATGAACACATTCGGATAGATGATCTATCTGCCCATGCGGGGCCTCTCTTCAAGTCTCCCGTGCCAAGTGCATTTTATGCAGTTTTTGATGGTCACGGTGGGCCTGAGGCAGCTTCTTATGTCAAAAAGCATGCCATGAGACTCTTCTTTGAAGATGCTGATTTGCCGCAGAGAATGGATATGGATGCTGTTTTCTTCAGAGAGTTGGAGAATTCCCATAGGAAAGCATTTCTACTGGCAGACGATGCCTTGGCTCATGAACACAGCGTGAGCAGTTTTTGTGGAACAACTGCACTGACTGCTTTAATTCTTGGAAGGCATTTGCTGGTTGCAAATGCTGGTGACTGTCGAGCAGTTCTTTGCAGGAAAGGAGTAGCAGTTGACATGTCTCAAGACCACAAGCCTACTTACTTGCCGGAACGCAAGCGAGTTGAGCAGTTGGGTGGTCGCATTGATGACGGGTATCTTAATGGTCTCTCAGTCACTCGAGCCCTTGGAGATTGGGACTTGAAATTGCCACTCGGTTCATCATCACCTCTCATTGCTGAGCCAGATGTTCAACAGGTTATGTTAACAGAAGATGATGAGTTTTTGATCATTGGTTGTGATGGGATCTGGGATGTTATGTCAAGCCAATATGCTGTGAGTCTTGTTCGGCGTGGTCTGCGGAGGCATGATGACCCGCAACAGTGTGCCAGAGAACTTGTCAAGGAAGCCTTGCGCTTGAATACAACTGACAATCTCACCGTTATTGTTGTGCGCCTCTCTTCTCCTAATCGTGTTGTTGAGTGCTCACCCCAGCGCCCAAGGTTGAGGATCTGCAGTCTATCTGAGGAAGCACGCAGCCGGTTGAGAAGCTCGTTAGGAGGCAATTGAATGTAAATACAAGTCGATTACTATTTAGTGGTTCCTAATGGAAAATCATTTTTATCTCATTGTGGCTGTTTCAGATTAGTTTTGAACAAAGCAGCTAGCAGTTTTGTAGGCCAGAAGTAGGACTTAATGTAATGTTGAGTTTGTGGATTGTAGCGGTAAAACGTAATTGCATTTTTTTGCAAATGTATGTTTTTAAATGGGTTGGGTTCACCAGAATGGCCCTCCATATTCGGTTCTTATTTACATCATTTATATTATCCATGTTTGAGGTCCATTTGTCTCAGTGAGCCTGTGCCACCAGCATGGCTGAAATGTTTTATTAGGATTTTTTTCTTTTTTTGGGGGCCTGATTGTGTGAAGTTGATTGAATTTGTTTCAAGGGAATTTTCTCTTCATCCAAACAAGCTTTCTAATTGTTGTCCTTTGGAGATTGAACGAATCATGGGTCACTGTCTTCCGATGGATTGGCTTCAATATTGTTTTGATTCGCAGCAACAAATAACCTCATCATCTTAGGGCAATTGCACGCATCTCCTCCAAACATTCCAAATGGTGATATGCTAAGACTCTGTAAGGCCACCATTTTCTCCATATATATATATATATATATATGTGTGTGTGTTTCAAATATATAAAATAAAAAGTTCTCTGTGCTGCTGTCAACCACAAAAAAAAAAAAATTAATAATTTCCTTGCCAACCGATTGTTGTAGTCAAATATGTAAGCGTAGAATCGATCACGATCCAACGGCTATCATTCCTTCTCATTTCTGAAACACAAATGCATTGTTTACGTGGCGAATATCGAATGGAGCTAATTTCTGGACCCTAACACACAAGATTACGAAAAAGGAATATAATGTTAAAATAACACAAAATTTCTGAAGGCAAAGCACCCACCCAATAGTCTGCGGTCCTATTTGAAGGCCTTTACCAAAAGCCGAAGCGCAAAACGAAACCAGACCAAAACCAAACCCAAAGAGGTTTAACGATCGAGAGTGTGAGAGAATGGCTATGGCAAGCTTGGCGAGGCGGAAGGCCTACCTTCTTTCTAGAAACTTGTCCAACACGTCATCGGAGGCCGTCAGGTACTCCTCGCTCACCTCTTTCTCCAGGGGCTACGCTTCCTCGGGATCTGACGACAACGATGTCGTCGTGGTTGGCGGTGGCCCCGGTGGTTACGTGGCGGCCATCAAGGCCTCTCAGCTCGGCCTTAAGACCACCTGCATCGAGAAGCGCGGGGCTCTCGGCGGCACGTGCCTCAACGTTGGCTGCATACCCTCCAAGGTCTCTCTTTTTTACACTCTTTACTTCACTTGGACAGTCTCGTACTAGCCTGCTAGGGTTCTTAATCTGTCCCTAAATTTCGTGGATTGTTTGGTTGATTTACCACCTGTCAGATCTAATTTTTTGGTTCGCTGTTGTTATTTAATTGAATTTCAGTTGATTGATTTTGTTTTTGTGTTTGATAATATTCATTTGGATTGAATTTAGTTAATACTAAATTTTTTAATATAATCGCATTTTTTTAAGCCAAATTGTGGAAATTTATTTCACTCTGGGCTAAAAGGGCTTCCTCAAAAGTATATAAAAGAACAATCTTGAGTGGATAAGCATTTACGTTTGAAAATTCTATAATTTGCCACAGTTTAGTAATTACTGGTTGTGTGAATTACGTATTCAGATATTCTCTTTTTGGTTGTTCTTGGTATGAGTAGATGTGTTTCTTTTCCCTTGGAAATGGAATTAAATATATTGGTATTAGTTGCATGTGAAATTTATCTCTAATGTCATCTGCTTTTTGTGTCCAGGCGCTTCTTCATTCCTCTCACATGTACCATGAAGCTAAGCATGCATTTCACAACCATGGTGTTAAGTTCTCCTCTGTTGAGGTAGATTTACCTGCCATGATGTCCCAAAAAGATAAAGCTGTTTCTAATCTTACTCGAGGAATTGAAGGGCTCTTCAAGAAGAATAAGGTCACTTATGTTAAAGGCTATGGAAAGTTCATCTCCCCTTCCGAAATCTCAGTGGATACCATTGATGGTGAGAATACAGTCGTGAAAGGCAAAAATATCATAATTGCCACTGGTTCTGATGTCAAATCTCTACCTGGGATTGCCATTGATGAGAAGAAAATAGTATCATCAACAGGAGCTCTGGCTTTGACAGAAATCCCAAAGAAACTTGTGGTGGTTGGAGCAGGATATATTGGCCTAGAGATGGGCTCAGTGTGGCGTAGACTTGGTTCTGAGGTAACTGTTGTTGAGTTTGGACCTGATATCGTCCCAACAATGGACTCGGAAATCCGCAAGCAATTTCAGCGTTCCCTTGAGAAACAAGGGATGAAATTTGTCCTCAAAACAAAGGTGGTATCAGTTGATACTTCTGGAGATGGTGTGAAGTTGACCCTTGAACCAGCAGCTGGTGGCGACCAGACCACCTTTGAAGCTGATGTTGTTCTTGTGTCTGCTGGTAGGGTTCCGTTCACATCCGGCCTTGATTTGGATAAGATAGGAGTTGAAACTGATAAGGGAGGGCGAATTTTAGTCAATGAGAGATTTTCTACAAATGTCCCAGGTGTTTATGCAATCGGGGACGTTATTCCTGGACCTATGTTAGCCCACAAGGCAGAAGAGGATGGGGTTGCATGCGTGGAGTACCTTGCTGGTAAGGTTGGGCATGTGGACTATGACTTGGTCCCAGGGGTTGTCTATACGCACCCTGAAGTTGCATCTGTTGGAAAGACTGAGGAACAAGTGAAGTCCCTTGGTGTTGAATACCGAGTTGGAAAGTTCCCTTTCATGGCAAATAGCAGAGCCAAGGCAATAGATGATGCTGAAGGACTCGTCAAGATTTTGGCTGATAAGGAAACAGATAAGATATTGGGAGTTCATATCATGGCTCCCAATGCTGGAGAGCTCATTCACGAGGCAGCCATAGCCTTGCAGTATGATGCATCAAGCGAGGACATTGCACGAGTTTGCCATGCACATCCAACTATGAGTGAGGCCTTGAAGGAAGCTGCCATGGCTACTTATGACAAGCCCATTCACATCTAGAAAAATCATTACTTGATTAATCTTGTTTTCATTTTTGTTTAAGAAATTTGGATTGACTTGATAAGAACTTTCCATTTAGTTGTTTAACCTTCATTGAAGGTAGCATGTAAAAGTGCTTGAATACAAGATTGCTGTTTTATTTTCTGTCCCTTTGGCAACAATAAGGGACCCAACTCTGTATGCTTTCTCATCTCACTGTGAATAACAACATAAGCAGGGTATGTTGAGCTAATGCTAATGAATCATTACCATGTGTGGTTTACCGTTCAGCAACTACATGTTCATGTATGCTATTATTGGGGGCCTAGTAGGGCATCGGATCTCTTGCTTTTATAATGTCTTAAAGTTGAACTAATTTAATCGGATTCGTAATAAACTCTCCAGGCAGATTTACATAAGATTATGGACTGAGGGCATTCGATACCATGATATAAACAATTCCCTAATACTTATCAAGAATTTGCTCATTCCAAAATGCAGCAATCTTGTATGTGACGCTCAAGATTGCTGTTTGTTTCTGCCCCTTTTGACTAGAATTTGTTCTCAAGATACAATGCTCAAAATTGAGTCTCAATATCCCATCTCCCCTGTGTGGGGATTTTAATATCATGCTGTTCCTGTTTCGATTCTGGCTTTAGTACGACACTCAGTAAAATTTGCAAAGGATAAAGCACGGTCGAGTTAGAAGACCAACGATTATTTGACAAAAAAACAAACAAAAACAGAAGAAAGAGAGCGAAGAGAAGTCATCAGATCACCATTCTTTTCTTACTTTCGACAAATGAAGGGAAAGAATTGAACTGTGACTCATGTTCCCATCTTGTGATACTGCAAGTTCCTGCTCTAAGAAATCCCACCCCTAAAATCTGATAAGATGAAAATTCCTTCCCTAGTTTACAATTAATGGCCTTTCTCTCTTCTCATTGAAAATCCAGGAACTGTTGAAAAATACCTCACGCAAATGCACAATACCCCTTAAAAGATATTTTAAGGATTGATTTCTCTGTTCAAAGCAGAAAACCATACTAAAACTTTCAGCAACTGCCCATTCTCCTCTCCACAATTCCCAGTTTGGCGTTTGCACAAGGCAATTGAAAGCAACCCAGAATATTGTGCAGTTATGGATCCTCCCGCATATCTGGCCTCCTTTTGGACTGCAAGGCTAGCCGTGCATCCCTCTCCCGTTCGAACTCCCGGAAATCTGCTCTCTGCAAGAAGTTTACCTTATCTAAATATTGGTTTGAACTCTTCTTGTAAGCATCCAACTCCTCATCCAACCCTTTTTCCTCCTTAAACTCCCCCCAGTCCTTTTTTGTTTTGTCAAGCACACTGAGCTTTTGTTTCTTCTTAATCTGTTCGAGCACTGCATCCACAGCTGAAGCTGCTGGAGCTTTTGCCTTTTCAGATGCTTCCTTTGAATCAGCATCAACAAGCTTCTTATATTCAATTTCTTGACCGGCAAAATCCCGAACCTCTGTGATCTATAAAATGAAAGAGATCTGTTTAATATGATTATTGCCAATAAATTTTAAAAAATGAACTACACGTCCATACCATTAATTTTTTTTTAAAACTAATTTGTATACATCATTATGATAATTATGATTTTTGGTTTAAGGATCAGCTCCGAGAGATTCAAGTTAAACAGGAAAACTGCTTGGCCATCACAGAGACTACTCAGGTGGTAAAAATTGGCACGTAACCAAATACATATATTAACATGTGTGTGTAACATCATATCTTCAAAAGTGATTGGAGAGGAAATTAACAACTAGAAACTAAGCAGCACTACTTAGTTCCACATCTGAAAAGCCAAAGTTTACCCACAGACAGGTCTCCCAACAGAACACAGACAAACAGGTGATTCAAATAATATGCTAACCTCAACTTTCCCTCTGCCTGATGCTGCAGCTGCAGCATCCTTAACTTCTACAAGAGCAGCAGCAGCAAGCCTCCTGGCCTTGTCACTAGAGCTGTCCTGCACGACATCATCATTAGAGCTGTTCTGCGTGACATTTGATCCCTTCTGTGGTGCATTTTCTTTTGGTGACTCTGCCTTCTTTGGTGCCAGGCCCAGATATGCCTTCCAGTTCTAAGAAATAAATAGAAGTAAAAGATTAAATTCTAGCAAACAATATTTTTATAATTCCAACACAGATGGAAAGAACGAGGCAATCCTCACATCAGATGCCTTCTTTGGATTTTTATTCACAGTTGAAGACTTCTTTAATAAATCCTTGAATTTCTTATTAGATACTCCTTTATTCATTTGCTCCCACATGGCATCTACCCGAGATTTTACATCTATCAAGATAGGAAAAAACATTAGTCCTTCTGATCAATGAATTTATGTGACCAAACAGCAGAACAGGAATTGGATAAACAAGCACTTGTGAGTAAAAAAAAAAAATTCTGACCAGTCTGTTCAGGTTTAGTCTCTAAGCTTGGAAGGGGAGCAGCTCCATTGGTAGACTCGATTGGTAAAGCATCCTTTTCATTTGCAGTACCTGAACCAGAAAACCAAACTACTCAATCATAAGTAGGAAAAAAAAGAAAAACGAAACTGCACCCAAGCTGCCTATGAAAAAGTTGTGGTATGAGTAGCCCTGGCAGTGCCTGAACAAAATCATCAAATGAATAGATTGTCTTTTGCCTAAAATATATAAAACTTCAAAAAAAATTACAAATATAGGTCTTTGATAGTTGTAATATCCAAATCATTTTGGACACCAAGCACCGAAATTGGATTGCAACTAAAAATTGGTAAATTACATTACAACAAAAACTGTGATGGTCAGGTTCGATGTTTTTATGTGCTACTCCACCTATATTACAAATTCTGTGGTATCTAAAACTAAAAACACCTAATTCTAAAGTGAAAGGAAGTTTAGCTTAACAGTTTGATGAGAGTTAAGCAAATGACACAACAAAAGCTTCAAACTCATTATCAGTAGATAACTCAGCTGAAAATCTGAAACTATTCCATGCAAGTTACTATTTTATGAATTGGGTATGCAGCTTCTCACCCATCTTCGATTACAAACAGAAAAAGCAAAAGTCTTTGGCTCATAAATCTATGAGTGCTCCAAAGAAAATACTACCTACCAAGGCTCCAAAACCACCTAGCCCAAGAAAATTTATAATTCACATACCCACTATTTTCCAGAAAATAAAAGGGCAAAAATATTTTCAGGGCTCAGTCTGTTTTCATCGTATAACCCATTGATTTTCTAAAATCTCCAGAGGTCCTTTCTCGTGCAACACAAACAGACCCGACTGAGCGTAAGCCAAACAAAGAAGGAATTAAAATAAAATAAAATAAAGAAATATAAAAATAAAATGCGTACCTGAACTTGAGGCACCGAGAGCGTTGGTGGTGGTGGTAGCCATCGACGACAAACAAAAGTGGAGAGAGTCATTGGTTTGGTGTCGGTGGTATAAAAAAGAAGTCTGTTATTGGGTTCCGAGGTACCCGAAGAAACCCAAAGCCTTTCGAGCTTTTCTGACTTGTTGGAGGCCCATGAGGCTATAACTAATTAACCCGCCAATTTAAAATTAATTAATTGGAAGATAATCTAATTAGTTATAAAAATTATTTATTAATTTCAAATCTAATTGTTTAAATTTCTAATTAATCAATAAGACATTAATTATGAATTATTTACAGTTTATACTTCTAAACTTGAGAACCAAAATATAATGATAAAAACCAAAATATCAAAAATAATTATTGTATTACAGTATAAATTTATTAATATAACCTACATTTGGATAAATAATTGCCCATGTAAAAATTTTGTACGAAGTTAAACCAATCTCAGCTCTTTTTAACCCCTTTGTGGGTAATTGTAATGGCCATGTGGCTTTGTATTTGTATTACCCTCATGACGTAATTTATTAATACAACCTCCAATCGGTTTGGGGAAAAAAAAAAACTTATCATGTTCCTTTTTTTTTCTTCTTTTTCCTATGAGCAGGTCTTCATAAAAGAAACTAGGACAAAGCCCAAAGATAAACGGAGACAAACAAAGTCCATACAAAGGTGGGAGCTTCATTGCATAAAATTAACACCATTACAATCAGTTAACACTTTTAATTACTAAGAAAATAAAACTCCAAATTAAAGAAAAGAAATTGACAAAATGGTTTATTATGATTGATCTTTTGGATCTGGTAGCAGCTCCATCATCATAACCTGTATTTCACTAGGGTTTTTCTTGGTGATGACTTGCTGGTCTGCAGTTGAGCTGAAAGATAATTGCTCTAAATTGGGAAGGAACAAGTTTGCAAAATCAAGATGGGCAGGGTGAGCTATGTACTCTGCAACACCCTCCACACTCTCAAAGGTTGTTTCAAACACATGAGTGTACCCTTCCAGCTGCTTCTCAATGCTCAATTCATGTCCCCTGATTAATCACAAAACATCAATTCATACATAATTAACTAGTTAATTATGAAAATTGACCACAAATATGCATCATATTCAGAACCAGGAAAGCCAAAATGACCCCAAAAAATAAGAAAAAATTAGCTGAGAGAAGAAAAGAAAACAGAGGACTCTGTTTTACCAGTGGAAGGACTTCATGGGGTCAATGAGATTGACTAGGTTGGCATAGCCTTGGATCAATTGGTCAATCTGGCTATCTGAGGTTCCTTCTTTGAATTTTGCTAGCAAAACATTCTTAACACCTCCCTTTGCTTCCTCTTCCATCTCTGTGTCTGTGATCTGTGATCTGCCTTCTCCTATTTTTAAACTCAGAGTCCTGGTATAATATAACTATTTGTCTCCTATCCGAACCCGCTAATCTAATAATTTAATTATCGACTAACGGGCTTGCAGAGGTCATATTTTTTAATCTTCATTTCCTCATGTGTGCTGTCGTTTTGTGTTTGTTGGGCCATACCATCGAGGGGTTTGACCTTGGTAAAAAACCCATAGTAAAGCCGCGCGGCTCTACTATTTTAAATGATAAATAAATAAATAAAACCCCGAGTATATATTTATAGAAAAAAAGACCCGCATGTCAAAATACGTATAGCCGGGCGGCTGTACTATTTTAAAAAAATAAATTACCGTAGTAATGCAGCGCGGCTATACTATTTTTTTCAAAAATAAAAAATACCCTAGTATAATATAACTATTTTTAAACTCAGAGTCCTGGTATAATATAACTATTTGTCTCCTATCCAAATTTTTTTTCTTTTTTCTTTTTGGGTCTGCTTGTATAATATATATGAATCCACTAATCTAATAATTTAATTATTGAATAATGGATTTGCAGAGGTCATATTTTTTAATCTTCATTTCTTCAATATCACTTGTATAAATAATAAAAAAATTAATCACTGATTTGTACCTAAATTAATTCATACCAACCTATGTGCTGTAGTTTTGTGTTTGTTGGGCCATTTGTTGGGCCACACATCGAGAGGTTTGAGCTTGGGCTAAGCTATTGACCCTTTTTTGGGGTCAAACCAAGCTATTGACTTTAAAAACAATAGAGAGTTTGTTTATAAAATGAAATTTTGGGTGTGGAAATTAGGGGTGGTTGCGGTTCGGTAACCGCGAATTTTTACTCAAACCGCAAACCGACCGACTATTTGCGGTTTGGTGATTTTTGAAACCGCAAACCGACCGCGTTTTGCGGTTTAAAACCGCAAGTTCTTAAGCATTCACAAAAATATAAATTCACAACCTAAATAAATAAATACACAACCTCAATTTCTCAAACATATATAAATTCACAATCTCCTCAACTTCTCAAGCATTCACAACCTAAGAAAATTAAAGTTACAATTCCAAGCGTTCCAATTAAAGTTAAACTTCTCAAGCATTCCAATTCCAAATCATTTAAAGTTACAAACCAAAAGGAAAATGCAAAGCAAAATGAATTAAAGTTACAACCAAAAAGAAAAATCCAATTCAAAGTTAATTAAAGTTACAAACTAAAAGGAAAATGCAATGCACCAATGTTACAAACTAAAGTTACAAACTAAAGTGTTGGTGGTGAGTGGATTTGAAGAACCTCGTTTTGTTGTTTGAGCACCAATGTTATCTACAAATAAAACAACATAGTTTAGTACATTTTATTATAAGAAGAAGCATAAATAACATTAACATAAATAAACTAATTACTTACAAGTTGTCATATGTTCTATTTCCTTGTAGAATTCAACCTCATCATCCGTGCGGCTATACTTTGCGGTTTGCGGTAACCGCAAGTTTTGAAAATCAAATACCGCAACCGCAACCGCAAATGCGGTTCGGTTCTTAATACCGCAAATGCGGTTCGGTTTACCGCGATTGCGGTTTCATTGCGGTAAATTGTCGGTTGGTTTTTGCGATTTTTCAGTTTTTCGGTTTAAAATGCCACCCCTAGTGGAAATGCTACTACTTCATAACTACATGACTTAGAAGATATAAGAGTAAGAGAGAAACTCAAGTAATTGGTGAATCATCTTTACCATTTGTAAAAGAAATGGGTCCAATGCACACCGACCAAACTTCATCTTCCTTTGCCAAAATTCGATCTGGTTTATTAATTGTGTAATGCGGCCTAATCCTGTTTAGGTACAACAAACTTAGCACCTTTAGACCACACGACATTCTTAGGTGGTGAAGTTGCACGAGATACATCCATTCCCAATTCAGATTGTAGTTATCTTTAACACTCAAAATGCATGTATCTTATGACACTTCACCGTAGAATGTAATTACATGTCACATTCTCAAATGCATATATCTCGTGACACTTCTCCGCATAAGAATGACATGTACTCCATTTATTCAGTCATCTTCGTCTACCTAATTACTACAATGTGGACAATTGGAATATGGAAGTATATAATTGAATGGATTCGGATTCTCTGCTCTGATTTTCTCTGTCATGATCTGCTTTACTTTTGTTCTCCATACGCCACCTCATTAAATAAATAAAGAGGATCCGGATCCATAAATGAATGAAGAGGTTTGACTCGTAACCATGAATACACTGTTTCTTCACCAAATATTAACCAAGGCATTCAATGACTAATTACTAACCTTGGAAAGACTTTGACAAACTTTGACGCGTTATGGTCAATGTTTTTACTTACCGAAGAAGTAAAACCACACCTCCCATGAGTCACTATATAAAGAAACCAATTGTAACACTTCTGTATAACAAAGAAAAAAAGCTTCAAAGAAATTGACAAAAATGGGTTCTTCTTACTGTAGCATAACCTCAATCTCCATAGCTTGCATTGTGCTAATGTCCTTCTTGGCTATGGCTCCCTCCTATGCATTTGATCTAAACTCTATTTGCTCTAAAACCTTGAACACTTCTTTTTGTTCACAGGTCCTGAGTTCGAATCCCCGCGTGACCAAGTCACTTCTTCACAGCTTTGTCTCTGTCACTGTAGATTTGGCACAATCCAATGCCATAGTCACTAGAGACCACCTAGTCCAGTGGCAAAAACGTACGGACAATCCTCAGTTGAGGGCAAGGTACACATCTTGTTCCAGCAATTACAATGATGCCATTGCTGATTTCCAGCAAGCCAGGCAAAGTGTAGGGCTTGGTGTCTATAGTGGTGTAAGAGATGCAGCATCTGGTGCCTTGGGAGAATTCAATGGGTGTGCAGAGAACTTCAGGCAGCCACCAGCTGAACCATCAACACTCTGGCAAGATACTCGGGATTTGTTACATCTTTTTAGTATGGTTTCAGTAATCTCTCGTATGCTGTTTCAACCATACTAATGTGCTTGACAGTTTCTATAGATTGGAGATTTTAGCAACAAAATATAAATTGACATCAACCTCAACACAGAATTCAAACAGTCAAATGCAATGTGAAAATTTGAGACGCAAGCAATGACTTGGAACAACATTAGCTCATCTCTCAACCTCAACACAGAGTTCAAACAGTCAAATGCAATGTGAAAATTTGAGACGCAAGCAATGACTTGGAACAACATTAGCTCATCTCTCATTATTGAATTTTACAGAGTGTTTGTAAATCAGAGGAACAGAGCCAAATCAAACTCTTACAGAGAAAATTAAGTTCCGTTCAGAGCAATAGCATGACATATGACACCCTTGATAGGCCTTCCAATTTAGACACGAACCGTAGTTGGTTTGTAATCGAACACGATGACTTTCTCCACATGGGAAAGGAACAAATTTGCATATTCAACATGGGCAGGATGAGCTACATACTCCGCCACACCCTCCATACTCTCAAAGGTAGACTCGAAGATATGGGTGAAACCTTGATGCAGGTTCTCGATGCTCACGTCCTTTCCCCTGATTACAAAACATTAACGAACAATTAAAAAGTTATGCAGACCACATATCCTAATGCTTGAGTCACAAAAAGTAACTGCAACTTATCTAACTGTTGAGAAGACTTGGAGATAGGTTTAAGTGCAGGGGCACTATCTGGGAAAATTCCATGACCACACATGAACAAAAACTACAAAGTCGTGTCTAATAATCTATGAAATGCTAAAGAAGTTGTTCAGGTTAAAAGATTGGCATTTCAGTTAGATGCTCAGGTCTTGGGTCATAATCCTATATGTTCTTGGGATGATACAAGGAACCACAGAGTGATATGCCAAACATGAAAATAGTGAACCTGAGTGATAAGAAGATGGTCTAGCATTTTGAGTTCCGGGAAAAATAACCAAAATTTGCCCATCTAATACAAATAGCCCTTTTTTTCAAGACAAAAACTGCAACTTTAACCAATATTTGATGATTGAACCCCTTTCCAACATCAGATTTTGAACAAAAGTTGCAATTTTTGAAAAATGGGTGCTAAGTTTTCCAAAAATCTAGCCTTTTGAGGACCCATCTGACTCCCACACTGAATCAGGAAACGCAAAGTGACACAAAAAATATAAGCTAAAAACTCTGTTTTACAATGAAAGATGATACTGGACACAAATTAGGTGAATACACGACAAGATATGTGTATTTGGCTAGAACATAACTTCCCAAGTTAACAAATTGCGGTTAAAGAAAGGTACGAAAATGCACCAAGTCTTTAAATTCAATCTAAGAATTTGAAGTATGAATTACCAAGAAGATCTGAGAATTGAACTCAATATAAAACAGAGATTAGTGTGAGGAAAAATGGAAGAGGTACCAGTGGAAGGACTTCATGGGTTCAACGAGATCGACGAGTTTTGCATAGCTTTTGGTGAGTTCCTCAATCTGATTCTCTGAGATTCCTTCTTTGAACTTTACTAACAATACATGCTTCACCACTCCCTTCGCTTCCTCCATCGTTCTCTCTCTCTTCCGTCTTCTGAATCTTCTCCTTTTTCTAATGTTTCTCGCTCCGCAGTCCACTCCCCACCTACTTACTCAATGAAAAAGAAAAAAACGTGCCAACCATTTTCTTTTTTATTTATTTATAATAAATTATAGGATATTTTCATAATCGGATAACACAGCCACAAAAACTGCGCAGAAAATACTTGTCTCGTTTCTTGGAAATAAAAACTCCTACTTTCCTACCTTGGCAAAAGGAGCCTAGACTCCAAAAATAACCTCCACTCAAGGAAAAATTGTCATGGCAAGAAGTGGGCCATGAAACTAGGCAAGCCCGAAGACAAGACTTGCCTGAGCTGCCTGAACAAGTTGACGTCATGCTAATGTTAGCACTAATTTTAAAATAAATACCAAAAATTCATATATTTTTCTTTCTATAAATACCTAGTCATGTTCTTCACTTCCCACACCAAAATTCATACAAATTTTTCTTATTATATCTCATGTGAATGGTGGTTACCTTTAGGGTGTCATAGCAATGGGTGGGAATGCATCAAACAAATTGCTAGGCAGTCACTATTCACAGGAATAGTGTCTGCCCTTACTCTTTGTCATGGCACAACGGGTGGAAGTGCTCTTACAGTTTGACATGTGTGTAGAGATTTCTCTTCTTGTGTTTTTTATGAATTATTTTTTAGATATTTTTGTATATATCAAATTGTGATTTTCATTAAATATGAATGCCTCCTTCCATGAAAAGAAGAGGAAAGCAATGCTAAAAGAATAAATACATAAATAAACGCTCTTAAGTTACAAACATTTGTTTAACTTTTATTATTTATTAAATTATATATTTATTTTGTTTCTATTGAAACCATTCCTTCAATAGTGAAAGACAAATAAGAGAGAACCTATTCCTACTATTATTTAACTTTAAGTGCACCCACTAAATTACTCTTAACACAACCAATGAGTACCAACAATTATCTCAAATTTTTAATAGAATAATTTCAACGAAGTACGATTATTATAAAAAATTAATTATAATGCATGATTTCGATACGAATATTTCAAATTTAAGGACTTTATTCAAATGTTTAATAGTTAAATTACTTTTTTATACAAATGATATTTTATTTTAATTTAATCTAAATTATAAGGAGGGGGATTCGAATTTGAATGCAGATTGGGGATCACACCCCCTTTAGCCAACTTAGCTAAATTTGTGTCTGCTAATAGTTAAATTACTTGAACTTGTATGAAAAAGGAAAAGAAGAAAGAAATTATTATTAATTTTTCAAAATGGACTTCAAATGATAGAGTAATTGTAACTAGTACTTTCAAAGCACAAAGATCATAATTTATGGTTCTTCCAATTTTTTTTTTTTTTTTTTTTTTTTTTATTTGGAAAATCTCTTTTCTTAAATACTTACATCAAATTAAAAAGGCTCACATATTGTTTTTTTTTAATATACAAGCGACATATAAAAAAAGAGAATCGAACCTAGGACTTCGAGTACAGGGGTAAACGTTCAAGGTGAGATCCACTACAAAAAAAAGTGGCAACAGTCATCATTATTTGGTGATATTTGATGACTAATGCTAGGGTGACTAAATGCCTTTTTTGATGACTTGATTGTTGCCACTGTTTTTTTTAGTGGAGATTACCTTCATAATGTAGAAAAACATGCCTCAAACCCCAACCCAAAAAGTACATAACAGAAAGAAGGTAAATAAATAGAATAAAACTCTAAATAGTGCAATATAGTAGTGTTTTATTGCAAACTGATCGGGTCACATTACCAACACAACCCACGACTTACACACTATCAAAGTGTAGTTTCCTACACTATACAAATTGGTAGCTTTTTATCCATAATCCCATGCACTTTATATCCACTATATATTTAGTTCATACATAATATGGCTGGGAGACTAATTAATCCCTTAATTAAGTAGTAATTAACCAAATCAAGCGGCAGATGGTGCACTCCTTTGGTCAACAGCGTCAGTCTCCGATATTACATCAATAAAGGGTGGTCCAACCTTTACATGCTCGTCTGCCTTCACCACAATTTCATCATCATCATCATTATTCTTAATGTAATCCAGTGACGGGTCCTCATAAATATCCCACCACTTCTTCACCAGCATCTTTATGTCTTCTCTCTCCATATACTCTTCCTCTCCTGTGTACCTCCATGGCTTTGATCCCTGCACCAACATATTATATAGTATGTGCAACGTTCTCTTGTCAGATAAATATTTATATATCGCCAGACAGTCTACTTAGAGAACATTTTTTGTATATACATAGATATAGATGAGATGTGTTTTGATTATCACATACCGCAGCACAGTAATGAACAACCTTCACTTGGTCAACGTCCACATTTTCAGGGTGGCGCCACAAGAGAGCCAGTACAAGATTGTATGCAGGTGGGATAGGCTTGTATACATCCTTGAAGAACATGTTCAAAAAGTCCTGCACATCATCAAAATTAATTTTCAAAAATCCCTAGGTGAGTTTTAAGGATGAAATCAACAAAGAAAATACAAGCAGAGGATCGTATTGGATTATAATTACCTGCTCGGCAAATGAGGAAGGAGGGGTGACTTTGACGGTCTCTAAGAGATCATAGTAAGTCGGAAGACGAGGCTCATAGACAAACATGCCAGCATTGAAGTAAGGTGGTGGTGGTGAGCCCAAGTCGGCTGGCCATTGAACCTTCTCAGGGCACTGCTGGCAGTATCCAATCTTATACTGAGGAGTCTTACTCCATGTCTTCTCACAAAAGCAATCCATCACAGCATAAAAATAACCCTCGGGCATGTCGAAAAGGTGATCGATATTATCAAACACTTGTATGTCTCCATCCAAGTATATCATCTTCTCGTACTCCACAAACTACAAATGTATACACATACTCGAATTCATTCATTTAGTCATATATGGTACACAGTTAACTTGCAAGATTGAAATGCACTCATGACTGGTAAATCAATCAATTAAGGGAAATTTTTCTCTTGCCAAATAGAGTAACATGTTTTATTTATTTAATAACAGTGCTATCGATGTACATGAGATTTGAACCCAAAATATGAAGTACAAACTGGGTGTTACTAAACCAAATGATCATGCATAATAATTTGACAAGTTATTTTGAAAAAGTGTTGATCCGTTTCAATAATCATGCGAAACTTTGTTCATATGTATGGTTTAAATCGGTGATCCGATATGTTATGTCATAAATATAAATCGGATGTTACTACACCAAATGATCATGCGTAATGGTGTGATAAGTTATGTTGACAAAGTGTCTAGGTGGGACCCCAAAAAAGTGTCGGTTGGTTTTGAACAATGAATTATGCGAAATTTAGTTTTGTTTATATGCATGGTTTAAGTAGGTGGTCCGGTATGTTATGTTCTGAAGTGCTGAGCAAATGTTATTAAACTAAATCAACATGCGTAATAGTGCAATAAGTTATGTTAATGACTGTAGGTTTGAATAATGAACTATGCGAAATTTTAAATCGGCAGACCGACATAAGATGTAATATTTAACACTAAACAAAACAATAACACACAAGGTTTATTAGTTTGGTACCTCCCAAATACGAAGCTTTGAGTAGTTGATGACATAATAAGCCATGGCAAATTGGGTTTGGTTTTCAGGAGGGTAGACAGGCTCAATCTGGCGCACAATGCATCCTTGAGATTCAAGAATCTGGAGGTGCTCCTCAGGAACATCAGGCAGGACGGCCACCACAAGCGGGTATGCAGATTTGGTCTTCCTAAGGCCCTTGGCCAGGCCAACCACACCTTTCCAATAGTCTCCATTTCCAGCCAAGAAGGTCACATAGGCCCTCAGTGGTCCTTTTGTCTCTGCAGGCGACATATCTGTGGATAAAAAAGAAAGAAAGAAAAAAACACAGAACAAAGCAGAAAATTATTTGAGAGGAGGGTTTTGGAAAGCAGAAGATAAAGAAAATTCGATGCTGAAGATTTATTGAGGAAATTGAAGAAGTAGAGATGAGTTTATATAGAGGCATGAATGTTTGATGCGGTGGCATTTGATATGGGAAAATGCCAAGTCTGGAAAAAGCTTGAGTCAAGTGTACATGATTCTGTGTAACCTTTTTTATTTATCAGCATGTACGTGGCAACAAAATAAAGAGATTGGACTGTTTGCATGAGGCTCTCAACTTTTCCTGTTTCAGCACATCACTCAATCATATTTAATAATTATTTGATTTTTTCTAATATTTGATCATATATATGTGCTGAAAGTTAGGGTTTGATACTAAATAATATTTTCCTTAATAAACAGCAGAAATTCTTATTTAAGGATGCTTACCATATGTCATAATTTTCTTTAATTTGAAGCTATGGCGTTGGTTCTAGCCGTTGAGGCTTTTGTATATATGTACTATGTTTATGACGTAATTTAATTTCCCTAATGTTTGACCCCAAAAATAAAAAATAAAAATCCCTCCTATTTTACATTTTTTTTCTTTGAGGAGAAGTTAATACCCATCAGGGAATCATTATTTTTCTATCCTCGATCAACTTTAGGATCCTGAGTGACTAGGTTTTAGAGATTTTCTGATCATTTTGGGAATTAATTCCGTAAGTAAAGATCAGAAATCAATTTCAATTCTTAGTTGAAGCTTAAAAAAGATACAAGTTCAGATTCAATCGGTTTAATGTTTTTTCCTTTTCCATTTAGGTACCAACAATAATGTTTTACCTTAATTGAGTAAGATTCTTCTAGATAGCAAACATACTTGCGGTTCTAACTTTTAACTACACCCCATATGAGATTTATCTTTAATCAACTTATTTTTAATTAAAAACCAGTAAGACAAAAATAAATTGGGTTTTATGCTTAAAATTAATGGTCTAAATGAAAAATATACTATCCAAAAATCATTCTTTTTTAGTCAAGATAGGTTGAGTTCCCCGGAGATGGATGATTATTTTTTTATTTTTTATTTTATTTTTTGTGTGACGAATTTCACATTCTCATTTTATCTATTTACACTTTTCCATCAAATTTTTGTGTTATAGTAATTGAACACACAAAATGAGAATCAAAGACTAAACGCAATGAAATCAAGGCAAAACGGATAAAAGAGGAGTGTGAAAATCACTTCTTCTTTTTTTTTCCATGCAAAAAGAGTCAGTTTTCAAACAATTTTTAAAAATGAGTCAATATTTTTTAATAATACTTTTCACTTTGAGCCATAATAGGGATAGTTCAAGCACAAACCAATATACAACTTAATACGGGACAAAAGCAAAAGAAATTCTCAAAGTATATTAAAGTAATTATATTGAGAAGCATGTGGGATGTGCTTTTCCCTATAAGTGATTCTGGCCCTCCCAAAATCAATTCCAAACGAACTCAGTGATTTTAAGCGATTGGTCTATTGAGAATCACTCTCAAACAAACTCTCAATAACATTCTACTTCTCTTCCACCAAAAGCTCCTCCATCAAACTTAGGGAAAGACATATTGCTTTGGTAAAGAATCAAATTTGACTTGTACACAAACAAGCAAAAGAAGATCAAAGCAAAAGGCTAAGATATACTCAGAATAATATCCTTTTGTTTTTGTTTTTGACCAACAAAATGTTCCACACGGTTGAAACACCCATAGTGGAGAGATCGATCAGTTTGCCATTGCAAAGATGGTATATACTATGCACAAAAGATGAAGATCCCTAGCTATTGTCGTTTACTACAGCTCATTACATTACTAGTTGTTGTGGAGCACGTCGTTTTGATTTGAACCAAACACGTATTGAAATCAGCACACACTTTTTTTAACATATTGGTTGGATCAAATTAAGGTAAAGTCATGAGCAAACGATAACATTTAATAAAGGGTTTAGTTTAGTAGCTAACTAACTTAAACAGATAATTTTAAATAATAAACAATAATGCTATAGTTGGTTGTGATCTTATTAATTGATTGGAGTTGGCACAATGTAGAGGCTCGGGATTCACGTAAAACACTTGTGCAATAAAATATATCGTTTTCTTTTTCCTATAAATTAAAAGAAGAAAAAACGTCACATTCGTTATTTATTCTTTTGGTTTGGTTCCTGGACATGTATAGACTCTATACTTGTATCCTGCGAACAAGTGTACATGGTGACGCAAAATCATGGGAATCTGCCTGAATAATTCTGCATGCTTTATTTATTTATTTTTTCTGAGATTTGGAAGCTGTACAAAGTAGAAGGAGAAGAGAAAGCAATAACATGATGTAGTTGCTTTAGCCTTTAAACGAATGAGGTCATTGCAGCTGAAAACTATATATCTCATACGTGGAGAATCATAGAAGTGTTTGCTTTGGGTTGGTTGAGGATAATATATAAATTCCAAAATTTCTGTGCTTTTTTTAAGTGTAGTAAAAAAGGATTTACTTGCATTGCTTGGAACGTTGATAAAATGTAAACAAATTTTCGTGGGAAGAACTTTCCAATTAATCAGAAGATATGGTTTAAACAAATTTACCTTTTTCTTTTTGACATTGCTTCCAGTAAATTAGGTGACATATTATTGGAGATGCAATCAAAGTTGTAAGAAAACTATGGGTTGTGATCTTCCGAGATTACTTAGTCTCGATTTTTCCTTATTATAAAACACTTACCAAAAAGAAATAAAAAAGAACATTAACTAAAATGAAAGCTTTAAGGTGTTAGTTAAATTAGCACAAGTGCTCTCAAGTGATCTTGGGTATAATATCCCATGATACACATGTGTGTGAGTTTTCCTCGTCTCTATTTTTAACTTTGGCTACAAAAACGAACTAAAAAAGTGAAAATTTAAGTAATAATTTTACGAAAAAAGAAAAAGACATAAATTTGCACCAGCCGGGAATTGAACCCGGGTCTGTACCGTGGCAGGGTACTATTCTACCACTAGACCACTGGTGCTTTCTTCAATGTTGGCGTATTATTATGTTTTAATAAGTGGCTGAAAAATGATTTAAATAAATTGTAAAAAATGATAAAAAGTTACAAATGCACCAGCCGGGAATCGAACCCGGGTCTGTACCGTGGCAGGGTACTATTCTACCACTAGACCACTGGTGCTGCTTGCAAGTCACTGTCAGTATTATGGTGTTTAATGTTTGTTTTCTCTTTTTTAGTTTTTTTTATTTTTTATGAAACGGTTTATTAGTTACTAGAAAACAAGAGCTAGATTTAGTAGTTTCTTAAACCGAGGGAAGATAACAAGAAAGGGTTGAAAGAAGTTACGGATTGGGCAACAATAGAGGACAATGAGAGTACGCAAATGAAGGTTAAGAATAAATATATGATTGGTGGTAATTTCGTGCGAGATGATAGGTGATAAGCATAAACAATATTAAGAGCATCTTCAATAAGCTTGTTAAAAGCATGTTATAGCAAAATAAATAATGGCGGAACATTCCACTCTCCTAGTATCGGTGCACAAAACCAACTTATTATTAATTCATTTGTAATTTTTTTCACTTTTGTGAACGAGACGTCGATTTCGAATTCCACTCCACTCTATGGTAAAAGAACAATGATGGGTGCTGTAATTAAATCTTATAGAGTTCATTTATGTTATTAGAAACACCCTATGATTGAAGGGACTCGATCAATAATATGGGAACATGGTCCAATCTTCCCTTGTGGACCAATTTCTAAAAGCATCTCAATAAAAAGTCTTTAATTGGGATGATGGGCCAGATGGGCCCATAGACCCATTTAAGCCCAAAAAAGGATCTTGATAAACTTCAATGGGCCTAATTTCAAACCCATGAAATTCAACATAATCACATTATCCATGCAAGTACTCTCTCTCCAAATCACTGCCTTATCTAAGCGAGACCAAAAGCGTTCAATTTCCTCAAAAGCACTGTGAGCGATAGAGAAGCAGAGACATGGCGTCTTTGGCTCAACAATTCACAGGCTTGAGATGCCCGCCACTCTCAACCTCGCGGCTCTCAAAGCCATCAGTCTTTCCAAAGCAAAACAAAATGCCGGGTTTGCTTCCCATAGTCTCAGCTGTGGCCATTTCCAACGCACAGACCAAAGAGCGCCTCAAGCTCAAAGAACTCTTCGAAGATGCCCACGAACGGTGTCGTACTGCCCCCATGGAAGGCGTCTCTTTCAATCTCGACTCTTTTTACTCCGCTCTGGAGAAGTATGACTTCAATTCTGAGATTGGAACTAAGGTCTGTCTTGTAAATTTGGTTCTTTTTCTTTTTCCTTTGAATTTAAAGTGAAAATGGGTTCATGGGTATGAGCTCAAATGAAGAAATTACATGTCTGTATCTCAAATTTGACACTGGGTCTGTTGGTGGTTATGTAAGTTTATTTATTATATGGATTTGAGAATTTTTTTTCACTTAGCCTATACCTTGGCAATGTGAGCTTGAGTGAGTAACCGTTACTGCATAGTCTTTGTGTTTCCATGGAAGATTAATTTGTTAACTTCGTGCATCTGAATTTCTTTTTCTTTATCAGGTAAAGGGTACAGTTTTCAATATAGATAACTATGGAGCATTAGTCGACATTACTGCAAAGTCTTCGGCGTACTTGCCTGTGCAAGAGGCATGCATTCACAAAATAAAGAGTGTAGAAGAAGTAGGCATAGTTCCTGGAGTGAGAGAGGAGTTTGTGATTATTGGTGAAAATGAAGCTGACGATAGCTTGATTTTGAGTTTAAAGTCTATCCAGTATGACCTTGCATGGGAAAGATGTAGACAGCTCCAAGCTGAGGATGTTGTTGTCAAGGGTAAGGTAGGTATCTGCTTGTCTTGGTTCCTTCCCTGGAGTTCTTGTATATTTGAAGCATCAAAAAGAAAAAAATTGTAGTCTTCCACACAAATTTCTTCTTCTTCTTTGCAGACAAATTCATGTGTTTAACTATTTATTCTATATATTCTTAGAAAGCTCTGTTAAAATATATTTATGCAGGTTGTTGGTGCGAACAAAGGTGGAGTGGTGGCTGTGGTGGAAGGCCTTAGAGGTTTTGTTCCTTTCTCACAGATATCAACAGTTAGTTCTTTAACCTGGCTTCTAAGCTTCCAAGCGTCTTCTTAGCTTGATATTTACCCTATCTTTCTGATTGCATTTTCTTGTGCGGTAAAATAATACAGTTGTAACTTATAAGTAATAATGGCCAAAATGAACAGGCAGTGATTCTCCATTACAATTTTCGCTTCTTTCTCCCGAAATTGTTTTCAATCCTGCATTCAGCTGTCACTAGCATAGTTCCAAATTTTGATCACATTTAGCCCTTAATGTTTCAGTGTCTGAGTTTGTCACATTTACTTTTGTATATCTTAGAAATCAACGGCAGAGGAGCTTCTTGATAAGGAGATTCCTCTGAAGTTTGTGGAGGTTGATGAAGAACAGTCCAGGCTTGTCCTCAGCAACCGTAAGGCCATGGCAGACAACCAAGCGCAACTTGGAATTGGATCAGTTGTCCTGGGAACTGTTCAAAGCCTGAAGCCATATGGTGCCTTTATTGACATTGGTGGAATCAACGGCCTACTTCATGTTAGTCAGATCAGTCATGACCGAGTCTCTGATATTGCAACAGTTCTCCAACCTGGTGACACTCTCAAGGTATAGATACTGTATCCTAGGCAAGTTATTGGCTGAGAATTTGTTGCCACTCTGTTAAGCATTTCTAAACTGCTACTCTTTGTGTAGGTCATGATATTGAGCCATGACCGTGAGAGAGGCCGTGTAAGTCTTTCTACCAAGAAGTTAGAACCTACTCCTGGAGATATGATTCGCAATCCAAAGCTTGTCTTTGAGAAGGTATTTTCTGGATAATAAACTCCAAAGATCTTTACTAATTGCACTTACTGGATAGTTAATTCTAGTAGTGAAGGTCGGTCTCGTCTTCTTCTTGTGTTTTTTCCCCAATAGATAGTAATTTCTCGTAGTGAACATGGTCTTATAATCTTGTAGTCTGACGGGACAAGAATAGCTAAAGTTTTATCATGTCTTTCCCTCTTCTCCTAATATTTAACATAGTTGTACACTAGTTAGCTTTCCTGAAACCAGATAAATGACTGTATATATGTTTGTGATTTGTTCCAATAGGCGGAGGAGATGGCGCAGACATTCAGGCAGAGAATTGCTCAAGCAGAAGCTATGGCTCGTGCAGACATGCTCCGTTTCCAGCCTGAGGTACTTGCTGTGTTATTTCCTTATAATAGGTTCTATGACTTGATCTGAATATAAAATGGAAAAAAGGAGGCTAGATTAGGAAACCAAAATTGGATGAACTTAAATCAGCTTTTCGGGCAGATGAAAGTAGCCATCCAATGGGAAAATTTTACGTTTCATTTCAATTGCGTCAAAAAGTGTGTAACCTTGAAAGTTCTCAGTTTTGTTAACTTGACCATGCGTCTGTCCTTAATTTGCAGAGTGGATTAACCCTCAGCTCTGATGGGATCTTGGGTCCGCTTACTTCAGACTTGCCAGTAGAGGGTTTAGATTTGAGTGATGTTCCCCCGGCTGAAGTGACCGAGTGAGACAAAAGTTCTTCAGCATTTTGGGGTTTTGCCTGCTTAAATTTTCTTGTAGAAATTGTTGTAAAAGCACATACCCCAGTCTGCCTGTAATGCTAATTCACAATTGCATTGCTTTAACCAAACTGTTTATATATGTTATTCATTTTGAATATATATATAGCTTTCAAAATGATTGCAAGTGTGGCTCAAAAATCATAATTCTGTACTTGTACGGCCGAGCCAAGCAACAAAACTTGTATGACTTTTAGGATGTTTATCAACTAAACAGGCTTTGTTCTTTTTCTAGGTATCTACCAGTAAATGATATTGAACAAATGAAATGCGATTTACATTAACTATGGATCAATCTCAATTAACTAAATTCAATTTTTCTTTCATTTGGTCTGACACCATATTCATAAATATGATCTAAGGAGAGGCTCTATTTCTATGTAAACACCCTTGATAATTGATATCAATCTTTTTCTCTGACACGTAAAAACGCACTTACATTCAAGTTGCCTAACAGGATTATGTCGATAGCTGCTTTTTTACAGTAAAGATTATCCTAAGTAACATACTGGAGACAGCCCCCAAACAGAGAAAACTAGTGTGGTCAGTCTTTACAAAACTTGACGCAGCACTATGCTGTCTAGCTTCCAGCTTTGCTGTTGCTCTTCTTGACTTTCTTTTGCTTCTGCTTCAATTGAGTGAGGCCTGCAGATGTTATCTTCACATTGCCAATAATTGCAGCAACCAGCTCAGGATCAGTGCATGCTTTCATCAACTCTTTCTCTCTAACTGTTGCTTCCGTCATGTGACTAAACAAATTCATGGCAGTTTTTGCAGCTACAAAAGATTAGAAAGATAGAGGTCAATGATCAATCTATGCGATAAAAGAAAGCTCTTGAAACTTAAATTCCATAATCCCACAAGTGTTGCTATTTGTACCACATTGTTGACCACCTCTCTAATACAGGTGGGTCCAACATATCTTAGTGGGGCCCACCTCTATTAGAGAGGGGGTCAGCAAAGTTGTCAATGAATGTGATACAAATAGTATTATTGTATTAGTCCACTCTCTACGAACGCAAAAACTAGTTTATTACTTCCATTGCCAGAGTTAAGGGAAAAAGAAATTTCCTAGCAACGCAGGCACATCTGCCTACTGCTATGGAAAGCATAAATACAAAAAACCAAGTACCAAGTGGGACAGTCATTTACCTTTCCCTCTCTTCACAGAGCCAGGAGTTATCTTCACACGATATTTGTAAGATTGGACTGAGCTATAAGGACCACAGACAGGGACCGCATATAACAGAATATCACTGGGCAGTGGATTGCCAGTCAAGTAATCCACATCATTTAATTTCTCTTTTTCTTCTTCACCTATCTCATGAATATCATCCTCCTCAATTGTCACCTTGTCTAGTTCAGAAGCAGATTTATCCAAACCCAGAGGGTCATCTTCAACTCCAACATTTGCATGACTATGTAATGAATCATCTTGATGTTCTTGACAATCCCGGGACAGATGACCTGGCTTTTTACATTTATAGCATATTTTTGGAGCATCCTCAGGACCTGCTAGATTTAAGAGAATTGATGTTATTACAAAAAACTAATAGACTTCCATTAAACATGGTACTAATAAATAAAAAACCAGTAAACCGTTGAAGATTGAAGATGACATACCGGGTTTCTTATCTTCAGCTGGAGCTGAATTTTCATTTTGTGGCTCTCCATTCTTCTGTACTCTTCCAGCAGACTGAAAATTCAAAAACATTGTCATTTAGATCGATGATCAGGTCTTTTTGAACAAAAATATGAGGTAACTTCGGAGAATTGAGGGTATAATTCCAAACGATGTATTTGATTTTCCCACATTCAATATGGAAATTATACTTTTATAGTTGTTCATTCATATGGACATATCAGAATAAGAATTCTGAACAACTTGTGCGCCTACAAAGTTACAAATGCATGAGTGGCGAGAGAAAATATGCCAACAGAAAAGGCAGGAAACTCTTATAGATAATCAACTTTAAAGGCACGAAGACTCAAATTGGGAGCTGATAACAGACAAATTTATAGGCTAGAAAGAATCAAATGGTTATGACGTTCAATATAAGGATGGTGCAAGTTACTGTACTCACAGCTAGTAAAGCCATACGGATCCTTCTTTCTTCCTCATCCTGATCAGCGTACTTCCCTTTCATCTTCTTGAGTTTACCCTTCTGTCCACGACCAACTTTTCCACCACCTGGCTTCTTATCATGAACTTCCTTTTCAGGCGGACTCGCAGAAACATCATGTTTCAATTTTTCGTTTCGCTGCTTAGCATGTTCTTCAGAAACACTACTGGTCTGGCCTTTCTTGAGCTTTCTTCTTTCAGCTTTTGAGATATGAGGTTTCTCTCTTACTGCAGCCTTATTCTCTTCAACATTATGTTCCACTACCAAATCAACTGGAGAGGGTTCAACACTATAATTCTTAACGGACATAGCTGCCGATCCAAGCCCAAGAGCTCTATCAATGAGATCCTCAAGTTGTGGGGTGACAGATGCAACACCGTTTACAGCGACATTAACTACATTTTTCTGATCAGAATCATTTAAGGTCCTGTCTTTCTTGGGAATTTCATGTGAGTCTTGCACTTTATCAATGGTTGTAGTTAATCCGTGCTGAGAGGACATAGCCTCAGATAGGTCTTTCTGAACTGGTTGTTGGATTGGTATAGCTGAATCAGGAGTGATTTTTGATTCTTCTGCAAGTTTTTCCTCTGCAACTTCCTTCTCCGACTCAGAATCAGATACCTCTTTTAGAGGCCCACTTTCATCAACATCATTCGTCCCTTCCTCCTCACCTCTTACCCTCCTCTCATTTAGATGTGAACCCAAGGAACTCTCATCCAACCGGAACAACAACCCAAAGCCCATAATTAGAGGGTGTGGGGGAAGAAAGTTCTTCTTCCCACGAATCATGAAACTCCCAACTGTCAGATACTCCCCCGTAGGAGCAGTTTTACTGACCTGGTGAGGATGAACCCACCAAGCACTAGTGACAATCTTTGAATCCCACGCCTGGCTGTGGCAAACCTATACAAAGCATCAGTAAAACAGTTCAATATTACACATCCAGATGATATGAAACACTCAATAACACAGTAAACTAATATGAAAACAAAAGCATTACAGGAAGGTCAGACTTACTGTGAAGCATCCAGCTTGGTTTAAAGTAAGTGGAGGCACCGGTTGTTCAGGCCTGTGGTTCTTTATCACCGTACTAGAAGCCCCATGCAACTCTGCATGGACATACCTGTTACATAACAAAATCAACATCAGAAAGAAGATGCTAAGTGTGGCTATAATAAACAAGATGAGCAGAGAAGTGTGTAAACTAAAATTTCATGCAACCAGATTCTTGAAAACGTGACATTGACCAACTAAGAATTCCCATCTCGCATCAACATGACAAGAAATTAAATCATCTGCATTTATGAACAGGATTTCGTTTCTCTTCACTTGGAGTAGCATGAACAAGAGAAATCATGAAAAGGAAAAATGGAGAGAACATGAAAAGAAGAAAGACCAAAGTCACTGGAAGAAGAAACAATAATTCAGACAAAAAAAATAAAAACAGGAAACAAGAATTATCAATATCGCAACACACAGGAACTTCTTGAGAAGAGTCAGCCATAGAGAAGATTATGAGACTAAGCACGGAGATTGTTCCAGTGGCCCAACCGAAGGACATAAAAACTTGTAAAATAAACATAACTAAAAGATGCATATAAGGTACAGGAACAAATTTTTTTACCCCATGGTCATAGATCAGAACAGTCGTAAACCACTAAGTGCATAATTTGAACCTATAAGTATAGTGCTTCAGTGGTAGTTTATGTAGATGAGAATTTTTTATAAATAAATAAAAAACATTATTTCAATGTCTAAATTGACTTACAGATCTCCTTTTGACATATAACGCTTGACTATCATCTCATTTTGTTGAGCATCACGTCCACTGATAACCAAATAGTTCTCACTGCTGATAAACCAGTTAAATTTTTCAAACCAGTGAACCTTGCGCATATGTGAAATGGTAGCAACAGCTTTTTCCTGCATATTATTTTAAACAAATGTAATTAAGAACTGGAAAACAATTTATCTTCTAAGAATATATTAGGCAATGGTGACAAATATTTACAACGATTGCCATTCCTCTAGGAATACATATTCTTCATATTCTGGTTGTTTTAAGGTTGACATATGGCACTCATCACACACACACACACACACACACACACACAGAGTATTTATGCTCTGATGCTGTATTAGTCTGTCCTACCATTTATGACACTGCTGTCTTGAAAACTCATATTACCTAAATAGACAAAAATATGGGCTTGCTAAACCAAGAAGATGAAGCTACCTGTGACAGCTGGAGACGAGTCTTTCTCTCAGCAGCTTTAAATGCTTTTTCATGTGCTGTTACAGTCTTCTCCTGTTTGTTCTCCTGTTTTTTCTTTAGTTCATACCACCGCCGAGCATTGGCGTGTGCTGAAAGTGCTAAATCAACTTCCACCTATAAGAGAGAAGAAAGGTAATGGATAAGATACTCATTTCTAGAAAAGATAAAGAAAAAATTGAAGCTTTAGACACACCTTGTCTGCAGGGAGAGTCTTCTCATCATCATCCATTTCATCAAGATTGTTGCTCAGCAGTAATGTCATGCAATTCCTCTCCAGCTGAAGCTTGTCAATGATAGCAGCAACAGGGTTTCCAGATTTCTTCTCCTCCTTCACCGTTCTAGCAATATCCTCCCAACTCGTGCCCTTTGCTAGAGCTACACGAACAGCTATTATAGCAGCATCCACATCATCTAGATTATATTCTATCAATTCCGCCATATTAACGCAATGATCAACTTCTTTCCTTAGCATATGAACACGAGTTTCCTATATCATAGGATTGAAATAACTGAGATGAAAGATGCCACACATACATAGTACACAGAATGTAAACCAAAAATGTGTTAACATTTGATATTCTCAAACACCCTACCCCACCATCCACCCCTCCCCTCTCTCTCACCACAAAGAGGGATGGGGCTATGTCGAATTTCAGTTAAACTCAAGTCATAACACATACAAACAAACAAACAAACACACACACACACACAAAAACTGTACTCAAATCTGCCTTTGATTTTCAAATAGCACAGCAGAAGAAACAGTGCAAAACCTGATCCACGCGTATTTTGTTGAGCTTATGGGTGGCAGAGCTCTCTTTCGCCTTTTGCTGTTGTTCTGACCTTTGGCTCTCAATTTTGCTATAAAATTCATCCAAAGAAGCATCAAACGTTTCAAACTCCACATGCTCCCTTGATTTGAATTGGTTCAATAATATGGGGCAGAATTCATCATATATCTGCAAAAATAAGTCCAGAAATCATTTAAGATACCACACAATGGAAACCTGACCAAGCAGATCTCCTTCAACCAAGGGAAAAAGGGGAAATTACACTCTACTCTAAAGCATGTAAAGGTAAAATTATCACAGAGAAATCGGTAACCTGGCCAGAACTTCCTGGTTCACATGGGAGATTACTCTTCCCTGAATTTTTGTTCTGCATCAAAATGTACCCTTCAGGAACTTTATCACCTGATATAACATCATGCAGCCAGTCCTCAAACTTTGCAACAGCTTCGACCAAAAGCTGAATTGTATCATCATCTAACTTGTTCTCATTACAAAGTTTTGTATTTGGAATGAGGCCAACATCTAATATAATATGCTCAGAAAGAGCAGGTCCATAGCCTAATGCCTCCCCAAGAACATTCTTCAAGGTGACCTGTTTGGCTTTAGCATCACCAGTATTTTTACATGACTCAGCAGGCTTCCCACCTTTACGACTACCTTTTTTCTCTTTCGGTGCATCAGACACATTATTTGCACCTTCTTGATCCTTAACAGATTCGTTGTTATCAGGTTCCTTAGAAAACGTAAGGGCTTCCTGCAACTTTGCAGCAGTAGTTCGCTCAAAAACTCGACAAATTTCAATTGGATAACGATGGCGTGACATGATCGCAACCCCTTTATCATCATCCCTATTTAAACAAAAATTGACCACCTAATTAATATTTTGACTTAAGAAAAAGAATCAGAAGTTTTTGTGTTTCTCTTACTGAACACAAGTGAGCACAATCAGAAGATAGCAAACATGTTTCTAATCAATATTCAAGTTTTTGAGTGTCTCTTATGATTTATTACTAAAATGGCATCGGAAATGGATGTTAAACACTACCTATGCGAGCGAAGAAGAGTCATGACCATAAAATCAGAATCTGCAAGAATAACATTTCCTTGGGCATATAGCTCCAATATGACGTAGTAGGCGTTAGCACCCAGCCCAAATTGAAAGAGAACAATCTGAGAAGGAGGCCACACAAAAATCAGAGGAAAAACCCAAAATATGCAGAAAGTTAAATCCAACAATGAAAGAAGAACCCAATTGGAAGGGATGTTATAACTCATACCCTATCATATCCAAGCTGCCGCACATCCTCAAGCCTTCTTGTGCGTATATGCTTCCTCAATTTCAGTGTAAACCCAGAGGGAGTATTGCTTTTGTCCCTGCTCAGAAACCAAAATGAATTTCAAAACTCCACATGCTTTTTTTGCATTATCTGTAAATTGTAAAAGAACCCAATGAATCATAAGCATACCGAACATATGCAGTAGTGTGCAATCTGACGCCACTCTCCATCAACAAAAAGACCTTCTCGCTCTCGCCGGACTCGGTGACACCGCTACTGTTCATAAGCTTCAACATATAGGTCTGCAAATCCAATTCCAAACCACATTCAAAAACCCACATATTAAGAATGTAAATTTCATTTCATGACAGGATATGATTGATTTGCTCGAGGGGCTTAAGAGTGAAGAAGAGAAAAGAAGAGAAAGGACCTTTGGAGAGAGATCGTAGACATTGGCACAGCGCATGCCGATGAGCCTCCGCAAGCACTTGACCTCGGCGGCCACATCGGCCGTGTTCATGCGCACCTTCACCATCTTCGTCTTCCTCCTCTCTCTTCGTCTTGGGTGGTCGGCCCGGCGGTATTATTAGCTTTCTGTGCAAGGCGAGCTTTGTTTTCTCTTGTTTGCTTTGCTTGCAGCAAATAATCAAACGGGGCTTATTTGGCCGTGAGGGATTTATAGACAAATTAAGCGGGGTCGTATTAATGGCACTTTGGCACTTCTTCTTTCCAGGCACGCGTGTTAAAATACTCTCTAATTTCCTAATCCTCATTCTTTCAAGTTGATTAGTGTTATTTTTATCCTCTTACTAGCCTTTCTGCATATGCCTCAAAGCCTGCGAGCCTCTTTTTGAAAAAAATTTATTTTATTTTAGAAATAAAAAAAGATAATAAGCAGTTGTATTTCATAAAAATATGATCTATTATCTGATTTTTCTTTTAATTTTAATTTTTTTAATATAAAAAAGTGTGAATGTATCGTATTATCCTCATTTAATTAATAATTTCAATTCTTAATATTTGCATTAACTAAGGGCATTTTCTGGTATTTTAAATGTTTCACAATTTTCTGCCTTTTACTTTATATATATAGATTATGTCACACATCATCTGTTAAATTTTCTGTCAAAATTGATCATGTGACCAACATCAATGCTTGTTTTTCTTTTTTTCCTTTTTTGGGAGAAGCAACATCAATGCATGTTGGGGGAGTGTTAAGATGAGTTTGCCCTTAAGAGTTGGTCAGGTCCTCACTCCTGATCAATCAGGCAATGTACGACATAAGAAAATGAGAATAACGTTTTTCGTTTGGATGAGGAGAAATAACTCAGAATTTAGCTGGAAGTCGAAAATATAAAAGAAGAAATTGATAATTCTCTTGTTGGGGAATTTATTAAATGACAGCGTCAAAAAAATCATGGAAATTGAGGCATCAAATTCTCGAGTTTAATTTCCACCAAGATAGGTGTCATTTCACAATTTCCATAGTACCATTTACAAAATTTGACATACATAAATTCAAAAACTGAAATCTTCAATTGCCAATTGTTGAGACCCAAAAAAAATACATGGTTGGACCCGAATAAATTATCAGCCCAAAACGACGATCCATTAGGAAAAAGCGTAAAACAGAGTGCACCGAAACCCACCACATGCAAATTACAGTTCACGTGCCACGCTAAATAGATAAATTCGCTCAAGGTTGAGATAAAATATACCGGGTCTACAGGCCCATGCAAAAAATAAGCATTGCAGGACGATAAATTAAAACATGCCAAGCAATGTGCCATGCCAACCACGAAATCATTATCGCACACCCAACCACGCTACAAGCTTAAGTGGGCCCAAGCCACTCAAAAAAACCGGGACTTGCTTGAGTGGGTTGTGGTATGGACGGTAATAAATCAACATGAGGCCCATTGATGGGCCAGAAAAATGGAAAGTCTCGGGTTGCTTGGGAGCCTCGAGACTCAAGCCCATTTCTTAGACCCAAACATATGGGTAAGCACAAGAGAGAAAAATAGCCCAAAAGCCCAAGCAAAATAACCTAACCAAGAAATAACCCAACCAAAAAATAAGCCCAATCAAGAGGCCCAATGTTTCACAAAAAGCCCATTTGCTTAGGAAACCACCTTGGCCCTTATAAAATCCCAAAATAGCCCACAAAAGCTTCAGCTCTTTTGAAAAACAGAAAACACGTGAAGGAGGAGGTTGGCAGACTCATCAAGCAAAGCTGCTGGGAGCAAGTTCCAAGCCAGAGACGCCCAAAGAACCAAGGAATGCTGGCCTGCAGGCTGTCAAAAACACCCCTTGGACCAGCATATATTTTCACTTCCTTTCCTTCATCAGATTTAGCCAAGGCAGGGGGAAGGAAAGAAGAAAAAACAATAACCAAGAAGGGAAGCTCCCACTGCGCAGCTGCAAGAAAGGGGGACATTGAGCTCCCAAATCTCCTGAATTCGAGCAAATAAACAAAGGCAATTTTTGCCAAGATAGGGAAGTCAGAGAAGAGGAGGAAAAAGGAGGAAAAAGCTTAGCCAAAATAAGTAGAAGCCATTAGGGTTTCTTGAAGAATGGTGATTTCCAGCAGCTATAAATTGAGGCTTCCCTTACCCAACAGAGGCAACTCAAATTCAAGGAGCAAGCTTTCTCTCTAACTTGCAAAAATCTAACTACCTCGTGCACTGTTCACCTTCTTCTCCAATTTGTTTTTCTGGCAGCTACCAGAAGAACTCTGCCTTTCTTTTTCCTCTTTCCCCAGTCAAAATTCCTCACAAAACACCTCATTCCTTACCTTAATACTTTATTTTCTCATAAACCAAGCCTAACCTCTCTCTTAGTGCTAAACTTATGTTGGTTTTGCTCCCATGCCACATGTCACTCATGCTGAGCTAAAAAACTATTTGAAAGCATGCCAAAATCATCTGTAAGTCACCATTATTTTGATCAGTGGAGATAGCCAAAATATTTCCTAAGGTTTTGCTATCCTTTCGAGGTATTTTGGGGCTTAATTTTCGAACCCAGGCAAAGGGGACAGTCTCCTCAGTCCCCCCTTTTACAGCAGCCCAGCCCATTAGCTGCAGGAAGAAAAAGTCCCCTACACCAGTGAATTGATGGAAATCAAAATTCCGTCATTTTAGAATTCTATGTCATTTTCAATTTCTTCATCCAAACGAAGATCAAATTCATAGAATAAGAATGGAAATTATCGGTTTGAAATAGTACTAATCTTGATAATAATATTATTTTTTAAAAAAAATTAAAGACTACTCTATCAGTGAACCGACTTCTCTCTGTTCAATTCTTTTATTTTTGGTACCAAATTTTAGTTTAGTTTTAGGTGATTGGTGAGATGTTGATGAGTTGACCAAAAAGACAATGAAGGTAGTGTTTCGTTTTAAAAGAATTGTAATTCAAGTGGTTAAAAATATTTACCAATATAGCCAACGATTAAGCTCCTCCGTTAATATTGCTAGTATTAGAAAAAGAAAAGTTGGGTATGTGTTTTTGTTGAGGTTGCATAATGTAAGTTAACGAAAAGCAAAACAAAATGTTCTTTGTTTAAATTTTTTTGAAGGGGTTTTGGTTTGGAACCATAATGGCTCTTTGTATTTATAGATTCAAGGAAACCGCATTTTCAGAGACTTACATGCCAATTTGTGAAAAATGCATAGCCCCGATCATGTCTAACTCTACCAAACCTCACTTTTACATGTCCACATCATGTTTTAAAAAAATAAAAAACGCAGCAGTAGATGGCAGGTGAAATCTTGATCATGACATATCTCTTCAAATTGAGTTTCATTCCACAACTTGCTCACAACTCATAAAGGTTCCACTGAACTAAATTACTCGTGGAAATGTTACATTCTTTGTCTTGCAAAACATAATTCCATGAAAGGATGCAGCCATAGCTCTTTTTTCCAAGCTGATGATTATGTATGGCTTCTCTAAAAGAGGAGGAATTAAAAGCACTGTATCTTTATAAATAAGCTGCCCCCTTTTCATTTACATAAATATATTAAAGAGTATTGTTTGAACAATGTTACACTTCTCAAAACGATCACCTATTTATGTTGAGAAAAAGGCCTTCACATGGCATTCATATGAGCCCCAATTTCTGTATAACTTAACAAAGCTGTTGAACTTTGGCAGACTCACCCCAACATATTTACAAGTCAAATCAGGAGCTTGCCAGAAATAAATATCTACATGCCATTCAGTTCAAGCTTCACTCTGCTTTTGCAGTCCTTGTTTATTTGTGAAGCTCTGATACGATCGTCAACACTTCCAAGCAGGGACATCAAATTAACAAGGCATGATGTATACTGTCTGCCTAGAGAATGGTTCACTCCACAGAAGATTGGAGCAAATAATTTGGTACAACTTCGAATGCACAGCTTCCTTCCATCAGCTCAAATCAAAGCCAGCATCTGCACTTATAGCATACATCAATTTGGTTTCCAGTTGCTCTTTACTGCATCAAAAGCATGTCATTGAGAAAGGTTAATGTGGGTGGAAGGAAGAAATTTATGCATAAGAATACAACTAGAAAAAAAAACAAAAGATTATTCAATTATTACAAACAAACAAAAAACAGAGAGAGGGGAACAGCAAACCTCCTATATGGTGGAAGCTTTAGGAGATTCATACAAGTGGCCGCAGTTGGCAATCGGTCAAGAGCTCCTTCAGATGCATTACCACCAGCCCTGTGGAAAGAGGCAGAAAAGGTAAACAAAGATAAACTGTAGAGAAGAAATTTGGTAAACCAAACAGAGGGCCTCTGGGAGCACCCAGTCACAAATCTGGCATGAACTCTTACCTCTGTATGCAAAATAATGGTTCCAAGTATTTGAATCCAAGCAGAGGTCCTCGGGAGCACCCGGTCACAAACCTGGATAAAAGCTGGTGTGGTTAGTATCTATCCTGATGTTCATTAACTTCAAAGCCAAACACAGGAAATTGAAATAGCCAACATAATGTGCTCAAGGGATTTTGTGACATGCTAAAAACTCACTTTAGAAATTTCTTCTGATTTTCCAATGAAAAGCTTTTCAGAACTTCCCAGAACATCCCAATGACATAGTGATCCTGTCCAAACAAATAATGAACAATAAATATGTTGCTGGAACTATAATTATAAGTAAAGAAAAAGAAAAAGAAAAGGTCCTAATGAGAGCTATAATGTACATTTAGGTAAGATGGCGCCATTAAAATGTGATTAATGATAAGTACAATGGACAAACAAAACAATTTTCCCGCTTATGTTAGTAAAACTAAAAAATTCAAACCCACAAAGAACCACAATCGTAAAATAATAACACTGATGAAACCACAAAACCATGTTTAAGTTTCCTTAAGGCAACTAAGAGCACACGCCGGTCACTCTTTTTCATGGCAAAAACAGTTACAGGAACAGAATTGACTGGGCGGTGGAGTCGTGGAAACACCAAAAGAATTTTGGTTCCAATAAGATATGGACATGAAGGCCAAAATGTTCAACCAAAACTGGAAAAGGTGGGGATAAGAAAAGCCCATATAAGACCCCGATATTCACTAGGGAAAACATCGACACAAACTTTAACTTTATAAGTCTCACCAAGCCACTAATATAAAGAAGCCAAAACCAATGTAAGGGAACTTACACTATGATAGCCACCCACATAGTTGGTGTGCATCCGTAGATCGTCAACATCCAAGCTGTCAAGTGAACCTGATATCAGAAGCTGTAGAAACAAGGTAGGTCAAAAAAAAAAAAGACACTTAGACAAGCTTTGCAAAAACTAACGACCGTGTCGCATAAATAACTCAACACAATATAGTCCACATCAGCCTTGATACCAATTTAAAGACGAGGACAATCGGGAAACATTCATGGAAGAACGAGTCGAACGATTATACTAATGGAAGAAATGAAAATAATACTTGAAATAAATGTATAGTTGTCTCAGTGAACTAAGGAAATCAGAAAAATGAGTTACTGTAATATGAATTCAACTCGAGAGCAAATAAATCTTAAAGCCTTGACAAAAGTTGAAGAAGCAAGAATATGGAGGTCTAATTATATACAGATGTTCCAAAATCGGTTTAAAGGATAACCGTTCGAAGAAATGTTAAATAAAATATATTTTACATATAGGCCATCAGAGCTAGCAGCAAGGAACCACAGATGAAAACTCTACCTTTCACAGTGACCATAAAAATTACAATCAAAGACAGCCTACTGCATCAGATGATGGATTCCTGATAAACATTACCTACCAAGATACTCAACTGCATCAAACAATCCATTGCTGATACAGCCTTTTCCTTCCTAATATAATTTTCATCAGATTATAACTATGGAATAGATCAAAAATCCAAACCCAGTTTGTAGGCAACTTCGACACAAAATGGAACAATATTAATCTGACACCAGGTTCCACCTATGAGAAACTCTAGCTTTTGCTGAGTATACAACACATGCACATGCAATATATCATTGTCATGACCTCTTGTACTCCATAATGCCTACCACAAGATTTTTTGTTTTTTCTTTAAGAACAATCTTAATGCTCCAATGCGAAGACAGCATAGCAAAGACTGACATACATGACACTTGTCTTCACAGTATACTGTAGCTCTCAGTAATAATTTGTTGCATCACTAGAAACTCTTAAATGCAAAATAACCTCACAGACACATATACAAATGGAAGAGAATGACTAAGATTTTTTTTAGTTTATTGATCTTATATCAACAGGCAAGCAAGAAGAGAGTATAATCATGTGATACTATGTAAACAAAGTGTAATAAACACGGCCTAGAGGTAGACTAATATACCTGAAGTTCATGCTCATTAAACATATCAATCCAATCTTTCTGTATAAGCTGCTGAAACCCCCTTAAGAAATGAGAACTTTGTTGGCGTATCTGAAAATGAGAATGGGTTCCAGATGGAAAGTTTAAAGATGGGTTTAATTTTAAGAAAAGCCAATAAAACATATCGATCCAGTTTTGTTTCGCCAAGTCATATTTGCACAATGAAGATATACGGAATAAGAATGGTACAAGATAAAAACTTGCACTACCTGAAAATTCAAACGGTGATTGGCAACAAGATGAATAAAGGTAATGATGTCATTAGTAACACGTAGGTTCTTTCCCCCGGGAAGCAGCTCTTCTTCTGTTTGCTCTCCATATTCATTGTTTACGATGACAAAGTACAGTTCTAATTCCGATATATCACCTTTATAATGCTGCAGATCATTAAAAAAAAATTGGGGGGGCTCCATATTTAATAAATCATTGCAAGATGATGATATAAATGAAAAAAAAAACTTTAAAATCAACAGAAAAACTGTCAATTTAAATGCAGATGATGGTGTCAATAGAAGCACAAGCGTTCAGTACAAGCTAAAATATGCCACGAGGCACACAAAGGAAGAAAGAACTACGTTACCTTCAAGAAAATAAGGTGGCGGTACAATTCTTGGTCCAATGAAGGCAAATCATTTAAATAGTTGTACCTAATCAACAAACAGAAAGAAAATTCCAGTATTAAGAAGATTGTAGTAAAAGATACTAGATAGAATCATGAAGTAGTCTGGTACGTCGATTAAATATTGCACACTTACTTTTGTTTTAGTTTGCTCAGAAAGAACGTTGCAAACGGTATATCAACAAGAATCCCCTCAAACATGGCCTGTAAGGAGAAAAACATGTGATACCATGATGAAGCACCATATCGACTAAAACAGTACAGAAATTTGATACCTTTGCTAGAAGTATTCCAAGAAAGTGGAAGAATTGGAGATGTTGTTCATGAATCATTCCCGAACCAGGATTCGGGTAGAGTAAATGATCGGATGTTTCCTGGATATACCAAGCCAAGCAGAAGGCAACAAATAAGCAACATGAGCAGAAATACCTAAGTCACAAAGTTATAATTTGTCTAGGTGTGAATATCAAATTTCTGACAGCACAATGCAAAAGATCTGTCATTTTCATTAGTCTGACCATATTGAGTCAGATTTTGCCAGAATCTCTGCATACATCTCATGGAAGAACTGGACTTTCTACTGTAATTTTCTTATCAGAGAGCTGATTCAAAAGAGGAGGGGGATTCAAACTGTCCTGGATGTGTGGGGGTAAATGTTCTCTACCACTGAAGCTACAGGCCCCTAATTCAAACACTTTCTATTGTTTCATGTATGTAACTTTGAGATGTTAAAATGTAATGTAGCATCTTCTTTTGCAGAATCCAAAGTAGTGGCTCGTAAAAAGTGCCTAAATTTGAAAGTGAATACGGTACAGGCTTCAGAAACATAAATGACAAAAAAATCTGTAACCTTAAATAGTCCATATTGCACATCAAAGGCTGCTCGAGTAATGTTCTCCATGAAGTCTTTGAAAATCCCACCACCATCAATTCCAGCCTCCTCAACCCCAAATTCATTTACAAACGTTACACGAATCTGCAAGTATACAGGTAAAGGTGATAAGGTGATCATCCTGGCAACGGATACGAAGGGGAGGAGATATTACAGTTCCTTTCAAGTGCTAGCATCAAGTAAGCAGAAAATCATTTTTCTTCGTTGCGTGAAAGAGGCCTCAGAGCCTGTTTGGGAGTTTGTCTAAAGAGTTTGTCTAAAATGCTTCTGTAGATACTTCTCCAAATAAAAAGTGCTTTTTTGACCCCAAAAGCACTTATCTTTCCAGTTAAGCAGTAAAAGATAACTTTTTTGGTTATTTGGAAGTGTTTTCGGTACTGCTAAAAGCACTCCCAAGGCAACCTTCATCTATGAAATCAACAAAAACAAAAATACACGAATTACCGGTCCTCGAAGATCATCTTCAGACAATGCACTCATTTGATTATAAGCATCTTCCAAGATCCGATCCCGCCGGATTCTGAATCGGTTTCTGGCAATTACAGAGTTAGCCCCATGTCTTTGTCTAGCTGCTGCCAATTGTGACTGACAAATTGGTTTAAGAATAAACTAATTAAAAAATCTAAATGATAAGACTTAAGGTACATAAAGATTTCCATCTCTCTTTAAAAATGCCCCAAGAAAGGATTGTACATTTGAAATAAGAAACAATACTCCGAAAAATACACTGTTGACGGCCCAGTCAAACTCCAGTCCCCAATCCCCATTACTCGGTTGGAACATTCCAGGCTTCCAGCTAAAAGTTTAAAGCAAAGTTATAACCAATTAAATACTTACAGTGAATATTTTAACTCTGCTTGTGAATGGTACGAGGAAGGGAGCTTGCTTCAAAATGTCATTTGCTCGTGTATTTTCTATTGCGGCCTTCAGAATAAAAATAAAGACATTAGAAAACAGTGAAAGTAAGATCTTGGTCCTAGGAATGGGATCCATTACCTGTGAAATAAAGAACTCGTTGACACCATCAGCATGAAAGTCACCGGGGGATGTGAACTCTCGTCTATTGTTCCAATCTTGCAACTACATATGCAACAAATTACCCAAAAGAAAAAAACAAATGGATTGTAAAATTTCCTGTTGATTTGTGGACATGTACAAAGAGAACCAAAAATCACAAAACCTGTGGTGGAAGGACAACCGCAAAATACTGCTACAAGGAAAGTAAGCTTTTTTAAAGAACACATACTCAACATCTAAAGCTCGTTCCTACCTGGGATAGGAGTTCAGAGGCTACAATGCTAACCCTGTGTTGAATGAACTCCAAAGGGTGCTTCTTGTTAGAAACAGTGTTGGTGAAAGATTTCAGAGGATTAGTGGGAGCCGTAGGATTCACCCAAAGAAGCTGCCATAAGGCCTGCAGAGAATAGAAAATCCACATAATACGACAATTCAATAAAATTTACCAAGTAAAATCACAAATCAACATAAGTGTAATAGAATTAGCAATCAGTACAGTACTGTATATCCTGTTTGTCATACATAGAGAACAACTAATTACATTCCTACAGACTCCTATCAGTTCAAGAATGATCACCATTCTTTTGATAAGTTGACAACAGATATTCAACAAGAATCACCTGTCTGAGTATGATAATTAGGACTCTGATATCCTTCAATGATAATGGCTTCCCCTGCTCATAGAACTCCTCATTATCAACTATTGTAAGCATGTACCTGATCCATAAAAAAAGGAGTCAAACGATCACAGTTAATCCTATCTCAAGCAGCCACGTATTACTCTAGCATCAAAACAGCATACATGAAACAGGAGAAGAGAATGACTAGATACTTCAAACCAATAAAAAATATCTACAAAATTAAACAGGGACTATTACTTGTATACAGGGCAGAATACAGCCAAAGGTAATAGCCAACCAGGTGCATCTCCTGGCAGCAGATATGCCAACTGCTCAGACAATGACAGCCATTTTTGGTTCTCATGGCACCGTTTCATAAAATTCCAAAGCACCGGGACAAGTTCAGTTCTATAAGCTAGTATAGTCATGATTCTCTCTAGAGGTAAGGTCTTGAAAGTAACATGTAGAAAAGCACAAGCTGCACCAACAGCTGACACCTCTTTATCATCCGGTCCGTGGTGTGAGCCACTGGCAAGTGAAATCCCTCCAAACAAAACATTTGTCTGCTCAAAGAATTAAACAAAATCTTGCTTAGAATTAAGAGGTAAAGACATATTTGCTTAATTTAAATGTACTTCAATAGAAAATAGAAATACATAATCCAAGATGGCTTACTAATTGCAGAAGAAAGCGCGGATCTATGGCATCACATATCTGTCGTTCCAAATCATTATTCAAAACTACCTCCATGACATCATCTCCCACAATCATATCATCCTCGCCCGTCATGAACTCTGAAAGTCAACATATGTATGTTCTTATGTAATGCAGAATTTGATGTATGTTGCACAAATTAAACAAGTGAACAGAATATACAGAGAGTGTCCATTATTTAAACATGGGGACTGTATATATATATATATATATATATAGAGAGAGAGAGAGAGAGAGAGAGAGAGAGAGAGAGAGAGAGAGACATGGAAGAAAAAACCCCACTAAAAGAAGAGTAAGAGAGGAATAAAGTACAACATGTGGAAGGCATATACCTTCTCTGCTTTCTCTATTTGATGATTTAATTGAAGGAAGGGCCTCCAACAAGAATGTTGCAACACCAGCAAGGTCTACAGCCTGATATTATAAAGAATACAACAAAATCAAGAATCAAAGCCATCAAAGAGGTTGCATTACCAATAAATACACATGCATAAAGTACACGTGTGAGAGTGCATAGGAAAATGAGAAAATAAATAAATGAACATTGTCAAAAACCTATCCCTCCTTATAAGTTAGTCTTCCAAATTTTTCTTCCTTAATATATCACAAAGTGCAACTGTCAGTAATATTGCTTGAACCAAAGGATCTCCCTGATTACTGACTCCAAAATTAAAGAATGCACTCCTATAATGGACCTAAATCATATTTCAGCAAAATAACATGTTGCCCATTTCTACTTATGATAGCAGGCCAGTAATTACCATTTCAAATGAGCAGCCAGGCTGAGATAAGGCAACTCCAGAAGATTCTAATATATTTCCAAGAAGGCAGGCATAACCAGGTAGCTCAATTGATGTATCATTGGGAAGTACATGAGCATGATTTTGCACACAGAGTGCCATCTGACGAATGTAATGCTGACTCATCCCCTGTGTTGCAAAAACCTAAACGAAAAAAAGATTACAACAATTGCAGAATAGGAAATATTAAAACAAGAAAAAAGCGCTTCAAAAGACAACTAGATCAACAACAAAAGAAGGTAGGGAGGGATTCTGCAGCACAATGAAATCATACTGAAAGACACCTACAACTCATTAGATGAGAGAACTTCAAAAGAAAAAAAGTATCATTGTGGTTTTGAGCACTTATGTCAGCATGTGATGACCATACGTACCAAGCCCTTCAAATTTACCTCTCCTAAGTATGGGAATAGCTTCCATAGAAAAGGAATCGTAAGAATTTGAGATGAAAAGCTCCAGTGCGGATCGATGTTTGGGCAGGTACACGGCTTCTGACCAATGTGAGGAATTACAGCAGCAAGACTGCGTTCCAAAGAAGATACTCTGCCAATGGAAGTACGGATCTTTATACTTTCCTGCACCACAATACTCATAGTTGTAGAAAATATTCCCATTTGTGAATGCCAGTAGAGTAAATGACAAATCTCCAGAAACAAGAAAACTAGAATATGTTGGAATAATACATAAACTAGAAAAGATTAAAAATAAATAAACAAATAAATGTGTACAGTTAACTTTCCTACTTTAGTTAATAGGAAAGTGGATGGGTGGTAGAAAGCTTCTTGAGGGCTAAGACAAGGTGATCCTTTATCATCTTTCTTATTCACTTTTATACTAGTGACCGAGATGTGACCAAACATTTCTTAATCTCCTTAATGCTTTTGTAAAGAGATAGGGGGGTTGGAGGGGTGGCTTTTGGGTAAAAGCCTTTCCTGTTAAAACAAAAGCTATGAAGTATGAACAAATAGCTGGAATCAGATACATACCTTTCCTGTTAAAATAATATCTCTATACAGGGTAAAAGCCTTTCTTTGCAAAAGATAGCTAACTGTCTTACAAGCCCATGGAAGCTTGGGATCTATCAATAAAACTACTGCTTCTAACAGTAAAGTTGTTGACACAGTTTCCACCTCGGGGGCTGCAAAAAGTTGATCCTTCAATTGATTTCTGTCCAATAAAACACTTAAGTAAGCAACTCAAAAACCATATTAATGTAAATGGCATTGAGACCAACAAAACCAAAGAACTATGTTCATATTCTCTGCTATAACATTATACAGGTAAAAGGTATACCATACAATTAGAAAGTGAAAATATATCGTTTATCCCATGTCTCCATGTTATATTAGATATGAAAGAGGCTTCATCACGGTATAAGTAGAATGTACCCAGGAATGAGAATCGATATAATGACTCGATTAGTGATTTTATAAAAGAATCAATGAATAAATGAGATGCTTATGAAATAAATGAGCTAAGCATAACAAACCAACACATGAGATTAACAAATAACGCCAAATTGATAGTCTAAATCAAAAGAATCAAATGACCAAAAAATTTAAACTGAGTAGACACAACCAACCTGTTTTGATGAACAGCCTTAACACACAGAAATGCAAGTTGCTCTACTCTGTAATTTACCAAAGCATGGGTGGACGAATAATCCATGCCTGCAAAGAGGCTAACAATATCCCCTGTTTCATGATCAGATAATTGTTAATAACACCAACAGGTCCTAAGCAGTGTGAAACAAGCAGAACCTCGAGAGGTTCTAACTGGTCTTTATTAAACTCTTAAAACCAAAATTACTATGTAATTGTACCAAAGGTTAAAAAAGGTGCTTTATTTAGCTATTTCTTGGCAAACTTTGAAACAATTCAACAGGATAAGAACTAAATGAATGGCATACTTGTAGCCAGCTCCATAATTATCAAATACATCATGGATCAGGGTTTAATGTGAAGACAGCCTAGTCACGTCCCTTTCAGTCACAATCAACTGCACGGAGTCATGGTCAGTTCAAGATCCTTAATGGAAGAATTGGCATGTTACCCTTGAGAATTGTTCGGGTAATTCGTGATTTCCAATCTAGAGAATCCTGATTGAAGGTTTCAAGTATACATCTATCATAACAACCTACCATAAATTAGTTATATCTTTATAAACTTCTTACTATCTTAAAATTTACAGAACCATTAAATGAACATGTCTAAATAACTTAAAGAAGATTAATCAGCAGGGCTAGTACATACACTGCTAATATATTCATTACTTGGAATTTTGGGGGAGAGGGACAGGTTTCAGGTTTAAGACTTAAAAATACATGAACAAGTAGAAATACTGTAATAACCATCCCTGCACTAAAATGAAAGTTCCAGAGAAGAGTCACCCACACCAATTTATTACATGAGGTTTTCTTTTTCAAGAAACAGGATTTATCATGTGAGATGTATTAATCAAAAGATTACTTGAAAATACAGCTTTTGAAAAGGAATATGATTAAAATTACCTGTATCTCTGACAAACTGCTGAAGCAGCCGGCACATCTCCACAAGGATGGAAAAATCAGCAACACTTCGAGCATCAAAGAAAAAAAGTAACTGGCGGAGAAACTCCGAATCAGGACCAAAACTAAACCTGAATGCACAGAGACAATTCAAACAAGGTGAAGATGCTTAAAGCAGAGCATTAACTTAATTTCCAACTACCACGACCGAAGAGGAAGTTAAAAGATAATAAGGATCCAAATCTTACCTGTCCACATTCTGACAATGTTTCCCATATGTTCCAACGAACTGCTCTCGCACCTTAGAATGTTCAGCCGCTGCTACCTTTCTCCCTCTGAAGCATTTCTGTAGTTAGTAATTAGTCAGCACTTTACAAAACATAGATTGATAGTAATTACATTGCCAATCTAGACAACAGCTTTAGTCAGACAGTTGAATTGGCTATCTCAAATAAAAGGAAATTAAAAAGCACTCATTAGCACCTATCAACATAAGTGGCATGGTAGAGACATCATTTGTATATGGATATGCGGTAAAACTGATAACTCCATGCAATGTAGATCTAAATTGTGTAATCATCTGCTAATTCACCTTTTCATGTGCATCAACAGATTTTATAGCAATACGTAATAATTTCACTAATAAAGCACCAAAAGGAGAGATCATATGAATTACCTTCATGCCATTAAATTTATGCCTTCAAATGTGCTTAGCTTTATTGACCAGTCAAAATATAACTTGGAAAAACATTATTTTAAATACCGTCCTTGAAGGATTTCCCATTTTTTCAGAAGGGGAGGACCCAAAATTTAGCACTCATTTATTGGAAAAAATAAGAAAGTGACAAAAAGGTAGAATAGCAACGGATGAACAGTAATCTTTCTCCTCTACCTACATTAAAATGGGAGGAAGGAAAAGGAAACCACCTTTTTAAATACTTGATTCTATTTCCAGCTGTATGATTTGCTTATGTGCGTTTTTTCTTTCATAGTTTATATTTTTGGAACTCTAGTTTAAGATAATTCTTATGAACATTCTAGTTCTCAAAAGATTAGACATATCATTTAGGATAATGTGTTTGGAAAATGTGCTACAAACCAGAAAATTAATATGAGTTTCTCACATCTAGGTCACGTATAATTCTTCTTTTCAGTAATAAACAATTGAGGAAGAGGGATTTGAACTTGGTATCTTCTCTTTACACGATAAGTGTAACTAAAAACTGAATTATGCCTCAGACACATGTAAATCGTGTCTACATTTCTCATATTATTTTGTAGGATTCTAGTAAGGGTTTACTTCTAGAAATTCCACACATGTTCAATATTTCACTCTTCACATCATCATCTACTCCAAACATAAGGTTGTAAGGATGAAAAAATTTGAGGGTCTGCATAGAGGTCAACTCATGTTAGCTGCATTTCCCCATTAATTCGTGAAGATCAACATAACGGACATTGGGACCCACAAATAGCTGAATCCAGCTACATATTAATCTGAAAAGTACGTCCCGCTCAATCAGGCATAGTACTTTAGCAGTTAAATGCATTCAGGATCAGCTAAAAACAAAGGCTAGATTAACAAACATATCAACGGCCACCTATTCTCTTGATCTTCACAAAATCTACTCATATGGCATAATGGCACCGAGACAATTAGAAGACATGTTCATATCCATAAACTACACACATTTTTTTATATAAAAAAACCTATCATTCAATGCACAAACCATCACCAATAAGGATACTAAGAAACTCAATTTACTGTATTTTTCAATCGCACCTACACGTATAATGTGGCAACATAGCGACAACACATTAGGTTAAAACTACTATAAATTGATGAAATTTTCACCAATTCCAGAGTCTTAACTTTTTTTGCACTTAGAAGCTAAATCAAATCGCACAGACAGTGAATGCAGAAGTCCAAACCTGAATTTTAAGTGCAGCCGAGTTTTGCTGCCGTAGCCATAAGCGGCGGTTGCGCTCCAGCCTTGTTTGCTCCAGAAGCTTCTGCCTGTCCCTTTCCTTGGTACTCCGTCCCCCCAAATCAACTCGCTTCCGAGTCGATGAATCGCCCGAGAAGAACATCCTTCCCAATTGACTCCGTCAATTTCAATTTAAGCCCAAGCGACGAGAATTGGGGTGTATAAGGCTAGGTTTAATGCTTGAGAGACTCGTTTCAGACTCTGCGAGTGTTTGATCGAATGGAAAAGTGGGCAGAGAAACTAGAAAGAGAAAGAATTCGAGGATGTATCTTGAAAAAGGTGGAGGCTTTGTTGTTTGGTTAGCGAGAAAAATAGGAGCGGAAAAGAAAGCTAAAGAAGAAGCAGTGAGAGCAATTGGCTTGGCTCGCTATTTCCCTTTCCTTTTCTTGGTTGGACTGGAGAATAGACGTCGACTCGGCAAATACAATAAATTAAATTTTATATGTGCCGTCAATAAATTAAATTATATATGTCTTTAATAAATTATAAATAAAACAAAAGAAGTAGGAGATAAATATTACAATCTATTTCACACTAGTACTAGTATGCAAATCAAAGTCCTTTTTCATTAGGTTATACTCGATGCTTCTTCTCATTAGACAATAAGGTTTTAGTTACTTGTAGGCTACCCTCTAAATATTACATATATACTTGATTCTATATAGTTGGTCAATGCCCTGTCTTGAAACTTGTTTTTGATGCTTTGTTTCATGGTTCACTTAAGGAATCTTTGTTTTTTTGTTTTTTTAGGTATGCGTTCTTGGATTGAAAATTTCTTATCACAAATATTTATGGGTTATTTATTGTAGACGTCTCTGAACTTGGCCCCCATTGGGTTGCGAGAGAGAATGAGAGACAGAGCGAAAGAGAGAGGGATTCGGATTGACGCTTCTTCCTCTGCGATTTTCATCCAAAACCTAATTCTGTGATTGCATTTGGTACAATTCAGAAATGATAAATGATTTTATCATCTGCAATTTCTTGGAAGCTTTGTTTTTTCGGAAATGTAATTTGATTGTTTGTGCACATAGCAAAGCATAGCAAATTGATGGAAGGTTTTCACAGCAACTCGAAAATGGTGAAATTGCTCAAAGGAAACTTGGAGAATGTGGATCTCAACTCGCCAATGTTAAGGTACTTGTGCGCTCAATCTCAGAGTCAGTCGTCGTCGCCACCTCTTGCCGCTCTCGCCTTTGGAGAATCTGAGAGGTCACAACCTTCGATAGTTTATAGAACACCGATGAGAGGGGTGCAGAGGGAGGAGGTTCTGGTCATGGATGGTGTTTCAGTCGTTGAAGGAGGAAGGAGCTCAAGGTCTACTTCTGATATGTCGTCATCTTCTTCTTCTTCGGATTCTTCAGGGAAGATTCTGTACAAGACCGACCTTTACATGTCCTGGGAGGATTCTGGAAGCTGCCGCTACACCTCCAAAGGCCAGGGAGAGACAGAGCAAAAGAGAGAGAAAGATAGGGATTTGGATTTGGATTTTTTATTTTTAAGTTTTTTTATTTTTTTATTTTTTAATTTAATTTTTTTCTTCACTCTTTTCATTTTTTTCTTTAATTTTTTAATTTTAAAAATATTTTAATTTAGATGGACGGTTTTAACCCTCAAATTAACAGCCAAATTGACGGAATGACTCAATTGGAACTATTTATCGAGTTAACGGATGTAATTGCAAAAAAGAAAAAGTTCACTGACCCAATTACAAATAGGGGCCAAGTTTAGGGACGTCTACAGTAAATAACCCAATATTTATCTATATATTTACAGGGGTTTATATACTTGTAGTATGGAGGAAGTTAGGATTTTCAAATTGTAAGAATATCTCCAATAGTAGTAGCAAATTAAAGTTTGTTAATCTATGTGGCAATTTGAAAAAGTTTGTATGCAACTAAGACTCCAATAACCTCTTCAACAGCTTTGAAATTCTAAAATAAGTGAGTCACATCATAAAAACTCTCAGCCTCTTCAACCTCAGTCATCAAATCTGAAACCTCTTTATTTCTTTTCAGCAGATTCTTACATTTACTTCACATTAAGGAATTGAAAAGTAAGTAGGGCCCACACAAAATTAGGAATTCAATTCCTAATTTTGGAGGAATTCAATTCTTGGGTCCTAGAGAACTAACCCATTAGGAATCATCTTTTTTATCCATTATATCCTCACACAATTTTAAATTTTTAAAATTTGCCATCTATTTTAACCCAACAACGAGGACATTTTAGTAATTAGTACCACTCATATCCTAATTCTATATGGTTTAGTAAACAACTTCAATAGGAATCATGAATCTACCTTCCCTCAATCCATATGGTACTGTTTATTGGTTTGATTTGGTCCGGTTTTAACAAAAAAATTTATAAAACTGTTTGGTTAGGGTTGAACCATTTTCGGTTAGGTTTAGTTCGATTCAATTTTTAACTGAAATATTATTATTTTTTCAAATTATCCAATTTCATACAAAAAGAAATATTGAGGCTAGAAAAGAGAGATGTTTTAAAATTGAACTTGGGTAAATATTAGTTATGAGATTAAAAATATAGCATTTGATATAATTATATATTAAAATTATATATATTTTTAATTTGGCAGATTCGGTTCAGCTCAATTCGGTTTGTTATGGTATAGAACCGAAATGAGAACCGGTTCGGTTCGCTTTTTTGAATTGGGGTTGACTTTTTTGTCAATACAGTTTTTTCGAGTCCAGTTTGATTCGACTGATTGGTTCTTCGATTTCGATGCCCACCCCCATAAACAAGTTCCCTAGTAACAATAGGTCAATTTCAAAAGCAATTGAGTAATTTTTCCGTGTGACAAAAATCTATCCACTCATATTATAACACACGTATATTTAATTTTAGAATATAACCGTGTTGTTTACTCATACTATGCATGTGACCAGACAACACAACGTGGTGCTATTTCGGATAAAACAAAAGATTATCGTCAGTCTAACATCAAAACACGAAATCAGTTGAAGAAAACTTTTGTTTCGGATGGGGGAGTTTTTTTCCAAGTGAAAATTAACAGATCAATATATCTCTTCCAAAGAAAAGAAACCTCAAATAAGAAATGGGTCTAAAAGACTGTTCATTTGGTCCAAAACTAGCCCAAATGATCTCCACACCATGAAAAGTTTAAAATATGTTGGACTGAATTAGAATTTAATTTTAAGCCCAGCAGAAACCAGCCCAGTGCAGCCCAAGGAAACGTGCTTCAAATGGTTGTTCCCTAGACCCTACACACAATTGACAATATGAATATACATACAGACTTTTCAAATCTTAGCCCAGGAAATTCCAAAAGATTTGATTTGGTCTCGAAGTGGTCCAAGCAATTGACAGAAGAAAAAAAAACACATAAAAGAGGGAAGAAGGTCAAATCCATTGACCAACGTGTTCATATTATAAAAGCAGCAGCAGCAGCAGGAGGCAGATTGCTACTTGGCAACTTGGCCAAAAGCTTCTACAAGAATCAAAGAATCTAAGACTTTGTATGTGAAATATTCAAACATCCATGAAGACCATGGAAAGAAATAACACTTCTAAATCATCTTTGCCACAGTAACATACAAATGGGCAAAGTTGGTTAGAGCCCCACCTTCTTTCTTCCTCCCTCCCTTCAGTGTCAAACTAAGATATTTTTCTGTAAACCCTAATTGTTAGGTGTTATTGCATCTTCACATTAGCAATTGATTTAGTGCTTCATTCTAATACATTGAGCAACAAGAACACCTTATATTTCAGAACCATCTAGACCTCATTATTTTTTACTGCAAAAATGCTTGTTGAGCTGATTCACTTGCAAATTCCAAGTTGACATTTTGGTTGGACTTTGTTTTTTTAAATTGGGGATGGGGGTTGGTGTGGTAAAAGTAAAACTCTGGTTTTGACTTCCTTTCCTAGCATCCATTGTTTGGAAGTAGGTAACAATAGGTCAGCTGGGGAACTTAGGTTGTCAACTCTGAACTGAAATCATTACTGTTGAAATTGAATTGTTAACTCAGGCCAAAATCCCATTCTGGGGAGAAATGTTTTTTCTTCCCCATTTTAAAAACAATAACTATGGATAGAACTAGGTCATTTTTTTCAAGCAACATTATTTAATTTGTGAAGGCTTCTTTTTTTGACTTGACAAGCAAGCAAGTAATTACTATATTTAAATGAATTACAATGAGTTAGAATAAAATAATAGGGCATCATGAAAGGCTTTGGAATGCGAAGCAGAGTGGCTTTGTAGCATTCACATTTTGGTGGCTTCTGGTTAAGTTAATTCAAAACTATATTTTTTTAAGGGTTTATTTTTGTATAAATTGTCTGAGAATTGCAGGCCCTATATGATAGGCCAGTTTAATTCCACTGAATGAATCGATGCTGCTGGGCTTTATCCAACCAAATGTCTCTAGCTAGTACTAAATTACTATTATATATATAGGACAAGAAGTATGTGACAAGTTCTTTGCTTTCAACTTTGGAGAGAATGTGGAGCTGAAACTCAAAATCATGTGCTTAATAAGTGACTTTATCTTTGCTTTTTGTGTCTAATTTACCAAAGGGCTTGGCTTTAAGTCCTTGTCTCCTTGCTCAAGCTTTGCTCTGTTCTTCCTATGCTTTTTTACGTTTTCCCATTCATCTGTCTTTATGCTCATGGAAAAAGAAGATATGAATAGTATACCCCAAAAAGAAGGAATATAGCAATATGATTAACTGCAATTTCTGATAAGGTTAGTTTCGTTTAATACAACGAGCACTTCTTTAGTGTGTTTGACGCATTGCATCGGACTCTAATAACAATCACCGAAAACTCATCAGACAACCATTTATCTCGCCTCCTCGCAAGGACAAAATTCAACACAAAAAAGTTTTCATTGATGTTTCAACTAAACTATCTATGTGATTAATGAAATTACGTGCATAATTCTCCAAGAAGCCATTATTAGTATCATTACAATCATTTGTTAACTTCATCAATTTGACTTCCCTTATGTGTATGATGGTACCCACATGATTTACCCCCTAAAATGGGTTAAACTTTAATCAATCACAAATGGACTATATTGGTCTAATTTTTCGACATGACAATGGAGTTTACTCGTTTGGCCGTACAAATTTCCTAACATTATTGAAAATGAGAGACTTAGTGGGGATTTGTTAAATAAATCATTATGAAAGCCAAATGCTAGTTTCTTAGTGGGTAGTGTAAAGCCAAGAAAAAAGAAGCTTAATCATGGAAATAATGGGTAATTAACTAATACTTTTGGGAAGCAACACAAGCTATTGAAAATTTCAAAAAGTAGGGAAAAAAAAAAGATACCTCAAAGAGAAGTCGTTTTACAAGGAGGACTTGAGGACTTTGATCGTAAGAGGTGCCATTGAATCTGGTCTAAATTTTTCATCAATATCTGTAGTCTTATCACATGTGTCTTGACATTAATTCATGGTTCCATATACAAACACATCGCAATCTTCAGCCATTCTCTTTCCTTTTCTTTTCACTTGCATAGTTACAAAACCATTACCATCAAATTCCATGTCGTCAGTATCCTCGTCATTTTCATCGTCACCTTTATTATTCTCATAATTCTATCATAAAACCCTTTCCCTTTTTTGCCTGTTGAAATCCAACCACTGTTCTTGTTGACCATTGTTCATGATTTGTCTCACAGCCTCAAAGATTATACACCATACATGGTATTTGGTAGCTAGCTATTATTTTCAAAGAAGAAGCTAGGTTTTGGACGCATGAGGTTTTGTACGTGCCATGTTACATCAACGTCACTCATGTTCATATTGTATTAGACACGTTAATATATAACCGCCACATACAGTGACTCATCGACATATTCCTTATAAACCCTATTTATTGCTATCTTCTAACACTAAACTCAAAATCAATCAACGATTAAAAATCGTTTATGTAACGCTAATATAACAGGCAATTTGATTAGATGATCTCCTCCTTCTCCTCCTGCAATCGCCTTCAAAGGATGTCATTGTAGCATGAATGAATTGGGTGATTGATGTATATTTAACTTATTAAATGAATGATACACTCTGATTGTACACGTATGGGTCAATCTACCACATGAAAACGTAACTTTGGACGGTGAAGTAATCCATATCATCGTATCTCACTATTGGGATTCTCCTCTAACCTGAAGATTTTAGCAAAATTGACATTTGTATTGGCAAACTAGCTATAGCTCATAGGATAACATAATTGGCATGCGTGCACCAATCACAGATTGACACCACTAATACTACAAGTATTGCTTTACGCTTCCCCACATACATGTGTAAGCATTTGCAATGGTTAGCTTATGTTTAAGTATAGCTAACACGAATCATAATCAAGCACTGGATGGCCGGCTTGAGTGATCCGTGGCTAAAGATCCGTCTTTGTCTTGGTCTTTCCTATGAAAGGTCACCAACCCTTAAAGTGGTTTTTTTATATCTATTAATGAGTGTCTATTTGGGGAAAGCCCTTCAAAATGGACATGATCAACAATATATATGTGTCAAAACATGTGTTGGTGACCAAAACAAATAAGAAATGTTACCATCAGTCGTTCACGTAAATCGATTATAATTAACAATTATCGACTACATGCATAAATGATTAGCAATAACGATTGACAATCATTGATGATTGTAAACCTCGTTATTACTACTTAACATAATAAACTTCATATCCATCAAGGGTTTAAAATCAGCATCAATCCAGACCACTTATAGTAACAACGAATTAAGCTCCGTGGCATCGGATCTCCTCCGTCTGCCCCCACCAGTATGAACTCTAAGTAAGAAAGATTGTAAAAAGTTGCACTATAGCAGCTCAATGGAGGCAATAAACAATCAAATCAAGCATAATGAGTCTTTTTTCTTCTTCTTTTAAATCAATGATTAATCCAAGCAAGCTTATGATAGACCACCTTTTTTTTGCCTAGTGTGGCAACAACACGCTTGTCCAAAAATAAAGCGTGTTGTTGTTAATCAGAGGAAAAGCAGTCAAGCCATCTAATTATGTTTAGTTTAATTAAGACCCTC